TAGTATGCTAACTGCAGCTGCAAGATCAGGATCCTTCAGTACAGCATCAGCTATTGAACTGAACGATCCATCAGGTGCTACAATTTGAACTTTATTTAAACCAGCTGAGTCTAGAGATTTACGTAATGTCTGAAAAAAGAAATAAATATACCAAATGAATATAACTTTACTTTAATGTACGTTGAATCAAAATTACGCTCATTCCATACCTAAACAACAAAGAGTAAGTCATATTGATGTTCTCACTTACTCCAATGTAATCAATGTCCAGTCCATATGTACTCTTAGCTCCCTGTATCCACTTAATGATATAACCAGCTGTCAGTTCAGGGTACTTGTATGGACTACCACTACCATTACCGACCTGTGTCACGTGACATAATGATATTCATAACACTAGTTCATGTGACTCACCCAAGCAGGAAAAGTCCAAGGGAGCCCATACAATTTGACATTAGGATTACGCTGTAGATTATAGCAATAAATCATTTTGATATAAATTAGTGATTTTTTTACTTTTTTAGCTTCAGTCATGAGCCACCATTCATATCCACGATGATAATTCTCATCATCTTGACTATGCATGTGTGATGACTCTGTACCATCTGGAGAAATGAATGGAATAGAATGAGACGAGTTTAAATTGCACTGCACCTGTGCTTTGTCCATCTCCACCAATTTCAACTTTACAAATTTGCAAAGAAGCACCAAAATTCGGCTATTTAAAATAACAATGCAAGAATATGCAAATTCAAAATATGCCAAAACAAAATAACATTAACAAATTAATAGCTTTTGCAACCTTAAACAATAAGTCAAGAATCTGTGACACTATCTCTTCACTGTAACTAGGCAAAAGTGCAGTGGATGCCTAAGAAAAGAGTAAACTAAAAAAAACTGCATAGTTTAGAGACTCCTCACTCCAGCACTTAATCCACCAATACCATCAAACTTTGGTCCAGTGCCACCAGAATCATCCACATTGTACTGCCCTGTAGTTAAGTGCAGCAGCACCAATGAAAACATTAACAGCATCAAGACCATTATTAAAGTTTGCAGATAAACAAAATGACTCACGTGAGATCACGTGGTCTTAACTATCATAGTTATTCTGACGACGCCCATGCATCATTAAAGAGAGTGCAACTTTGTCAGCTCAGCTCACTTAGCATGCTCTGTGGGAAACTTTGCATATAATAATCAACTTGAATCAATCATAAATAAAAAATGAAATATTATACATTGAGAGAGATTGATAGTATTATAGTCTAAGCTAATCATAAAAACCTGTAACAAAAAATATAATAAGTTTATTGCTAATGGGAGCTTACTATCTTCACAGTCGCTATTAACTAATGGGTCCCCATCATAAATGAGTTCCTCTATATCCCCATCACCTAATCCTCCCTCCTCTTCCTCTTCCTCCTCCTCTTCTAGAATAGGCTGGATGGGTCCTGTTTCTTCTATTACAGGTAAATCTTCAAGTGATGCTTCATCCTTTCAAATAATTTTTAAAAATAATAATAACCCAATTCCTCATCCCTCTACTTTTTCCGGAGCAGTTTCTTGAGGCGATTTAATAGTTGCTGACATTCGCTGAAACCTATAATTCAAAACATTACACGGACATTGATATTAGTAGCATCTCACTTGCTTCCAGGGAGAGACGAGGTCAGTAAGTTTCTTTTCCTATTGGCAAGGGATGGTAGTCTAGTCGACCCTGTCCTACTTGACGAAGTATCGATGGAGAGAAGAGAAGTGGCTCTCTCGTGCCCCCTAAACTGATCGGTCTCTCTCAATATTCTAGTCGCAGTGCTACTCATGTCACTACTCATCTCCAGCTCTCGCTCTCTTTCCAAGTCCCTTAACACGTCATAGTTTATTTTTGAGGACAGTTTCTTCTCCACTAGCATTCTCTCTATAGCTTCGCCTGCAGTGGCAGCAGGAGACTGATGGGTACGATCTTTTTTTGGTCTATGAACCGTCCTCTGTAGAATAATGAACGAAGGATTGCATTAGAGAATAAATCAAAATATCAGCATCAGAATACAGTGTGGTAAATATAATTAAAAATATTATTTTATATAACTATGCTTTCAATCAATACCTTTCCTTTGTTTCCTTCCTTTTTAGCTTCTACTGCTGCTAGTCTTTCCTTTCTTGCTATGGTGGGATTCATATAAGATTTAGAGAAATAGTTCAAAAGTTGCGGACCTTCCATTTCTTTGAGAAAGTCTCCATTTTCGGCAAACCATAATTGCGACTTTATTTTCACTTCTTCCTCCGATAGCAGCATCTTTAGAAAAAACAGAAGAATAAATGTCAAGAGAGTTGAAGGGATCATTGTAAAGCTACTTGTTCTATTTCTTCATCATCAATTCCTTCTAAATCTAGCTCCTCTGTCTCTTTTACTGCACTTTCCCCTGCAGTTGCTGAAATAGCTACAGCAACATAGTACATCTATTGTAATGTCAATATCATTCTCACATTCTTCTTCTTCGTTGCTGGATTTATTCCCTTCTTCCTCCTCCACTAGGTGGACGAGGTCAGAGAGGTCGTCGGTAAGACCAGCAGTAGACAATTGAAGTATTTCCTCACTCACACGTGCTTTAGCAATAATATCCTGCACCGACTGCATACCCACTATACCACCAAAACCCAGTCTCTTGAGGCCACTGTCATCATCGCTTGAGTCGTCATCTTCTTTGTCTCCATCTTCATCCCCTCCATCCCCTTTATCAACCTGAAATGCGAAAAAAATAATAAGTTATAAATAATATAGTTTTCTATAAAGTGTACTGTATATCCTGAAATATGAAATAAATAATAAATAATTGTAATGCAGTTTAAAGTCTACTATATATATTCTACCTGTTTCTCTTTGCCTTTCTTCTTCGCCTCAAGGAAGCATGGAGGATCATTTTCGTACTCTAAGTCAATTTTAAGGAATTCTTCTATGGTTAGACAGCTCGAGGGCGTGTTCTGAAAGTCATCCAATCTAATAATAGATAATAAAAATATTAATAGTAAGTAAGTAATAAAAATAAAAATAATAATAATGTTGAACAATCACAGTCTCTCTGTACCTTTTTCTTATGGTTGCTTCTGAGAGTTTGACAATTTTCGAGATCTGCTTCACGGAGCGATTGAAATTATGCAGCCTAGCAGCCACAAGTAAAGCTAAATGAATAAACAAACAAACAAACAAACAAACAAATAAATTAAATGAATAGGTACATGTATACCTGCTCCACAGAGGCCAGCAGGACGACGGCCATGATGAATCCAGTCTCGCTTCATTCTGGCAACTAACCTCAGGGCAGTCATAGAGACATCATGGACCTTGTCACCCAATTCAAGTTTATGAGCAAACCTGTGGATGTATAAGCATGGGTCTGAAGAGAAGAAAAGAGAGAGAGAAAGGAGATATAATGCATGCAGTATCATAACATGGAGAGTTCTCAACTTTTCATTTTTGACAAAGTTTGGCCAAAATCCCTGTACTATAGTACAGGGACTTTGACCCAATTTTCCAGCAACTTTAAAAATCAGATTCAGCTCAAACTTGCTACACAACATAAGAACATGCATATGCATCAGAATGAATTATAAAAATGGAGATTTCTCAATTTTTCAATTTTGGCAAAATTTGGCACGAGACCCTGTACTTATTAATTTTTTTCCTATCACTTATTCTATTATTATTATCTTACTTCTAAACCTAGTAATTTCTGTGTTGTGTTTATTTTGTTAAAGATGTTTGTTAAGGGCTTAGTTCCCTCATGTAATGTACTATAGTACAGGGACTTTGGCCAGATTTTTGAGCAACTTTAAAAATTTGTAAAAAAATCCATTTTTGAGAAAAATTCTCAAAATGATTGATCAATTTCATCAAATTCCCTCCTAGCTGTACTATAGTAAATGATGTCTTGTTAAATCAAAAATATACTGGCAAGGTGTTGAGCACTATGCCCGAATCCCGTGGGCAAACACTACCTAATGCTGGTGGGTTGATGTGTAGAGCTGTTGAAAGTCTCAGGTAAGCTCTCCCCAAAGAGTAGACGTTAATCTACACAAGAGGATATCCAATTCAATGACATGTGAATCCCCCCCCCATCTTACCTGGAGTACATCACTGAAGTCAAGTAACATATCTTTATAATGATAGTTAAGCTAACAATCATAACACACTAACAACTTTTATAAATTAATGGATTCCGTGATAATAATTTAAGAGCATTAAAGGGTGCATTAGCACCACCTGCTACAATAAAGAACTATTTGTATTAGTAAAGGATACGTGGGGTTCCTTCGCTCCTACAGACCAGATAGAGGCAAGCAGTATCCATTATACTTGATTTTCTACCTCTTGTAAGATTGAGCTGGAGCGCCATCTTAAAGAAACCAAAAGCCATATCAATACAATGCTGATTCAGCTTCAGCTGAGACCCCAAGTGTGTCAAGCGTCTCTTAGCTACAGCAAAAAAATATTATTAATTTTATAGCAAAAAATAACATTATTAATCTTATAGCAAAATATTATTATTATTATTAATTTTATAGCAAAATATCATTATTCAATGTTATGCTGGATAGTCCTAAAGTGTAAGTAATTCATACCTTGTTGAAGTGTGGCCTCCCGTGAGTTTTTATTCAAGCCATGCGAATACTTGAAACCAGCCAAACTAGGAGCTTTCGAACCACCACCGCCAGCTAAGAAGACAAAAATGGAACAATGCAATGTAATGCAAGAAATGGGAGGGGTTTGGCTATTTAAGACTAAAATAAAATATTTTAATTTATAGCATTAAATTTGTGAATGCATCATGCAGTAGTTACATTCAGTAGATACGAACTGTCCCACGAGGGCCAAGGATCCGCTGCTTTGCTCCTGGAAGGTTAGCTCTGACACGATAATGTCCTCTTCCAGGACGACACCACATCCAACACAGACAGCATCACCCCTCGCGGTGTCTTTCTCTATCTCAGACCCACCACAGTGAGGGCAAGAGCTGCTGCTAGTAGCAGTGGCCATAATTAACGTGACCTGTGTCAAAAAAGAAAATAAAATAAATTATCAAGAAGGCGGGGCGTGTAAAATTTAACCTACAAGATGGCGTCTGGAGAGACCGTGAAGATGCCAATGGAGAAGAAAGAACTCCGTAAGGGCCGCCCTTATCAGGATAAAATGGTAGAGTATGCAATTAAAGAGAACACAATAGTCTCCCTCGGGACTGGAGCAGGGAAGACGTTTGTAGCAGTAATGCTGATAAGAGAAATGGCTCACTTTGCTGAAGGACAGTTCACAGAGTCTGAGGGACAGAGAATTATATTTTTAGCACATACAGGTATTTTAGTAATACTTTTAATATAGCGGGTAATTGTAAGGACTATATTTTGCTAATAAAAATACTGCAAAGTGCAAATAATGTACATGTATGTGTAAATACTTTAATTCTTGTTACCATTTTTGCAAAAGAAAATTAAAACTCCACAAAAAATTTTATGTTTAAGAAATAATAATTTTTACATTAAAAGACCATTTGTATAATGCTTATTTTTTCTTAGTTCCTCTTGTCAAGCAGCAAGCAGAGTACATACGTGATAACACTAGCCTTAAAGTCTTTGAGTTTGTCGGAGACCCTAAAGGTAATATTGACAGCTGGCCTAAGGAGACTTGGTACAATCACTTCAACGCTGCCAACGTCCTCGTCTTCAGTCGAACAATCTTCTTAGATCTACTCATGAAAGGTTTCATCAAGCCTCGTCAACTCTGTCTTATTGTATTTGATGAGTGTCACCATGCTACAAAGAATGATCCTTTTGTTCAAATTATGAAAGTGGTTAAAGATGCTCCACCCGAGGAGAGACCACGTATTCTGGGCCTCTCCGCATCACTACTGGGACAAAAGGTTAGGACATACAATGTGCATGTACTTGTACTTGTATATGTGAACAGTATATGCATGTAGTTTTACAGTAACAGATGCACTGTATACATGTATGTATTTTAAAGCTTGTATTATTATTATTTTATTTATTTTATTTTTTAAGGTTAAGCCCGGTGATTTAAAGAAAGGAGTGAAGAATTTGGAAGCAACCCTAATGTCCACGGCCAGGACTGCCCCCGATATGGAGGAAGTCCTCAAATTTGCTACTAACCCTGATGAGAAGATAGCTAGCTATGAGAGTGCTCTTGATGAGCCTGCCTCTCTTCTTAAAGAGATCATACACCCGCCACTCGTCTTCCTACAGACCAAAATCCAAGAGAGGAAGGGAAAGCTCGAAGAGACTGCGAAGAACCTCCTCGACGACCTCCATCACATTTTAATTGATCTTGGCCCTGCCAGTGCTGCTGGTTTTGTTTCTGTGGCTATTTTTGAGTTACGTAAAGCTATAGAATATACTGATACTATTGACGAATGGGAGAAACACATTGCCTGGCTTGCATTAGAAAAATTATATATATTTGAAGCCTCTTGTCGCCAGTTTAAGACAAAGTACGGTATACTACAGGACAGTAACAAAGTCAAAACTTTGCTGGATGAGATCAGAGACACTGTATCAGCTAATGGAGAGATGAGTGACAGTCCTCCCAGCAAAGGAACAAAGGAAGAGGCCAAAGGTGAGGAAGAGAAGGAGGAAGAGGTGCAGAAGAAAGATCAGAAGTCTTCTCCTCAAGCTAAGAGAGCCCTAAGAGGTATTATATTTGCAGAGAGACGTCACACGGCTTTGTGCCTGTCCAAGCTAATACAGGAAAAGAAGAAGACACAGCCGGACCTCAAGCATGTTTCGTGTGATTTTGTAGTCGGCCATAGCCTTGGTCAGAGTGGAAATGCCATGAGGAAAGAAGCTCGTATGAAGTCCTCAAGACAAGAACAAGTACTGGGCAAGTTTCGTAAGGGAACAGTGAATCTCCTGGTGGCTACCAGCGTGATTGAGGAGGGGGTGGACGTGCCAAGGTGTAATCTTGTGATTCGTTTTGATCTTCCACAGAACTTTCGTTCGTATGTTCAATCCAAAGGACGAGCCAGGGACAAGCCGTCTAAATTTGTACTACTCCTGAGTGACATGGAGAAGAATAAGTTGGGAGAGATTAGGTGCTATCATCAGCTAGAGACTGAACTGATTGAGCTCTGCCAGTCTGATAGGGCTCTCCCCTCCGAGGAGGAGATTCAGAAGAAGATGGCCGACATTATTCCACCGTACATGCCTAACGGAACTGAAGGAGCTAGAGTTAGCCTTGGAAACAGTCTAACTCTCCTCCACAGGTAATTATCATTATCATGTACATTAAATATTGCTAAATATATGGTTATTATTTAGCTAAAATATGCTGAAGTTTACTGTGAGATTACTGAACATACTGTAGGTATTGTGGTCGTCTTCCTCAAGATGAGTACACAAAACTGTCTCCTCATTTTGAAGTTAAGAAGATACCAAAAGCTGGCGGGCGCACACTGTCATTAAGTGAGCTATCTCTTGAAGAGGAGGATGAAGATCCTAATCATAATTATATTTGCTCGTTATTTTTGCCAATCAACTGTCCCTTGAGATCAGATATCATTAAAGTATGACAATTACCAGAGTTTTTAACCTTCCTCTCTCTCTCTCTCTAGTCTCCTCCACTAGGCACTAAGCAACAGTCGCAAAGAGCAGCTGCATTATATGCTATGGAGAAGTTGCATAAAATGGATGAAGTTGATGATCTTTTCAAAGCAAAGGCATCAGCTGATTCCGACGATGAAGATGTCAAAGAAGAGAAAAAGGGAGAGAAAACTGGAGCAGGGAGTGATAAGAAATCCTCCTCATACAAGAAAGAGGTTTGTATGTGTAGATAAGCAATAAGCATTATGAATTTCTCTCTCTCTCTTTCTCTCTCTCCTTTCCTCTTGCAGGTTTCACCACTATTAACTGGTTGTTTTGAATCATCAGTTAATGCCACTGGTTACTTTGCTTATGCTTTTGTTATCAAAGAAGAAACGAGGGGTTTGCTGTACTCCAAGACTCAAGGGGTTGCTATGCTAACTAAAAAGCAGCTTCCATATTGGATGGTAAGTATTGATGTATATACATGCACATACATATTCTTTTGCAAAAAATGAAACAAAATTTAGTTTATGATTAAAAGATTTTAAATGATAATTGTATTTTTATTATTAATAGATCCCTGCCTATTCTCTGTATGTGAAAGACAACTCAGAGACTGAGATAAAATTGACAGTGACTTTAAAACCAGTCACCCAACACATTCCTTCTCTAACTGATGAGGAACTGAATATTTATCGCTCGTTTCATCACAATGTATTCACTGACATACTCTTCATCACTCCCGACAATCTTGAGGCTAACTTTGACAAAGCAATTAAAGATTACATCATTGTTCCTGTTACTATAAATAGCTTGGATGGGAAAACCGTAGATGACATTAAACTCGATTTTGCTCATGCAAAGAGCATAGTTAGCTATTATGAAGCTGGAGAGAAGAGGAAGCCATCAAAACCATACACACCTTCATCCCTCAATAGTTGTCTTGTTACACCTGCGTATAGGGATTCCACCATTCCTGGCCTCCAGGAAATATTTTGGGTTGAAATGGATGAGTCCAAGACTCCACTATCTCCTTTTAACTATCCAAAGTTTGCCAATTTTGTAGAGTTTTTTAAGAGCAAGTACGACTATGAGATTATCGATAAGGACCAGCCTGCTCTAATCTGTCGGAGGGTCAATACAAGTTTCCTTAAGCTTTTCACATCACGGTATCTTATGAGTGAACCGGCAGTTAAGAAAACTGACATCACAATGTTTCCTGAGCTGGTTCACGTGTTCCCTGTCTCTGTTTCTTTTTGGCGTGTCCTCAGGTGCCTCCCTGCAATGCTCTGGCGAGTGGAGTCACTCCTAATAGCCCACAAACTCTCCACCAGGATAAGAATGGAGACTGGAATTGGTCGTGAGAACTCCGACACATTTCTCCTAACGGATACTAGTGTTAGGGGTTATGCTGACTCGGGTCATGGAGTGTTACCATCACGCAGGCTACAATACTTGAATGATTTGACACCTGATATTACCAAAGTGCCCTCTGACGAAGAGATCCGTTATTCAAACAGGGGGCCTGATAATTGTCTAATATTGCAGGCCCTCACCCCCAGGGGAGCAAACGATTCGATTAACCTAGAGCGTCTAGAGTTGTTAGGTGATTCGTTTCTAAAGCTTGTTACGTCAGTTTATCTGTACAACTTAAGACCAAACAGCCATGAGGGGAAGCTATCAGAAGCTAGATCAAGACGAGTTGCTAATATTAATCTGTTTGTCCTCGGTAAGAAGAAAGGTATCACTAGCGCAATACTATCAGATGATTTTGTCAGTGGCATTGATAGCTTTAAGGAGAGGCTCACGTGGGTACCGCCTGGCTATGCAGCTTTGGAAGAGTCTCACAAAGTCACTGATAAAAGTGTTGCTGATACAGTAGAGGCACTGATAGGAGCGCATACAGTGGCTGGAGGCTTAGAGGGAGGAATAACACTTATGAAGTGGTTTGGGATTAAAATCAATGATGGTTCTTCTACTATTGCACCTCCTAAATCTACCTCCAGCAATACACGTTCACTACTCCTTGCTGAGTCTGATTCTATATTTTCTAGTCATTTTGGTTCTCCACCTGCCCCTAAGCTTGCTTTTTCAGATAAAGCCATATCTACGAGAAATCGCATCCTCCCCCAAGTGAGCAGCATACAAGGAAAGATCGAATACTCGTTTAAAAATGAGCTCCTCCTCATAGAGGCGATGACACATTCGTCCTATCACAGGAATGACATCACTGGTTGTTATCAGAGATTAGAGTTTTTAGGCGACGCTATTTTAGACTATCTGGTGACATGTCACATATACCAGTCAGACTCGTCTGCCGAGCCAGGAGAAATAACAGAGCTGAGATCAGCACTCGTTTGTAATTCTCGTTTTGCCAAGCTCGCCATTTCTCTTAACCTTCACAAGTCATTGTGTCACGGCTCTCCGAATCTCTTTAACGATATGAAGAAATATGCTCAATCACTGAGACAAAGAGAGAAAGAAGACATGTTTGAAGAAATGTCAATCAATGATAATGACTCAGCTCAGGTAGAAAGAAGGAAAGGGAGAGATTGTTAAAATGAATAATTATGTACCCACACTCTTATTACATGCACATATTATATACATGTATTTTAGGCTATAGTTGAGAGTATAAAAGATGGTGATTTTGATGATGATGATGATGATGATGATGACGATGATATAGAGCCACCTAAATCCCTCAGTGATTGCTTTGAGGCATTGGCTGGTGCTGTGTTCATTGATAGCGGAATGAACCTACAAACTGTATGGGAAGCCTTTTCCCCATTTCTGGAGCCATTGTTAAGTAGGAGAGACATGCACCTTTATTTTAGTACTATTGTATGAAATGATGTTTGTTTGTTGGTGCAGTATATGATAAAGTATCATTATCATTATTTTTTTTCCAGAAAAGTTCAAGAAAAAGAATCTTCCTCCATTGACTCCAATCTGTGAGTTGCATAAACTGATCCCAAAGGATTTGGAAGTCAAGAAAAAAGTGTAAGTCTTTTTGGCTATAGTACATGTTCATGTGTACTTTATTAGCAGATTAGCACTACCTTATAGCTTAGTAGCATGTGTAAAATTCAAACAAGCTTTTATTCAGCAATTGGATAGCAGTTTAGGAAAGATAGTATCTTTATATTTCTTTATTATTATTTAGCTTATCAGAGGGTAGATCACTTTGTATTATTGAAATTAAAGATAAGAATATCTGTGAAATGGCTACTGCTCGCTCGTACAAGAATGCCAAGAACTTTGCAGCTTCTAGAGTTTTAAAAAAATTAGCTGAGAAATAGTTATTTTAAAATTGCAATACTTATTATTATTATTGTTATTATTGTTATTAGTATTATTATTATTATTATAAATTCAATTTCAATCAAAAATGAGAGAAAGAGACAAAAGAGTTGAGGCAGAATAAAAATAGAATAAAATAATTTAAGTCATACAATGTTTAATGTTCACAATAGTTATTATTATTATTGTTATTATTATTTATTTTTGTAAAATAATAAGATTATTTTTTTCTCCTCTACCATTATTGCTTCATTAGTGTGCACTAGTCACGTGAGAAGTGACGTATTAATTGAAAGTTGCCATAGTGATTTTAAATTGGAGGGAAGTTTTGAATGGCGGTCTCCTTCTTCGTGACCCTATAATCCAGCAAGACTCAAGGTTCCTTCTTCTCTGCGGCCTGCCTCGCGTCTACTTTAAAGCCTGGAGCATCGTAAGAACTTACAATGAACCAGTTGGTGGCTACTCCTAAATTCGACATGACCTCATCCGCCTTTTTGACCCCACCATCCTCACTCAGTAAAGATGAGCAACCACTACTCGACCGTATCAACTCACGAGGTCTCCCTCGCTCTCATCTACCTTCTCCTCCTCTCCTGCGCTTCTCCCTACTGACTCCAGGAAAGGAAGAGGGTGAACGCAAGGTGGACTTCATTTCTTCTCTTTATCCTCCTTTTGCTCACATTGCTTATCAAGTCTTCTCTCATCTCTCTCCCTCTGACCTCATCTCTTGTGCCTCTGTCTCAAAAAAATGGAGAGAGGTAATATTATCAAAGCCTTCGTTCATCCACTCCATCAAATCCTACCAGAGACAAATGAAGTCAAACCAAGAAAACCTTATAAGACCTTTTCGTGAACTCAGCAATTGCTTCGAAGACTCCATAGCTAGAGAACCTCTAACACAAAGACGCATCAATCAAGTTTCTTCTCTTTATATTTCTTCCTCCTCTATATCTTATAGAAATTGTCCCCAGTGTAGCTCTCCCCGTGCGAAGAGGCTGCCTCCAAGCAAGATGGCTCACTGTGACTGTTGCAATTTCAGCTTCTGCTGCGACTGTTTAAAGAAAGCGCATGGGACGGTTTCGTGTCAGTCAACAAGTCCCACTAGGAAATCTTCTCTTGTTGCTGGTGGAAAGCCGAGCAGGAAAAGACTAAAGAGACTATGAAGCCTGCTGGCGGGCTTATTATGATTCATCATGTTATTTTTGTTTGTCATGTCTGTCAATCTTTGTATAATTAATAATAGTAATACATTATTCTTTGTCTTTGTCAAAACTCAAAAGTAAAAATACTATTCCCATCCCGCCAAAAATTAAAAGTAAATTGTAGCCACGCCCTTTAGTTGCAACCCACGCATTGTGATTAAGAAATGGTAGCTTGAAATTGTCTCCAGGGAAAAGGCAATATGGCGGTTGTATCCATTGGAATCAGTAGCAATGTCTCTTCACTCACTTCTGAAAAGAGGTATCCTGTGTCCACAACTATAGGTCAGCTAAAAGTGAGCCTAAATGAATATTAATAGTAATTTAAAACATTAATTATTATTAATTATAAAGGCTAGATTGGAGCTCATTACAGGGGCTAGCTGCTCAACAGTGAAACTGGAGCTTCGTGACAGCGATAATAAATTCATTCGCTTCCTTGACAATGATCAAGCGACCTTGGAGGACTGTGGCATTGTTGATGGAATGATAGTACACGTAAGATTAGGACAGTTAATGTACATTAATATTGGTAAATAGTTTAAAATGAATGCTAAAATGTATCAGATTGCCAAATTATGTCGAAAATGAAATTAAAGAATTCTTCTTTTTTATAATTTTTCTGATACGCATACATGTTTTTATGTTGTGTAAAAAGTTTGAGTTGATTCCGAACAAAATTGGATTTTTTACAAATTTTAAAAGTTACTTCAAAATCAGCCCAAAGTCCCTGTACTATAGTACAGGGATTTTGACAAAATTTCATCAAAAATGAAAATTAAAGAATCCTATATTTTTATGACATTTTCTGATGCATATACGTGTACTTACGTTGTGTAGAAAGTTTGAGCTGATTCCGATTAAAATTGGATTTTTTTACAAATTTTTAAAGTTACTCCAAAATCAGTCCAAAGTCCCTGTACTATAGTACAGGGATTTCGACAAAATTTCATCAAAAATGAAAATTAGAGAATCCTTCATTTTTATAATATTTTCTGATGTATATACGTGTTCTTATGTTGTGTAGAAAGTTTAAGCTGATTCTGATTAAAATTGAATTTAAAAATTTTTAAAGGTTTCTTCAAATACAGTACACTACATACATGTACATGTATATAGTAACATTAATAATTGTCTAGTGCAATGTACATGTATGCTTTTTAAAATGCATGTACACAGCCACAATCCACTTTATGTACTCAATATTTTTGACTTATTCTTTTTTAGGCAAATGATTCTAATCCTTCTCGAGAATTCACTGATGTTTCCAAGGTTGAAAAATATGAAATGTCTGAGGAGGAATATTCTAAAAGAGCAGGTACATGAATTGAACTGTGTGTCATTAGCTTTCATTTTTAATCAGACTCTGTGCGAGTTTTTAAAGAAAAGATGAAGCAAATGCAGCAAAATCAAAGTGCACCAGAGGAGGGGGATGAAGAGGAGGAGAGAAAGAGAAAAGAAGAAGAAGAATTAGCTAAATCGATAAGTGTTGGTCAGCGGTGTCTCGTGACCGTCAAGAAAGACCTGCCTAAGCGAGGCACCGTCATGTTTGTAGGTACGTTAAATGGACCAATTAATGATTGCTATTATATTATTGATTAACAGGCAAGACTCATTTTAAAGATGGCTACTGGGTAGGCGTGAAATATGATGAACCTGTTGGAAAGAATGATGGAAGGTACTAATAAATAAAATTCTCACTTTTTTCTAGCCCATTCTTGTTTTTTAGCGTGGAGGGTAAGAGATACTTTGACTGTCCGATGAAGTACGGGTCTTTTGTAAAGCCAGGCACAGTTCAAGTTGGTGACTACCCAGAGCTTTCTTTAAGTGATGACGAAATGTAACTAACTCTATGAAAAAGCATCACTTATTTCCTTTACTATATTATGCATAATCTATTGCTCATTTTAATTTTTGTTATTATTAGTAGGATGGCTGGTTATAGATTTAATGTTACATTTTACATGCAAAATTGCAAATGAATAAATAATTAATATTAATAATAATTAATATTAATAATAATTAATATTAATAATAATTAATAGTAATATTGAGCCACACCTCTCACGAGACTCATGAATAATAATTAGATACCAATTGTCTCATGCCCGAGCTCATGCCTCTGTCTAGCTAGCCTGCTCTGTAGTATACTCTATACTCTCCTAACGCTAGTTCTCTATGGCAAAGTCACAGATAGAAGGTTAGTGCACACGCTAAAACTAGACCCCCTTGCGATTGGGAGCTTGGCTGTACAGAAGTGGGCGGGGCAGGAGTTCATGAGAGAGCAAGGACTCCATTATATTTTTTTCTTTTTAGGTATTTTGGAGTCATTAGTAGCAGCAGCTGCTGATAGAGAGGAAGATGCTGCCACGGCCATATTTAAATCCCTGCTTGATATCGGAAGGAAGAAACACACTCTAGTACTGGACACATGTCACCTTTACCTTGTCAAGCACTCAAAGGTTCATTAACTCACGTTTATTTAATACTGCAAAAATACTTGTCATGAGGACCGGGGTGGCTTGAAATGTGCACTATATTTATATTTTAAGTGTCTAATTTTTAAAAATGATAATAATAATAATAATAATGATATGTATATATATATATATAGTATGATTGTTTTTTTAATTCTAGCTATCCAGGAATCACAGGGTTATTCTGCTTAAACTGATGGAGAATATTTGTAAGAATCATATTGAAGATGTCTCAAATGAAACAGCAATGAAACTGATATCACTGGGATCGGCTGAAATGACACAATCAAGTGTGAGTTTATTATTATTGATATTATTATTATTATTATTATTATTATTATTATTTTCATCGTCTTTATTTTTTTGTGTCATATACTTTTAGGAATGAAAGTAAATGTAATTGCACAGTTACAAATTCATTATTATTGTTGTATTTTTATAGGATGTCGTACCAGAATGGCAGACGGCTGCATCAAACCTGTTGAGCACTCTTGGGCTCAAATATGCTAAAGAAGTCATGCAGGAATTACTTACTAAGTTTCAAACCGGGCAACTTCCTCATTTCTTTATTGTATCAACACTTGGTCAACTAGCAACCAGCAATGGTACATTTGTAGTACATCCTACACAAATGTGAATGTACATTAACAATAGACAGCACACGAGTGTGTGTGTGTGTATGCTATGTACAATAACAATCCAATATGTACATATCAATGTGTTTTATTTACCTTTTTTTCATGATGGTCGTAGTTGGTGAAGTTGTTCCATTATTAAAAGTCGTTATGGCTAGAATGCTACCAATGTTAGGTTTAGCAAAACTCGATAATATGCAGTGGGTCTTCTCAAATGGTTAGTCTCTCTCTCATCCTCTTCCTTTACATGAAATTGTACGTGTCTCTTGTAGCATTTGCAAGGTTCTGCGAAGCTATCATTGACTATGTAGCTGATGAGCAGAGGGCTGAGGCCTCGGGTATCAACTTCCAGCAGTTTGAAGGAGAGGTTTTCTCTGCTTATGATACCTTCTTTAATGTATGGCTCTTATCCAAGGACGCTAGAGTAAGTCTCCATTGATTTTTATCGTAGTTCTTTGGATATGAAGATTTATATTTATGTACATTTGAATATGAAGTTATATTTGTCGTCATCTTTACTCTGATTAATCTAATGATCATCATCATCATCATTATTATTATTATTATTATTATTATTATTATTATTATTATTATTATTGTTACTTATTATTATTTAGTTGCGGTTGGCAGTGGTTGAAGCTTTAGGTTATGCTGTTCACATCATTTCAGCTGAGGCCCTCAACGATCAGCTCCCTAAACTCGTCCCTGGAGTCGTACAACTCTACAAGAAACAATCTGAGCACTATTACATTACCCAAGTAACACCTACCCCCCTCCTCCCAGCTTTATATCAAGTTTATTGCTCTCTTTAGTGTCTCTGTATGATAATGGAGGCCAGTTGTAAGAAGGAGTGTGCTAATTTTACTGTCCTCCTTGATAATCTACTCAATCTCTTGCATCAACAGGTTCTTTATCATGTGACCTATATATGTGTGTACAATATATGTGTGTGTGTTTTTAGTGGTAGATCCTAGAGTGATAATAAGAGCTAGACTATTGTTATTGATATTCTGTGGTATTTCTTACCATAGGCTTGTGCTCCTGTTGATTTTTCTAGTTCAATGGCAGTCAAAAATCATAACGAAGTACTGAGGTGCTTTACTGTAGCATGTAAGCTAATTTTGATGATGATGATGATTGTGATGATGATTGATGGTTGATTGATTCTCGCAGGTAAATTTCATCCCCAGAGAGTTGTCAGTTATTTATTGACGAAACTCGAAACTAATCAGGACAAGATAAAAGGCGGAACTCAAGAAGTATTTAAGCATCTAATGAACTCTTGTGGTATGTCCTCTCTCTCTCTCTCTCTCATTATAAGTCTTCATTTTATGTCAACCATTAGATAAAGAGCTTGATGATAAGAAGCCTCTTATTGTTTCTGGTATGAAAATACTCCTTAATGAGCAAAGTCTAAAGGTATTATCCATGAGAGAGAGAGAGAGAGAGAGAGTACAGTCATTTACTGTATGTATTTATATATATAGATAAGGTCAACATTTGGTCAAGTGATCATCACAATGGCTCTCCATCATTACCTTGAATTGGAAGGAGGCTTCTCTATGATAGAGTTTATTGTGAAACAGTGTGCCATTAATCCTGATGACAAAGTCAGCTAGAGCATTAATAATACCTTCATGTGTACGTGTGTATGTGTTCTTGTATTTTTAGTTGTACGCCAAGCAGCCCCCTGGAGATAATGTATCCCCAAAGACCCTAAAGAGCATGAGTGCTAATGTGCTTCAGATCATTACAACGACCATGCCTCATATGCACCCTGTAAGCCTTTCCCCTCCTTCTCTCGTTCATTATTAAACTCCCTCTCCTCCTTCTGTCACTAAGGTCTTGTGGCCTAATCTCTTGGAGTTTATTGGACCTGTACAGTACATTGAAGCCACGCCCATCCTCTGCCGCTGCCTTGCAGCCATTGCAAGCAAGAAGAGAGAGAACCAGGATGATGATTACGATATTGATTTTGAAGACCTAGGTATCATTAACTCCAGGCTGATATTCGTTTATTGTATATTATCGTTTGATTAGTTAACCTTCCCAAGCCAGCAAGGATAGTCTCATCTCTAATAGTGCTATTGGGTAAACCCAGTGTAGCTGATAGAGGAGAACACATATTGAACTGTCTCCAATCAATGGGGCCCATACTACAAGAGGAACTGGTGGACCTATGGGATGTTGTAATACCAAAACTACTTAATTATCTTAACGGTAAGTATATATATGTTATACAGTAATGGTGGAAACGTTAATATTCTCACTTATACATGTTTGTGCAATTATGTGCATGTACATGTCTGTAATACATTTTTATTGGTAGTAAAGCCCAACATCCACTATGGCAACTTTGTTGAAAGCAACTTTGTGGTTACTTTGATGTATGTCAACTTTGTTGCCAAAAGTAGAACAGTGTTCTACTTTTGGCAACAAAATTTCTGTTGATTTCAACAAAGTTGCCTAGTGGATGTTGGGCTTAAGGATTATGAGCTATTTTATTTTTTTAATTTTATATTTTATTTCTTAACTAACAGAGAATGCTGGTTGTGACACGTGGGATCAGAAGCACTGGGAGGACCTCATACTAAAGGTACAGTAATTAAAAATAAATAATTATAATTAAGTGTGTTTTATAGTTTCTGTCTAAATCACTGGATGAGTTAAGCAATGAAGACTGGTTGCTGGAGTTTGGTAACGCACTCGGAGACAAAGAGTACATACTGAGGACCTACGAACAGTTTCCTGAAGAAAAAGTATAAATGAAATCATCGCCGACTTTATTCCTCTTTTCTCCCCATCACGCAGGGTTTCCTGTACAAGTGCTTGGGTGTTGTTATGCGCAAGACGACTCACAAGCAGTTTGTTCATACCAATCTTGAAATGATGTTTGCTACGATAAGACACTCCAACCAGTCGGAGAGAGAAGTTAGTTAGTTACATGTACATGTACATGTATTCATGTGTTCCTGTGTACCTCATTCTCTTTACTTGTTCTTAGGGTTGCGCCATTAGCTCTGGGTTCGCTGCCTCCTCTCATCTTGATATTGTCGCAGAGAAACTCGAGAATGTCACCAAACAGGACATGGTGAAGAAGTCTAAAGGATTCTTTGGGTTTGGAAAGGTTAGAAATTGTTGTTATATTATTTTTATTTTTATTATTATTTGTTGTAGGATAAAACAGATGCTGATATAGAAAGGATCAAAGCTACAGTCCTTCTCTGCTACGGCTATGTTTGCTTTCATTCTCCACCAAAGTTAGCAGCAATAATTAAATAATTGTTATTATTATTATTATTATTATTATTATTATTATTAATTTATTAATTTATTTATTTAGTCTTATTACGTCACGTGTTGAGGTCAGCATTCTTCGTGTCATCAATCCTCATTTTTCGAAAGTGAAGGTATCACCGACTCTGAGAAACTTGACCTCATTAATATTCATTGGTACTATCCCTAGGATACCATTGTGAAGCAGAACTTGATACGTACAATTGATTTGATTGGCCGCTCGGTTCATCCTGACCATCTCAAGATACCGGATTTCATTTTTAATGGACGCTCTGACCTTATCAATCATTTACTGGTAATTATAATAAACTAATAATAATGATAATAATATAATATTTTTCTACATCTAAAATAATAATAATAATAATTTTAAAAATTAATAATAATAATAATAATAAATTTATAATAATGATATATGAGGATTAATTTTTCTCTCTCCTTTTTTAGAGCTACATTTCAGCTGAGCCTGGTACAATGCCTGTACTCACAGAAACTAAATCACTTGCCATAAGAGCACTCACCACTTTAGTGTATCCTCTTATTATTGAAAATAATGATATTATTTGTAGTATAGTAATGTGTTATTATTATTATTATTATTATTAATAAAAATATTATTATTAAAAGAAAAAACCCAGCAAAAAAACAAAATTATTATTATTATTATTATTACTATTATTATTATTATTATTATTATTATTATCATCATTACTAGTATTATTGTATTGTTTTTCTTAGCACTTTTATTCTTACAGTAAGTTGGAGCCTTATCTGACAGATGCCGATCAGTATGATATATTGAATGTATCGACTGATGCCATTTTGCCGTCTCCTCCTTTGTCACCTAATACTAAGAGAAAGGATATCACTATTGTGAGAATAATAATAATAATAATAATAATAATAATAATAATAATAATATTTTATTAATTATTTTTGTACTTTTTAGACTCCTGAAGAGAGCAATGAGCTTACTAATAAAGCTATAGAGGACTTAACTAAATTATTAATACAAATATCGAGCAGAAGATACGGGTCTGATAATTTGGAATCAATATTCAAAGTATGAGTTTTAGGATGAAAACCCATAAAACTGTAGTTTTGTGATGAAAAGCCAATCTTCAGGCAGCCATAGCTACATTAGAATCAATTCAAGCGTTCTACATATGGCATAAGAGTATCAATATGTATCATACATGATGACAATAAAGAATTCTATCTTAGTGAAATAGTGAAAGATACCCTGTACTATGGTACAAGCTAGAACTTAATTTGGCTCAATTTTTATGCAAATTAAAAAAATCATTAAAAATCTAATTTTGATCGGAATCAACTCAAACTTGCTACACAACATAAGAACATGTATATACATCAGAAAAAATTATAAAAAGGAATTTTTCTTTACTTTTCATTTTTGGCAAAATTTGGCCCGAGACACTGTACTATAGTACAGGGACTTTGACCTGGTTTTTGAGTAACTTTAAAAATTCATTAAAAATCCAATTTTGATTGGAATCAACTCAAACTTGCTACACAACATAAGAACATGTATATGCATCAGAAAAAATCATAAAAAGGAATTTTTCTCTACTTTTCATTTTTGGTGAAATTTGGCCCAAGACACTGTACTATAGTACAGGGACTTTGACCCTGTTTTTGAGTAACTTTAAAAATTCATTAAAAATTCAATTTTGATTGGAATCAACTCAAACTTGCTACACAACATAAGAACATGTATATGCATCAGAATGAATTATAAAAAGGAATTTTTCTCTACTTTTCATTTTTGGCGAAATTTGGCCAAAATCACTGTACCATATGTGCATGTAGTACATGATAATTGGCCAAATGTAGTAAAATTGATCAGAAACTTGAATAAATTTTTTTTGAAGATAAATTAGTATGGTAGCTGTTATAATATTATTTTGTTTTGTTAGCATTTGGATCCCTGGAGCAGATCCAGTGACAGCACAGAGAGACTCCGTGCAATGAACTGTATTGTAAGACTGTTAGAGGATTATGAAACCAACACTAGAGAAAAAGAAGTAAGATATACGAAAAGAAAGAGAGAGAGAGAGAGAGAGAGTATGCACATGTACATAGTATACATGTACATGTAATTGTAAAATGAAATGAAAGAGTAAAGTGATCTTTTCTTTTAAAAAAATACTGTCATGTCATTTCACAAATTTGCATACCTATACCCAGGAAGCAAGATCCCTACCTCTTCAAGTTCACATCATCGGCAGACTGGTACCAAGGTGTCTTGATCCTGAACTAGCAATACGTCAATTGGCCATTACTGCCATACAGACGACACTCAAAATAAGCTCCTGCATTCCAGGTACTAGCATTATTGATATTAGCATTAGCATGGATACATGTATTATGGGCATAAATATTAATATAAAAATACTGCTATTTTTATATTTATTTATGAATACTGTTATTCTGTTATTTTTGTATCATAATAATGATAGTAAGAATGGAATAAAAGCGTTAAGATTGCGTTGATGAAAGCTGCGTTAACATATATTAAGAGCGTGTGAACGTGTGTGTGTGTGATTATAAGCTTTGATGATTTGATTAAAAATACAATTAAAAACACTACTGACCCTTTCTTCCCTATTCAAGGGAAAGATGGTTTGTAATTGAACACAAATTGATTGTACCACTGACTTGTAATGGCATCCTTTGTAGGATCCCTGATAAAGGATCGTGGTCTAAATGATATTAATAATTTTAATAATAAAAGTAATTATCTTTCTTGTCCTCTTACAATGCTGTGAAAAATAGCCTCTGGCCCCATTATACACATTATTATTATTATTATATTTTTATAATTTCAGGTGAAGAGGACCAGTTGGTAAATGCTCTTTCTTTACTGAAGGAAAGAGCCGAGAATGATGAAGCAAGCAGTTTGTTCTCGCTTTGCACTGACCTCTCTAAAGTAAAGCTAATCTCTCCCTCCTTACTACACATTATCAATACCCATCCATCCATTATTGTAGGTATTGTGTAAGAAACTCCACACTGAGTTCCTATGGCCAACGATGCAAGTACTGCTGGAGGGTCTTGTTGATTATCAGGGTCACAGCTCCAGTGGGGCCTGTGTTGTTCTTAACAACTTTGTCAAACAGAGAGGATCATCACTAGCTGAACAGGTATACTTTATAAGGAGGAGAGACAGAGAGAGAGAGAGGGTGGGGGGAGAGAGAGTGAGCCTTGTAACTATTATGACTTTAATGTACATGTATATGCACATATCTAGTATGGATAATATGTACTCAATCCTTCTCTCTCTTGTAGGTTCCTGATTTGATTGATGGTCTTCATCAGCAGCTGCCTCATGTGACTAATCCTCAGACAAGGACAGGGACACTCCGTTGCATGAGGACACTGTGTCATCAATACCTCCAACCAGTCGTCACTCACCTGTTGAATAAACCGCTGCCATGGGACGTGTAAGGAAGAAGGGAGGGGGAGGAGAAGCACTTTGTATCATATCACAGATACATGTACTTTATGCCTATTATAAATGATTATATTTTATAATAGTTATGCTATAAGTGTTGTAGTTTTTATATCAGTACTACAAACTTTAGTCATGTACATTTATAACAAATATTGTTGTTATTATTGTTGTTGTTGTTGTTGTTGTTTAGTGAGCTTGTTTCTCTCTGGCAAGTATTGACAGGTGACACTCAGCTGATGACTAATGTCATTAAACATTTGCTTGAGGTACTGGTCCTTACTTTGCCGTATCAAGAGAGATCCCGTACTTCAGCGACCAGCGGAGTAGCCAGTTATCAGAGAACAGAGACACCAATACCTAAAGCTGTGAGTGATTGCTTTTGTATTTTATTATTATTATTATTATTATTAATTTTTTAGGCTACACAGGCATTAGCTATACTGTTTGAAGGTGAGGAGTGTCGGGATGTCTCGAAGGAATTATTTTCAAAGATATTCTCCATTTTATTGCTACGCGTTGGAGTCAGTGCCTGCATCGAGGGAGACAAGAAGAACCCAACAGATCCTTCAGTGTAAGGAATACAGTGGATTACATGTGTCTGATGTGTTAGCATATAAAAATGTATAAAGTTTTTAATATGAGGTAACATAAAAGATTTCTATCAGAAATGTGAAGCGTTTGGGGTGATTTATTTTAGAGATTCAGTATTTTTCAAGAGTTTTTTCAACACTATTAGTTTATTTGTGATACTTATTCTTACAGTATAGCCATATTGGCAATGAGGAAGTTGCTGGAGCACACAGAAAGTGAAGTAATGATAACATTCCTGGACCAGCAGAGCGCTTGGTCTCTCTTAGAGAAGGAGGACACTTACCCTCACGGCTGTCTACACTTGGCAAGGTATAATGAAATTTAGAAGTTAGACCAATTTTTTGAAATCATGTACTACATGCAAGTTTCCATTGTGGAGATAAAAATCAGGTCTATCTCTACATTGTATGCTAACCACAAGTTACATATAACAGCTGCAGTTAAATGTATAATAGGAAGATATTTATTGATCACATTGCCACCTGGGCCCAATGGCTCAGGTGGTAAGATTGTGCTCTAAGAAGCACAACGGGCAGCGGTTCGAGCCCACCTCTTTCCTTAGTCTTTTAATTTGAACCTCTAGTTCTATTCTTCCTTTGTCTCTCTTTTAATCATTCATTTGAGTGGGCGTATGACCTGCAACTTTCTAATAATGATAAAAAACATTTTAAAAAGTATTCCCTTTTTGTTACATTTTATGATGAATACATAATTTGTTTTTTAACTCTTTGTTTGTATATAAAAGTCACTTTTCTTCCTAGAGCATTGTCGTCACAGTATCCTGAGCTTATATTGCCAATTGTTGAGGATTTGAGTTCTTCTCTCAGCAGCATTTATGATCCTCAAAGAATCACTGTTGTTGCATTTTACTCTGAGGTAAACCCACTATTGATGATACATATATGCATGTACATGCATTTCATTTTTTTTGTTGTCTCTTTTTTCTCTAGTTGATCTCAACACTCAATGCTGAGACAATGTCACTGGCTGAGACTATTATGAATAATTTATTAGGAAGACAAGTTGATGCTAACTACAATGTGAGGATGTACTGCATCAGGGGACTGGGCAACATGGCCGACATTAAAGGAACTGAAGTGAGAGGGAGGGAGAGAGGGAGGGAGAGGGGGAGGAAGCCAGAAAGTGTTGTCGATAATTGGTCTAAAGCACCCATAATAGGTGTGCTATGTTTATAGTACACACATAAACTCATCCTCTTTCATATGATATCCAATGGAATGTAAACATAATAATTTAATTGAAACCACATTAAATATAATCACACACGCTCCTGCCTGCGGCTGTGGGCATCATTAAATTGTAATTTAATATTTAAAAAATTATTTAAGTTACTTATTCTGTACTGCATGTATCATAGTACATATTTATATGAGTATGTATTGTTATGATGGATTAGGTATCAAAGTTTTCAACGACAGTATTGAGTGCAATGTTAGCCGGTATGGACGACAGGGAGGACCCATCAGAGCTCATTACGATGGAGGCAATGAACGGTCTCTCTCGTATATTTGACAGGATTGACGAGGGACACGTTCGTCCTATTCTAATAAACATCGCACTAAGGATCAGGCCTTGCTTTGAAAAGGTAGCGGATATATTATGACAAAGTGTCCGTTTTATTTAAATTGTTATTTCTAGCCGACTGCTTCTGTCCGAGCAGCTGCTATTAATCTGTTTGGTACTCTTTCAAGGTTTGGTAATGGGCCCTCGGAGGGTCCCTTCCATGAACAGATACAAACTAATTTTGTTAGTTTGTTACTTCATCTAAACGAAGGAGACCCAACAGTTGTAATGGTAAGAGCCGATTGTATAGAATCCTGAAGTGTATTTTTGTATTTTGATAATGTTAATAATTTATTTTGGCGTTGGTTTTCTTTGTTGTCCAAGACTCAATGCTTCCTGGTCCTTTCATGTCGGATTGTTTTGACTTTTTGTTAATACTTAATCTGTTTTTAGGGCCACACCTGTTACCCATTGTATTTTATGTGTATACGTGTGTGTGTGTGACTGTGTGTTTGAGGAAGTCCCAATCGTGTTATGATCAACTTGTCTTCCTCTTTCTCACTTTGTGTGTTTGTCAAAGCTAATGCACACACTCTCATTCATTGTGTGACCGCTAGTGTCACGTACATTGTACTTATTGAATTTTTAAAACTAATGCCCTTTTTATTAAATTTTTTCTTTTCTTTTTTATTCTCTCTCTCTCTTATCTCCCCTCCCTCTCTCTCTCTGTAGGCCACTAAATCATCATTACAAAAGCTTGGCCCATTAATAAAGTCAGAAAAGATCAACAACATGTTCCAGAAGCATCTTAATCCGGAGGATTCCATATTGTATGCTGATTTCTTGAATGATCTCTGCAAACTGATAGTGAGTGTACTGTGAGGTGGTTATCTGTAAAAATTTGAATGATTGCCCCTTTAAAATTAGAACAGTAATCCCTTTTAGAATTAGAAATTTATTTTTAAAAAGCAGAAACAATATTCTTCTTCTCATTTTAGGTTGTCGATTTCACTGAAAAGGTCAATTTCTACATAATGGCCTCTGTCCAGTTCTTCAAGTCGATGTGGCCTGAAGTACGTGGGAATGCTGCATTGTTTGTAGGTATGTGTGTGTATAGGTAACAGAATAGAGTTCCCACCATCTTGTATTTGAATTGTGCAGGGTATATGATGGGGAATTTACCAAAGGAAAAGATTGGTATTGTGTCTAAGGAGCACGTTTGTGAAGGTTGGTCTCAATAAGGCTGTTATGATTGAGCTACTAATATTGTAATCCTTTTAGTGGAGTCATAATTGTAGCATTGTGGATAATGTTATATATGTATGTATATATGTATGTATTAATATGTTGTACTGTATTTGTGTTGAGTGAGATAGAGTCATTTGTGGTGCCTACTATAGCCTTAATGGCTATACATCATTGATGATTTAATCTGAGTATTTTTGTTTGCTCTCAAACCTGGTGCCAAAGCAATCAAACCACACACGTGTCCTAATTATAATAATGCAATTTTAGTATTTTATAAATATATTAATTTCTTTCCCTCTAGCTCTGATACACATGTTAAAGGATAACTCTCCATTGGTGAGGGCCAGCACTGCTGAAGCTCTCAGCCTATTGTGTGACTACTAAAACTGTCCTATATAATAATATTGGTGTGTTGCTGTTTACAGGTCTAGCCTCCTTTGTTTAGCTGATTTTTATAAATTTATTTACTTATTTTTTCCTTTATGATATCAAATTGTAATTTAAAAATAAAATTGTTATTATTAATGAATAATATTATTAATTAATATCTGTGACCGCACCTACTTAAAGATGGACGCCATCTATCATGAGAGGGTATGTGTTGTACATGTCCAGTGTCCCTTTTTGAATTTTTCTTGTTTTCTTTTATAAGCAACAAGGGCAGTTGTGTGCACAACATTGTCTTAACAACCTCTTGCAAGGTAATTCCCTTTCAATTAGTATAAACAGAATTTAGTAAGAGTTTTAGAGAGACTGGAGTGTGTTCTTGTCTCAACTAATACTAGCCACAACAATAGGGCCCCACTGAATCCCAGGGCGACCCACAATACCCTTTTACAAATAACTGAGTATAAAAGAAAAGGAAGTTATATCCAAAACTTACTCTTGTTTTTCGGAATCATCTTACCATTTTTTGAATGGGTTAAGCAGTTAACTTTACCCTGCTTTAAATCCAATTATTTTGAAATAATAATGAACATATTATGCAATAGTAATACTACTACATGTATGTGTACAACTTAGTCCAGAGGGAATATTTACATTTCCAATTTGTGCAAAACATCAAAGATGTCTTTTTGGCAATGATATCTTATCAACATGTCTCCTCTTGAGCGACCTCTGTATCAATGTTTGTTACAAGTAGGCATCGATTGTTTTTATATGTAGATAACTTAATAACGCATGTGCCTCTATTTCTTTTGTCCTTTCTCCCCCCCCCTCTCTCTCTCTCTCAACCTCCTTTGCTAATTCTTTCTTATTAAATGCACACAGTTAGCTGTAGATGCCTATTACATGTATACATGTATCTCTTACTCTAGCTCGTACTTGTACATGTACATTTGTACATGTACTTGTACATTTGTAATTATCAAGCAGTAAACTGATACCTCTTAATGACTAGCCAGCCTGAAAGCCTATATCATTGAAACGTGTCTCCAGCTATCCTTTACCCAATAATTATAAAAAGATGAAAGAGCATCTTCTTTGTACGAAAATGGCTTCTCTTTTCATTTTTAGCCAAACAGTATTATACTCAGCTTACACCCATTGTGCCTTGGGCAACTTTAGTAATCATTAGTCTTACCACCTTTTTCTTTGTCTCACTCATTCTTATCAGGCTATACAGCCTACTGCTGTCTGCTGGTATGATGTACATGTACATGTATTTGTTTAATAAATAATTATTTTTAGGAACAATCTAATTATATTTATTTATTTATTATTTATTTATTTATTTATTTATTTATACATTTAGGTCCTTATTTCAATCCTGTTGGTCTCTCAGAGATTGCTCATAGACTGGATGAGAAGGAGAAGTCTCACTTGACAGATCGTGAGGACATATCACTAGTAGAAATGACAAAAATACTTGAAGTAATATATACATGTACATGTATCTCTCCTCTTTCTCTTTCCTTTTTTGTCCCCCCCCCTCTCTCTCTCCCTTTCTTCATTTCCCACTCATGCAAAGCCATTGCCCACAATTCAATTAGCACAACTTAAGAATTCTTGGAACAAAGCATACAATATCATACATGGTCTTCTGTACTTAAAACTTCAAAACATTCTATGATTAATTGCTGGCAGTCACCATTCGCATTACCAGTACTATTGTTATAGCATATTAATTATGCGTATAATAATAATACATATACATGTCTAATTTATTGGATATAATCAACCCTGCCATCATGCTACATGTACATGTATAATGGTTTGTACATTGTACACCTAAGTACAAGTTGACCAATGATCAGCTCCAGTATTGATAAATGAGGAAGCTAATTCTCTTTGATGTGGTGAAACCACTAATACCTAATTGGACCCGTACATGTACTGTACATGTACACTGCGTATAAAATAATATTTTTGTGCATCATAAAATTAACTTGTACAGCATTGCTGGCCCTTGTACTGTTAATGTACATGTACTACTAGTAGTATCTAACAAGCAGCTCCAGGATATGATCCAACTCTCTTCCTCTCTCTTCCTAGCAACCCTCCTCTAATATGGATGACAGTGGATTCTTCTCAGTACAGGTAGTGAAACTGTTATGGTGTCATTGTTATTATTCTTGTCGTCGTTAGGTCATCAGCGAAGCACTCAAAGTGTGGGACCTGGAACTCCATCCTCTTTTGTCGGCAAGAATGTCACATGCTGCGGAGAATCCTGTGTAAGGGACAGTCACGCGATGTACATGTACATGTACATTGTGTACATTATATTATACATTGTTCATTGTGTCGCTGATATTGGCCCGTATTGTCCTACATGTACATGTGTAAAAGAGATGCTAAAAAATGTAATTTTTTTAAAGTCCAATGTTCATGACTAAAAATGAGTCATATATTATTACAGTGTTAGTCAGATCAGTCAGACTTAATATTTGTGGCTGTTATATTTCATCATGTTTAGTAATGGCTACTGTCAGTAGCATACTTGACATGTTTGGCTTCTCTTTGATCAATTCACTGCTTTAATATGTTAGCTTCAGATTTTAGACCAAAAGTCTCTGCAGCTGTAAATCTCTGAGTGTCAGACTAATTACTGATGTAGCGATCCCTTTAAGTCTACCTATCAACACTTTCTTATAATAACTCTTTGTAGTCTACTGGTGAATTGGGACAATATATTATAACCACTGAATTGGGACAATATATAATAAACCACTTTCAGCTAGATATTGCCCACCTCCCGCCTGTTATCACTTTGTCACTAAAAGTCTTCTTTCTGTCCTTTCAAGTTATAATTTATTTCAATTATCTTAGTGTCTTATTTTAGGAATTATTTTAGAATTTTGCATGGGCCACTGAGTAAAATTCATTATGATATGTCACGCACGCGTGTGCGTGTGTGTGTGTGTAAGTGTATCTGATTAGCTTTGTCTACATGTTATAGAGATCAAAATGCTTTCATCTGCAATCATGAATTACATTGGTTTGCTGTGAGGAAGCTTGGCCGACAAGTGAGTTAGAGAGAGAGAGATAAAGAGCGGGAGAGATAAGAAGGGAAAGTATATAAACACATTTTACTTTAATCTTATATTGCCCTCTTTGCTAGTGGTTTGATCTTGATTCACTAAAGAAGTCCCCTTTACACATAACAGACACATATCTTAGCCTTTTCCTAGCACAACTTAGAGCTGAAGGTAAAGCAAACCAATAATTGAATTGTTTTATTATTAATGAATAAGTTTGTTTGTTTGCTTGTATTATGATATGTACAATACTTGGTAGTGATGTTATTTAATCTTGATAAAACAAGCCATTCCATTTCTAAAGGTTATTCCATATTTGTTGTCACTGGTATCCTGCCCACCTCTGAAGCTGATCAACTATTATCTCTTATCCCGTATGAACCTCCTCCCCCTCCTCATTCCTCTGAAGGAAAGGCGGCAAGAGTCTCTAAAAGTCCACAGGATTTTGATTCCATCGAAGATGAAGATCTTGCAGAAGCAATAGCACTTAGTCTAGTGGGTAAGTATTTTTATAAATAGTGATTTTCATGTGTGTGTGTGTGTGTGGGGTGTCATATGTGTTAATATGACTGCTGTACATTTGTGTAGTACTGTAGCTAAATTTATGAGTAATTAGTCTTGTCCCTTTTCTTTCTCATGTGGTCTAGATAATGTTTAAAGTGTAATCCATCCATTACCAATCTCCTCTTCCCCCCTCTCTCTATTGATATCTTTCACTATGTACTCTCCCTTTCTCTTACTGAGAAATGGATTTAGCTACAGTACATGCTCACGTACATGTAGATTGTACATTTATAATTATTATTATTGTTGTTTTATTTTAGAGAGCAGATTTCCTGATGATAAGTCGAAATAGAATATTAGTATTGTTTCATTGATTTATTGTTTTGTCATTTGCTATTGTAATAATGTCTCTCTTGTTTTTGTTTGTTTGTTTGTTGATTTTAAACACAAAATATGATTTTATTATTATTATTTTCAATAATAATGAAGTGGTACGAGAATTTCAATTATGACGTCATATGACGAAACTTTGCTAATAAAAATTCGAAGAAAATCGCAGAAGACAGCAAAAATATTTTGAGTCCTTGACATTGATTTCTCTCTCGCTCGCTTTTATGAAGAAGAGCTGGTTCACTGAGCACAGTTACCAATGGGAAACAGAATAGGAAAGAACAAAGTTCCTCTGAGAAGGACAAGAGATATCAAATCTTGTAGAGGTGCGGTAGAGCTTGCTTGCCCCTCTTACCTTTCTCTCACCACCGTTTTCATTCCCCTATCTCCTCTTTCTCTACATTCTACAGGTTCATCTTTATCCAACAGCAAAGAGTCCATATTAACTGCTACGACTATAAACAGTAGGTGTCTTCTCTTAAGAGACGAGGCTGATGAGCATGAGTTTCTTGAGGAAGAATGCAGCAGCAGTGAGCAGCTGGCCAGTTCTCATCATCATCATGGCGTCTCTGCTTCTCCTCCTTATAGCAGTGACGAGGGAACCATCATCGTTAATAATGGCTCTGATCCAGAGCACAGCTACTCTGATCAGGATTTACCAGTAAGAGCAGTAAAATTACTTTATTATTATTATTATTATTATTATTATTATTATTTTTATAATAATAATTATTATAATTTTTGAGCTGAGCTTAAGCTATTGTACCGTATACAAAGCTATCGGTGACATTGTTAAGCGAACGCCGAATTCCACCGACTGCTGTTTACAATTATGTTTGATTACAATTCAGCTGCATCGTTGCGCTTTTGTTAAAATAATGTTTAAATTTTACAAGCAGTACAACGGGTGATGATACACCGAGAAATGATTGGTACAGAAAAAAAGAATGAGCCTGCTCTTTTAATAAGTGTTATCACACACGGTAATTAATCATGTATTACTATTAATGATTATTTTGCAATTACATGTGCATGTGCGTGTATGTGTATGCTCTCCTCATCTTTCTTTACATCAAACCAGTCAGTACCCATTCTTCCATTGGCTCCGAGTCTAACAGTGACCATCCTGTTTTGTAACTCGTACTAAGTCACTGACTTCCGGTATTATATGGATGACACAGGAGCTGGTTTTGACATTGCTCTCATTCAAGCTACTATTTATTCCCCTGGCCTGATCCTTTTGATCATTCTCTCTTGACACATGATAGTTCCTGTATTAGTGTAATATTCATGTACTACTATACGCGTCACCATCTGCTTTTGATCAGTAGCTGTCACATATTAGTTAACAGACTTGTCTCTTTCTAATGTTTCGGGTATAATATCACGATTGGACTGTAACATGATAATCAGGCTATATTGACTATATGGGGCTTACTGAGGAGGATAGTCTATACTTTGAAGTCCCTTTGATCTCTAGCTGTGTTTATATGCACTAGCCACTGTATTATAGCCACTGTATTATACATGTGCATGTATGTGTACACCTACGTGTACTATTGGGCATACAGTATTGTAATCCACTTGTTCATTCAATGGAGTCTTGTCTGTGAGACTGTGTGTCTTCAGTACGTGTGTGTGTGTGTTTGTGTGTGTGTGATGTCTTGATCTGTCTTTCGTGGCGTGAGATTTTACCCAAAATATTTTCAAATACAAAGTTAATTTGCGGTGATGTTTTTGTGCAGGAATGCACATTTAAATGGGTTTTATGGTCATCACTAAAGCTTCTCCTTCCTCTTAATCCAGCCCCTCAGATCCTTTCATAATGTTACATGATCATGTCTCACGACTTTATCTCTTTCTTTCTTGTACCTATAGACCGGAGATCTGGTCAGGTCTGATGATCGTCAGCGTCAGCAAGCATTTGAAGAGGAAATACTGCCTAACCTGGCCATGCCTGAGAGGATCCTTAAGAAACTAACAACTGAGGTCAGCACACACACACTCTATGCATCATTAACATCATCATTTGTGCACAGTATATAATAGCTAGTGGAGCTTTGAAGGCCTTTTGTGTATTTGTCCCTCCTTATTTATTATTATTTGTCAAAAATTCAACAGATAACGAACGGCAGCTGGATTAGAAGTACTATCAGAATGTTGTACAAGATCCTGAAGATAGTGTGAAATCAATTGATGTACCTTGAATGCTTGAATGCCCTTCAGTTCAAACTACATTGCCCATGTAGAAAGGCCTTTAGTCATCCTAAAATGTGATACTTTTCATTTGCACTAGAAAAGCTTTTGAATCATTTCTAAAGCGCCAGAGGTGATTAATTCTGGAGGCATGCCGTGCATGTTAAAGCTAATTGTCATTATTTGTCACCTCAGAAAAAATGTGCCAGAAAAAGATATTTCAAATAGTTGTACGTAAAAGTGTCAAATCACAACATACAGTACATATTATATCATGTCTGCTCTCCCCTCTCTCTCTCCTTCCCTCATCTCTCTCTCTCAGCTCTAGTGATAATTGTTTTACGCTATATGCATAGTATTTGGGAATTATGTCCTCCCTTTGTGTTTTTTGATGATTTACTATACAGAGTTGTACTGTTTTGAGTTTATAATAATGATAATAGCTTTGATGTCCACCGATGAATTGTAATACAAACAATCCATTCATTGTCTTTGATGAACAATCTGAAAGCATAACAATTAAGCCTCCACTTATTACACACACACACACACACACACCCACACCCACACACACACACACCAGCTTCAGGCAACTAAGAAAGCAAATACATGTGGTGGGTTGTGATGCTGCTCAAAAATTGGGCCAAATAACCTGTGCCAGTATAGAGGGTATTTTTCCAAAAATTACAAAGAGAGAATTCTTCATTTTTATAATTTTTTTCTGATACATGTACATCTTGTTTAGAAATATTGAGCTGATTCTGATTAAATTAGAATTTTTTTATGAATTTTTAAAGTTGCTCCAAATGCCATGTACTGTATTTGTCAGTGCTTAGCTCACTTAGCATTCTTTACTGATTAGAACATCATACTACTTGTTTACATTTTTATTGGTTTCACTCTAGGAATGGAATGAGTTGGTTCATGTGTTTTGTCTGTCACTGGAACAATCAGTCAAATCCACGCTCCCACAGCAACCACAACCATCATCAGCCACAAGTCCAGTAGCTGAGAAGAAGAGAAACTCCAGCAACATCACCACAAGCAGACACGGCTCTTCTCATAAATATACTTTAGACGAGACCAAGAAAAGATCAGCGACAGCAAATTATTGTCCCGTGGGGTCAAAGAAACAGAAAAGTCACCATCACCACGGTAGGAAGAGACGTCCTCTGTCTCTGCCCCCACCTGATAATCCTCCCCCAGGGGGACAGGAGAGAAGGAAGAGAAAGACAGGGACATTGGATACTGGCAACCAAGACGAGGGCATGCATCACGAGTCCCACCATCGCTCCCGATGTCACTCCAACAGTCACCACTGTCGTAGGAAGAACTGCAGTCACAATCGGGCCAAGTTCATCACGCTAGGACAGCTAAAGGATCTTGGACTGGCTCTCAATACAAAGGAGAATGATGGGAGCCAGTCAAGCGACCATCACAACTCTTTGCGGCGTAGTATCACTTCCCCCCATAACCTGGAGCAGTTGTGCTACCTCGGCCCCGAGAGGATAAACGGGAGGACTGACGATGAGCAGGACTCATCGGCTAGCAACATGGCAGTGGCTGATTACGATGTGTCCAGCACTCCTGTCCTTCCTGTTCCTCCTCCTCCTCCTGTACCTCTCACATTTAAAGTGAAGCACTTGCATAAACACAACCATTTTCATGTTGTGCATCACACGACTGATCTAATGCCTCCTGACCTCTCCTCTGGCAATAGAGAAAGGCACTATCATCAAAGCCTCGTGTTGGCACAAGGGACATCTCACTAACTCATTTCCTTCTCTTCCTCTCTCTCTCTCCGTTTCTATGTTCATATTTATTCACTTACATAATATTAACATGCACTGGATTGATGTACATAATACTATTTACACATAAAGTATTTGAATAAAGAATATTAAGCAAAAGAACCATGTCCATTCACATATGTTTGGAGAAGCAAAAAAATGCATTCCAGTTAATGCCCCACACACGTGCTTACACGTGTGTTGGAGGCCACTCCGCCCATTTTAAGTGCGCATGCACCAACTTCACGTTTCTTTCTGTGCCGTCCATTGAAGCTGCCAATATGGTGAGTGAAGATCCTTTGCCATCTACAAAGAAGCAAAGATGGTAACAGGGAGGAAGGTTTTAATCTTCTCTATTGTGTAGGCCCGTGGACCCAAGAAACACCTGAAGAGGCCTAATGCTCCCAAGCATTGGATGTTGGATAAATTCTCTGGCAGATATGTCAGTTTCTTTATGGCTGATAAACAATACTTTTAATTGCTATTTTAGGCTCCAAGACCATCACCTGGTCCTCATAAGCTCCGTGAGTGCATCCCTTTAATGGTGTTCTTAAGGAACAGGCTCAAATATGCACTGACTGGTGATGAGGTAAAGAAAATTGTTAAACAACGTCTTATCAAGGTTGATGGTAAAGTACGTACTGATACAACCTTCCCTGCTGGGCTAATGGGTGAGTTTATATTAATTAATATTATGGTGGGTTTTGTAATGAGCTATAATATCCTGCCTGTTATAGTCTTTCCTTTTGTTATGATTACTAGATGTTGTTACCATTGAGAAGACCAGTGAACAGTTTAGATTGCTTTATGATGTTAAAGGACGATTCTGTGTTCATCGTATTACACCTGAAGAAGCAAAGGTATGCTCTGCTCCCATAACGCCATTATTGCACCTGTGTATGCGTAACCAAGAGTAAATAATACCCTTCATTATTTACTCTTGATGTATCTGTGTATGTATGTATGTATGTATGTACATGTATGCTATGATGACTGGAATAATCCCAGCTCGCTTTGAGCTCTGGCTAAGAGTGTTGAAGAGAGACAGTTCCTTCCATTCTGAGCACCACATGTATTGTTACATACACATGATTGACAAGGACCTTTTTTTAATTTGTTGTTTTTGTTTCATGTGAATGTTGTGCCTAAACTCCCGTTCTGTGGTTAGGGTTGTAGAATTTCTCACGGTTAATTTAGATACATCAAAGCAGTGGGAGGTTAGGGTGTGTACTACTACAATAGCAGCGTAGCGTGATACTCTCCTTTAAAAATAAGTTATGTTGTAATGCTCGTGTTTATTTTCCTACTGGAAGTGCCTTTTTTGAACTTTTATTATTTATAATTGTAATAATATATTGTTTGTCTTGCATATAAATTTCTTAAGGGTTTTGCAAAGTGTTCCGCTATTAATTCCGAAGGGTTTAATTGGTCTCTCCATTGGGTTTTAATTGGGTATTTATTGCTTATTAATTGGAGTTTTAACGGTAGCAAATTGCTAATGATGATAATGAATTGGCGGCAATAAGAGTATCATAATCATAATAATAATTAGTAGTAGTAGTAATTGTAGTAAAAGAGAAGGAGAAGTGAAGTGTTAGAAATTATCTCTTTTTTTCTTATTAGTACAAGTTGGGTAAGGTCAAGAGAGCCCAGCTGGGTCCTAAGGGAATCCCTTACCTAGTCACACACGATGGTCGTACCATTCGTTATCCTGATCCACTAATCAAAGTCAACGATACTGTCCGTATTGACATTGCAACCGGAAAAATCACCGACTTTGTAAAGTTTGATGTCGGGAATCTTGTTATGGTCGTGGGTGGGCGTAACTTGGGACGTGTGGGCGTCATCACTAACAGGGAGAGGCATCACGGGTCCTTTGATATCATTCACATAAAGGATGCCAAAGGGAATACATTTGCTACTCGTCAGACTAATGTGTTTGTTATAGGAAAGAATAACAAGGCACTCATCTCTCTACCAAAAGCTAAGGGAATACGGTTGACTATTGCAGAGGAGAGGGACCGTCGCCTTCAAGCTAAAGGCATTTTATGAATACTCTCTCCCTCACTACTAACTGCAGTATTAATAATGAATAATATTATATTGGCATTAGTATTGAAGTGCTTGCATTTATGTATATTATGTTGGTGTGGCACTGGTGGTTTATTTGAGTTATTATTAATCGAATTTTGATATTAAATTGATTGATTCAGTATTTAAAAAGATCTGCTGCATTATAATACCCTTTGTGTAATTTGAGACAAAGCCTGCTTTGTAGGTTTGTGTCAGAATAAGAAATTGCAAATCTACCTTTGACTACGCCTAGTTTTATTTGGGCGGGGTTTATTTTCAATTATTTTGTCGGATCACGTGGTTGTCTCAAAATGGCTGCTCCTCCACCTGGTAGTAATCCTTATATTCAACCCCCTGGAGCTGTCCCTGGATTTCCATTGACTGGTGTGAGGCCTCCACTAATACCAGTCGGTCCTCCTCTAATGATGCCAAGTACAGCTCCTTCCTTCTTACAAAACTCACTTTTAACATTTTTTCTTTTTATCCAGTGGGGTCCATGCCTGCAGTCCCTGGATTACAGCCAGCCCCTGGAGGGGTAAGTCTTGACTGTTGATGCTTTTTATGATTTTGTGTGTCCCTACAGGTAGCAATAAGCTCAGGGCCTGAACTTGTCTCAAAACCTTATCAAAAAGTATAATAATATAAACAGATATATGTATGGACAGTATCATTTTTGCTGTTTCCTCTAGCCCATTTCTGTGAGTGAAATGAAAGTAGCCACAACAGTTTTTGTTGGTAATATCACTGACAAAGCAACCGATTCACTTGTGAGGCAGATACTCCTGGTAAGATATCAAACACATGTATGCATGTACATGTACTTTTTTCCCTCTTCTCTCTCAGCGTTGTGGCTACATTGTCGGTTGGAAGAGAGTACAAAACGCCTCAGGAAAATTGCAAGGTGTGATTCTTTAATATTATTATTATTATTATTATTATTATTATTATTATTATTATTATTATTATTATTATTATTATTATTATTATTATTATTATTATTATTATTATTATTATTATTATTATTATTGTTAATCATTTGTTTTATAAAGCCTTTGGTTTTTGTGAATATTCTGATCCCGAGTGCACCCTAAGAGCCCTAAGACTGTTGAATGGCTTTGAGTTAGGAGATAAGAAATTAGTGGTAAGTAAGGAGGATAATGGCTAGAAATATTGCCATATTATTTTTATTTACTATAATATATTGGTGTTTATTTTATCTATTGCAGATTAAAGTTGACAGTAATAATCGTAAGGAATTATTGAAGTATCTCATGAAAAAGAAAATGACCAAAAACAACGAAGAGTTTAATGATCAAATAGTAAGCCAATAAATAATAATAATAATAATAATAATAATAATGAATAATAATAATGAATTTTTTTTGTTTTTATTTTTTGTAGTTAGAGAGAGAAGTTGATAAAATTGTATTAAAAGGAGAAGCAGAGACACTCGAAGAAGACATTGACAAGGAAACCAAAGTAACTAATTAATAAATAATTATTACTGATAATGATAGTAATTATTACTGATAATGATAGTAATTATTACTGATAATGATAGTAATTATTACTGATAATGATAGTAATAATAATTTAATAATTACTATTATTGATGAAATATTTCATTGGTTATAGGAAGAAGATGGGAAAGTGATGTCAGCCATAAATGGTTTAATAAAAGAGAACATCAGCACTTTATTAGGAAGCAAGACATCAGACGATTGTAGGTCTACATGTACATGTACATGCATTATGAATTTTAATTTTTAGTTCGCCGTGAAAAGGACGTCCACGAGTCACTGGTTGCTATGGCAATACAATCTGGTCGTGTCGATGAAGATGTGAGTATTTTTTTCTTTTTGAATCCCATCTCTCTTTTTTATTTAGTCGACCCTGGATGATGTTGACATGGAGGACGGAATGAAGACTTTAGTCTCTGATGAAATTAAAAGATTCCGACAATCCTACCAGGTAAGCTTCACCTAGTATAACATCTCTCCCTCTCTCTCTCTCTCTCTCTCAGAATTACGAGGAGAAGCAAGCTGAAGCTCGTATGAAGCGACATCAAGCGAAACAAGATGAGAAAAAGAAGGAAGAAAAGTCAGGGAGGAAGCGTTCACGAAGCCGAAGTCCTGGCAAGAAATCCAGCAGACCGAAAAGTCCTAAGAAACCACGGTAGGATATACTGACCCTAGCTGTGACATTAATTAGAGTGTTATTACAGGAGCAGGTCCCAGGAGAGGAGAGACAGAGAGAAAGAGAGAGAATTGAGGAGGAAAGAAGAGAAAGAGCGATTAGCTAAGGAGGAAGAAGAATATGAACAGAAACTGATGGAGAGGAAGAGAGCGGAGAGAGAGAAAGCTTTCAAAGATGTAAGTGCATACTTATATTATTGTTGTTGTTGTTATTGTTATTATTATTATTTCCAGAGGCTAAGACAGTGGGAGCACAGAGAAAAAAGGCGTGCCCTTGACTATCAGTACGAGAGAGAGGAGGAGGAGACAAAACGACTCAAACTGGATAAGGAAAGGAAGAGAATGATTGAATTCTTTGAAGATTATGATGATGAGAAGCAAGACTATAGATACTATAAAGTAATAATAATAATAATAATAATAATAATTATGATGATAATTTAAATATAATTATTACAATAATAAATCATTATTTTTTATGCTTTAGGGAAGTGAATTTACTCGGCGTCACGATGACCGTGTATTAGAAATGGAAGAGGATGAGTATGACAGGAAGAAGGAGAGAGATGAGTTGGAGGCTCTTCGACTTGAAGTGATGGAGAGACAGATCAGGGAGAGAGAGGAAGAGCAAGAGAGAAAGAGACGCGAGGAGGAAGAAGAGAGATTTAAGAGGCAGCAGGAGGTGAATGTGAAAGAGGAGTCGTCAGCTGTGGATCATGATAATCTTCCAATCTCAAAGCAAGGCAATAAATCATATGCAGCAACGATACAGGTACAGTATTTCATCAGGAATCAATAACGAGAGAATTTTTCATTTACTTATTTTTTTGATTACATTTTTATGTAGCGTAGAAAGTTTTGAGCTAAATTGGTTTTTAATGAATTTTTAAAGTTGCCCAAAATTGGGCCAAAGTCCCTGTACTATAGTACAGGGATTTTGGCCAAATTTTGCCAAAAATGAAAAGTAAAGAATTCTTCATTTATATAATTTTTCCTGATACATATACATGTTTTTATGTTATGTATAAAGTTTAAACTGATTTCGATCAAAATTGGATTTTTTTATGAATTTTTAAAGTTGCTCCAAATCCAGGCCAAAGTCCCTGTACTATAGTACAGGGATTTGGCCAAATTTCGTCAAAAATAAAAAGTAGAGAATTCTTCATTTTTATGATTTTTCCTGATACATATACATGTTCTCATGTTGTGTATAAAGTTAAAACTGATTTCGATCAAAATTGGATTTTTTATGAATTTTTAAAGTTGCTCCAAATTCAGGCCAAAGTCCCTGTACTATAGTACAGGGATTTTGGCCAAATTTCGTCAAAAAAATAAAAAGTAAAGAATTCTTTATTTTTATGATTTTTCCTGATACATATACATGTTCTCATGTTGTGTAGAAAGTTTAAGCTGATTCCGATCAAAATTGGATTTTTTACGAATTTTTTAAGTTGCTCCAAATTCAGGCCAAAGTCCCTGTACTATAGTACAGGGATTTTGGCCAAATTTTGTCAAAAATAAAAATTAAAGAATTCTTCATTTTTATGATTTTTCCTGATACATATACATGTTCTCATGTTGTGTAGAAAGTTGAAACTGATTTCGATCAAAATTGGATTTTTTATGAATTTTTAAAGTTGCTCCAAATTCAGGCCAAAGTCCCTGTACTATAGTACAGGGATTTTGGCCAAATTTCGTCAAAAATAAAAATTAAAGAATTCTTCATTTTTATGATTTTTCCTGATACATATACATGTTCTCATGTTGTGTAGAAAGTTGAAACTGATTTCGATTAAATTTGAATTTTTAAAGAATATTTAAAGTTGCCTTTTGTTATTTTTGTTAGGTTCAGTTAGCTCCACCCACTGGTAGACCCAAGCCTGAGCTAAAATCAAATCCCAACGATCAGACGGACATCGACTCTCCTCCAGTTGAAGAAAAGAAAACAGAAGATGACGAAGAAGAAGATGAAGAGAAAAAGAGAGCCAAGTTAACATTTGGACTAAGCAAGAAACAGCCATCAACGGCGGCAGCCCGAGCATCACTAGAAGGAATATTTGGAGGAGAAGATGAAGGAGACGCCGTCAAACCGAAAAAGAAACTCTACTCTCTCATGTCTAGCTCTAACAGCGCTCACATAGCAGCTGCCATGGCCGTTGTACCTACCAACGGGAAAATGAGCAGTGAGAACAGAAAGAAACTGGTACAGTCTCTCGTCAATTCAATACCTTCGAGACGAGAAGAGCTTTTCAACTGGGACCTCAAATGGAACTATATTGATAAGGTATGTACTGTACATCTACACTGGGCTTTTGTAATGATAAAATATTTAATGTACCAACTTGTTTCGTTGAAGTGAAATTTGGCTGTACATTTTCACTTTTTTTGTCGCCATTATGATTTGAGTCTTGTTGACAAATTTTTGTTGGAATCAGCTCAAACTTTCTACACAGCATAAGTACATCAATATGTAACAGAAAACGTAATAAAAATTTGAGGTGATTTTGGAGCCATTTTTCAGAAAAACCATGGGCTATATAGCCTTGGGTATTTTTCAGAATTTTAGCGTTTTATTAAAATGGCCATAACTTTAAAAATTGACATTATTATCTATTGCAGACTCTAATGGAGAAGAGAGTGAGCCCTTGGATTAACAAGAAGATAGTCGAGTATATTGGGGAGCCTGAGCCAACCCTGACAGAATTCATATGCAACAAGGTACAGGGAAACTATCATTAATGTTTGGTTGAAGGTTTAATTGTGTCCTTTTAGTTGGCAGAACAGGTTCCTGCTGATGGAATACTCAATGATATAGCAATGGTGAGGGAGAGAGAGAGTGTGATTGCATGACTATTTAGAGAAGGTTGGAAGGAGTGCGATATAAGAAGGAAAGTCAAATATGTAATTATTTTTTAAAATACATGTATTGCACTGTTTTTATTTCTTTTGTTGTATGTGTGTCATTATTATAGGTACTTGATGATGAAGCTGAAGTGTTTGTGTTGAAACTATGGCGACTGCTGATTTACGAAACTGAAGCAAGACATCTTGGAATAGCTAAGAACTATTGAGATGTTGTACATGTAAATATTACACACAGTCTGCTTTTCTTCTCTCTTGTTTTTCAATCATTTTTTGTTCGATAATTATTATTAATTATTATTATTATTAATACACAGATGCAAAACAAACTTTTCTCGCTCTCCCCTCCTCCTCCTTTCTCTATTTCTATTTAATTTTAAATTATTAATTATGATACTGTGTAATTATAATTATAATGGTTGAGGTGTTCATATTTTAGGGGGTCCTGTCCATCTCTCTATTATACCTTGAGAGACCATTAACCTTCATCTTCACTGTCTTCTGGCTCTTCTTCCTCTTCTGCTGCTTTCTCTGCTTCCTCTTGCAATGCCTTGAGGGCTGCCTCTTCCTCTGCTGTGGGGTCTTTGGTTTCTGTTATGTCTGCGCCTTCATTGATCATGAAAGGAAGGCAGGATTGAGTGGGTTACAGGGTTAGAACATAATAATTCATAGTACATGTATGCTTGCATAGTAACACAGAAAGATGAATGTGAAAGTATGTACTCATTTTTTGAGGTAAGCTTGTTTGTTTGTGTGTGTGTAGATGTGGAGTAGTTACCAGTAGGGAATTCATCTTGTACTGCTGGTGGTAGTAAAGGATTGAAAGGGGTTGAGCTGTATTTGAGTCCCCATCCAATGTATATATTCTCAAAGTTGTTCCTATTATAACAAGTAAAAAATGAAATAATAATAATAACCATTAAAAAATATTATTTCTATTAGTCTATGTCTTACTTTCCTGATACGTAAGCATGAGCTCCAGGCCATAGATTAGAGCTAACAACAGCTACAGCATATTGTGGGATTATACTTGAAGACAGTCTTGCACTCCAAGCAGGCATTCCCTCCACACCTATATTATTGCAATTAATTATTATTATTTACAATATTAAATGTAGTCTTGTTTTTTTTTAATTACGTTCATCTTCCGCAACTGCTGTCAGTATTTGCGGGCCAGTTTCAGGCTCAAGCTCTTCCGGCTGCTCCTTGTCCTCGTCCTCTTCATCTTCCTCAAACTCGTCATCTGCTTTTGGTACCGGATTAAACCACTGACACCTTCCCTGCATGTTATATCATAATTAGCATTCTCAGTTCTTTTCCCCCCCCTCTCTCTCTCTCTCCTTACCTGGGGTAGTATGTACTGTATGTGGTGTGACCAGTTGTTCATGGATCCATCAGCATATTCAGATAATTTACCCATCTCAAACTCTGGATTAACCTCAATAGGCTTAGGAGCTGTTAACAATAATAATAATAATAATAAGGTATCATCATTCACATATAAATGTACAGTATATCTATGTATAATAATGCATAATTATAAATTATAATTCACATAATGTACAAGAGTATATAATACATGTAGATTAACTATTATTTTATAGGGATGTCCTACCGTCGTCCTCTCCTTCGTCTTCCTCCTCTTCGCACATGTAGTATCCAGCTGGACTGATTTGTGTAGTCGCTGATATGCGTCCAATCTGTGCCCTCAGTAGGTGCTCCTCTCGTCCAGGGAATGGTGGATACCCGACCACTGGTGACTCCAGGTTACCGGTGAACAGTTTACGGATGCATCTAGCGGCGACTATCTCTGCCGGCTTCACGTGAGGGAGTTTGACCCATTTGTCACCAGCTGCAATTGAGAATTGAAATAATATCAAAGAATACATAGTGTACTACTCACGTGTGTTGCATACAAAATAGACCTTCTTGTTAGTCCCCATTCTAGTTTCTTCTTTAGGTATGACCGGAGGCGGTTTCCATTGGCTCTCAGGGAGGACATCTTTCTCTTCCGAGTCCTCCTCGTTGTCCTTTCCTTCTCCGTCTCCATCTTGGTCCTCTTGTTTTGCTTCTTCTTCTTCTTCCTCCTCCTCCTCTTCCTCGTGTCCCTCTTGATATTCTCCCTCAGCTATAATGTACGATGCTTCTATGCCAAATATAATACCCCAGAACCTAACACTTGCTAGTGGCTGTTGGGTTGTGAGCTGCTTGAGCGCAAGGAAGATACGATAAGCCTGATCCTTCCCAATGCCAATCTGGAAGACAAAAAGACAGAGAAAGATTAAATAGATGCATCCATGTATGTATGTATTTAATATGTCACGCTCTCTTTTAATTTCTCTCTTCCTTACTCCTCCTTGCTCAAAGTTTGACATTACGTCCATGAGATTAGGAAAAGGGACATCCACTTCATCATCAAATTCTGCGTCTCCGTCTTCGCCTTGACTAGACTGCAATAGCGCAATACATTATTATTAATATAGAATAATGCTTCCTCTCTTATATTTTATACCATAAAGAGTGACTTTTGAATGGTGGCCACTTCAGCTCTGCTGCTAATACCCTGAGAGTCTTGAATCACATCAGGTCTTGGTGAGAGCTTCTCTCTCTTGACGCTCCTGGATATCTCTTCGAATTTGCCTAGAGTTACGGAAGATGTTATTTTTAAAAAATATTTCCCGAGGCTATTATCCTTCACACCTAGTGCATTATCAGGCCTCTCCTCCAATATCTTTCCAAGACATTCAGCCAAATGATCGTACCTACAAACTCAATAATAACTAGACCTCATTCCCGGTACGCTACTAACAGATTGGAGCTATCCCCGTCGCTTGTATTTAGGAAGAAAGCCTTGGCAGCATGCACCTGTTCCTCCAAATGAGCATTCTCCATTATTGTTATGCTTGTTGTGTGTGGTCACCATAACAACGAGCCCGCCCAATTCCGGTTACCGTGGCAATTAGCTAGCCCCGTCTCTTTCCACTGTCTCCTTGGAAACTACAGGCCACGCCCTCACAGTTTATTTAATTAATGAGGTGAATGGAGGTGCAGCCATTCAACATAGTTTACATAATTGGCATACCAACACCTGGGAGTAGGCATATCCAACAGTCATTCCTACTATAGATCTATAGAAAGAGAGATTGTAGAGTTAAGAGGCAGAGACTAAGCTCATTCTACTCATTCCTATTCCTCTGGCGGGCCAATCTCACTGGCTCTCATCCTTTTCCCTCTCTCTTGAGTCTTCTTTCATACTGGAGTGGAGTCATCACTATCTAAAAGTGGGAGGAAGAAGAAGACAGTATTAACTGCGAGCGTGTGAGTGAGTGAGAGAAGCAGAGCTCATACCCACTGGCTTTTCCAAGAGGCAGTCCCAACCCTCTCTCTTTCTTTCTCTCCATGCCATGCCCTCTTTCAACCGCTCTCGTCGCAAGAAGAAACCAGACGATAGTCAGACTGACGTTGCTGAAATGGCCACCTGTGGCCGCTACAGGAAAGTGGACTCTGGTAAGGAATAGGTAGAAAAGGGAAGGGACAAAGTGTCTACATGTACAGTACATGTTCCTGTACAATGTACAATGTATTACTGTATAATTTATACACATCACATACTGTTGATTGTAAATGATAATAATAGTATTATTATACTATGGGCATCTTTTTGTTTAATGTGACATTTTATTATGTTTTGCATTGAAAAGAGAGAGGGGGAGAGAGAGAGAGAGGGTGAGAGAGAGAGAGAGAGAGTGAGAGGGTGAAAACGTTGTTATGTATATTTATAAGTTTTGCGTAAAGCAAACAATCATTATTTGTTTATTTGATATTGTTTCTAAATTCATTAAGATTATCGTCCCATTGAGCAATAGCAATCCAATATCTCCCACATAACACACCTTGTCTCCTCTCTCTCTCTCTCTTGTAGATGCTGCTACCTCAAGATCTTTTGTACGGAGCATCACGACACAGCGAAAGTCAGATCAAGCCAAGAACATTCGCTCTCAGTCCGTTCCATCGCTAAACTCGACATCCGATGTCCTCCTTCCACCAGCCCAACCTGCCCCGCCTCCTTCTCACTCCCACCATCACCATTCTCACCACAGGCACCATCATCACCAGCAGCACCACCATCACCATGCACCTCAACAGCAACCACCCCCACAAGTCTCACCGACCCGCCAGCCCAGATCAAACAGCGTAAGAATGTCAAGCTCTATCAAAAAGTTCTCGATTAGACGTAGGATCGCTCGAATGTTTGGATCTCATTCGGATCTCAGTGGACGAGGTATCATGACCATACCTGATCAAGAGTCGCTCTCTGCCGGTATATATAGGCCGATAGGTGGGTCTAGGACCAGATCTATTGGTGGCTCTTCGGACTGCTCCAGCTCTAGTTTAGCTTCAGTTCCTCCTCAACAAAATTCCGAGTTTAGTCGGCAGAACTCGCTAAGAGAGTCTTCTCACAGTCGAGTGAGTCAGAGTAGTGTATTTTCTAGTCGTCAGCCATCTTGTGATTCGGCTGATGCCCTCAATTTTAGTGTCCACGGCCCATTAGTACCTACAGAATCTGGTCTCAGGCCTCGATCGATTGCTTGCATACAGCGCTCTGGGTCTTCAAGCTCCCTCAGGAACAGTTCTTCTCATCACAACGACCCGAGGTATTACTCCCTGGCTGCTCCTTCCTCTACTGGTAATAGAATTGAAGGACACGAGTCCTTTGTACACTCGATGGACGAGAGGATGCTTCACAGTGCCGTCAGAGGCACGCCTTATCAAAGATACCACCACCGACCCACGACTCAAGAAGAGCCTGAACACGAGGACCTCTCTTCTACGAGAAAGATAAAACCAAGTGACCCTGAGTATCGCAAAGTAGCGGAGAATCTTATGAGCTGTTCTCCCCAGCCTCCTCCAGATGATGGGCCCTCGAGACTGCTAGTGGAGCAGGAAGTACAGACTCGTAAAGGATCCTTTGATAGCGAGGAGCAACAGAAGAGAAGAGGAATGGGACACATCAAGCAGTCTGTTCTTGCTTCTTTTAGACTTAATAAGGACAATAGAAGACCAATGACACCAGGTTAGTTGGAGGATTATACATGCAGACATTGTGTCTATCTAATACATGTACTTGAGTGTACATGTACGAGTGTACATGTACATGTACATACGCTCTTTTTGATGTGCGTGTGGTTTTGAAGTCTAATTAGACTGTGCCTTATGATCAAACTGCTCATGCATTTGATTAAATATTGAGCTCATTATGATTAAAATATACATGTAGCAAGTTCATTACTGTTTTTATAAATGATGAAGTTCATCTTCAGAAAAATAATTGACATTCTGTTTCAGCTTTCTGGGCATGACTCTCTTTTATATAATGTAATTTTGTACTTAATTGCAGCATTTTTGTGGTGATTCATTCTTACTCAGCAGCTAATGGCTTTACCATGAAATACATGTACAGCTAAACCCACTAGAACCCACTCCTTCATTCACAGCCGCTGCCATTAGTACACTTATTGCGGACATAGTTAAGATACCTCCTAATAATGATCATCATGTAATTATTATTAATCATAATTATTCTTGATTGTGTACATGTACATGTACATGTGTTCATGTTTGAATGTATACTACTTGACAGCTGGATCCTATCAGAAGCATGTAACAAAATGGCTTCGTAGACATTGATACTCTAAAACGTGTATTATGCATGTATACATGTATGTATTTTGTATGCTTACTGTATTGTGAGTGCCATGTATGTGTAATCATATTCACAGTCTTAGTGGGGGGGATGCAGTTCCCATCTGGAGATATGCCACCAGACATTCATCACTTTTGTCTTCTCATGAAACTCTATATTCTGGAAACAATTTTGTGTGCACTTTGATTACCTTCAGTCTAAATTAAACATGTACATGCACACACACACACATACACACACACTTTTAAGGACAGACACATCATTATCATTATTATTCCTAATACAGAGATATAATTTTGTAATCAAAGGCTATGTGTAGTACATTCATACAGTCTGTACACTGACTGGTGTGTGTGGGCCAGCCTCCATGCAAAGCACACACACACACTTGCTCTGTCTGCATGCACAAAAGGTAGACACATTCATTTTATTAGGCATTATGAAAGTATTTTATGATCTTTTTAATAAGTACAGTAAACATGGCAGTTTTTGCCTTCATGATGCATAGCCTAATAAATCCCGCTTTATTCTTTAACTCTGTGTGTGTGTGTGTGTGTGTGTGTGTGTGTGTGTGTGTGTGTGTGTGTGTGTGTGTGTGTGTGTGTGTGTGTGTGTGTGTGTGGCGTTTTACTGTGCCTTCTGGGCAAGGCAAGGATTATATAAACAGCAATGACATTCCAGTTTAATGAGATATCATTGTTAAGATAAACAGTAGCTAATGGGCACCTGCTCCTACATGTACTTAAATACTGGAGCCAGCCAGCCGGTACTGACTGGAGAGAAAGAGAGAATCTCAGAGAGAGGGGAGATGAGGACATTGTCCCCATTGTTGTAGTTTGAAGGCTAGGCTTATTGTTCCATGAACAGGTATCAACAGTGTATTATGATTGCAGTAGAGCATTATAATTATATACACGCAAGGTATGTTTGAGTATGTCCAAGTGTGACCTGATATCTGCTCCTTATCTGAGTGTATTTATATTGAATTATGAAGCAGGCTTTTGTTGTAGTCACAGCAGTGTATGGTCTATAGTGAAGCACATTCCATGAAGCCATTGATTACCTTTGGCTAGATTACACTCTGATTATAACATAGACTATATACTCTAGCTGATATGCTGAGTGTTACAAGGACTCTCATATCCAGCAATAATCTTATAGTATAAACTACTCTCCCATTTCTTTCCTTCTCATTAGATGCTTCATTGAGTCAATTACCTCCAGAATGGGAAGTATCCCTAACTGCCAATGGCCTTAAGTACTACATCAAGTAAGCTCACACACACATGTTCATCTACACACACTCATCATACCTTCATGCCATATCTTCATGCTTGTACATGTACTCTCCTCCATTACCATACATACATACAAGCTTAGCATTTATTACATACCTGTCTAGCTAGTACCCCACAATAACAGGCTCTGCTCTCATGAATAGTTGACATAATTATTAGTGCCATTGATGATGCTATCAGCTTCTTTGAAAGGAGAATAGTCTCCTTTACAAAGGATGCCATAGCTCATAGATGGCTAGTAGCCACTTTACACAGGCTTCCATTCAGTCCATGCGTGTATTATATGAATGAGGAATGCGCATGCTAGTATTGATTAATGTGAAATATGGTTTTATTCATTGCTTCATTAACATTCCTTTATCCCAGTCATGAGACACAGACCACTCACTGGAATATGCCCAGCAATTTAAGCGATGGACCAGGAGATGATGAATCAGGTGAGAGAGAGGGAGGGGGGGGAGAGAAAATCACTGTAAAGATGTCATTATTACAAGAGAAGGAGAAAGAGAGAGAGAGTGTGTGGGTATTCATTTTATACGCCTGTGGTGTGAGCTTGTAATGACTAATGAAATCCTGTGAATGCAGTGATGTGTATCAAGAGACATTCCAATCATGAGAGAAAGGCTGTCTAGCATCACATACCACAATGACTATTGTGTGTCAGTCCATTATACAAAATACTACCAGACTTATGCCAATGTCTAGGAGTCCAGTCATTGTTAGTTCCAATAGTGTCACTATACAGTCTGCAGACTCTGCACTGGCCGTGATGGCTAGTCAGACAGACACTTAGTCTTCACAATATTCTCCTTATGCATATACAAAATGTACATTCTTTTTATGCCTCTCTTCCATTTTTTGAATCAAGAGAGAGAGAGAGAGAGAGCGCATTTTCTTGTCTTCTAATTAATAATTATGATGAATTAGTTCTCTTGAGTCTTGCCCTGTCTTGTTTAATACAGATTATGTTATAATGAATAATGGAGGGCAGTGCATACAGTACATGTATATATATATATATATATACATGTATATATTGCTGGAGTGCATCAGCCCAGTGTAATGGTACAAGGGTACACATAAATGATTAGCATTCCTTCAAGATTAATAAGGAGTTTGTGTACCAATTCATTGTAGCAATCTGTTAATGACTGACAATTGCATTCCTTTACTATCTATATTTTATTTCTCTCTCCCTCAGATTTACCTGATGGCTGGGAAGTAGTGAAATCAAAGCGATACGGAACTTACTATGTGAAGTGAGTACATTCCATTAGCCGATTATTATAGACTTTGTATACACATACGCCCATTCAAGTTGCTTGTACATGTACATGTACATGTACATGTAGTACACACTCTAATATATTGTAGGTGCATGCACTTTGTGTTGATGTGTGTTGGTAAGTGTGAGATGGAGTAGGCTGGTTTAACATTCCTTGGATTGCATTCCAGATATTTGAGGGAGGGATTATTCCTAGGGAAGTAGTCTATACAGTTGATAGAGTTACCACCACCTCCAACACTTTGTGCATTAAGTACTTCTTTCCTCTCCTTCTAACTCTCATTTTCCTTCTATTGGTGATAATTGGTCTTTCCCCTCCTACCATTTTTCTCTCTCTCTTTTCCTTCTTTCCTTCCTCTCCCACTCTCTCTCTCTCACTTTCTCTCTCTCTCTCACAGTCACAATAATTTCACTGCACAGTATCAGCATCCAGTTCATGCGAGTGCTCCTCCCCCGTATCACTATCACCTGTCAGTCCAGCAGGGAGAGGACGAAGAGAGGGACAGGAACAAGTTACACATTCCAGTTAGGTCTCACTCCCATCGGTAAGGAGGACATGTCCATGTATCCATCTCTCTCTCACCTCCTCTCTCTCTCTCTCTTTCATGTCGTATGTGTATTTAATCTTTTTCTCTTTGTCATTCTCTGCAGAAGTTCACAGGCTCATCGTATCATGGACCCCAATTCTTCTCTTCCCCGCCGCTCAAAGTCCTTTCGTGACGCTCTTTCGGAGAGCACCCAGTTAGACTCTATAGTTAGCTCTGATGAAGTTCTACACACGAGACAGTTATCAACCATGACTTATGTGCCACCTTCACCTTTTCAAATAGCAGGTGAGAGAGATAGGGTATAGTCTTCTCGAGAAATGATTCTTTTTTTATCTTTTTTATTATTATTCTTTTTATAATCCAGAGATTCCACTCTGGCTCAAAGATTATGTTGATGCTCCTTTTGGTAGTGAAGTGGACAAACAGCTTCAGGTAAGCCCTCAAATTTAGATACGTACATGTATTTATTTAGCTTTTAGTATTATTGATATTTGATTGTTTGGTATTATATTTATTATTATTATTATTACTATTTCTTCTTGTGCAGTGGTACAAGTATCAAGAAGAAGAATTGAGCGGATTGGACACCATGATTAAACGATTGCTCAAGAAAAGCTCAGAGCAGCTCGTAAAGAAATTCGAGTACCACAAAGTAGCTCTACAGAAAGAACTGGAGCAAAGACAGAGACTACACCAGAGCAGGTTAAGAGCTAACAATGAGAGACATCAACTGACAGAACTGCCTCACTCGTCTCCAGTGCCTTCCACTGCTCCAGTTCCTCACGTATACGCTAAGACACTCTCTATGCCTCCCCCTCCTCCTATTCAAACTCATTGCGGCTACATTGACCCTCGCTATCATCACATGCACAATGGGATGTACCCTACAAGAGGGCCCCACCCTTCTTATCCTCCCTCTCGGCACCCTCCTCCAATGCCTATTCATCCCACTGCTCCTGGAGTATCGTCTGCCTACCATCACTCCGCCACTTCTCCTTATTACCTACCGCACCATGTCTGTCCGCCTCCTTATCATTCTAATCAACCCGGCCCTTCTATTCTCCCCCCTCCCTCTCTCCCCCTCTCTCCTCCTCCTCCTCCTCTCTCCCGTGGTACCAGTACCACTGTTAGATCTAATGACGTGTACGACGGGTCTGAGGAAACTTTCGTTTAGAAATTTGTAAATTGTTTCTTGAGAATTTTAACCTTTTGTTAATTATTATTGTTATTAATGTTGCTTGTTGTTGTGGTTATTTTTTTGTGTTACTGCTTCTTTGAGTTTTTTGATGCCTCAATAATGTTAATATAAATCTCCACAATCCTCATCCATTATTATTATTATTATTATTAATTATCACTGTTAATTATTATTAATGTCATTATTGTGTAGTTGGCGATTATTTCAATTGATAATTTTTGAATTATTGTTTTTCACAATTATTATTACTAATATCATTAAAGCAAAGTAGAGTGTCAAGATCGAGTATATTTTCCATAAAATTGGCTGATAAAATTTCAATTTTTATTATTTCCTGCTATCAAAGTCTTGGCCAATTTTCAGACACCCACTCTTAGTTTATGCAACTTTAAAAATTCATAACAAATTCAATTTTGATCAGAATCAGTTCAAACTTTCTACACAACATAAGAACATGTATATGGCCTGATTTTTGAGTAACTTAAATAATTCATAAAAAATCCAATTTTGATCGGAATCAGCTCAAACTTTCTACGCAACTTAAGTACATGTATATGCATCAGAAAATATTATAAAAATGGAGAATTCTCTACTTTTCATTTTTCGCGAAATTTAGCCAAAATCCCTGTACTATAGTACAGGGACTTTGGCCCGATTTTTGAGTAACTTTAAAAATTCGTAAAAAATCCAATTTTGATCGGAATCAGCTCAAACTTTCTACGCAACTTAAGTACATGTATATGCATCAGAAAATATTATAAAAATGGAGAATTCTCTACTTTTCATTTTTCGCGAAATTTAGCCAAAATCCCTGTACTATAGTACAGGGACTTTGGCCCGATTTTTGAGTAACTTTAAAAATTCGTAAAAAATCCAATTTTGATCGGAATCAGCTCAAACTTTCTACGCAACTTAAGTACATGTATATGCATCAGAAAATATTATTAAAATGGAGAATTCTCTACTTTTCATTTTTCGCGAAATTTAGCCAAAATCCCTGTACTATAGTACATGGACTTTGGCCCGATTTTTGAGTAACTTTAAAAATTCGTAAAAAATCCAATTTTGATCGGAATCAGCTCAAACTTTCTACGCAACTTAAGTACATGTATATGCATCAGAAAATATTATAAAAATGGAGAATTCTCTACTTTTCATTTTTCGCGAAATTTAGCCAAAATCCCTGTACTATAGTACAGGGACTTTGGCCCGATTTTTGAGTAACTTTAAAAATTCGTAAAAAATCCAATTTTGATCGGAATCAGCTCAAACTTTCTACGCAACTTAAGTACATGTATATGCATCAGAAAATATTATTAAAATGGAGAATTCTCTACTTTTCATTTTTCGCGAAATTTAGCCAAAATCCCTGTACTATAGTACATGGACTTTGGCCCGATTTTTGAGTAACTTTAAAAATTCGTAAAAAATCCAATTTTGATCGGAATCAGCTCAAACTTACTACACAACATAAGAACATGTATATGCATCAGAAAAAATTATAAAAATGAAAAATCCTCTACTTTTCATTTCTGGTAAAATTTGGCCGAAACTAAAGTGCAAAATATATTTTCATTAAAAATCAAACAGTGGTATAATAATTAATATCATAAAACCACAAACAAAATAACACATAATAATAATAATAATAATAATAATAATAATAATAATAACAATAATAATAGTTCTACTACAAGGGACTGACTAACAATTAGCTAATATATAATTATTAATATTTTTTCTTTATTATTATTATTATTACATTTTCTCTCTCTCTCTCTCTATTTCTACTTCTTATGTTTTGCTTGTTGCTGGTAATGAGGATTTTGAGGGTCGTCCAGAATTGAGTCCACAGTATTGGTACTTTGCTTTCTTTTCGGAGGGCTTTAAAATCTGGAGAGTTAGTACGTGTGTGTGTGTGTGTGTGTGTGCGCGCGTGTGTGTGTGTGCGTGTGTATGTGTGTGCGTGTGTGTGTGTGTGTGCGTGTGTGTGTGTGTGCGTGTGTGTGTGTGCGTGTGTGTGTGCGTGTGTGTGTGTGTGCGTGTGTGCGTGTGTGTGTGCGTGTGTGTGTGTGTGTTTGATAAATTTGAAAGTGAAAAACAGTATAATAATAATAAACTATGTGGTAATCATGATGAGTGTGTGTGTGTGTGTGTGACTGAGTGGTACTTTATGTGCATTTAATAAAACAAATGATTAACAAATGAAAAACAACTTTAATACATAATAGAAAAGCTATCGTGTAGACTTTCACTTTACTTTCTTCTCCCCACCAACCTTCTATCTACTTCTACCCCCCTCTCTCTTTTTATAAAAAATCCCTCCCACCTCTCTCTTTAACCGTGTTTCGTTAAATCTTCACACAATACGTGTGTATATTATTAATAATATCAATGATATCGCATCACTGATTCCCCTCACCTGAAAGGAGCACATTAGCTCTTCATCAATGGTCATCATTCCACCAGCGTTATCATAATCCCCGCAATAATTAGGAGCAGAGAATAACGTCACAAGCTGCCGACGAGCAAAAAATTCGTAACCATCCTCAACCACCTTAAAAAATAAAAATATATATAATAAATAAAGAATCATGTACACTTTACTTGATGTGCTCTGCATATCAGATCGAGATCATGGCGATTGAGAAACTTTGTGACAATGTCGGCCCCGAATGTAAAGGAGACGCCTCTGTCGTTCTCTCCCCATCCCTGAATGTCTTTGTCAGGGTCAGACCACAAGAGATCGCACAATAATCCTAATAAGGACGAGAGAGAGAGAGAGTGAGAGGAACCCAGCAATCCACTGACCTGTGTCGGGTACGTCGGTTGGACGAGCTATCGATCTTATTTGCTCAAAATCTTGAAGATCAGGAGAAAGACCTAAAACAACAACAACAACAATAATAATAATAATGATGATGATAATAATAATCATAAAACAATCAATGGTGCTACAAATTAATGATTATGGTAATAGAGGAACAAATTAGAGACTATCAAATTAGCAGAGCAACAAGCAGCATAGCATTGTAATTCATAATTGACAAACAGACAGTAATCGGATAGGAGAGGATTCCTCTGAAATTGACATACCTCCATGACAACAGAATATCTTATCATCAATGACAGCTGCAATAGGTAGACAGTTGAAGCAATCTGTAAAAGTCTTCCATATCTTGATGTTATAACGTCTTCTGCCTAAAGAGAGAGAGAGAGAGAGAAGGTTGAAATGGTCATTAAGAGGCTAACTCAAGAAATAGTGCCCCATTATAACTTACATTCATCATAAAATCCATATATTCTATTGATGCTGGCACACTCGTGATTACCGCGTAGCAGAAAGAAATTCTCTGGATACTTTATCTTATATGCCAATAACAAACAAATGGTTTCTAGGGACTGCTTCCCTCTATCAACGTAGTCGCCGAGGAACAGGTAGTTGGTATGAGGAGGGAAACTCCCGTACTCGAATAAACGAAGGAGATCAGTGTACTGGCCATGGATGTCACCTGGCGAAAATAGGAAAAGAGAAAAGCAAATCGATTGAAAAATATCGCAAGATTTTCTCCGGTATTAAGATTAGAAGGATCTTACCACAAACTTTCAGTGGAGCTTCCAACTCGAGTAATATCGGCTGCTCTAAGAATATATCACGTGACTTGAGACACAGAGCCTTTACTTCTGTCTCTGCTAGGTGTACCGTTTTCATGGTACGACTACCTCGAGCTGTACAGGCACAACAACACAAAAAGCCAATAAAATTAAAACAGAGTATAGTCGCTTCATTGGCCTCACCTTCTAAGAGTCTTGATATTATACTGTCTATATCTATGTCTAAATCTTCAGCCATTCCTGCCTCCGTCAAAGAGGAAGAGAGAGAAAGAGAGAGAGAGAGAGGTATGAGAGGTGAGAGCAGGGCAAAGGAACAAAATACAAACAGTGGAAACACGCCCACAACCTGAGGGAGGTATCGACACGCCTACCAAGTTATGTTATTGAGGAAGGTGTGGCTAATAGTTTGCATTTTTGATTTTTAGCAGCAAGGGAGCACGAGTTTAGTTTCAAGCAAGGTTTCAACATGGTTTCAATGGCTCTATTCATCGAAAGGGTTCAGAAGAGACGCCAGTACTGTACAGTGGAGCCTGCACTTTTTCTATTCATGTTTGCGTCTTTCCTCTCCTATCCAATCTACCAAGAGCTCCTTCACCACACGTTCTGCAAACAGGACCCCAACTGCCCTCTTCCTTACAATAACACCACATCCTCTTGCAACGTTGAGACTTATCCTTCTACTGTTCGTGATAGAACCTCACACTGGATACTCTACACTAACTTATCAATGGGACTCACGTCACTCCTCCTCTCTCTCCTGTATGGGTCTCTTTCAGACGCTCTTAAAGAACGTAGGGTTTTTCTGGCGCTGCCATCAGTAGGCGGAGCAATTAATTCACTCATCGTCATTATCGTTCAATGTGTCAGTCCTGATTATATGTGGGCGTATCTCATAGGGGCGGGGCTCTGTGGGCTAGCCGGCGGTTTTTCTGTTTTTAATCTGTCGGCTTACTCGTATGTCTCTGATATCAGTCCCCATAATGACCGTACATGGAAGATCGGGTGGTTGGAGGCTACAATGTACATCAGTTCGTTTTTAAGTCAGTTACTAGGTGGGATATGGATTCAGTTTCAAGGGTACACCGTTCCTTACTTTGGGATTCTAGCATGTCATGTGACAGTCGTATTTTACGTGATTTTATTTCTGCCTCCAGCTCAGAGAGAAAAGCAACCGAGTAAAGCTGTTCAAGAAACTGTTACAGAAACGAAACCTTTATTAAATAATGCTCATGACCCTCCAAGTGATAGCAGTTTACAGAAGAGGAAATCTTGGCTAATACTTAATGTATTTAGTAGAATCTATCACTTCTTTCAGCTCCTTCGTTCTTCCTGGAGGCATGTATGCCTAACTTTGATATTCTTTATCCTTGAGATCAATTTCCTTGGCATAACTGACACTGTTATTCTATATTCATTGTCCAGGCTATGCTGGGACTCTAAAACAATTGGATACTTTCTAGCGGAGAAGAGCGGCTTTAATGCAATAGCTGCTTTGCTCATTTTGCCAGTACTTGTTAAAATGAGAGTCAGCGATCCAATGATCGCTATGATTGGTTTGCTGTTTGGATCTGCTGCACTAATTGTGATGGGTTTCGCCACTCACTCCTGGATTATGTTTATTGGTAAGTAGCATATAATTAGTCATACTCTTAGATAATATACATTGGACTATATGTGACCATAATTGACAAAAGGGCCCTTATGGCGGATTTTAAAATTGATCGTTATAATGGAAAATATCAACCTGTGAGTGCTTTGTTAAACAATCATTGTTTCTAAAAGTTTCATGGTAACTTTTTGCATCCTGTGGAGTAATTTTATGATGAATATGGCTCAGGAAGTTGGATTTCATAGGCTAGAAAGACAAATTTCACTACCCGCCATAAGGTACCTTTTGTCAATTATGGTCACATATTGTACTATAGATGGTATTGATTATCTTTTTCATTAGTTCCTGTCATTGGAGCTATGAGAGGTTGTGTAGTACCTGTAGTGAGATCAATGCTGTCTAAGATAACACCAAGTGATCAGCAAGGTATAACTTTAAAAGAATCATCCATAACTGCTGTCATTTTAATGCAGCAAAGTATAGCTTAAAAGAATCATCCATAACTGCTGTCATTTTAATGCAGCAAAGTATAGCTTAAAAGAATTATCCACAACTGCTGTCATAGTAATACACATGTAGCTCCAGATTTTTCTTCCAATGTGTTATAGTAATGCTATTCTCTTAAGCTTGGTTTGCATAGTAAAGAGTAGCCACAATCCTCGATGCAGTCAACACTGTTGCAGTGCTCTATTCCTTACTGTAGGTGTAATGTTTTCTGGTTTGAGTGTAATAGAAGCATCATGCATCATAGTCTCATCATCTCTTTATAACTCGCTCTTCCCTCTTACTTACTCTATCTATCCTGGACTCTGCTTCTTTATGATTGGCGTTTGTTCGATACTCGTTATTCCTCTTATGCTGTAAGTTTATTATGAATTTTTTATACATCATGCATAATTATATTATCATCTAATAGCTTTCTCTATTTTGATGCAAGGATACGAATGAAAGACAAAACTTCAAACAAAAGCTAAAATTAAAATAATATATAGCAAAAACTTATGTATGATAATTATATCTACACACGAAACAAATTGTTATTATTTTTATTTATTGTTATCATTGCTACCAGGGAGTGGCTCGTAATTGTTTTCATTGGCTGGTATTGTTGCATAGATACTTGCATCTTGATAGGGAGTGTTGAGACTGGGACTTGTGCAAATCGGTGATGAAGATATTCTTTCATAATGATTAGCTCCTTGATCATCTGATGTACCTATACTATCATAAGCAGGAGTAGTTGGCTCTTGAAAGGGTAATCTGTCATACGGGCTGATTGTATCCGTTCCTTTTAGTGGAGGGAATGATTCTTCATCAAAGTCTCCCTTACCAGTGTTATTGGGCCCATCAGTCTCAGTGTATATATTATCATGCTTTAGTTTATCATATACTCCTGTTAGTAGCAGACTTCCAGAGCGCACTGTAGATCTTAATGAGCTTGTGGTGTCTCCCGACTGGTCCAATAGTTCATAGCCATCTTTTTGTGGGCTCAGTGGTCGTCCTTTCTTTCCCTTTCCGTACAGTTTCTGTGCTGATGTACCATACTGCGGACTGGCTGAGCGATCAAGTGTTGTTGATTGCAGTAGTTCCGGTGGTATGTATGTTGGATTATCCGAGAAATGCGATCCCTCAATTGGTATTTCAACTAAACAAGTAACAAATTATGCACATATATAATTGTGAATGTCTTGTACAAACTCACATTTCTTCATTTGAGTCTTTTTTCTACACAAATAACAGCAGCAGCCAACGATTATCATAGCAAAGCAGCAAGACAGCAAAGCTCCACCAACAGACACTCCTACTAACATACCCACTCCACCATTGCTATTACCAGTGACAGCACCGGAATTAGGATTAGGCGATGGACTGGGGGCACCATAAAAAGTGCAGCTGTCGTATTCTAAAATAAGCGGCACACTTTACTTAACATGGTGATAATGCAAAGTGTCATACCTGAGCAATGCTCGCAGTAGTAATTATATCCATAAGTGGCAGAGGTGTTATCAACACAGATGTAATCTGTTGGGCAGGGATTAGGATCACAGGCAGATACAACTGTACTGCAAACTAGACCAGTCCAACCAATAGGACACGTGCAGGTAAAACCTCTGATCTATTTGAACAAATACATTATTTATTTTTGAGTCTACAACTTTCTCACAATGTCATTGCATGTTCCTCCATTTAGACAGGGGTCCGATACACAATCATCAATATTGTTGTCACACTCGGTTCCGTTGAATCCTTCCTGACAGTTGCAGGTGTAGTATCCAGGATAACTGCTGCAGGTGCCATTATTGAGACATGGTGGAGGAGAGCAGTAGTCAATCTTTGTATCACAGTAGCGTCCAGTGTAACCAATGTCACATATGCACTGATATTCATTCACTTCATCCATACAGATACTATGTACACTACATTGTGCTCTCACACACTCGTCTATATTAACCTGACAGTCTTTCCCAGTAAAGCCTGGGAGACAAGAGCAGCTGTAGTCAGCTAGGGCATCAATGCAAGTAGCGTTGTTGTAGCAGGGAGCAGATGAGCACTCATCAATCTCTTTAGTACAATTCACTCCCTAATGTGATGATAATGATGATGATGATAAATATAATTATTTACTGTGTAGCCTGGTTGACAGACGCATGTGTATCCGATATCATTCGATGTGACTTGGACACACGTCCCATTGTTACTGCATGGTGTAGAGTGACAGTGATGACCTTCACAGTTAGGACCAATAAACCCAGTGACGCAGGAGCACTGGTAGCCATTGACCAGATCCTAGAGGGAGTGATGAAACAAATAGAGGACACAGTTAGCGGTGACTCACTCCACATGTTCCATTGTTCAGGCAAGGCGAGGATTGACAGTCATCAATATTCGTTTGGCATTGAGTTCCTGTCCATCCAGCAACACATTCACAGTAATAGTCATTGATTCTGTCCTAAAGATGTGACACTATTAGTAGCTACAGGCATGACAATAAAGAAGACCTAATTAGCCAATTATTAATTATTCCTTATACACTTGTCTAATATTAAATAACTCAATGATGCGAATATACACATAGGACTTATAAGTGACATAGCTGTCATGACTCACAAAGCATGTCCCTCCATTTTGACAGGGCCTTGGATCGCACTCATTGACTTCAGTTTCGCATCTACTTCCATTATAGCCGGGAGGACATGAGCAGCGGAACCCATCGGGAATGATATTGGTACATGTCCCACCTCGCAGACATGGGGCTTCATGTCCACACACGTCATGATCCTCCGTACACAGTGATCCACCATACCCGGTCTCGCACAAGCACTCATTTGCTACATTGCAGTAACCGTGTGATGTAGCTATAAGAGAAAAATCTTCAATGCACAAACTGGTATAATGTTAATGTTTTGCATTTTGTATCTCTTTAATCATATGGATTCTTATGTTGAATCAATAAGCAATGCCTTATTAGATTTTATAACAACTCACAGCATCCCGATTTCGGTATGCACTCGTTACAGTTAGTTCCAGTCCAACCAGTGTTGCAACTATAACAATATACGTTTATGATATAATGAGAACTGTAGATGTAATTTGAAGGCTTACAGGCACTCTCCTGGAACGTTGCAATAGCCATTTTGGGAACTACAGCCACTTGAGCAAATAGCTACAGAATTATGAATAAATAATTATTATTAAAAAATATTTTAATAGGAGATATGGTTTATTGTTCATTTTCTTACGTGTTAAACAGTTTCCAGATGGATTAGTATAACCATTGTTGCATATTTTAGCTCCATCTGATCCACAAGTATAGTGACCATTAGTATCATCATTTCGCTGCACACAGTAGACATTGCAATCGCTACCATAATAGTTCTGCTGACAAAACAGCCTCACTCTTATCCTAAACTGAGCTCTGTCGTAGTATCCATTTGCATACAGTTCATTGCTCCACTGTCCATTTGGGCTCAGATCAAGATTAAATGCATTCCTATCAATCAAATCGTCTGCATTGTCATCAGCATCTAAGGATTCTACCAGTACTTGAACTGAGCCCTGCAAGGCATGATCGGTCAACAAGAAATGTACAAATTTTACTAGCAATAATGTGTTAATTGATAAGTGAACTCACAGGCCATGGCTCATTCCTATTGAATGTAAGGTCATTCCAGATCCTTGCTCCTGGATACAGCTCGCCATAGTTAGGAAAATAATAATTGTTAGTCGAGACGTCCCCATAAGTTTGAACCGAGTCCCAGCAGTTGTTTATATTAGAGGCACTCAGGCCCTTGTTTCTAATGCAGAATTTAAAATAAAGGTCACAATTATTACTGCAAGGCCAATCACAGCAGCCATCGTTCCAGTCCTGGTTGTCCGGGTTGTGGTACTGTACAGCTTTCACCAGGAGAGTGTACCTTCCTGTACACAAATGACTCTATTGCAAATTAAAACTATTAAAAAAGTATCTCGTGCTTACCAATAAAGAGAGACAGAGCAAAAGGAGCCAGCCATTCATTTTCTTCGACAGCTTAGATATGCTATTATTAAAATTAGACAATATTTTTTATTAAAGTTATCCCCGGCGCCAGATCACGTGATCACTTCTCTAACCTGACCACGAAACATGGAGGCTTTCCTCGGCTTGTGAGACATAAACTTTGCTTTGGTGGTTTGCGCTTGTTTAGGCATCCCTTCCCTTTAAAAGTATCCTCGAGCAATATCCTAAGACATACTCTTCTCTCAGTATCCTATACCTTCTCCCATGATGCCTATTGGTAAAGGAAAGAAAGCCGAGAAAGAAAAAGAAAAGGTATTTTAATTTATTTTATAGCTCATTGGGCCAGTAATGTATGATTTCTTTCTCTTTTCTTTCTCCATCTCCCTCTCTCCTTTTAAAGGCTCAAAATAAGAACACGTCAGCGAAACCTTCCAGTGAATCTCCTCAAAATGTCCCTGCAACCACTGGTGATAACAATGTCCCTGCTCCTACACCAGTAACAACTGGTGTAGGAGTGGGACTACCAGCTAAAGATATAGATGGGATTAACTCAGTAAGGATGTGCATGTATAGAGATCGTGTATATGTGCTTATGCAATTGTGAAAGATGTAGATGTTTCAGTTTAGTTTTTATTCTTTCTTTTTTCTCCATCTCACACGTACATGTACATGTATCGGGTATGGTTTGACTTCTCATTTTGTCTGCATTTTGTGTGTGTGTGTGTGTGTGTGTGTATGTGTGTGTAAATTGTATAAATATCTCATATTGTATTTTGAAATGTTATGGTATCAGTTTCAATGGTAACATTATCAAAAGATGACATTGACTTGAAGTCATCAGTAATTATACCTCCTTACCCTTCTCCCACTCATCCTGTCATTATCTTCTAACATTATCCTCTCCTCTCTCTCTCCCTCCCTCTCTCTCTCTCTCTTCCCCCCTCTCTCTCTCCCCCCCCCCTCTCTCTCTCTCTCTCTCCCCCGCCCTCTCTCTCTAGGATACAGTACCAATAGCATACAACTCTATTGTCAGTCGGTTGCAAGGCTCTGGCTCTTACACACACAGGACTAACAGCAGACAAGGCTCCTCACGATTTAACATCAGCAAGAACAGAGAGATAAGCAAACTCCCTCCACTCAAAGGTACATGAGATTATGATCACAATTACTTTTGTTTGTTATGTTTGTTCATGATGCCATGCATGTCCTATGCATTGCTGCAGCTCAATACTGTTACTAGTATGGCTGTGTCTCTGAAATTGAAAATAACATTTGATTTCTTTGTATCGAGTCTTTCTATACTATACGAAGTTAAAAATAAATAAATAAAGAGAGCTTTTGCTTGGGATGTGTACATGTAAATGTATATAATGTATAATGTGTACCAGTGACAGATGCACATGTAGTAGTTGTAACTAAATACATTCTCTCTCTGTTTGTATAACCCTCTCTCCTTCTCTCTGTTATACTCTCCTACTCTCTCTCTTAATTTACTCAGATGCTACGCCTAATGCCCGCGAGGATTTATTCCTACAAAAGTTACACCAGTGCTCCATCATATTTGACTTCAACCGCGACCCACTCAGTGATCTCAAGTTCAAGGAAGTGAAGAGAGCAGCTCTCAATGAACTAGTGGAGTTCATTACTCATAACAGAGGAGTCATTACTGAGTCCATTTATCCCGAGGCTGTGAGAATGGTAAGGATGTGGATTTGAGAAAAGGGCACACACACACACATGTACATGTATTTTACCAAATCACATCCCATCTCTGAATTTTCAATCAAAAATAATGTTTATGGTAATGTTATTGTCATTCTGCCAAAGTGGATGTAACGAATGATATAATGCGATGCTGAGTAGTGTACTTTATCAAAATCTCTCATTTTGTTCATATTTTCATGTATTTGTCGTTATTTGTGGCTTGCATTGAGGAATGGTGCAACAACGACTGGATGCCATTCAATAGTTGTTAAATGTTGGAATGATGATGATAATAGTGTGCATGTACTGGACATTGTAGAGTGTTTTTACTATTAATAGCTGTTTAGCATTATTGTGTATTGTCAAATGATTAAAGCATTGGAATGCGAATCTCAGTGCTTGTATCAACTTCCTCTGTTTCTCTATTTGCCTCTCCTCCTACCCTCTCTCTCTCTCCTCCCCCCCCTCTCTCTCTCTCTTTCTCTCCTCTCTCTCTCCTCTCTCTCTCTAGTTTGGTATTAATGCTTTCAGGGCACTCCCACCATCAGCTAATCCTTCAGGGGCAGAGTTTGATCCCGAAGAGGATGAGCCTGCCCTAGAACCATCTTGGCCTCACCTCCAAATCGTGTACGAGTTTTTCCTGAGGTTCCTCGAGTCTCAGGACTTTCAGCCTGGCATAGCAAAGAAATTCATCGATCAGAAATTTGTTGGACAAGTAAGGGAACATCCTCTCAGCCACGAACACGAGTTTTTAAAAACCTCATTGTACGTAATTCTCCTGTAGTTGCTTGAGTTGTTTGACAGTGAAGACCCAAGAGAGAGAGACTTTCTCAAGACGACACTTCATAGGATCTACGGGAAGTTCCTCGGGCTTAGGGCTCACATAAGAAAACAGATTAGCAACATATTTTATAGGTGAGCGTGATTGATACTTAATACATGCATATATGACTGTATATAGCATGAAGTTATATTTTCTTGTCTGCATTGGGTGTGTGTGTGTGGGTGTGTTTTGTTAAATTAAATGGTCTAGTCTGTATGGCAATTAAGATTACATGATCCATGTTGATTTGGGTGACATTGAGTAGGTTTTATTATGTTTTTGTTATTGGTGATGTTTGTGTAGGTTTATCTATGAAACTGAGAAGCATAATGGAGTAGCTGAACTTCTTGAGATATTAGGAAGGTATCTCTCCTATTTCCTCTCTCTCCCTTTGATGTTCTTATTTCTTTATTTGCTATTTATCTTCACCTTAATTACTCCTCTCTTCTCTCTCTCTTCTCTCTCTTCCTCAGTATCATCAATGGTTTTGCTTTGCCATTAAAAGAGGAGCACAAGATGTTTCTTCTTCGTGTGCTCATTCCACTGCATAAAGTCAAATCACTCAGTTGCTATCATCCCCAGTTAGCTTACTGTGTCGTTCAGTTCCTGGAGAAGGACCCCTCTCTTACAGAACCGGTTAGAAGAACTCACTTTGTTGAACTTACCTTGATACTACAGTATCTTAAAGCACTTACAGTCCCATACACAGTAGTTCAAAGCTTTGAGTTAAATGTGTCCAATTTTAGGCCCCTTTTACACTATAAGAAATAATCCTTTTCACTTGTAAAGGAGACTTTTTGATTCTCATTTAATACATGAATAGGCATCACTTATCAGAAGCAAAATGCTGAAGCAGATATTTTTATAAACCACTGATAGATCTTATGAAAATGCAGCTGCAAAACACCTGAAATAAAAGGAAACAATTAGATAATAGAGAAAACAATTCTGATTTTATGAAGTGGATTAGTGCAAGAACCCCTAATGCCCTTATGCTTTCTATAAAGTTTGAGTTAAAAACAATTCTACACAGCATAAAGAGATATTTAGAATTTTTATTGACAATTTGACATAATATTATGCAGAGAGTGGGGGAGGGCACAACGATTTTGTTTGATTTGTACGAGTGATTCATGTTTATGTGTTTACTAGACACATCATGATGTTAGTTGAACTCAGTTCCATGTATACATAAAGCCTGCCATGTTGGCATCAAACGATCCATTTGTACAAGTTTCTCTTTATTATTATTATTATTATTATTATTATTATTATTATTATTATTATTAGTATTATTATTATTATTATTATTATTATTATTATTATTATTATTATTATTATTATTATTATTATTATTATTATTATTAGTATTATTATTATTATTATTATTATTATTATTATTATTATTATTATTATTATTATATAATATGTACGTATGTGTGTATATACATAGGTGGTGACAGGATTGCTAAAGTTTTGGCCCAAGGTTCACAGCCCCAAGGAGGTCATGTTTCTAAATGAGCTGGAGGAGATACTGGATGTAATGGAGCCCGTGGAATTCGTTAAAGTTATGCAACCACTTTTTAAGCAAATCTCGAAATGTATCTCTTCGCAACACTTTCAAGTATGATCACAGTCATCAGACACTCTTCCTCTTTAATTTCCTTTTTTAAATCAATCGATTATTAAATTTAATTAATGGCATTTATTAACACTTGCAGGTGGCAGAGAGAGCCCTCTACTACTGGAGCAACGACTACATTATGAGTCTAGTTGGTGAGAACCCACAGGCTCTCTTCCCCATTATCCTTCCCGCCCTACTCCGTCACTCCAAGCAGCACTGGAATAAGTTAGTGTAAGAGACCACTCTCACTAGTTATTTAACGCCTTGTAGGACGATCCTTGGACTCATTTATAATGCTCTTAAGATATTTGCCGAAATGAATCAAAAGCTATTTGATGAGTGTAGCGACAAGTTTAAGGAGGAGCTAGAGCAGTTAGTTTTACGATGAATTATGTGTCACTTAATTATTCTTTTGTTCTCTTCTTTCTCTAAGAGAGCCAAAAGTTGTTAAGAAACGTGAAGACACTTGGACTGCATTGGAGAAGCTAGCTCTTATGAGTCCTCATGTTTCAAAGCTCTCCTCGCCTCAGAATGCCTTCAGGAAGTCAATGCTCTCCAGCCTGACCTCCATAGCCAGTGAGGAGCCAACCTCTCCTGATGGAGTCCCTACTTCAGAGGAACTTAAAAGCATTCCTCAAACTCCCGTTAGTCAATAAGCAAACATATATGTACATGTAGGATGAATTCTTCATTTTTATCATATTTTCTGACACGTATACATGTTCTCATGTTGTGTATCAAGTTTGAGCTCATTCCGATCAAATTTGGAATTTTTACGAATTTTTAAAGTTACTCAAAAATTGGGCCAAAGTCCCTGTACTATAGTACAGGGATTTTGGTCAAATTTCACCAAAAATGAAAAGTAGAGAATTTCTCATTTTTATAATATTGTCTGATGCATATACATGTACTTAAGTTGCGTAGAAAGTTTGAACTGATTCCGATCAAAATTGGATTTTTTACGAATTTTTAAAGTTGCTCAAAAATTGCTATATACTTAAGTACAGGAGCTTTCATTAAAATGGCTATTATAGAGTTCCTATGTCTAACACATGTACCTTTTAATTCCATTAAACATTCATTATATTAAATTAATCTTTATATTAAATCAATCTTATACCTTATCTTTCTCTCCCTTCCCCCCCCCACAGCCATCAGAGTCGGGTGCCTCCAATACTGGAGCTGTAAAGACTAACAATAAAGGGCACATGTTAATAAGACGCAAGTCTTACCTACCGATGGATAATGATACCTCCCAAGCTCTCCAGCAGTACAAACCTCACGAAAGACTGGGCGTCCCTAATGAATCCTAAAGACTTTCCCTCTCCTCCTCCTCTTCTTCTCTTTTTTGTGTGCATGAATCTTTTTCTCTCTCTCTGTGTGTGTTTGTGTGCTTATAGTGCACCACTCACTCTCTTAGTGTGTGGCTTTACGAGCATTTTAATTTATTTTTGTTTTCTATCTCTTTAATTAGTATTATTTATGTCGTGGCATCTTTTGGACTAAATCATGAATAGCATCTTCTGCTTGATAAAAAGGGAGACGGTTTTTTTTTCTTTAGTTTCTCTTTTTTTCTAATGATATAATTTTATTATTATTATTATTATTAGTTGTTTTTTTGTTGTTTTTTTATTATTATTTTGTTTATTTTTTGTCAATCAATCAATTGTGCATCTCAGATAATAATATTACTAATATTAATGTGTTAATGATAATAATTATTATTTTGTTTTTTGTCACTTATAAATATTATTGAAATTGATGAAGCCTTCCAGTGTTGCACGTTAGCAGAAATTAAAATTAGCAAAAAATTTTGCAACTTCCTGTTCTCGTTCACACTTCAATCACACCTCAGAGTGCAAACAAGGTGTCAAAAATAACTTTTAAATAAAAATTTAACCCAATATAATGAACATCTTTTTTTAAAAGCAAAGACACTATTTTTTACAACTCAATTTCAGCTCAAGTTATTTTTAAACATTTTTCCCTGCTATACAGTATTTAAAAAGTGCTTGTTTTATTTCATCAATATTAAAATTATTTAGATAAATTAAAAATAATTATACATCGAGTCTCATTGTTTTTGTTTTCTGATACCATCCAGTAGCTCTTGCTTCCACACATCTTCCGGAAGGTTCTGAGCCCAAGATGGTGGAGCAATACTTAGAGATAATCCTGTCATTGCTTGCCTAATAGCCTCTGCTTGTGCTAAAGAAAAGAAATAAGTTAAGATATAGTCTTCATATAATATTATTCATAGTTCTAACTCCACCCAACAATTGTCTTACATTCCTCCATTGGCGGATCGGAGCTGCTGCTTCTTTCGTCAGGGGATGAAACTGACTGAGGTACAACTTCAATAGCAGAGGCAGGAGAGAGTGTCTCAGAGTTCTCTTGTACTACCTCCTCTTCGCCATTTTCTTCATCCTCTCCACTGGAGAGATTCATTGGTAATAAGATGTACCCAGTCTCTGGATCAGGGACTCCTTCCTCATCCTCTTCGTCGGATATATCTCCATTCATCATGACAACGGTAGGAACAGATTGACTTTCATTTTCTCCGCCATCTTCCATTAATCCCGTATTGATCCGTAAACCTCGTGATACTTTAACCACGTGCAAACACGTGTTCATCCAACTTTTTAAAAATTCTTAAACAATCCAATTTTGATCAGAATAAGTTCAAACTTTCTACACAAGATAAGAGCATGTATATGTATCAGAAAAAATTATAAAAATGGAGAATTCTCTACTTTTTATTTTTGGCAAAATTTGGCCAAAATACTGTTCTATGGTACAGGGACTTTGGCTGCACTCACAATCCATCTGAAGTTACAATTAGCAAAAATATTATCACAATTAATACGGGAATAATTCCATTTTATGATACAGAATTCTATTGCATAATACTGTAACAAAAGTATATACACATTCAGTCTACATCATCCTTTGGGAGTTCACTTCTTTCCTATTAACAAATGAACATGTCATTCATTCTTCAATTACTAATAACACATACTTTTGCTTTCATTACGGCTGCAAAAGTCTCAATGATTGCTTTAAATAAAGCAGGAGGAAGGATCTGCTGCAATGTTCCAAGAGCAACTTTAGGATTAGAAGAAAACTGGATAAAGTTTATAAAATGGCTGATGCTGGCCTCCATATCACCTGCAAGAAAAGACTCAAACATCACGCAAACATGCAACAAATACTGGGTACTAAAGCTCGGGATAAAATAATTGAGGCTTTACAAACCTTCCATCATTTTTTGATTGGCCAATTCAAACTGACTCGCCAAGAACTGATCACGAACTGCAGGATCATTGAGATCTATCACTTTCTGAAAATCAAAATAATACAAAGTACAAGAAAAGGATCACTCACTGTGGAGTTCTGTCTTAGAGTAGACTTTCTTTCTGGAGAGAGAAGGAATGAAAAACTTTATAAATATCATTAAAGATGTGCTACTTTTTAAGACTTTTCTCTTGTAGTCAGGATCATTCCTTCTCTTACGATCAAAATAAATGCAATATCCAATGAAAGCACTCCCCAAGACTCCAGCAATACAGAGAAGAGCAACCCTCTTGCCATCCATGTGGCCAGCAATGTAAAATGGGCGTGGTTGCAAATGACGCAATAATCAGTAATCAATTCCATGATGCTGGTAGCAAAATTACTTTTTTTCTTTCATGATCATCAATACAAATAGAGATACACGAAAAATACAAAAATAATATAATATAATTACTGGACTACAACACCCAGCTGAATGAAGGAAGTGGAATAATAGGAGTAAATAATAATAATAATAATAATAATAATAATAATAATAATAATAATAATAATAATAATAATAATAGCAATAATAACACAATAACAATAACAACAATAATAATAGTTGCATTATGTATTTCGAGTTGAGATCTCACCAAACAGAGTTGGGCTACCAGTAAAGAGCTGAGGCGGTGTCGTACCAGGCATGAAAGAGTGTGAGCCTCCATTGTTAATGCTGTACTTAGTAGGAGCACTATAATGGCTCTTGGGGTTACTGGCCGTGGAGCCATACCCTCTCCCTCCTACACCTCCAAGTGTCTTCGGCCCTCCTCCTCCTCCTCTGGAAGAATAAGGAGGATCAGGCAGACTTGGTATTGAGACATGGCTGGAGGATGAAAGAATAGGAAGTAATATGATATGCCAATAGGATGAGTGGGAGAGGACTATACTCAATTAGTAGCAGTACCTTGATCTGAGGAGTGAAGTCCCAGCACTCAAGCTACTTCTAAAACTGGACCCGTTTGAGTAATTAAAGAAATGACGAGATGCTCCTCCGTTGGACTCTGACTGTGAGCTTAATAACTAATCAAAGAGAGAGAGAGAGAGAAAAGATGAAGTGAGTGATGAGGAAAATGGTATAATAATAATTATACTGTACTTACTTTGAGTGTAGAAGGTCTTCTGATACGAAAGAAGATAACGATCAAACAAATTGGTATCACTTCCCACAGCAGCAACACACAGAAATAAACAATATCACTTTCTTTAGAAGAGTGCTCATCAAAATCGGCCTACAGTGAGCATACATAAAAGAAAGACTAAAAGATGAACAATGTCTACTAGTACAACAATGGTGGTTACAGTGGCTTCCAAAGTGAAAGCTAAACTTAGCAATGCGGCAATGCATGGTAAAGCATAACATAATGCATTACAAATCAAAGGAATGCAAGTCTAAAAGGATGTATTCTACTATAGGGAATTCTTCCAGGTCGAAAGAAACAAAAATAAAAATAATAGTTCAAGGTAAAGTTATTCTTTAGCAACCTCATTCTCTCGAATCCATTAATCCATCTGCCTCTATCTCTCTTACCATGTTCGTTGTGAGAGTGTTGCTGTAATCAAAAGGTTTCACATTTGACGACTGGATAGCTACGGCGACAATGTTATAGATAGCTCGCGAAGAGAATAGCAAAATAAGGAGAGCTGATATGAAGATTGCTTGCTTTTTGGAGACCTGCTTAGATTCCATTATGTCCTTGCCTGCTCTGGTGGTATAAATCTGATCGAAGAGAGGAAGAGGAAGAATGAATGAATGCCTGTACAATATTACGGGGTATTATGCAACATTACAGAATACTAAATATGTATCTATATTCATATTGCTATGCATGGCCCAATTCCTGTGTGCAATCATAAAAAACTATTGATAATAATATTCATATCTCAATAAATCTGATTGACCTCTTAGCAGCAGTAATGATAATAATGATTAATGCATACTTACCACAATAATGAAAATACCCAGGGCTAGTCCCATCAAGAGCATGAGTCCCTCCAGAATGACAATACGAGAGATCCTGAGAGACTTGAGGAGAGTACTATCAGAGGAAATGTCCTGATTGCTAGTGTTAGTGTATATGTTAAGAAAGATTCCAAGGACAATGTTAATAGAAATAAAAAGAACAAGTGACAATATCCATAGACCTGTGCCTATCAGTCTAAAAATGGAGAGAGAGAGAGAGAGAGAGAGAGAGAGAGAGATGTGTATTTACATGTAATAATATACATATAATACATTTGTAAGTGAGAGTTGATAAGGAGGATAATCAGGTGATAAATGGAGCCAATTATTAATGAAAGGGCTATTTGTTTACCTTGATAAGTGTACTCTTCTGTATGAAGGATTCAAATAAAATGTCTCTTGCCGCCTTTCAACCACTTTTACCAAATGCTACATTAATAATAATGAGAGAGAGAGAGACAGTGATTAATAAGTGGGTGTGTGTACTGATTTGACTCACTTCCATAAAGTAATGTACAAGGAGAGCAAGAGAAACAAAAAGAAAGATAGATGGGGCAGATAACAGCAGCCAATTTGGAAAAGAGGAAAGATTATTAGCAAGTTCACAGCAATGATAATAATAGAAAGAATAGAGCGTGAGTCGAAGTGACGACCACAATAGTATATTAAAAAGGAAGACAGTTTGATAAGAGATCAGTTTGTAGCCATAACAGACAACCAGCATCAACTGAACATAAACGGCGAGGAAAATGGTGACCACCACTACAGTTACAGCTATAATGACGCCAATGTGTATCTGGCTCAGAATGTCAGCGGGTACAATGGAGCTGCTGTTGGAGGGTTCAGGGACTATATTGTCTCTCAGGGACAAGCTCATTGTTCCTATTATTATTTATGGCTGAGATAGAAGAAACCCTTTCCTTATCGACGATCCTCCTTCTATCTATTTCATGTTTATGACAACGTCATAATGATTAGTTTTTGATCACGTGACACTCACGACCCGCCTATTCTAACCACACCCAAAATGGCTGACGACGATTTCGCTGATTTTGAGTCTGCTCAGAGCACGAATACTGACCAGAAAGAGCCTCAGATGATACCTAGTTAGTTCAAACCCTCTAATAATTTCCACCCTAACACTTTCAATAGGTTTCACTGCCTTTGAGATCCCGCCTTTAGACTTTGATGATGATTTTAATCAAGACTTTACTACTCCTCCTCCTCTATCCTCAAGCTCGTCCAAGCTCTCAACCACTGGAGCCCCTGGAGACCTCTTCAGTTTACCACCTCCTCTCTCAGCTCTCACTGACTCAATCCCGCCATCTCTTGATCCCCTCCCTCCTTCACTAGACTTAGACCAGCTACCCTCTTTTGCTGATATCCCTCCTCCTCTACCTCCTGTGGGTGCGTCCAATGATTTCACACCTTTAGCGAGTGCAACGTCCACTAGTCAGTTTGTTGCAGATTTTTCTAGTTCAACTGAAGTGAATATTGCATCATCGCCAGCTGGTAATGAAGTCAGTACTGAAGGGGAAAGTGTCGTGAACAAAATAGATGATAGTTTTGGATCCTTTAATGAAGTACCAGCGACAGCAACAGGAAATGAGAATCCCACCAGTAATGGTATAGGAGATGATGATTTTGCTAACTTTGCTTCGTTCTCTGAGGCTCAATTCCCTCCTCCTCCTCTTGCTTCATCTGATGCTGATCCACCAGTTGAAGGTGATGGGTTTTCAAACTTTGCTTCGTTTTCAGATCCTCCAGCTGCTCTCACTTCTAATACGAATGCTCCATTGCAACAGGTTCCCTCATCTGATGATGATGGTTTCTCAAACTTTGCTTCATTCTCGGATGCAGCAGCAGTGCCTGAAGCCACACCCGACGAGCCTAAAGCCACACCCCCGGTATCAGAAGCCCCATCAACTGTACCTGATAGTGATGATTTTGATGAGTTTACTTCATTTTCGGATAACACAGTTTCTCAGAGTCTCACAAGTACAGCTCCTCCTCCTCTTCCTCCTGAAGATGATTTTGGTGATTTTGGTTCTTTTGATTCTGTTCCTGTTGCTCCTCCCCCAGCTGTAGCTCCTCCCCCTAAAGCAACAGCTCCCCCTATCAATAATAAGGTATTTAATTCAGCGTTTCCCACAAAGCATGCTAAATGAGCTAAACAGCATGAGCTTCATGAGCTGACAATACACCTAGTACATGACATTTGGAGTAACTTTCAAAATTCATAAAAAATTCAAATTTAATCGGAATCAGCTCAAACTTTCTAGACAACATAAGAACGTATATATGTATCAGAAAAAAATTATAAAATTTGAGAATTTTCTACTTTTCATTTTTGACGAAATTTGACCAAAATCCCTGTACTATTCATATCTTTCCTGTGAATGATTTTGCCGATTTATAATGATATTCATTGGGATACCGTAAATGGAAAATTTTTCAGGCCACCATTGTGGAGGTATACTATCATTAGCTACAATGGACCGACAGGCTAAAAACTGTCAATTCTACTTCTCCACGCCACTCCAGTGGTTCTAAACAGTTGCAGATTACTGAAAAGAAAGATAAAGGTTGCAATTTTTTAACTTTCGAGACTATAACTGCTTGCTCTTCTTACAAAACGGCAGAAAGTGTATCGAGCTCCATTGGAAACAGTGCAGCAATACCTCCACAATGGCGGCCTGTAAAATTTTCTATTTACGGTATCCAAATGAATATCATTATAAATTGGAAACGTCATTCACAGGAAAGATATGAATAGTACAGGGACTTTGGCCAGATTTTTTAGTAACTTTTAAAATTCATAAAAAAATCCAAATTTGATCGAAATCAGTTCAAACTTGATACATAACATTAAAACAAGTATATGTATCAGAATAAATTTTTAAAATGGAAAATTCTTTCCTTGTGATTTTTGTTCGAATACCCTGGCCCAGTTTTTGAGCAACTTGACAATCTACTGACTAGAAGCTGCATTAGCTCTATGCCAAAATCCCATGGGAGACCCTGATTTCATTATAATAATGAATATTGATTGCATCACATTATTGGTCTTATCAATCATGACAGGAAGCATTAGCCGCTTGTTTTCCCTCTCAATCCCTCAATAAAGTGTCAGATAATAACATCAAGACTATAAAGGATTGTCTGTCGTCAGATGAGATCTCTAATAGGTAACTCACAATACTCACAATAGTCATGATGATTCCTATAGGGTGTGGTCACAGCTTAACGATAAAGCTGAGTGCACGAGATTCTTCTTTCAATGGAGTACCTCATTCCTCAAGGATCGGTTCTACACTGCAGTTAGAGTTGACCCAATGGTATCAAAAAGCATTATTTTATTCACATTGTGTGTGTACATTTTATCTTTATCCTTATTTGATAGCTTGCACCTGCTGTTGGTAGTAAAGGAACCGGCCTATTAGGAGATATAGGGCCACTGGTAAGCTAATAGTTATGTGACTCTGTGTGTATTGTGTTCTTATTAGCCTGAAACTGGAGGAGGAGCTATGATGATAGACACTGGCTCATTTGATGAAAGTATGTCACATAATGATTGTATTAATGATTATGTTTTAATAGCTCCTGGTACTACACTACTTGATCTTAGCCTGCCTCTCTCTCCCTCAGCTAACGAAGAAGGTAAGCTAGAAACTACATTGTGTTCATGGACTGTCTCTTTCCTTCAGCTCCTGGTGTGTCTTTCGATGATTTTATTGGTTTGAGTCTTAATGCTAGCGACGAGGGAACACAGGAGCAATCCAAGGAAACCACACCCACACTATGGATGGACTCAGAGCTACTGGAACTAGAATCAGAGTCACAGCCAGTCCCTCTCACAACTCCCTCCTCTACCACCACCGACTGGCTCTCAAGACTAACACAAACCGCCACTTCACTTCCATCCACTACAAGAGAAGAGGATATAGAGACTGAACAGAAACTAGTCGAAACTAAAAGTAGTGTGTACGAGTTATTGGTATCTGAAGGGTCTAGTGATATGGGTTGGTCTTTCACTATGAACACAACTGGTAGCAATGAGATGAGCGAACCAGTCATAGGCAAACCATCGAACAGCAACACTGCAATAGAACCAAACACTTTCATGAATAATAACGAAACTTTGGGAGTTGTTCAAGAATTATCAGATCCTCAAGGTTTTTCAAAGCAGCCAGCTCTTGTAAACACAGGACCTTTAGACAACATTGGGTCTTTTTTTGAGAACCCTCTTTCTTTCCCTGTGGTGGCTCCTCCAGCCAATCAACCATTAGTGCCTCTTACTGTATCAAACAAACAAGAGGAGGGCTCTCTTGATAAAGGGGCAGCTGCTGCTACTGGTGATGTGAATCAACAACGTGCAATTAGCTTAATAAAGAAATTACCACAATTGGATTTTATGCTATCAGACAAGCTGATGTTTTGATTATTTATTGTATTTGACTTGTTATTATTATTATTATTATTATTATTAACTTCACATGTTACTAACATCAAAAGTCTCTTCACATATACACGCACTACTTAGCATTAACCTACATGTACACAGTAAAAGAGATCAAATGACTCGAGATACTTACCATATCATCAATCTTAAGTATACTCCTCACTGCCTCAGAGGCGAGGACCACTGCCGATGTAGAAACCAGAAGTGGCTGTACAACATTCTCCTCAAGTATATTAGTTATGGTACCCTAACACAACTAATCATACAGCCATTACACTTATAATTAACTTACCTTTCTGACGTTAATTCCAGCTGTCTTCTCTCCCTGGGCATGTTTATTTCGGAGCTCTGTTACCACAGCAATGGGATTCAGGCCAGCGTTCTCGGCAAGAGTGGAAGGTATCACTTCCATTGCTTCGGCAAAGGCTCTCACACAATAGCTCTCCATTCCGGAGAGAGTTTGAGCATATTCCATCAATCTCAGTGAGAGTTCTATCTCTGGGGCACCTCCCCCAGCAATAAGAGCTCTAGCAATAAAACGAATACATCAAATAAAAAATAAAAATAATGCAGTTCTCACTTTGTCTTTACTAAGCATCTAATGACACAGAGTGCGTCATGGAGTGATCGTTCAGCCTCTTCAAGAACCAGCTTATTAGACCCTCGCACTATAAGGCTGACTGTCTTTGCTGTTGATGTAGTACCGGTAAACTAAAGAGAGTGAGGGCATGAGATGATTTAAAAAATTTTTGCTTTTAGTATGATAATTTTTTTGTTTGTACCTTAACAACTTTGCTGGTTCCAGTTGAAACTTCCTCCACAAGCGAAGCTGATCCCAAATGCTCTGGCAGGAAGTGATCAAGACTTGCTATTGGACGACAGTTGAGAGTCTGACAAAAAAGGAAGACATTTATGTAGCAAAAGACGTAAAGAGTACTTACTCGAGCAATGAACTCAACATCTTCTCTCTCAATCTCACGAACGACAAGGACTTTCATTTTTGCCAAATAATGGAGAGCAAGATCATTGACAGCATCACTGGGGGGAGGGTATATGATGGGCATGGTAAATAGGAGAGGACACTTACCGGAGAATGGACTTCTGAATGAGGAGTACGTTACAACCAGCTTTCTTTATCTTCTTGCATATCTCAAGGATGTACTGCTTCTCTTCACGAAGTATTCGATCCATTTGAGAATAATCAGAAACAATGACTTGATTTTCCATCTATAAAAGAGAAGCACATTTTATATAGCAAAAGGAATGAGATATTACGTCAGTCTTAGGTGGTGAGATGCAAAACTGTATCAGGCCAATTTTTGCTTTTTCCACACGAGTGGTTCCACCAGCAATATGAGACACCTTCTGCTCCAAAACTAAACCCTCAACCAGTTCAGTGTCTTCAACAGTACCACTATAAATAGAGGGAATTAAAAAATATATATAATTGATAATTCTATAGGAGCCATTTTCAACAAAGTACCATGTCCTATATAGTACACTTCACATACCCCAGTTTCTTTATAACTCTAATATCTCTGAGATCAACATTAGTAGCTACTGATGGATCAATCACTTTTAATACAGCATCAACCGATATTGGAGCCAACTGACTAGAATATTGGGACACAACCTAACAAGTAATAATAATAATAACAATAATATAATATTTTTCGAAACCTTTGACGACAAAGAAGTTGTTGCACTCTTCAATAAAGACTGTCTGTCAGAGAGAGACACAGGCACAGCCATATTAGTAAGTATTTCTACAGCCTTGTCAGCTGCCTTCTGGTAAGACTCTGAGACAGTTGTCGGGTGAATGCCACGTGCCAACAACTTCTGACTAGCATTAAGTAAACTACCAGCCAGGATTACTACTGATGTAGTGCCGTCACCAGCTTCAATATCTTGAGCCTTCGAGAGCTCTACCAACTGAAATAAAACCATTTACACATAATCGTGTAAATTTTAATTAATTTCGTACCATTCTTGCAACAGGATGAATGACTTGCATTTGTTTGAGAATGGTCGCTCCGTCGTTAGTGATGGTAACATCCCCAGACTCTCCTTGTATCTAAAAACAATTTTAAAAAGAGTATTGTTTATTTTAACCCTTTATTCACCATCTTGTCCATTCCCCTGGGACCAAGACTCGTCCTCACCGCATCAGCAACAGCTAATAACAAAAAGAAAAAATATCACCACTAGTCAATAGTGTGGCCTTACCCTTAGCTGCTATGATGTTACTCGTTCTTATACTCGTCGGCTTGTCCTTGTCCTTGAAAGCGTTGTCCTGGTTGAAGTTGGTTGCCATTTTTATACACGTGGTTTGTTACTGAGCATGCGCATTGCCTAAAGGCGGGATATGTCAGAAATGGTCCCGCCTCTTTTAAAATGGCGGAATAAAGGGTCCTGTTACATGTTTCTTCTATTCTCTTTCTTTAACTATGCATTATCTCGAGGACTATTTGGAAGTAATTGAGTTCCTTCCCGAGGAGCTAAAGACACGACTTCAGGACATAAAAGCAAAGGACGAGAGAGTACAAAGCCAATTACAGAGTCTTGACGACAGGTCGAGGACATTCTTTACCCTCTCGAGGAAAAACAAGCAAGAATGGAGAGAGCAGCAGTTCAACAACCTCCAGGAGGAGTATCAACGGGCTCTTTCCCTCAGCGAAGAAAAGGTCAAAGTTGCTAACGAGATGTACGAACTAATGGGGCGGTACATGAAACGACTTGATCATGACCTTAACCTCTTTACGCTAGAGCTTGAAGCAGATACCGCCGGAATCACTGAGATATTAGAGCAGCGCTCGTACCAATTAGACCAACCTCCTTCGCCCGAACGACCTTCAATTGGCCATAAAAGGCGTCATACTCACCATGACGACTTGCTTGATCCCGATGATCTTAGTCCAACTCCTTCAACGCGCTCGTCTCCAATCCAAACACGCATTCCACAGTATTCCAGACGAGAAAGGAAACCGACTATATCTCTGGCGTTTTCGACCGAGCACGATCACGACCTTTTTGATTTTGGCGACGATCCTTTAACAGATACTCCAACGAGCGATCTTTACGCTGGAACTGGTGGGAAACCTTCTCTCACTTTTCTTGGAGACACGAGAGCTAACAGACGCAAACTAAACACTGCAGCCAGCCTGTTGGTTGACCCACCAGTACAAGATGAGTACGTGAATTACGTGGACCCTAACGAACCACGATACTGTCTCTGTAATCAGGTCTCGTATGGCGAGATGATTTGCTGTGATAATCCGACTTGTTCCATAGAGTGGTTTCATTATGGGTGTGTGGGTATTGCTGAGGCGCCGAAAGGAAAGTGGTTCTGTCCTCAGTGTGTGGCTCAGACAAGGAGAAAGAGCAGAAAATGAACCAATAAAAGAGTCATGTCCTTGATTGTTGTTAATATTATTATTGTGCTCATTTTTTCATTTAATAGACAATTATTAATTATTTTTGGGCGAATGGGCGTGTTTTGCAATAAAATGGCAGCAGAGAAGTCTAAATTTGAGGGTTGGTTGGCTTATCTACGTGATGCTAATGTCGTCCGTAGAACACAGGAGAAGTGTGGAGTGAGAGTCCTCTCTGAAGTGAAGACTGGGGAGGAAGAGGAGAGCAGGAACATCCAAGTAAAACCGTCCACTACTTCATTAGTGAACGGCGCCATTGCCAAGCTTTCAGTCACACGGCCAGTGAGGAGGAAGAAGGCAAGGAGGAAGCAGCCAGGGATAATGATAGAGACCATTTCTCCTGGAGAGATTGCTAGCCCTCCTCCCATTGATTATCCCGATATCATTGTTGAGACGTACCCTCTGGTAGATGCATACTTCAAACTGGCCACAGAGCTAGGCTATGAACCATTCTACATCATCTTCCTGGGGACGCTACATTGGAATATCGACACTACCGTGTTCCGCCATGCCGTGTTACTATGGGCGCTGAGCATGTACATTGGGCAGGCTTTGAAGAACGTTTTCAAGTGGCCACGTCCATCGGCTCCACCTGCTGTTAGACTGGAGATGAAGTTGAAGTTGGAGTATGAGTATGGCTTCCCTTCGACTCATGCCACTGTCTCAACGACCATACCTTTGTACCTCCTTTACATCATTCATTCAAGATATGAGGTAACGATTATTATCTTGTAGCATTATGTTCACACTCTTGTTTTCACCTTGAGCTAATGAGCCAATGAATTATTATTATTATTATTATTATTATTTATTATTATTATTATTATTGTTATTATCATTTGTAGTCTTTATTCTTCACAATGATTTTCATTTCTATTCTCTGGTGTACATCTGTCAGCTTCAGTAGAATATATCTTGGGCTTCACTCGTATCTGGTAATCACATTATTTTGTCCAGCATGTACAATCTTTATTATTATTATTATTATTATTATTATTATTATTATTTAGGATATGATAGGTGGTGTCATTGTATCATTAATAATGTTGCTCATCTTACTGCCTCTCATTGACCACATGGATCATTTTATATTTAACTTCAAGTTCTTTCCAGTCGTTGCCCCACTCATAATCCTATTGCTTCTCTACATGTATCCGGTTGAAGTTGCATGGACGAGTGATCGTGGAGACACAGCTGCTATACTGGGAACATTACTAGGCGCACTACTTGCTATACACTTCAATGGCCCATTCCCTGATGACCTACAACCTGGCCCATTCCCTGTAGCACTGCCAACCTACCAGTCGCTAGGGTTTGGACTATTGAGATTCATCGTCGGTGTCCTGCTGGTTTTCCCAACTCGATTCATAATGAAACTCCTCTGCTTTCGTTTCCTGCCCGCCATCATGCCTTCGCACGGTGTGGTAGAGGTTGATAAGAGACCTCTTGTTGTCTTACCATATAAGATAATCACATACATGTCTATGGCTCTCAGTGCGATATACATTGGTCCTAGAATGTTTGAAATATGCGACATCAGCAGGTACTAGTCATTGACTGGTACTTGCTGTTGGACTTTTGGTTCACACGAATCATCAACTTTTTATTCATTGTCACTGATATTATTATTATTATTATTATTAATTTATTGAATGGATGCTATTTTTTCCTCATCAGGTCGTTGTATAATTTCGCAGTGTATTTTGCGCTGCATTTGAAATACATACACACTTATTTTTGTAAATCAATTCAATAATAATTATTGATTCATTCAAAACAATAAATTTATTGGAGAGTCCCAAACATAATGAGAGCCTAGAGAGTTCTTATAAGCCTGCTGCATCTGTATTGATGACAGACGGGCATTAATAAGAGAAATAATGTGCTCGTGTGTTAAAACGTACGAGCAAAATATAATTTAAAAATAACCAGAGTCTAATAATAATAATAATAATAATAATAATAATAATAATAATAATAATAATAATAATAATAATAATAATAATAATAATAATAATTGATGATAATTTAAATCTAAACCTGTGAATGACCCCCAGCAGATGATGAAGCATTGAGCTGTTCCTAAATAATCGCAAAAATTAAATTAAAAGAATCATTAATTATTTTGTCAACAAACCTGATCAGCCTGTTTGCTGCCCTGAGACAGTTTTGCAGGGAGACTATGAGAGGTGGGTACTTGTGGGTGTGGTTTAGGATAATGAGACGAGGCACGGAATGAAGATGAAGGGGGTGGGCCAATCGGATAGTCCCCACTCACCAAAAGTGGAGGATTAGAAGGTGGACGGTTTCTCTCGGGATTACGTGCGGCTAATTCAGGAAAATGAGGCTCAGAGGGAGGGCGGCGCCTATCAGGGGGTGGGGGATATTTACGATGGGGAGGAGGGAGGTAGCCTCGAGGAGGAGGATAATCGGGATTGCCTGGGATCGGAGGACGATCCAAATGATGATCCCGTCTATCAAAAGAGTCATCTCCTGATCTAAGAGGACGAGAAGGAGAAGGAGGTCGACCCATTGGACCACCGTACATGCGATTAGGAGGAGGATAGTCGCCTCTAGGAGGAGGGGGTGGTCCCCTGACGTGAGGAGGATAAGAATCCCTTGACTCCATACCTGGAGGAGGAGGCCTTGATGATCCCTCCTCTCCGTCTCCCTCAAGAGGTGATGATGTACGAGGACGAACAGGATGAGCCTCTGAATACATACGAGGAGGAGGTGGTCCCCTAGGGCCGTAAGGGGGAGGCCCTGGTGGAGGACCAGGGGATGGACGGCGGAGAGGAGGTCCAGGGGGACCAAGAGAACCAGGGGGTCCACCGGGAGGTCCAGGGGGTCTAGGGGGACCGCCGGGGGGTACTGGGGGGCCGCCAAGAGGAGGGGGTCCTGGAGGTCCGTTAAGAGGCATCATTGGAGGCTGACCACCACCATGAGGAGCTAATAAATGAATTAAAATTAATAATTATTAATTTACCATGCATTTATTGTTAGCTTACATCGTCTTAGGTCTGGTGGTGGTGGGTATGGTCTGCCATAAACAGGTGGAGAGCGTCTCATGCTAGCGTCATGATCTGCCAGTATCTTTTTGAGAGAAGTGATCTCTTTATTGGCTATTCTTAAATCTTGTTCTGTTCTACGTAACTGAGACTATAAAGAATCAATAATAATAATTATCATTACTAGGTGCAAATACAATACAATACTTACCAATGCTTCCTCTGCTCTCTTCTCATTAGTTATAACTTGCTGCATTAAACTCTTCTCAATATCTCCCATCTGTTGTCTCAACTCCTTTAATTCTTCCCTAAAAAATAAAATTAGTATTTACAAGGTAAAAACAAAAAAGAAATACTCTCAATAGCCACACTGAACAGCTCACTGCAATGAGTTGCATTGTGAGACAATTGATAATCGTAACTTGTTGTACACTAACTTTTCTTTCTCTCTTTCTTGTTCTGCCAGATCAGCTCTCTCTTTAGCGTAGGCTTCTCTCGACTCGACTCTCTGTCTCACTAGCTCTTCCTCTCCTATCTTCCGATGGAGCTGGGTCTCTTTCTGCTCAAAATACTCAGTAATAGCCTTCAGTTTCAACTGAGTTTCCTGGTACTGCTCAAAAATCCTCTCCTTTGAAGACTGCAAATCAGCTATTTCATTCTTAAGGGACTGGTTCTCGGACTGAACCTATTAAAAATAAATTAAATCATACATAATTAAAAATATTTAATAATTCTGCTACCATACCTGATCTATTAGAGAAGCCTGAGACGCTATCTCATCTTTAAGTTGATCTCTCTCATCCGTAACTGATTTCAGTTCAGTCTGTGCTCTCGTTGTATCAAGAAGAGCCTGAACTCGCTCGAGCTGAGCACTTTTCTCATCCTCTCCACTGGCGTCTCCTGAAAGTTGCTGGACACACTCTCGCAGTGTCCCTATTTCTGTCTCCTTCTCCCTTAAAGACTCCCTTGCTAGCTCAAGCTCTTCACTGACCTCAGTCAGTTCAGTACTTGCCTTGTTGTAGTCTTTAGTCATCGTCTGATACTCTTCACTAACCTAACGAGAGATATTGTTAAGCATGAGAACAGTAAAACTATGTGAGGTAGTACTTTATCATGTTCTTGATGAAGCTGCTTCAGCTCCTGGCGCGTATCATAGATATCTTGTTCCAGCTGTACTTTAGCTGCCTCAGACTCCTGGCTCCTCTGTACAGCCTGAAAGAGAGATAGAGATATCATTATTATAATATTAAATAAATACAGGCTCACATCACTGAGTTGATTATTAGTGGCTGTCAATTGTTGAATCAGTTTATTTTTTTCATCCATTAATGCTCTCAGCTGCTCTGATTGTTGATGGAGCTCTGCCTGGAGTGATGTCAGGTTACTGAGGTTCTGGTGGTGCTCAGTCTGAAGAGCTTTATAAGATTCCTCAAGGAGACTCTTCTCCATCTCCAAGTTCTTCCTTATGTTTTCAAGATCCCATGTTCCTTGCTTTTCATTTTCAAGATCTTCTTGTTGAGCATGTAACTATATAATAATTATAGGAATAGTTAAACCCCAGCTACTAGACTACTATAATTGGGCTTAAACTTTCTACATGTACATGGGATAGCAGCATTGATTATGTATTAGAACTGAGTCATTATCACCTTATGCCGAATTCCCTGTAGCTCAGACTCAAGTTGAGCCTTCTCCTCATTCAATGTCTTAATATGAGCCTCCATATTGAGCTTGTGATCTATAGAGAAAGAGAGAAAGAGAGAGAGAGAGAGATTAATATTAGCAAAACAACACACAGGAAAAGTATGAGGTGAAGTGTCAAAACTTGCTACCATAAAATTAAGATGCAAAATTAACACTATTTTTGGATGACATAAAAAGAAACATGCAACATAACATTTGCTAAACACATGTACATGTAGTATCGTACCTTGTGCTGACTTTAACATTTTGCTTGCTTTGCTTGCCTAGCGAGATAAGAGAAAGAAGCATAATATGACACCGAATGAGAGAAAGAGATAAGCCTCACTTTCTTTCTAGCACTACAGCAGCTATAGTAAAGAGAGATGAGTACGGCAATCATAGACACTGACACGCCCATCAATCCAACATCTACATCATGAGACACAAGCCAAGCACCCAGAGCCCCAGGGAGCATCACATCAACCAGTCGATCCAGCATCTGTGGGTTCCTTTGGGAGCAATGAGCTTCTTCATTAACATTGTGTTCATCTTTGAAGTGTTGTAAAGGAGGAGGGATGGCTGGGGTAGGAGGAGGTACGTGTAGTTCTGAAGGACCAGGCTCTTCTACAGGAGGAATAGGCTCTTCAATAGGAGAGGGATGCTCTTCTATTGTGTTGTGTTCTTCTATTGTAGGCAGTTCTGTAGAAGGGGAAGGTACTTTAACTATTGTTTGTTCACTATATGAATAAGTTGAAGGCTCTTCCTTAGGTTCCTCAGTATTAGAAGATGGTGGGGGTGAATAATGTTCATTCAGTTGTTGTTTTTCCTCAACTATTGATGAGGAGTGTGCCTTTGTCATACTTCTTGATGGTAGAATGGTGCCATGCTGTTCAGTAAGAGCCTCATTATGATTGTATTCTTCTGCTTCTTCTCTTTCTTTTGTCTGTTCCTCTTTCTCCTTCTCATCTTCTTCTTTCCTTCTTATTCTCTCCTCCTCTTCTTGTTTCTTTCTCTCCTCCTCCTCCTCTATCTTTCTCATCTCTTCTTCATGTTTCTGCTTCTCCACCTCTTGTTTCTTTCTCATCTCTTCTTCTCTCCTCATTCTCTCCTCCTCCTCTTGTTTCTTTCTCTCCTCCTCCTCTTGCTTCTTTCTCTCCTCCTCCTCTTGTTTCTTTCTCTCCTCCTCCTCTTGCTTCTTTCTTTCCTCCTCTTCTAGTTTCTTTCTCTCCTCCTCTTCCTCTATCTTTCTCATCTCTTCTTCCTGTTTCTTCTCTTCCTCTTCCTTCTTTGCCCTTTCTTCTTCTTCTCTCCTAATTCTCTCGTCCTCTTCTCTTTTCAAAGCTTCTACCTCCTCTTCCATTTTTCTCCTCATTTCATCTTCTCCTGTTTCCCTGCTACCCTCCTCCTCCTCTTTCTTCATTTCTGCCTCCTCCCTTCCCTTATTTTCCTCGCTATCAGTAGCAATGGGTGCTTCTGTGAAAGTTGGCAGGGGAGTCTCAGAAAAGGTAGGTAGAACAGTTTTGTGTTGCATTTCGGATGACATGTGAGTGACATCAAGAGACGACTGGATATGACTATAAGTGGTAAGATCAAGCTCTTTCACTGATTGATCAATCATGGTAGGATCAGTGGCATTTATATGCGGGTCTGTGTTACTCTCTCCCTCTTCCTTTTTCTCCTCATCTTTCACTTCTATATTTCCTGACCTATCTTTCTCCTCTCTCTCCTTTTCTTCCAGTACAGATCCCTCAGTTTCAGACTCTCCATTCACAAGACCATTATTCTCCTTTTCATTATATTCCCCGGCAGTCATTGAAGGATTCTTCTCTCCACCTTCCTCTCCAAAATATTCCATATCATCATCGTCCTCATCATCCTCGTTGTCATTATTGGTCATGTGATTATCATGTGATTCATAATCAGGATCATCCTCAACCTCAGTTTCAGAATTATCATCATTTCCATTCCCTTCAGCTGCCTCTGTTCCTCCTTCATTATTATCAATACTCTTATTATCATCAGTACCGGCGGACTCAATATTCTCTCCTTCTTTGGGCTGATCGTTGGAGGGTGTGACTTCAACATTGTCTTTTACCTGTGGGCATTAATTAGAACTGATTCACACGAGTATACATACCTCTTCTTTCAAAGGTACCCAGTGCTTTGGGACATGGCAATGGACTATTGACTCCATCACATCTTCTCTGTTAACTAGACCACGCCTGCCATACATCTAAATTATGAAAAAAAATGTACTAGCAATGTAAAATTATTGTTGATGGAAATACTGTACAGCATTTTATTTGACCAAAATTTGAGCAACTTTAAAAATTCGTAAACAATGCAAGGTTGATCTGAATCAGCTCAAAATTTTTCAAAACAACATAAGAACATGTATATGCATCAGGAAAAATCATAAAAATGAAGAATTCTCAACTTTTCATTTTTGGAAAAATTTGGCGATAATCCCTGTACTATAGTACAGGGACTTTAGCTCAATTTTGGAGCAACTTTAATAATTCATAAAAAATTCAATTTTGATCAGAATCAGCTCAAACTTTCTAAACAACATAAGAACATGTATACATATCAGAGAAAATCATGAAAATGGAGAATTCTCAACTTTTCATTTTTGAAAAAATTTGGCAAAAATCCCTGTACTATAGTACAGGGACTTCAGCTCAATTTTGGAGCAACTTTAATAATTCATAAAAAATTCAATTTTGATCGGAATCAGCTCAAACTTTCTACACAACATAAGAACAAGTATGTGCATCAGAAAAATCATAAAAATGAAGGATTCTCAACTTTTCATTTTTGACAAAAATTTGACCACAATCCTGTATTATAGTACAGGGACTTTGACCCGAAAATTTGCAAAAGCTATTATGACAAAATACCATGGTTAATTAGTTTCTTTTTAAGAGGTAAATTCATTTGCCTTAGCATTGCAAAAAAATTAAAACCCGACATCTTTCCCCTTTCTTTCCGTCCCTCTTACCTCAGCTTCCCATATATCTTCAATCCCGTTGTGGTGCTTAGCCCAAATTGTCAGCTTTGCATTGGCAGGATATGTCAAGTAACCTTCTTCACGATCAACCTTTCTGTTACGAGTACGACCCAAAGATATCGGAGCTAATAATAAAATAAAAATAATGCAAACATTACAGATGATACGAGATGATTATGTATAATTGGTACAAAGGGATCATTGACGTCACACTTGCTCCATCTCACTTTTGCAATTTTCATCGCAGCAGAGTTTGTATCTAGCATCAGAGAGTGAGACTAGAAGCAGAAAGGCTCCTACATAAAGGGACAAAGAAGGCGCCATTACATAAAGAGCGAGATAAAGAGCAAAGACAGGAAAACCACCTATCTCTTTTGTACACGTTTCAAGGGTGTGGCCCAGAAAGAGTTCGCTCCGCCTAGCAACCCCGCCTCGTAGTTACAGGGCGTGGTCAATATGGGCGTGGTAATGACATCATATTGATATTGATCCAATTGCTGATGATCCTGTGATCTTCACGAGACTGTACACTTCACCTTATAACATTTACTGACTCATCCTCTCCCTCACATTACTTCTAATCGAGACTAAGGCAGACAGGTCTGTTCCACAATGCCGGCTTTTAAAGAGCAAAAGCTGAAAGCTAACCTAAGACTATGTATCAACAGACTGAAGCTACTAGAGAAAAAGAAAAGTGAGAAAAGAAAGAAAAAGAATGAGACTAGTGTCAATAAACAACTGCTTGCCAAATGGACCTATTCATATTAAGTGTTTGTAAGTGTCGTATTATTCCCATAGCTGAACAGGCACTCAAGGCCCGTAAAGAGATTGCAGATTACATTAAAGGCGGACGATTAGAGAGAGCAAAGATCAGAGTTAGTTAACATATCCTATTTCCTCTTCCTTTCTCTCCTCCATCAACATTGCTTTAATATTCCCTTTACTTGAATATTCCCTTGTAACAGGTTGAGCATATAATAAGAGAAGATTATCTTGTTGAAGCATTTGAGATCATTGAACTATATTGTGATCTGCTACTTGCCAGAATGGGAATGCTCATCACTATGAAGTAATCATGTCTTAGTGAAAACTGTAGTGCATTTGGTGTTGTTATAGATATTGTGAAGAGTCGCTCATTGAAGCTGTTCAGACTCTAATTTGGGTCTCACCAAGACTCTGTGCTGATGTTCAAGAATTAGGCGTCGTAAGTTAACGCTATTTTGGACGTATTCATTATTATTAATAATATGATGATAGGTTGAGCATCAGCTAGAGATCAAGTTTGGTAAGGAGTTTGCTACACAAGCAAGATCCAATGCAGCCCAAGTCGTCAATAAAAAGGTCAGTCGTACCTATGTAGATACATGTATTCACTCGCTGTTCATGTTACTTTTTAAGGTTGTCCACCGACTTGGTGTTGAAGCTCCGTCAAAAGCTCTCGTTGAGAATTACATGGTGGAAATTGCCAAGAACTATAAAGTTGAATACCAACCTGACCCTACTGCTTTCATAGTAATGTTCTTATTATTATTATTACTATTTTTTTACATGTACGTTATTTCAATAACCTGTAGGATCCTGCCGAGTTTTCTGCTGACCCAGACGAGAAGCCATACATGCCCGGTGGAGATGATGATGGTTATGGAGGAGGAGGAGGAGGTGAGTCTCTTTATACTCGTGATCCAACTGCCCCTCAACCCATGATTCATCCTGGCTCCGCCTTTCCACCTCAAGCCACACCCTTTCCACCTCAAGCCACGCCTTTCCCACCTCAGGCTGGGCCCCTACCTCAGAAAGGGTTTCCTCCTGGTCCTGGTATCCCTCCTGGTGGCTATAGTCAGCCAGCACCTCCATACACAGAGACTGCTTTACCTTACGTAAGTAACCTGTGTCGTCAGTATTAGTAATTATGTACTCTTGGTATTAGTAATCAGTAATTAGAGTGTTTTAATTAACACGTACAATGTATCATTTTGTTTCTTCTTTAGCCTGTAGCTGGGACTCAGTTGCCAGGACAACAGCCTCCAGCTCTACCACCAACAGGTACAAACTTAAATCTTTCTTCGCTGTAATCTTTATTATTCATTATCATTATTATTATTATTATTATTATTATTATTATTATTATTATTATTATTGTAGGCGGTCCTCTGCCTCCTCCTAATGGAGGGTTGGATCTTCCCCCTGTACCCACTGAAGGTTTTTCATCAACGACAGGCTCAGAGGGAGGAGGCGACGTTGACTTTGATGATCTTACTCGTCGCTTTGAAGAACTAAAGAGACGCAAATAAGAACCAGCTCATCAATATTACCTATCTAAGTCTGAACATTTTCTTTATAATTAAATAAACAAAATTATTATTATTATTATCATATTGTACGTAGCTGATTGTTGCAGTTAATTATTGATTAATTTTAATGACTAAATACAATTATGTACATGTGTATATTAAAATGTTCTTTTTTAATCTTCAGTTGAATTAGTTTTTGTTATTGTCGGAGTATGTTTTTGGATAAAACTTTAATGAGTTCCTCAATATCTTCAGGGCTTGCTTGACTCTTAGTGTTTACTAGTAATTCATTATCAAGCTGATAATCCGGTTTGTATGATGCAAAGTACTACAATAGAGAGAAAGAGAGATAGGGAGAGAAAAAACTAATTTTTTGCCTAAAAAGAGAAAAGGCATTACATCATGTTCTGGTATATCTGTGGGTATTTCTTGCTTTAAGACGAGACTTGTCAAATACGCCCAGCATCTTGCCGTGTTAGAAAAATCATAGCCACCTGCAAACATAATTATGTGAAATAAACATCTTCTTTCAATCAATCAGTCACCTCCTCCTAATAATAAGACTGGTAGTCCCCACTTCATTACAAACTCTATGCAAGCTCCCATTCCTCTTATGGAGAGGTTAAAACTGCCGAGGGGATCGCCAGCAAGACAGTCAGCACCACATTGGACTACAACTACTTGTGGGGTGAAGCTATCGTGTACCATTGACATTATGCTGTATAAATAAATAATCAAAATAATAATATTGTATGAGATACATGCCAAATGTACCTTTTAAAAATATACAAATATTGCTCATCGCTAATGCCATCCCACAGCGGAACATTGACATTGTAGTAAAGACCACTTCCGTTTCCTATTTCAGACACAGAGCCTGTGCCTGCAACAAAAAAACTCATTCCCGTTTTTAGTAAATTGGAACCAAATTACCAGGAAAAAATCCAACAGCATGTTTGTGGAATGAGACAGTAAAAACTTTGGAAGAATAATAAAAAGCATCTTGTACACCTACAGAGAAGGAGTAAGCTCAACAGAATGATTATAAACATAGCACACACCATCACCGTGATGAATATCAAGGTCAATATAAAGTACTTTCTGATAACGTTTCATTAGACACAATATACCAATGACAATATCATTAATATAGCAGTACCCAGACGCCTCATCCCTAAAAGGGAAGCGACATAATATTTTAATTACAAGTTAGAGATTGGACTATTTGGAGCTACTTCTTTCCATGATGTAATCCCCCATGCCAATTGATGGCCACATCACAATGACCTGTCATTAGCAATGAAGTCATGGCAATAGTAGCACCTGCTACACTGGATACATAAGTATAGAGACCATCAAATATCGGACAATCATAATCTGGGAAGAGAACACAAGTGGAAATAATTATTATAAAATTAGTGTATTGAGCAATTAACTTTAGCAAACTTAAATAGTCAATTTAATTATCTTTATTGTGAGTCAACGTACACAATCCATATCTCAATACAGGTGAGTCTTCTTCATCATCATAATCATCATCATTTTCAGACAATGCTTGAGTGGATTTTATATAATCAATATAATCAGCAGAATGAAATAATTTCAACCCTCCCTCAGTTGCCAATGGAGGGGATACTAACCTATACAAGAGTACACATACACATATGCCCTGAGTCTGTAGGATACATACATTAATTGAGAGTGTAGATTGTATGCTTCAATGAGAGAGTAGACTTGATTAGCCTAAATTATGCGGTAAAAAAAACTAAAAGCAATGGTTGATGCAGACTGAGTATTTCATCTAATATTTGATAAAAACGTTACACACTCTCTCTTTAAATTTAGGATGCTTTCCAACTGCTTCCATCAATTTATCAGAATGAGCCATAGCAACTCTTGAGGAATTTTCTCCTGCTGCCACTGCCACTGCCATTGTGTTCCACGTGATTCTAGTATACTAAGGAGACTCTCCTCCGTATACCCTCACATCCCCGTATATTAGTTTATTTATGTCGCAGCAGCGAGCAGGATGAAGAAAATCTTCAAGAAATTGCTGTCTGAGTGCTCATCTAACCTTAAGACTTGTAGATCAGTTTCATTATTAACATGGCTCCTGGTATGTTTCTTTGGTATGGGGTCCTGGGTCGCTATTAATGGTATATGGGCGGAGTTACCTATCCTCCTTGTAACGCAGCCAGAGTGCTACCAGCTAGCTGCTGTATTGAGCGTAACGATACAATTGGCTAATGTAGGACCACTGGTTTATACTATAGCTAAAGTAATATGGTCATCGTGTCGTTACAAGGTCATATACTTGGAGATTGTTGGGGTTTATACAATCATTGGTATTGGGTTAGTCTCTACAGTTCTAATGTCATTCTTTTGGTCAAAGACAGCTTATATAGGAGGAGAGAACTACAGCGTTGTACTCATTATACTGGCGTTCTTTCTGGCCCTGGTCGATTGTACGTCTTCTGTTATCTTCATCCCTTTCATGAAGCATTTCCCAGCCATTTATTTAAGCTCGCTGTATATCGGAGAAGGACTGAGTGGAGTTATACCCAGTGCATTAGCGCTGGTACAAGGATCAGTGAACAACTCTGTTCATTGTAAACCAGGACATGAGAACTACCCCGGTATTAATATATTAGGTATAAGATACAGTCCGCAGGTGTACTTCCTGTTATTGGCCTTCATTGTGTTATTGTGTGGCCTATCATTCACTGGCCTGCTAGTAGTGAAGAGGAAAAAGAAACGGACTCTTGACATTAATGCAATCAGCAGCACTACAACCAGCGATGACGAAGATGATGATGATAATAAAAGTGATCGTTTGATGATCAATTGTTCCTCCGACGAAGACTGCTTGATTAAAGAGAAGGAGGAAGAGGAGGAGATTAATGAGGAGGAGAAAGAACCCAAGGAAAGAGATGATAATGGACAAGATGACCAAAGAGAAGAAAGGAGAGTTAAGCGTTTTAAAATTGAGAAACCGAAATGCCACGAATCACGCTCATTCCTTAGTCAGCTTATACTTATAAGTTGGAAGCAAAGAACTCCGTTAATATGTACGATACTCCTTGGTTTCATCACCAATGGCTCGCTTAATTCAATATCAGCCTATGCTTTTGGTCATTATGGGAACTCAGTACTACATTTAGCTCTTATACTTGGCCTACTGGCAAGCCCTATTGGGTCATTCGTATATAGTTTAGTATCATGTAGATCGAGAATGGTTGTAGTCGTCTTTACTTCGGCTGTTGCTATACTGTCACTTTACATAATGGTCAACTCAATGTTGAGGAGTGATAGTGTAGTTGCAGGAACTACCGGCAGTGTTATTATTGTAAGTTAATGTGAAGGAATGCATACTTGCCATACTCATAACAATAACTATTTTTTGTTGTTTTTTTTTAGATTATTGTTAACGTTATACTCAGTGGGTTATCATCCTATACTAAAGTTACTGTATCAGTTATACTTCACTCCGACAGAACCAGCAGTGACATTGCTTTGTTTCTAAATGGGATATGTAATCAGATTGGCTCCTTACTTGGTGCCATTCTATTCTTTTGCCTTGTGTACTATACATCAATATTTATTCAGCAGTGACACCATTTCCTTTCCTTATTTCCTTTTGATTAGTTTTTAATGATATTCATGCATACATGTAACCATTCAAGAAATAGCTTATAAACTACAAATAGCTAATAGCCACACATCACTGTGATAAAAGTAAAGAATAAAAAGATCAATAATCATCATTGAAGTGTTAAAAAATTAAAACCTTAGCAATGCATGCATTGTCATATGAGAGGAGTGTCTTCATTTTCATTGTCTCCTGACTCTTCAGGAGCAGAAGCTTCAAGCAGTAATGTCTGATTATTTTCATCAGGCACTAATGTCTCATCATTTTCAGCTGTCTCTTGTCTAACAGGACGTACAGGGGGTCGTGGTGGCCGTGGTGGTGGTGAAGGGCGTCCATTATTGTCACCGCCCTCGCTACTCATGCTTCTCTGAATGTCTTGACTCTCAACGTAGGTTGGAGGTCTCTCGTGGAGAGAGGCTATAAATTCGCTGGTAGTTAGTGGAGTGAACTGTCCCTCTCGTATGTAATCAAGATAGTCCTGAGGCGACTCTTGTGGTAGTAATGTTCTCTGAGATGACATCTTGCGGGATCTCAACCAACACGTGACTATGGAGACAAGCGTAAGGGAGACTAACAAGATGGCTGCAATTGTAGTGTAGATCAAAGGATTAAGACCTGGCAGGAATAGTTATATAAATAAATAAATATTGTTATTATAGTTACCTTTGAAGTGATTAGTATTTCTCGTTCTAGATGTTGGCGTTGGTGTTGCTGTTACAGTGATGTGGGATCCACTGGTAGCAGTGCTGCTGACAGTGGATGAAGGTGGATTAAGATCAACACAATAACCAGACCCAAGTGAACCTGAAGTATAAAATATTAACAAATAATAAGGCTTGCATTATCATACATGTACAATGTAACTACAAGTCTATAAAATAATGTGGCATTAAATAATGACTACTGGTTAACTACTAGTCAGCTATATGAACTAACATAGAAGTATGGGTGGAGCAAGGCTGTGCTAACGTAATGTACATACATACATACTACTAAGTTTTGGCTAACTTGTTAAAGTAATGGTGACAGAAAAAGCAGAGTCAGGCACCCCAAAGTATTGACACTTATAAGTTCCACTGGAGGTTGGAGTATAATACATATTAGAACAGGTGAAATCATCTGAAACACTATGTGCCTCCAACGGATCAGTACCAGAAGACTTTAACCACCATACAATTGATTGTCCTCTAACAACATTATCATTTTTATAAATACAAGTCAGTGTCGTCCCAGTACCACATTTATAATGTCCTCCTTTTTTTAGTAGCTGGCTATCACTCGAAGTATCAACACTTATGAAAATGTACGAGTTCTTATCGGGACAAGAGGAGAAGAGACCTTGAGGAAGACAGCATAAAGTATACAAGAAGACCAGTAACATCCTTTGATGAGAAACCATGGCCGGATCCATTGTTATAACCTTGTGGTTGAAATACCAAACTCCTTGGAGGATTTATGCTGAACTGGACTGCATTTTCACGTGACCATGCTCGTTGCTATATAAACAACGACCAGACACACCCATTTGTTGACCACGCCCCAAATGGAAGACTCCCTCTTGTACTTTGGTTTTGGTTCTAATCTCAAATGTCGTAGACTTCAAATAAATTGTCCCTCAGCCCAGTTCCTCTGCAAGGCTGAGCTAAAAGACTATAAGCTTGTATTTGCTGGCTCTTCAATGTTTTGGAAAGGAGGAACAGCAACCATTAGACCCTCACCTGGTGACAGAGTCTGGGGAGCTGTTTGGAAACTGGACCCCAAGGACGTCCCATCTCTTGACATGCAAGAAGGCATTCATTTAGGGATCTATAACAAAATGTCGGTTACTGTCATTAGCGATGAAGGGGATAGTAAGAATGTCATAACTTACGCAAGACCTCAAGAGGTTCCAGTTGCAGCTCCATCTCCTCAATACTTACAGGTCGTGTTGGAGGGAGCTGGCGAGTGTGGCTTACCTCAACAATACATTGAGGAGTTGAACAAAATCGAACACAATGGATACGCTGGGAATGTTGTTTTGACTGAAGACTATGTCCTATGAACATTTTGTATTATTTTTAGTCTACAATATTTATTAGGGCTCTTGGTATTATTATCAAGAGTATGGAAAAACTATTTATTTTTTGTTTTCTGCATGAGGATTGTGTAAATAGAGATACGTGGGCGTTAAAATATTGAGCATACAAAATGGAGGAGTCCTTGTACCATTTCTCATATGCCTCTAATCTCAAGGCTCAGTGGCTTCTTGGTAACTGTCCCTCCGCCGTGTTCATCTGCATAGCTAGAATTGATGGCTACAAGATGTCTTTTTGTGGCTACTCCGAATCTTGGAAAGGAGCAAAAGCAACCATCATTAGTTCCCCAGGTGACAGTGTGTGGGGTGCTGTCTGGAGGGTCAGTCCAGATCACGTGAGCTCTATGGACTCTGAAGAAGGAGTCCACTTGGGTGTATATAATAAGCTAGTGTTAAGAGCTAAAAGTCCAGATGGGGACAAGGAATTTGATTGTATTACGTATGCAAGGCCAGAGGATGTACCCCTGGGGGCCCCCTCACCTCAATATCTCCAGACCATATTGGAGGGGGCAAGAGAATGTAAACTGCCAGAGTATTACATTGAGCAATTGAGCAAAACAGAACACAATGGATACGCTGGTACTCTGAACTTAAGTAACAATTATTCTGTTAAAATCTCTTAATTATAATAATAATACATTATTATCTGTTAAAATTTGATGGGGATGCCCAGTGTAATTATGAATGCTTTGGAATCGATTATACAGTTTGATTATGCGGAGTGGTTGGTTTCAATAGTTCTTCTATGGTGGCAAAAGCGGCTGCTCCCAGTCCATTCTCAGTCATGAGTTTAAGACATTGTGAAGCCTGGCCTAGTGCAAACTCCAAAGGAGGCTTGTTATTCTCTACAGAATAGAGGAAGAGAGAGAGAGGAGGAGTACAGTTCATACATGTACATTAATTACATGCATATAATTCAGCCATTACTATAGAATGGAGGAAGAGAGAGAGAAGAGTAGAGTATGCACATGTACATGTACATTAGTTATATAATGCCCATAGCATCCTTATTCTATCATTACTAGTATCATACCACTCTCCCTCCCTCTCTCTTACTAAGAATGGCTGAATTAAGTGCAGCAGTAACTGGCTCTCTTTGTGATGGCTCCAATAAATAAGCAACAGGACTAGAGTGAGGGTCAGCATAAGCTAGTAATGAGAATACATCCTGTAATAATGTCTGTAACTGATGACTCCCCGACTGATGGCTCTTCTTGCTTATCTGGTTATACAAGCTTTGCAGCTCTCTACCAAACAGTAGGAGCTGCTCCACCGCTCCTGGATCCTTGTCAAGATTAATAGGAGTAACCACATCTATTATTATACAAGAAATTAAGAATTAGAGGCATCATAAATCGTTAGCTATACCGTTTGACTCTGTTTCCATGCTCTCGTCTTCAACTTCACCATTCTCTCTACCTTCTTCTGCTCCTCTCCCTGGAAGGGTGTCATACCCAGCAATGGTTTCTATGAACTGATGACACAAGACACGAAACAATAACTCCTGGTCAGAGTCAAATAGTCCTGGGTGGAGCCTGTTCACCATGGAAACGGCTTGACTGACACGCCCACACATCATCAGTGATTGTATTTCTTTAAAGAAATCAATGTAAATACACATTGTACATATGCACATGTACAACACATGTAGGCCATAAAAATAAAGAAAATTCAATAAAAAAGTCCTTTGGTACAAAAAGCATGCTGTATCACCATTACATGTACATGTAAATACTTTGTCTGTTGGTCATGGATTCTTGACTCTCCTCCAGTTGCTGTCCAGTATCGGCAGCTAATGCTACAGCAGTTGATGTATAACCATGATGAACCAAATAGCCAAGAACAAGCCTAAAGGAGATGAGCCCAGTCCCAGTATGGTGGATCAGCTAGTGGACTAACTTGTGGAGGTTGGCCTGCCACACTCCTTCACCCTCGGCTACTGGAAGCTCCTGAATTTGGAGTCTTGTTTTATACTTCATCTCCTAATATAAAAATCCAAATTTGATCATAATCAGTTAAAACTTTCTACACAACATAAGAACATGTACATGTACATGCATCAGAAAAAATTAGGTGTTATTGTTCTTATTGTTATTAATGAAACTTGTACTTACAGTTAGCAGTGCTTCAAAATTAAAAGCAAATTGATCTTCTCCGAAATTCCCCTCCACAATCTCTCCAGGGGTCTGAAGCCCAACTGTAGGATAAAGCTGAAGATTAGCCTAATAATAAAACCACATCCCCATCACACGTTACCATGGTTACAGGCAAACAACTTACTGGAACATCCGAAACAGCAGTACCTACATGTACGTGTATTAATACGAAGAATAAAATTCTCTCTCTCTCTCTGTCTCCACTTACCTAATTTGATGCCATTTTTTGTAAAGAATATAGATCGATCAACGAGATTAAAGCCGCACCCAACCACGTCGCCAGTTGTGAAGGTGGGGCCAAACTGCTGACCCGTACCTGATGAACTGAAGACACACCCATCATCGGCATGGTAACCATACGAGCTTTTCTCCCAACCTACAGTACAATGCAAGTACGTTCATGATACATGTACAAGTACTAAATTTCGAATTTAAAAAAAACAATTTTCTGCATAACATAAGAACAAGTCATACAAATAAATGGCCAAATTTTAAATAATTCATGTACATGTACATGTAAATGTACATGTACTACATGTAAATCTATTTTGATCAGAATCAGCTCAAAATTTCAACAGATAGTGTACGTGTATATAATTACTACTCCATACCTGGTAATTTGTTTAAGCTCACACCAGATGCTGACATACCAATGCCGATGTGTCTAATAATAATAATAATAATAATAATAATAATGAAAAAATTAAAAGATTATAAAATGCCCTACCCGTCCTTTCCTTTACTGATGACTTTCACTTCATAATAATACACACCACAGCCAGTTGGTATGGGATGATTGGATCGGACTGCCGCAGCGTCTTTATGATTCTTACCACTGCCTGGAAGAGGAAGGGAAAGAGAGGGAAGGAGGAAGAAAAGGCTTAATGTACATATTGATGCTAATTATATGACCCCTCAACCCCATTTTGATTTAACTAACAGACTTTCCCTTCACGCTACATACATGTACATGTACGTGTACATGTATACATGTACGTACATATACAGGAACTATTGTTGAGACAAACTATTAGATGAAGGTTAAGATGCATCTATAATGGCTATATTGATGTATGATTAGGTTTCATAAAGTTGAGAGGTTTGTGTATATCTGTGTATGCACCTTTATAATGAACTCTGAGGTTATTCTGTGAAAGGCCGATATAGGAATACTTATCTTTCGAGCTCCACTGACGAGGGAGATACGTCTCCTTCTCGTCTACTTGAGGGTAAAGATAGGAGAGTCTCTTGGCCTCGTTTGTAGTCACTTCCATTTCTCCTCCTCCTTCAACTGACGCCATTTTGACAAATTTCTAATTATCCGTCCAGCTTGTTTCTAATTTTACAAAAAGGAATAAATTTCATAAACTACAAGTTCAAACTTGGAATAATTATTAGCTCGAAAGATGCTAAAGCTCTCTCAGAGAAGATTATGCTTGGAAAGCGGGAGATTATGGAAAAGATCACTAAGAACAGGTAGTGCCTGCGCTTCACCTTCTTCTGGACCTGAGGATGCACAATCATTAGAAGCTAAGACCCCCAAAGTCACAATTGAGCTAAATTCCTCTCCATTTGACACCAACCTCATGATAAAGCAACTTCAACAGATGGGTATACAAATATAGATGATCCTATTATGTTACTTGCAAATTGGTATCTTTATGTGATAGGTTTTTCACAAATCCAGTCTGAAGGTCTTGTAGCTATATTAATCAAGCTAGGTTCTCAAAAAGCCGACTTAAGTTCAAAAGATCTAGTCAGCAATAGCTCCTAATCCTAGTATTATTATCATATTCTTTGTTATGCAGGATTTATTGGAGCTACGAATCAAATCTAACATTGAAGCTGTCAAGTGAATGATATTAACTAACTATGCATTACTTTATCATTATTGTTATTATTATTATTATCATTTATTATTCATGACATAGACATAGTCAAGTTCTACTTAAAGAAGGTAGCCTATCGCAGCTTAGAGATAAATCAGATGTGAGGAGATCATAACTCTCAAAAATTTATCATTAGTACAAATTTTAATAGGATCTGAGAGCTGAAATTGGAAGACTGAAAGAGAATTTAAAAGTAAAAAAAATGTATATCTAACTTTCATCATTTTTGTGTCTTGTAGGACGAAGTTACTAAAATTAACAGCGGTGTTCAACTGGATATCAATCTTGAAAGAAGTAGAAACAAAGAAAATGTTAGCCTTTTCCTTTTTTCCCTACTATTACTTTCTCCTCCTCTCTCTGTTTCTCTCCGTTCCTTCTTTTAACATAGGAGACTATCATTAACCAAAAGATCAAAGACACTCATAATAGAATAGACACAGAGGTAAGTTAGATCTATTCCATGGATGAGCACATCTATTCCAGTGCTGTCTAGCAATAATGTGTTAATGATAGTATTATGCACTGTGTCAAAATACAGTGACTTTTATTTATTATCTGCTCTTGCTTTTATGATAGGTTGCATTGTTGAGGACAGCAATGGAATCCAACAAGGTAGATACACTGAAATATACAATAGGTAAGGAATGGAGGGAGGGATTGTGCATCCAAATGTAAACATGTCTACTCCTCATTAGGTGGTGTTTTCACAATGGCTTCTGTATTTCTGGCAATATGGAGACTTTTGAAATGATATATAACTTTGCCATTGATTCTTTTTTTTGAATTAATAGATTGATTATTTATTTTAAAAATAATAAGTTCTTATAGTGAAACATAAACAAGAAATGAAAAGAAGGAAAGTCAAGTGTAAAGACATAAATAAGATTGACTGCATCGGTAATTAAACAGAAAAGTCAAGAGAAGAGAAATTAACCAATGCAGTCTCAGGTGATGCTAGTTGACTTGATCCTTGTCCTTTTTTATGATTTCCAATATAAACCTCTAATTCCCTCATCATGAACTTTGCATTCCTTTTTGCAAAGTTACCAACGCCTTGCAGTATGTTACCTAGCTCCATCACTCCTTTCCTATGCCTGCGCCAATTGTGATAAAAGCTAACAAAAATTGATGCATAAAAGTTATTGCAGACGGAGATTACTTGCTCAGAGCGATTGCACTCCTTCGATAAATACCCTTCTCTGAGTGCCTGGATTGTAGTACACGTTATATTGAGTGATATGACACAGAATGGAAGTGGAGTTGAAGTGGATTTGGAATATTGGAATATATCTAGTGCGATCGGTGAGAGTCTTTGTGAGTCTATAAACCACAGGAGCTGGAACAAACCAAGCATACCAACACCTCTGAAATCATCGGTCGGATCGCTGCCTTGAAAACCAATGTCCTCCCAGTGGGATCCAAAACGAGAGCAGGGAGAGGAGGAACCAGAGAGACGCTGGTATACAGTTGAAAGTGCTCTCAAGTGAATGGAGTTGTGATCATCAAACTTGCATAGCGCCATGGCGAATACCAGGTTCCTCTCACTGTGGAGTTGTTTTGATAATCTTGAAGGGCCAAAAACTTTAGAGAACTTTGACCTGGCAGGTACTTCCGGTTTTATTTGAGAGAGTTGCTCGCTGAGGTCTGCAGATTTGAAGTGACTCAGTAATTCTGTGGAAGCGATCCTCTTATGAGAGAGTCTCTCTGTTCTTCTCTTGTCTTCTCTTACTAATTGTATTGAAGGCACTCGATCCCATTCATCCACTGCTTTCTCATATATTGACGGAGTCCTTGGGGTGTGGTCATCTTCCATCAGATCAAGGGTGTGGTTTTCAAGTAGACTGAAACCTTCCTCATTATTTGAGAACCTAATGACGTGATCTGGTACCAAAGTCCTGCTATCAGTCGAAATACCTTTGGGCCCCATTTGAACGTAATGACCTTTGACCCCAATGTCCTTCAACTGCTCTGCACCTTTGGTGCTAACATTAAGCACCACCCATGGTTTACCAGAGTACTGAGCTTCCCTGAACGACTCATACGTAGTGCCATAAAGATCACCGTCATCAGGGCTTGCTTTTACTATACTGGTAGGAGGGAAAGACGAGAAACTTTGCCGAGGAGAGACTGCCTGTGCGGAGTATGATGAAGAGTTCGACCTTGAAATTTGGACGTACTCCATAAAGTGTCCTTGTTTGACTTTCTGCAAGAAATCCCCACGAGACACAAAGTAGTAATCCCTTGCATACATCTCACTGGGTCTCGGGGAGCGTGACGTGTGAGAAATCACAAGAGAGAACTTTTGCGGCGAGAGATAGACGAGTTTCTTGACTAGAGTACTGAGTCCAATCCCTGAGGGTCCGTATATTATAAGGATGTCTGGAGATGGGGGTAGAGGAACAGAGGCATGGCTATTGGTTACGGATTGAGTGGAAGAGGAGGGAGAGGAGGCTGATGATGGCGAAGTGATTTTCTTTGGTTGCTGGAAAGCTACTTCATCACTTGTTCCTTTAATGACACCTAATGATAACAAACAATAATAACTGAATTAACAACTCTCTCTCTCTCTCATGCTTACCAGTAGCTGATCCATTAGTTTTTGCACCAGTTAGTGTATCATTTGTATGTGGTAGTACGTTGACTGCATTATTTACAGTCTTTGCTTCTAGTAATGGAGATTCGGTTGCAGACTCCATTATTGCTGGTAAAGGAGCTTTTGTCAGTGAAGTGGTTGCATGAATTGAAGTAGTTGGATATTTAGATGAATCCTTTGAATTGCTAGTGTCATCTAGCGCCAGAGAAAGGTCTGCATCCTGTGAGATACAAATGATTGGTACAGCTACTGTGCTCTTAGACGGAGTCTCATCTTCTTCCCAGGAGAAGTCATCATCAGGTTGATTGCTGGAAGGGGATCCATACGTGAAGCTACGTGGGCTTGTAGCAACTATGTACGCCTTTTCTGCCTCCCATTCCAATCCCTGGAGCTCTTCTTCCTCTTCTTCGAGATCCATTCTCTTTCTAAAAAGTGCTATTGTTTATTTCTCTTCCCAACCACACCTATGGAAAAACTACGAGCCCCACCCATAATCAGCTTACGCCCACGCTCCAACGTGCTGTCATCAAGGACAAAAATGTCTTCTGAGAGATTTTTCCAAGTCTTTTCCAGAATATTGAAAGACAAAGGTGAGTTTTCATCACTTGATCTGAGACACTTAAGTATGCCATTTATAGGACCTGACTCGATACCGAAAGATTTGTTGGAAGAACTGACTTTACAAAGAGAAGATAGACTATTGTTAGGATCAACTTTCCTAGATCAGTTTGTACAGCTCAACTGGACTGGGCCAAAAGATGCTGTATCTCATCGCATCAACAATGAAGAACAAGTAGTATTTTATGTACCGGCTTATGATGTAAATCCCTCTAGGTATTGTTTAATAAATGGAGCATGAAGGAAAGGTCTAGTGGTGATGAGGTATGGAATTAATTATTATTATTATTATTATTATTATTATTATTATTATTATTATTATTATTATTATTATTATTATTATTACTATTATTTGTAGTGTTGGTATGAGTTAGTTGATTCACCATATCTCCTTTATCTCTCGCAACTTTTATTACTTGATAATGACAACAAAGTGAGTAATGGTATTATTGGAGTTCATACACTGCTCCCTCTCCTATTAGGATAAGAGTATAATGGAGTTACTGTGGTCCTGTCGGTTGGTTTTCATTGAGCAGCAGCTAATCCTCCAAAAGAGCGATAGACTATGGCAGCAGATGAAAGCTATGATTGGTTAGTGATACTCAATGCTTCGTTATTGTAATTTTGTTATTTTTGAAAGGAATTATTGAGGAACAAATAAAGAATGGAGACTCTTTGGGGTACTTTTAAAATATTCTAATTTTATTTCATCTTATTATTATTATTAGGAATATTTCATTGGCTGCTCTTCATTTGGAATTGTCTCATTATTTGCTTTATTATTATAATTTTGACTCTGCAGAGGTCAGGATGAAGCTCATTTAGATATATTTCTATACATTTATTAATTTTTTAGAATCATTTGCACAAAGCACAAGAATCTGCCGGAATTGTTGTAGAACTGAGTGGAGCTTTAGGCCGTCGGACAAAATTTCAGGAAAAAGATGTTGCACAGCTTCGTGTGAAAATAACTTCGTCATCTCCTTCTCTTCCCTCCTCCTTCCCCTCTCCTCCAATGACTGCTGGCTTACCTAAAGTAAGTAGCACAGAATAGTCTATTTATTGCTCTATTTATTGTACAATAATTTCATTTTAAGTATATTCCTTGTAGGATATTCAGTTGGATGACGACACTTTATTAGCAGTTATTGAATATACTGAAGATGAGGCAGAGGATGGGTGTTCACCTACTCACCTAACGACACTTCAGCAAGCAGTGATTTTAGGAATATGGTACTCATTCTTATTATTGAAATCCTATGTCATGCTTTTATTGAACAGTAAGTATGAGAAATCCAGTGGACCTTTTGATAGACTCACCAACGAAGAATTAGAAGCTTATTTGAATGTGAGTAGCTAATAGCTTGTAATTATGAGGCTGCTCTCTCTGTCCTTCTTCCAGTGTGTACTAGCTTCTCCACAGTCATGGTGTGTTCAAATGTCAGCATTATATAATCGCTCGGTATTACAGAAAGGAAAGCACAGGACAATGGAGAGATCAATGACACAGCTACAAGTAATGATCTTTATATGTTTAGTGAATTAATGATTATTAATTAAGGAATTGGTGGACTCTGTCACAAGACCAGCTTCTACAGTATGTGGTTATTATAATTTTATTTATTATTATTTTTTATTATTATTTATTATTATTGCATAGGAGGATGGGACCATTGTAAAGAGAATGGAGCATTTCTATTGCATTTATTCACCTCCTTTCTGGGACATTGAGGCAAATAATCTTAATCATCAATAATAAATTTTTCTCTGTATTATTATTATTATTACTGATAACTATGCTACTATTTTTGAAGCATTTTATCCTATTTATAGAAGCAGCTGGCTGATGTGTTGGCTAGTATGGGGGCATCACTGAGTGCCCTTGAGATATACGAGAGGCTCCACTTGTGGGAGAGAGTGATATCCTGTTACCAAGCAGCAGGGAGGCTCTCACAAGCTGAGAGGATTATTAGAGAGAGATTGGAGGCTGATGGGGAGAGCGTGTTGCTATGGTGTCTCCTTGGGGACACAACTCAAGTTAGTAATACTAATATTAATAATAATAATAAATATTGTTTTGTGATGGACTGTTTAGGATCCAGATTGCTATCAGAAAGCATGGACACTCTCAAATGAAAGAAGTTCAAGGGCCCAGAAATCTCTTGGACTGTATTACTTGTCAAAAGAGAAGGTTCTAGCACCATTATTATTATTATTATTATTATTATTATTATTATTATTATTATTATTATTATTATTATATTTTTATTTAATTATAATTTTATAGTATGACGAATGCGTCAAATGTCTTCACAAATCGGTTCAAATCAATTCACTTCAGGTAACGAGTAACCTGTATTATTTTGGTTTTACTTTCTCGTTAGGAAGGGGTGTGGTTTACACTAGGTCATGCCGCAGCGCAAATTGATGACCATGCACTATCAGCCAAAGCTTATCGCCAGTGTGTCACTTTAGAACCTGACGTAAGAGTTGTAAGCATCATAATGGTTACTGCATGGTTCTTCATAGAATGCTGAAGCTTGGAACAATTTGGCTAGTGCATACTTGAAAAAGAAAGACAAGTAATGATAATATTATTATTATTTTAATAGTAATAGTGGTTTTTACGAAGTCTTTAGCCTTTCTAAAAGACCTCATCTTCTTTCTCTCTCTCCTTCCTTCTCCACTGCTCTCTTTCTCTCTCTAGGCTGCGTGCTTTCAATTCATTTCAAGAAGCTCTAAAGTGCAATTATGAAAATTGGAAGATCTGGGAGAACTATCTTCTTGTACGTTATGTTATTGCATGATCTCCCTATTGTAGCACCCCCTGCAGGTCAGTATAGATATCGGTGAGATCACTGAAGCTATAAGATCATATCACAGACTAATGGACTTACGTCATAAGCACTTGGACTCTGAGGTACTTGGTTTCTAGTTCTTCCAAATTAGGGCCAAATTTTGTAAAAAATGAAAAGTAGAGGGTTCTTCATTTTTATAAATTTTTCTGATGCATGTACATGCTCTTATGTTGTGTAGAAAGTTTGAGCTGATTCCGATACAATTTGGATTTTTTACGAATTTTTTAAGTTGCTCAAAATTTGGGCCAAAGTCCCTGTACTATAGTACAGGGATTTTGGCAAAATTTTGCCAAAAATGAAAAGTAGAGAATTTTTTATTTTTATAAATTTTTCTGATACCTATACATGCCCTTATGTTGTGTAGAAAGTTTGAGCTGATTCCGATACAATTTGGATTTTTTACGAATTTTTTAAGTTGCTCAAAATTTGGGCCATAATCCCTGTACTATAGTACAGGGATTTTGGCGAAATTTTGCCAAAAATGAAAAGTAAAGAATTTTTTATTTTTATAAATTTTTCTGATGCATATACATGCTCTTATGTTGTGTAGAAAGTTTGAGCTGATTCCGATCAAAATAAATTTTTTTACAAATTAAAGTTGTTCAAAAATTGGGCCAAAAACCATGGGTTATAGTATTACATGGTGCTATTAATTTTTGTCAAAATATTGGTGCTCAAAATTGGAAATCACTAGCAATGTTCCTTGCAAATATTTTTCAGATTTTAAAGATAATAACAGACTCTGTTTTGGACTTGGATGAAGACAAGCAAGACAAAAGTAATGCCATTCTCTTAGGATATCCCCCATATTCATTGCTGTAGCTGGTAATGTGAGGAAGAAACTAGGTGAGCTATTAGCTCGCTCTATTGCGGAGGTATATATGCCATTTGTGGTAGGCATGCAGGGTTTATAATTATATTGTTTCTTAGACTACTGGTAATTCTGAGCTCTGGGAAGTTGCATCACGTTTTCATTTGAGCAGCTCACTGGAGAGTGATAAAGAAAAGGTACATTACTTCAATCAGTACATTATCTCAATTGTTTCTGTATAATTATTAGTAATATATTTGTGCATTTTAAATCTATTCTGTTCTTAGGGTATCATTGAGCTACAGAAAGCGCAAAGAACATCACGTCAAGTTCCATCTTGGGAGAGAGAGGAGTCCTCAAGAAACAGAGTCATTCATTTGACACTCCATTACTCTAAAGGTAAGGCCAGAACAGCATCAAGAGATTATTGTGTGTGTGTTTTGAAAGATATCATCAACTCATGCTTTTAAATTGTTTGCACTACTTAGTTTGTCGTGAATCGGGAAAGAAAGATAATTTGTTTTCTGCAAGAATGGCATTGAAGAGTGTGATCAGTATACTCAAAGTAATAAATAATCATAATTATTATGTATGTGTGCATCTATGATGATTCACATGTTGCTATAGGGTATGGAAACAGGATTCATTCCTGGAGAACAGTTGTTGAAGCTTGAAGATGAAATGCAGCTTTTAACAGAGTACATCTAATTTTTTAATTGTATTATTTTGCTATTCTTTTGTGTGTAACAATTTAATTTATCATTAATATAATTATAATTATAATAAATTGTCATGCTCGCCCCGGCCCCCTCAATGTTAATTAATTGATTGATGAGTTGATTAATAAAATGGCGGGCATGACTTTCACTCCTGGTGTGCTAGAGTCCAAGCTAAGGGACCTCAACTCTACAATGCAGAGCATACAGGAGCTCTCACAATGGCTGATAAATAACAAGAAACACGCTAAGTCAGTGGTGGGCATATGGTTCAGAGAAATGCAGAAAGGTATTGAATACTAAGACATCATATATATATGTACATACATATAAATGAATTTTTGCTATTATATTTCTTTATATATTATATTTTTCTATAGCTTCTTCAAGTAGAAAGCTCACTCTGGTGTATCTTGCCAATGACGTTATTCAAAACTCGCGTCGCAAAGGACCAGAATATAAAACTGAGTTTGCCAAGGCACTCCCTCGGGCACTTCATCTTGTTGCAAAGTAGGCCTCGTTGCTATGTCAACTGTTGCTATAATGACCGTTGCTATAGAGACAAGGATCAGAGCGTTACCAAATCAGTGACTCACGTGATATCAATATGGAAAGAGAGGCGGGTTTTTGAGGACGAGACCATTAGCAAATTTAATACGATTCTGAGTAAGGGTCTCTTTCTATTGTACACCATCTTTTTATGTGTCAACTCTCTTTCTCCCTCTCTCTTTTTCCCCTCTCTCCCCTCTCTCTCTCATCAGGCAGTGGTCATTATAAAAGATCAAAGAGTGAATCAGATGCATTATCTACTAGCTCTAGAGTTGAGGAATCATCATCAATGGGTGTGGTTATTGATTCTGAGACAACTCCGCCCCCTCAAGAAGACCCACCTAATGGTAGAGAACCTCCTCAGGTAAAAATGACCTTTTACCTCAAGGGGGGTTGTCTGCAGAGGAGGTAGGACACGGTTGACCTTTGAGCAATAATTGCAAAGTTGGAAAATGGAATAATTGCATTCCATTGGTATCACGTGATAAAAAATGGCAGCTTTCTGATGATTGTATCACAAAACTAGCTACTACTGCAGAAACTAGAGAGATCTATGACGACCCTTGACAGTTGTTAAAATCACCATTGTGTGGAGAATATTTCTTCTTTAATTATAGACATGAATATAAGAAGGAGAAAGAGACAGTGCATCTTAACTTTGATTCTCTTTTTTACTTCATCAGATAAATCAATCTTCGCTAGTTTAAGATATTAAAAATTACTGCAACTATCATAGTTTCTAGTGAATTAATGAAAGTCCCATTGACTCTATCTTGATGCTCTAAATTATTGTTAGAATTGGTACTCAGAGTGGTACTAGTGGAAGAATTTGGCCATTTTGCATCACGTGATACCAATGAAATGCAATTGAACTTCGCAATTATTAATCAAAGGTCAACCGCGTCCTACCTCCTCTGGGTTGTCTGTCTGTAGGCATTAGGAGGAGGTTCTTATATTGTTCTCCATTGTAATGGGTCCCAGCCTTGTTCAATAATATTGTTATAATCATATTAGGTTGATGTATTGCTGAAGCTTATGACCTCAGTAGATGGTGAGAAGTCAGCAATACAAGACATGGCACTTAGACAAAGGATAGCCAACTTTCCCTCTCATCTCTACGACGTTGACATACTATCAAAATTAAAGAGTGAGTGAGTCCTTCTTGTGAGATAATGTTAACTTAATGATCATATACTAGGTAAGGAGGCATGCCAGGAGCTGTTGGAAGAAGTCAAAGAGCCTCTTGAGATATTATCTCAATATACAAAGAAGATGGAAGATGAGCTAAAGGAGAGACAAGAGATAGAACAGTTGCTGGAGAGCTTTCTGTGGCTGCATCAATGTCTCCTTTATAAAGCTAGAGAAAGACAGAAAGTCCGCATTTATAATTATTACCTTATACTAATATCAGTCTTATCTTATTGATAGGATTATAGGCAGAAGATGGAGCAATGTCAACACGTTAAAGTGACTCTCAATTCACATATTGCAAGTCTTCCTGATTTAGCTGCTCCTAATTCAGACTCTTTAGCTCCACTACCATCAATTGGAGATCTTTTCTCTTAATAATAATAATAGTAATAATAATAATAATAATAATCATTATGCCTGATTCATTTTTTTGTGTTGTTCATTAAATTTTGTTAACAATTGAGATCTCCATTATTAATAATTTTAATTTGACTCATTATTTTATTGATGATCCACGTGGAATAACAGCGCTACTCTTCACTGAAAGAAGTTAGCTGGGAGAAGTCGAGTGTACTGCTAGCCTGCTCTGCTGCATCGAACAGTCGCACGAAACTTTCTGGTCATCTGAAGGAGCTGCATAGCCATAGATCTAGAGCTATTTGTCCTAGTTTCTTTGGAAAGTTCTGTTGTTTAGCAATGTTAGCCCTCATCGTCGTAAAGACTCCGCTGCTGTTCCTTTCCCTGCTCATTTCATTTTCAGTTTATACAAGTGGAAAGGAGCATAGCCTTCCTAATAATAAAGACTTCTGCCTTGCGGCAGTCGATCTCCAGCAAAAAGCAAGACCAAACGAGACTGCTGTGCAAGATTGCTGCGATGCCTTTCTCCTTGGTGGAAGGACTGGAGTCTACTGGTACAGGAGCGTTGGGAGGACTCACAGGGTGTTCTGTGACATGACGACTGCTGGTGGAGGATGGCTAGTGATTTTACGAAGACTCAAGGAATGGCCAGTGCATGCAGGTAATCCTGATTACTTTGAGAGGTACTACAATCCGGAGGACGAGCAAGGAGACTACCAGCGAGGATTTGGCTCACTTGATCAAAACTTTTGGTTTGGCTTAAACAAACTTTACAGGCTTACCAACAGATCAAACGTGTATGCACAGGCCAGATTTGAATTTACTGAATATGAAACTGGGATCGAGTACTGGGTAGAGTATGACACGTTTGCAGTTGGACCCAAGACCAGTGATTACACTCTGACTATCGGGAACTACACTGATGGGAATTTACCCGATATATTCTCTGTGCTCAATGGCTGGACCTTCAAACCAGGAAATATTTGTCGCCACAATAGTTCATGGTGGTATCCCAAACTTGACCGTCGCAAATATTGGCTCTGTAGATGTCTTACTCCGTTTGTAACCAACGAGGGTAGTGCCGTGTCTAGATTTGAGGATGCCTGCTTAGAACCTCGACATGACCATTTAATGCCTTCATTACCGCCTAGTCATTATGAGATTATAATAGACACAATGGAAATAAAGATTCGTTTTAAGAGGTATCCTTGTTCTCATCACGTTCACTCAACTACATAAACTGTTCAACCACTGTCACTGAATTATTAGTATTTTGAGAACTATTTAATCATTGTTTCATTTCTTCCAATTTACTATTAGTAACTCATATCTACAATATCATAGAAATCTTTTTGTTGTTCTTGATCATCAAGACCATTATTGTCATTTGTACATGATTAAAAAGTTCAACTATTTTCAATAATAATGATTAAGAATGTTAACTAATACATTACAAGAGCAATAGCTAATGATAATGAGATTGTGAGTGCATGAATGGCAGAATAAATTATTTAATAAAAGTTATAGCGACTATCGTTATCATTAATGGTGGAATAAAGATGATATATTCTTAAGAATAAATGGTGACAACTTCAAGTCCTCCTCCTCTAACCATCAATACCCTATCCAGCCCTTCAGTTAGCACATCAAGGAACTCCATATCTAGCATCATTGTACGTTAAGATAATAAGAACAATAGAGACATTGCAGTACCATTAGTAAAATATCAATAAAATGTAGCTTTTTTAAAAGCAAAACATGTATTTTCACTACACAGCCAATAGTTGAAATCAGGATCAGGATTGATGCTAGCCTGAATCAGTACTGGATCATGCATTTTGGGCAATCAGTCACGATACAATGATGAAATCAGTTGCGACACTATCATGAAAAGGTTTTGCAGTTCAGGTCAGAGTATCAGGCATGATCAGCAATGATACTTGTCAGGACTGTACCAGTACTGATATCAGACTTGATTCGTTCATTTTGGGCAATTTTGCTGATTCAGGCATGATTACTATTGGCTGTGTAGATTTACATTTGATAAACCACAAAGTTGTTACAGGAAAGCCACACAGTATCAACCACTGTCACCAAATTTACAAATTACATGCATTGCATTATGCATTTAAAAAAGAAGTAGCTTAAATTAGGATACAGTTTTCTTCTTTTCCAGGGTCACTAGGAGGCGTAGGTAGATTGACAATAACAAGCGAAGCGTCGTGACTCTTCTCAACTATCAACTCGTTTAATTTCACTGACGTGTTCATGCGCAATAGATTCTCCTGTTGACTAAATAAGAGAGAATGTCCAATAAAAAAAAGACAATTTATTTACAAAAAAAAACATCTAATTCTGATTAGAATCAGTTCAAACTTTACAAACTCACATGTCCTTATAGAGTCCTTCCTTATCCTTTTCTTCATTTTCTTTCCCGTCATCAAAGAGCTTATCAAATTCCTTGATGTTTGTTGCTTCAGCCAGGCGGGGCTTTAGAGGCGTGGTCCCAGAAGTGGGAGGAGCTAAACCTGAAGGAACAGCCAGGAGTGGTGTTTGTACAGTAATGTCATCACTATCGCTTGAGCTATCGTGGGCGTGACCGAATTTCAGAGCTGAATGGGAGTGGCACATAATACCATTCAATACCATGCATAGTGGGTGGGGATAGGTGGGCGTGGCCAATGGACAATTGAATTGAATTGATATAGTGATACACATTAACATCCAATGTAGGCCTCGCAGGTGCATGAACAATAATAATAATACATGTACATGTACTACGTAGTAGAACATGATTTACTTTTGGCGGGAGTGGTAGCAGCTGCTTTAACTTCTTCAGTGTGTGCCTCTTCAGCTTTAGTCATTGGTTTAGTACTGTCTGGCGATCCTTTTATTACTGACGTGCCTCTTGTGAAAGATTTCGAAATGACAGATTGGATCTAAGAGAAAAAAACAAAGAAATCAAAACTTGCATATACTGTACCATTTCATCTATCAATCATCTCTCTCTCTCTCTCTCTCTCTCTCTCTCCTTACCTCTTTCCTACTCTCTTTTCTAGTTAATCTCATCTTCTTCAATAGCTCATTCCTCTGCTCCATTACTAATGTCCTCTCATAAGTATAAGCTGATATATCAGTATTAGGCTACAAAATAAAGAAATATCCTCATAATATATAATATACAAAAGCTCACATATCAGATATTGAGCTGTACACACATACATATACAATGAATGTATGTCTTTATTTTTTCTCACCATTTCTATTACATCTACTTCAGCTTCGATCCTCAACTGATAAAGGAACACAGCCAGGTCTCTCTTCATTTGAATGCTGTTGTCCTCCAGCTGGGCAACTGTGAATATTCGGAGCTGACAATGTTTCCAGACTTTGTGTTTACGCAATAAGAATGGGAGGAGCATCAGCAAACCGCCATCATCTGGTATGAAGACCGTTAAGAAAGTAACAAATTACACATACAAGAGATAGAATGCATAATTATTTAATTATACATGTACATGCACATGTACATGTAAATGCATTGTACATGTACATTGTACAAAAGAAAAGAGAGAGAAAAAGACTTTAAAAGAGAAAGAGAGACAGGAGGAGGGAGGAGGAGGAAGAGGATACGGACAATCCACCAGACATCAATGGTCTTCTTCATTCTATCAACATTGCTCGGGAACCAATTGATTCCTTTTGGTACGAGAATAGCCAGTTCTTTCATGTAAGCAATTTTGATGGCATCTGAGAAAGAAAACGATTATTTAAGAGAAAACTAAATAAACAAAAATAGAGAGTGGACAGGCACAAGGGAAAGAGAGTGGGGGAGAGAGGAAGAGCAATTTTAAGTCAAAACAGGTTATCCTAAAGGCCAAAGATAAAGGTAATAATGATCAACATTGCTGCAATCTGTTGGCAAACTTTTTAAAAACAGACAAATATACTTTTGAGTGCAGGATATTATAGAGCATCCTTGATAGATCTTAATCTGCCAAATACTCATCCCAATGTCCAACACGTACACGTACAGTACATGTGATTCAAGTGTAGTGCATGGAATGAATATGGATTAATGTGTCTCACTGATAAATGGATTCCAGGAATATGTCTTCCTCCATCGACCAGGCCAACCGATCATGATAGTATTGTGCGTCATTCCACCCAACCCTGCAGCTTGAATACTGAGAGAAGAGAAGACATAAGACTCTTAATATTTGTAGGAGTAGGAGAGAGTAAGGGAAGAGGAGAGGGTGTGTGTGTACGTACAAGTGTGACATTCCTTCTGCTCCAGTTGATGCAGCAATGACTTTTGTAAATCCTTCAATGTTATTATCATCAGCAAATCTTTTCAACGTCTAAAAATAAAAATAAAAATAATAATAATAATACACGTAACTAAAAAAAATACTTGTCGGAATCAGCTCAAACTTTCTACATAGCAAAAGTACATCAATATGTATTAGAAAATGTAATAAAAATGGGGGGTGATTTCGGAGCCATTTTTTTTGAAAAAACCATGGGCTATAGCCTTGGGTATTTTTCAGAAATTGGCCCATTTAAAAAAATGGCAATAACTCGAAAAATATTTGTCGGAATCAGCTCAAACTTTCTACATAGCATAAGTACATCAATATGTATCAGAAAATGTAATAAAAATGGGGGGTGATTTCGGAGCCATTTTTTTGAAAAAAACCATGGGCTATAGTCTTGGGTATTTTTCAGAAATTGGTCCATTTTAAAAAATGGCAATAACTTGAAAAATATTTGTTGAAATCAGCTCAAACTTTCTACATAGCATAAAGACATTAATAATAACAAATTGTGATCAGATGTGGGCATAAACCAACTCTTTCAATACTTAACCATTCCTAGCCCTGCTTAATAATAATAATAATAATAATAATGTATAATAATCATTATAAACGTATATATGTATTTCATACTTGTCTAGCTGCAATACATTCAGCCATTTTCTCAGTGAAGTTACCCTCTAGTGCTGCAGCCACCATTGTCAATCCCTTGCCTAATGTAAACAATACAATCCATGAGTACACTGTACATGCACAAGAATACAGTATGCATACTTGTAAATGATTTATAGTGTAACTGATAATAAATAAGATTTGGCAAGCACAACAACTGACAAACAGTATTACTTTACAAAAAATAGTATCACATGTTTCCTACATGTTTATCACATGTAATGCACATGTAAATTATAAATGTACATGTGAAGCATGAGCAATATACATGTACATGTATAGTACATGTACATGTACACATGTACACATGTACAATGTACAATGTACATGTACACATGTACAATGTACATGTACATTGTACATTGTACATGTACATGTTCATGTACTTTATAATAACCTGCTTTGAGTTGACTGGCAAGTGAGAGCATCTTAGGATGCGAGGGGATGAGGTTCTCGTCAAGACGTATCAAAATGAGAAGCTGAGGACGCCAGTTCTTAGTGTGAGGAGGATTCTCCTCGAGATGAAGGAGACTATAGCGGGCAGCTTGAAGGCTCAACCCTCTCATACCATCACCCCACTCCTTCTCAGCACTGTAGAGGGGAAAGGATTCAAGGGGAAGGATTTGGAAAGAGAAATCATAAATAAAAGAGAGAGAGAGAGAGAGGGGGGGGAGAGAGAGTAAATGATAGATAAAGTATATAGTATGATTCAATTGATCCTTACCCTCTAAATTCAATGTATTTATAAATGCCCAGAGCAAGGACAATAGCAACTAGTGCATAATACCAGGAGGTCATGAACATTATAGCTAAGCAGAGTAAAGCACCAAGCAATGATGTACTCCTAATGTAAGAGGAGGAGGAAGTGTTCGTATGTGTTAGAGTGTTGTATGGTTACCAGTGATAGAAACGGAATCTTGGTCTCCAGTTAGGGGCCCTCAACAAGGATTGAAGAGTGCAAGCAAAATTAACAAACATATAACACATCAAGAAGAACCTAATAAGAGAGAGGGAGAGGGAGAGAGAGAAAGAGAGGGAGAGGGAGAGAGAGAAAGAGAGGGAGAGGGAGAGAGAGAGGGGGGAGAGAGGGGGATAGGGGGAGAGGGAGAGAGAGGGAGAGAGAGAGGGAGAGAGAGAGGGAGAGAGAGAGGGAGAGAGAGACAGAGAAAGAGAGAGAGGGAGAGAGAATAAAATGAAAATGGTAAAGAGGGCATTAACTGAAGCGTAACTACAACTGGTCCACTGCCAGTTTGTGTACTATTAGTGGGAAGATTACATGATGACAGATGACATACAAGTACTATTGAACATGTACATGTACACATAACATTGTATAATATGAAGCAATGTTCAAAGAAATATATAATGCCAGCAAAGCAACTGGTAATGACACAATGAAGTATAATTCTTATTTCCCAAGTATATTTGCATGATCATATCAAAGCCAACAGGCCCAAGAATAGTACTATATGGCTATAGATAACATACATGTATATATACGCTATATTAAGTAATAATACATGTACATATGTACAATGTACTTGCATATTACATGTATTGCATGTACTGTCACTTTTTTCATTGGCTTAACTCATTTTACTTTCATAATGATAGTGATAAAATAGCAATCATACAAACAGTGATAATTATATATACAAGTACATGTACATGTATACTTACATTGATAGTATAGGAGCTACAAGATCAAGACTGGCAATGAGTACCCCGGCCTCGGCCAGTATTGCCGTCAGTATCAGGGCAAAGGTTGGCTCGCCGTTCCATGGCAACACTTTCTTGAAATATCTTAAAAAAGGAATGAGGTCATCTTTAGCAATGGCCTGGAGTAACCTCGGGGCACTATAATTGATGATATTAAGGGGAAGAGCAAAATAATAATAATGATATAATTAACATGGCAGCTGTAAATTTCCCTCCTACCCTGTTAATGTTTGTAGTCCAGCCCCAATGGTGGAGAGGAGGGAGCCAATTAGAATAACCCACTTAGTGGGAAAAGCCAATAGTGATACAGTAAGACCACCTGTACTGTCTCCAAACCTGAAATAATATACATAAACACCAGCTGTACATGTATGCCAATAAATAAATAAAACCAAAGCTATGATTGGATGACAACACTTCATACAGTGTGTGTGTATACATGGTGAAATATATCAATGGACTAACTGGTCTCTTAACAGGAATCCTTCAATAGTTGAGCCAAAGAATAAGACACAACTCAAATCTAAAGAGGAGGAGAGAGACAGACAGAAGGATTAATTGGTGCAGGATAGATAGAATAAGATATATCAATTAGAGGTGGGTATAGGTTATATCAGAGGAAGGAAGAGTGAGTCATACACAAGACAGTGGTTGTCAGTTGTGCAGCAATGGTTCCTATTGGTATTGACTTCTGAGCATCTTTGAGGTCACCAGATCTGTTGGAACCAGCCATAATACCTGAGGAAGGAAAGAGAGGAGAGAGAGAGAGAGAGAGAGAGAGAGACAGAGAGAGAGAGAGAGAGAGAGAGAGAGAGAAGAGGTATAGTAGCCTTAAACCCTGCCTTATACAGTATCCTCTTACCAGTCACAGATGGGAAGAATATTCCAATAAGTACAAGGAATGACGAGGATATGGCAGCTGCTACCTGATTACCAGCAGCCTCAACACCAGGTCTAGCCTCTCCTTTCCTCAGGTACATTGACTTTGTATTCTCTAACGGAAACAACACCATTTGATACAATATGATAATCATTCACATGTACATGTATATACAAACAAAAATCTTTCTTTATTAAAAAAAAAATATATGTGATGAAATATTGTATTTAAACATGTGTTCTAAGCCCATAGTAAATAAAGGAACTTACCCTACCACTAACCAACTTGTTGCATAATAATAACATGAAGTAACTTTATGATGTAACTATACTGATGTGTCATAATTATAAGGGGCTCACCCCTCAAGCACCATCATAATACCAAGTGTACGTGTATGTACATGTACATGTACTTACCAACAATGAGTCTACTAGCAGTGATTCCTGGTATACCATTCAGACAGGTTGGGCTGTGAAACTCAATCCAGTCCTCATCTAGATAATAGGAGCCGTTGAAGAGAGCCTGTATCTGAGGATTGTCAGGATGACAGACGTCAGTTCTTGTGCTGGCATTAGAGAGGGAGTCACAATCAAACCGCATCTCAAGGACGGTTCCATTGATAGTACACACTCTGTAAAGAGAGGACATACAGTGGAGGACTGTTGTACACATACAGAATCATTAGGAGTACAATTACAATAGTAAAACTATAAATACTCTGAAAATGAAAGACACAAAATAGTCAATCCTGTCTATTACAGACACCTTGGGATCAAATAATGGACCCAATAATACCCTAGCTCCTGATTATGAACATGTCCTTATTTCAGAGGTTCATTAATACACATTACTATTGTATTGGGACTGATACTACCTGTCCTCATTATAGAGGTGTCCACAATAGCAGGAAAATACATGTACATGTAGACAGTGAGATTGCAGCTCATGGTAAGTGACAGTTTAAAAGAGAAATCCATTAAGATTGACACTGGCAGCTTCACATTATCATGTAATGTGTATAATAATAACTTCCTTCCTTCTCAGACAAATTAATTCCATTCTATCAACATTGGATCATAATCAGTTTCAACACAGACACATTGAGGGCATGATCGTCAAAATGACAATGCTAACCTTTACATGCATAAAAAATAAGGACTTCAACATAAATGTCATAAAAATTAGGATTATATTTTTTGAAAATTTAAAAATATTCCGACATTTGCATGACATGACATAGAGTTTACAGAGATAATAAGAGCATGTACATATTCATGGTCATCACTAGTTAGTTCAATTTGCCATTAGTGACACTAAAAGTACAAAGTGTAGCTAAAACACTAAAAATAGAATAAGTATCTTTATTTGGTTGACTGGACGGGAAATATTTCAAAAGGTTAGCAGTTGGTATTTATTACCAAGAGGTGTTCATGAACGCTAATTCGCACCATCACCAGTATGAGGGATGAGCTAGGTGTTTACACATTGACGTGTTTGAATTTTAAAATTCAAACAAACGATATAAACACATCAACAGTCAACAAAAAGTAATTAAAGTGTTTAATATACTATACAAAACATTTAATATGCAATGGTACACACATAATACATGTAAATAAATTATAATAAAACACAAAGCCTAGACTCCTCAATTTATAAGCTAATAATACACTGTACTATCTTGTATTACAGCTAGTGACTGTATAAAAGAAGTACATGTACATATGAACCAACTGATTCCACAGTGAGGAGTCAAGACTGCAAGGACTGCATATACAACTATTTGTACATGATTACATCATTGTACTTACTCAGCTCTCGCTCTTGGGTCAAAGCAACCAGCATAAATAGATACCACAGCAATTATGACACAAACAAGACAAAACGTAGCAAAATAATTGACCTAGAGATGATAAGAGAGTACGTGTATGAGTGCAATGTAATCAAGTTAAGACAAAATGATAAAGTGAGAGAGAGAGAGAGAGAGAGAGAGAGAGAGAGAGAGAGAGAGAGAGAGGAGGTTGCATTTACTAGTTTAACTCCAACAAATACAATTACACTCATTAAGAGTAGTAGTATGGTACCATACACTCTCATGTTATTGTAAAGCCTGTCAGGATGACCCTGTACATCACCAAACAATGAAACATCAGGAGCAATATAAGTCTGTAAGGAAGAGAGAGTGAGAAAGAGAGAGGGAGAGAGAAAGAGAGAGAGAGAGAGAGAGAGGGGGAGAGAGAGAGAGAGAGGGAGAAAGAGAGAGAGAGAGAGAGAGAAAGAGAGAGAGAGAGGGAGTGAAAGTGATACCTAAACTACAAAGCATGCCAATAGAGAAAACAATGAAGAGTAAATATACATCTAACACAATAAGGTAACAAAGGCAGTATTAGATTACATGGAGTATACACACAATGTCATATATAATAATCATTATTTTGTAAGTGCATACCAGCAAAGCGATGCTTACAGCTACAAAATGACTTGTACATGTACATGTACATTACTGATATTCGTAAACACATGTACATGTACATGTAGGTGCATGCTACATTAAGCTCTTACTATAAATATTTCAATGGCTCCTAGTGTATAGAGTGAAGTACCAAATGTGTTGGCAAGATAGAAGAGGATACCAACAGCTCCTCCGAATTCAGGGCCAAGATTACGAGATATCATAAAGTAAGAGCCACCGGCTAAAAAAAAAGATGAAACTAACATTCCTTCTCTCTCTTCTACCCTCTCTCTCTTTCCTCTCCTTTCACTCTTCACTATTAAAGCTCTTCTTATCACAATAATAAACATGATATCATAATACACACATATATACATACCAGGAACTACTCCATTGGTAGCAATAGCACTGAGTGAGATGGTAGTCAAAAATGTCTATAAAATAACCAACAATCAACTCGTAACATGAATACAGTGTCACATGATAGTCACATGATAGTCACATGAATAGAACAGGATAAAGCGCATGCATATATACACAATATATTTTTTATAAACTTTAATGTAGGGAAGAAGTACATGTACATAAATGTGTCATGAGTATACAGGAAATAAGTATAAATATTTTTAATTGAGTATATAGCCCAGTTTACACAATGCCCTTAAAGCGGTTTGAAACCGGTTCAGAAATAAACCAGTTTACGTGTGGACAATTTCAATGCGGATAATTTCAATGCGTGTGGACCATTTCAATGCGCAGTCCAAACTGGTGCGGTCCAAACTGGTTTGTAGTGTAAACGGGGCTTATTTCTCTTAATGGTATGCCATCATGCATATTACATATAGTACATGTTATTAGTATTTCTAGTGTTTGTTATCATTCAAACAACATGTAGATCATCAATGAGAGGTACATGTATGTACTTACACACAAGCAGCACAAGAGGACGAGGAGGAAGGCCTGACCAACACCAGCTGTACCGACTATCCATGTCAAGCGGAGGAACAGGATCACTCCAAGGATATTCTGTAGGGTGGGGAGGTACACACCCATAATGGTACCCATCTTGGCAGACTGGAGGAGAGAGAGGGGGATGAAGATGTATTTGTCATTATTAACACAAAATAAACATTAATCACTTTTTTCTTGTTTTTCTTCCCTTTTTTCGGGTTAGGCACAACTCCAGAGTCATACTGGACTATAGTGGACAGCATCTTGGCGATACGTGGGCGTCTCCTTAGATCCTCCTGTGCAATAATTATTAATAATACACACACAGAGAATGAAATGAATTAAGTAGAAAGAGCCCTCACCTCATAGAGTGCCAGGTTCCTTTCACTGGTAACAGTGAGCTCATTTGCTTCAATGTTCCTCTCTGGAGTTTTTTTCTGAGAGGGAGAGTCGTCTACAGAGTCGATCTTTATCTCTGGTACGAGAGCACCTGATGAAGCATCACCACCAACAACATCTGAAGTGGATAAAAAATTTAAAAATAATGATTCACAGTAAATCTGGGTCTCTACCTTCGTTTATCTCCTCCTCCCGTATCTCAAGATCAATGTCAGCATCACTGACAGCAAACCTGGAAGCCATGATCACCCAGAAGAGAGGAGAGAGAGAGTCCTGCAGGAGAGAGGGCGAGAGAATGCCAATATTTGAGCCTACCCTCGCTTTTGATGTGTAACGGAAAAGAACTGGAATATACGGTGTTAAAGGGAAGGGTGGGGCTGCTTCTGCTGATCTATATCGATAGAGCTAGCTGAGCTTGAGGGCGCAGACATAAAGAGGTGAGTGGTTCATTATTACTGGGTTTGTAGTAAGCGTGCACTGCATGCAGGTGCTTTGTTAAACCACAAACTACTATCTACTAAACCACTAGCAAAATTCCAGAGTGATTGCATGATACGGATATAAGATAATGGAATAGCATCGATCAATGTATCTAAGACTTTACACGTGAAGAAAATAGTGCTAAATGTATTGCATTTTGTTAGATGGATAAGGTTTCGTGTGAAGGGACGCTTACAATACATAATGAAGTGTTTATTAATGTTATGTTTGCTGCAAACTTTATTTACACCATTTTAATTATACACTATTACATATTGCCTTACTGAGTCTTAGCAATCAAAATTCATCAAACATCAGCTATAGGCGTAACATGACAAATTGAAAGTATTCAAAATGAAAGCGATTTTTATCTTAATAATAATAAATACACACATTTATAACAATAATAATAATATGATTGAAAGATACTCTCTGTGTGCGTCATATGAAAGTTTGAAGGTTAAAAACACATGGACAATGTGTATGAAACAAAACAAGACAAAAAAATGCACACAAATTTATCATCACGGAAAAAGAATTATACTTGTCAGGAGTGTGAAGAGTGAGTGTGAGTAGAGTACAGAAGAGTTAGCAAAAGAGAGTTTGTTATTGTCTTGTGAAGTGTCAAGCAGGAAATAGATGTACACAAACAAAGAATACGGCTATTCTTTTCATCTGTTTACTACTGACAATGCTGCACGCTCATTGATTTACGAAGTACTGGTCTAGGCACAAGGCTAGTCTGAGTATCACTTCCCTTGCCTAGAATCTCTTGACATTTTTGTTTGAATATGCTCGAAAGCTTAATGGCGGTTGATCTTGCAGAGGAGACATCCTCGCATTTAAAAGCATGACAGTAAGGAATCTTGCATTTAGGCTCCCAGGCAACGAAACAGAACATCCTAGAGTATTTAGGATGAGTACCAGTGAAAGAGATCCATCTGTAGGAATATGAAACTAACACCTCATCCGTGCGATTGTCCACAACCTTCAAATCTTCTGTCCCTGCTACCAGTCGGACGTATTTAGGTCGACAGAAGTGGAGTGTGTTTGAAGGCAGGGAGTTCTTTCTCCTTTGTCGGCTTAGAGAGCCTCTCCGGTTAGAAGACCCGAGCATATCTCCAGTGTCTTCTTGTGTTTGTTTCCAAATGGTAGCAGCAGGTTCGTCGATGCAGCCTCGTCCCTTGACAGTCCGTCCAGTCATATCGTATGAGCCCAAATAGAAACAGTCCAGGAGTATCTCCTCGTCTCCTGTAGCACCGTAGAGGAAAGTGCGGCCGTCAGGGGAATCGCTCCCAAGAAGAAACCTCGGCCTCTCTTCGTCGGATACCTGGCCGGTAACTGCAATGTTTTGCTGGGGGAGAAACTCCTCGTCCTCTCCTTCTTCCTCCTGCCACGTATGATAGGATACTTCTTTTCTCTTTCTAAAGACTTTGAAAGACATATTCAAGCAATAGGTCTTATCTTTCCACAAGAGGTGTCTTGTTTCGCACTACAGAGAAGGTTAGAAATCAACGAAATCAAACTCAAAATTGGCCCTTCCTACTACGTCGCTTCGCCCCTTTTATATACTTGTGCCCCGGGAGTTTGCCCGCGAACGTCACGAATTAGCAAATAATTTCATTACAATGCATGATCTTTATTTGGCAGATTAAACTGACATTCTCCCTTTGATGTATACAATATTGCACTGTCTACTCCCTCTCTTCCTATAGAATGAATGACAGTGTCTTAAGCCTGCTAGAGACAGATGGGGACGTTGATAGTAAAGGATACAAGCTTCAAATACCTCAACGCTGCACAACAGCACGCAAAGGCCCTCTCATCCTTCACCCTCCTCACAGATCCAACCCTCCACATCAACTGATGACAAACAGACATGCTCTTTGCACTCCTCTACCCCCTCTAAGACAATTTGCAGGAAAGAACCGACCACATTACAGTAAGAGGAGGTCCCTCACACGGTTCCCTGTCCTGTACATCAGGCGTCCAATAGAAATGGCGCTGGAGCAGCTCTCGTCATGCAAGATGTCCTCGAGAGAATTTCAAGAGAATGTCAAAAATCTGAAAGTAAGCTGCTAGTAAACAGAAATCAAAAGAATAAATAATATAGCAATTATCTATACTGCATTTTCAGTAATACATGATCTACAGAGTCTGAGATCAGCGGATGAGTGAGCAGTGTTGGCATATATGGGTATCTAATCTAATAACAATTTAGCATAATCCCATGCACTGTAGACCACCATTAATATTTAACATATTGGAATTAAACAAACAGAGACACATGCACAAAAAGCATACTCAATCACACACACACACACACACACACACACACACACACACACACACACACACACACATGTGTACATGTATGTCATAATATCTTAACAGGACTTTTGCCTGTAATGTTATATCAGATATAATATAACAAGGATGAATTACAATAGAGAAACCTTAGCATGTGTATAATAATAACAGAGAACATAATAATGTGAGTGTGCCTTGTACATATAAGAGCAAGAGTGAGTAGGAGAGGGGGCCATGATGAACTGAGTGGCCCATTGATCCACCCATGTGGGGAGACTAGAGGGAGTTTTAGGTCCATATTAGCACATTACCATAATGCCTGCTGCCTTCACAAAGAGTGCATTGTGTCTCCTAATATTCAATGAATTGGAGCACGAGACATCATTATACTGTGCTAATGGAATTAAAGTGAGAAATGATCATCACATTAAAACACACTGGGCCCCTCTAGTACAAAAGAAAATGCCATGCAGGCTAGTATCGTATCACACTATACATAAATTGACATGTCTATGTTAGTCATAAGAGTATAGAGTGCTCATTTCCTGTGAGTCTATTGTCAATAATAGCAATGAAATCATTATCCCGTGTGCACGTACAGCTAGTCAATAAAAACATCATTATTTCTTAGACTAAATAAAAACGCATTTATCTTCTGCCTAATAAACACTGTGAAAGCTAACATAAAGTGTTTACTCAGTGAGCTTATGCGGACTAAGCCGGAATTCATTTATCATGAGATTTGTATGTCACCGTATAATTACATATTCACTAGTTGTCGAATCATGATTATTATACTATCATGATATTACTACAAGCCTGCTGGTAAAATACTTGGATTTGTTCAGCAATTGTCTGGTGGGTTGTTGTTGTTGTCAATCAGTTAATGCACCATAACACAAGAGAAAGGACAGCTTTGCACTTTGTTAGTGTATGATGATCAACAAGAAGAGAGAGAGAGAGAGAGTGAAAGGACAAAGAGAGAACATAAAGAGAATGAAAGAGAGGAAATGAGTTGACAAAGAAGGAAAGATAAAGCAAGAGAGGAAAGAAGATACAAAGATACCCAATAGCTTTAATATCATTGTATGTTCAGACTTGCATGTCAAGTATAACTCTTTCAACTTTGTAAATCCTTATCTTGATTCCTGTAGGTGTTATCAGACAGCAGTGACCCAGTTAACTTACCTCAGCTACTAATAAGGCCAGGACCACCTCCCACCACCTCCTCTCTCTCTCCTAGCAACCATTCAAACAACACAACAATAACCCACTATAACAGCACCAGTCAAATGAACATCACCATAACAATAAGTAGTAGCCAAGGGAACACAGCGAGGAAGGTCCCTATAGAAGTTCCAAGAGAGGATCATGTACCCACAAGTCAATCCCTCCTTCCCCCTGGTCATGCAGCTGGAGAGAGAAAAGGAGGGAAGTTACCACATGTACATGTGCCCTTAGCTCCTCCCTCATTAAATGCAGTCCTAATACACCAACAATACCCAGTGACAGCTAATACAAGAATCAAAGGAATGAGCCTACACTGATGACATTGTGAATTGTACTATGATTATTACCATTATGTATATTATATTAGACTAGCAGCATTCTCTATTGTACATGTATGATCAAGAGACTTGTGGGGGAAGAGACACACAAATTAAGGAAAGAGGAACCACACAAGATACGATAATGCCATAAAACAATACTAACAAATAAGAACATAAACACAAATACGCATGTACATGTACTGTAAAGAATTCTTTCTTAAATTCCACATACAAATTGCCTACATTCTATAAAGATAGTTATTCATGTCATCCAGTGACTGGTTTGTATGGTAAACCAAACAGTAACAGTAGCAATGTAAACAAAACAGTTGACGCTAGGAAAGGAGACACACGACTTTGAGTTTCAGTACGACACTAGTATACAACAAAGCATACAAGAATCAATACACAATTTAGTATATTCAGTATTTTGTATTGCAAAATACTCAAGACTAAGTACACAAGAAGAATGAGCAAGTCATTGTTGTTATAGAGTAAAGTTTATTAAAAGTAAAAGTGGAAAATGTAAACAGGATAATGTAATACATGTATACATACATGAACTGATAATAATTATGTGGACATACACAAGTAACTTTAATGTAAAGAAAGAAGTGCTGGTGACATATGCATGTACTAGTACACTGTAGATGTATAGTAGCCTTCAGGTTCTTTGCTGTGTGCTTATACTCCATAGTAGACACTACTTTGATTGAATTATAATTGTACATACACATACATGTACTGTATGGATGTAGTAACTTAAAAGAGTAATAAATGATGACTCTCTTTCCCTCTCTCTCTCTCTTCATAAGAAATATCTCAGGAAGCAAACCAATCTTAGCATATATACATGTAGTGCCAACACACAAAGGATAACGCCACATTTTTAGGTTTCCTACTTCATTACACACTTACAATGCACTATGTACACAACATGTCTAAATACATACACACACACGCATGCATGCATATCTACAGATAAAGTACCAGTACACAAAATAGCGCTAAGCTTGCTTGCACATGTACAACAATCCTCACCTATAAATGCGATAGTATCATACTCCCATTCACTCTGGCATTACTCCTGTTATTACTAGCAGGAGAATAAACCTCCATGTCATTACTATGAATGAGTACACGTAGTACTACGCTAGAACCAATTGAGCATGAATGTGAATGAGATAATACAGACACGTAGGTTGTAGCAATGTCCAACGTCTGTTGTTGTACTACTGATAATCTTTAATAGAGAGAGAGAGAGAGAAGGAAAGAGTCAGGATTGAGTGAAAGATTATGGTACCAATGAAGAGTGAAAGAGGCAAACTTAACAGTACCGATGAAGACAGACAAGGAATTTTTTTTATAAGATAACTTCACTCAAAAGAATAATAACATTAAACAAAATAACAAAAAATAATAAGATGAGAGAATGCCAGGAGAGGGAAAGAAAGAGACAAAAAATTAATAGGAGGTTGTTAACATTCTGGTCTCTGATAAAAATGAAACTAAATGAAAAATTTTTTGATTACTAACTTAAATAATAAAGAGTAGTGCTTTTGAGTCTCACAATAAACTATAATAATAATAATAATGATAATAATAACAATAATAATAATAATAATAATAATAATAATAATAATAATGTGTAATTAACTAATTGCATGGGCTACTAACCCATAGAAAAGGGTGTGGTCTAATAAACTTCTCATAATTTATTTCTTCTTCTTGGCGGATTTATCGTCTTTCTTCCCTCTGTTAAAAATGACAAAAAAACTCAAATAAAATATGGAGGACAGCATAAACAATGATAATGAAAGAAAGATGGGAGAAACACATAAAATAAAGAAAGAGAGAGAGATGTATAAAAGCAAAGAAAGATATCAGAAAATGTTAGTGGTTGCAAGCAGGTACAAAGGCTTTCTTGATTGCTGATCAGTGTCAGTAGGTCATACAATAGAACAACAGTAACTATCAGACACTACAACACTCAAGGGAACACTTCAAAAGAACACCATCTCATCCACTGGCTGCCAAGACACGTTGTTTATTAATTTCATTTAATGAATGAATACAACTCAAGCATCATATACACTGTACATGTAGAACATGTGGCTTATTTCACAATATATGATTTTTATGATGAAAAAGGGGCTTTTGCCCAAGATAGTTATAATAATATATATTTAAGATTTCAAAACACTGTTAAGTGGACAAGATAAAAGCAGTAAATTACCACGTCTATAAGTATAGTGTGGGGTATATTTAACATAGGATTAGCAGTTTAATATAATCAATATTTAACACTGGAATCGTCCTAATAATAGTCTCAATACTAACAAATCACAACTTTATTGTTATACACTATTTACACTTTTAAAGGACCAGAACAACGATAAATAACAACAAATGTATTTTTAAACTAAACAATATTATAAACAGCTTAATTAACCGACCAAACACGCTTGAGTTATTTATTAGTATTTTATAATTATTTTAATAGAGACAGAGAGGAAAAAGTGATTGATATGCCACAATAAACAGCAACAAAAGAAACTGAAGACTTATGAACGCCAACCAAAGAATTATTAATACATACCAGGTTACCACTAAACCCTATACCTGCATATACCACCATAGACGCACACATACAGTTGTGTAAACTAGAGGGTTGGTCCAGACAGTCTCAAGGTTAATAATAAACTTTAGAAGAGTTGATAGTTTAATTCAATAACATTAGACTGACTTCTTTCTCACCACTTGCTGCACAGCACACAGAAGTCCCCTTAACTATATGTATATAGTACAGGGATTTTGAAGTAGAGAATTCTTGATTTTTATAGTTCATTCTGATGCATATACATGTTCTTATGTTGTGTAGGAAGTTTGAGCCAATTCCGATACAATTTAGATTTTTTATGAATTTTTGAAGTTGCTCAAAAATCGGACCAAAGTCCCTGTACTATAGTACAGGGATTTCGGCCAAATTTTGTCGAAAATGAAAAGTAGAGAATTCTCCATTTTAACAATTTTTCAGATGCATATACATGTACTTATGTTGCGTAGAAAGTTTGAGCTGATTCCAATACAATTTGGATTTTTTATGAATTTTTAAAGTTGCTCAAAAATCGGACCAAAGTCCCTGTACTATAGTACAGGGATTTTAGCCAAATTTCACCAAAAACGAAAAGTAGAGAATTATTGATTTTTATAATTCATTCTGATGCATATACATGTTCTTAAGTTGTGTAGAAAGTTTGAGCTGATTCCGATCATAATTGAATTTTGTATGAATTTTTTAAGTTGCTCAAAAATCAGACCAAAGTCCCTATACTGTATGTACTCCATACATTCCCTGATCTAATTCTTATGTTATGTAGCTCACAAAAGAGTTGAATGGGATACAACTATCCCAATTATTAGTTTATGACACCCTGGACTATAGACTACACTCTCACACACACAATGAGTGAGAAGGTTTTCAGTACAAGAGATCCATAAACGACGCAATGTCAATGACAGACAGTAATTACTGTTAATGTAATTAACCTGATTAACACCTTTAACTTAACAACATCTGTCAGCAATCAAACAAAAGAGCCTCTCTTCCCATTCAAACACACAATGATGCATAATATTTAATATTAATCCTTCAACGCCCACTCATTAATTAAAAATAACCACACCCATCAATTAATTAACACCACCATTAATAAAACTAGCCCCACCCATTAATTATACTAGTAATCCGCCCACTCACTTTGCTGGTGCCTGCTGCCTCATTTGAGACTCCACTTGTTCCATGTACTTTTGCTGTTCAATGTCATACTGTCTCTTGTCCTCGTCAAACTGTCTCTTGCTCTCATTCAAGTCTCTCTCCAGCTGCTCAATGGTTCGTGTCATTGCCTCCTTACGCCTATTCAACTATACAGGGACAATGAAAACACAATATATTAATCTCAATATTTAATATTAATTTTATTTATTTACTATTTTTATTTAATACTTTTTTATTAACTATTCTTTATTTTTTAGTTATATTTTTTTGGTCTCACGTCGTGCTTGATGTCTTCAAGCTTTTGAAGTTTCTCGCGGACTTTGACCTCAAAGACGTCCTCCATTTCCTCCTCCATTCTCCTCATCTTCTTCTCGTGCTCCTTCTTCTCCACCTCAAACTGAGCCAATGGATCACTAAAAATATAAATAAATAAATAAATATTTAAAGAGAGGGAAGGAAAAAGAGAGGAAAGGAAGACAGCTAGTTATTTCTTACCGTGAAGGAGCAATCTTGTCGGTAGCAGATCCGGTGACGGAGCTGACGTTAGCAAGTTTAGTGCAGCGATAATTCTCATAGTGGACATTATTGGTAATGTCCTTGAGGTCTTGCATGTGAGTTCTATAAATAAAAATAAAGTTAAAAAAATAAAAAGATACATAATAAATATATAAATAAATAAATAAGGAAAAGCAGAGATGCATAATGTACAAAGTGAAATGGAGAAGATGAAAAAGAAATGATTATTGTATAAAAAAGCTAACCTGATTATCATATTTCTTAATGTGGTAAAGTCGCAATGATCGGCATTCTCAACTTCAGCCACGCCCCACGGGTACTGACGCCCACGCACCTTCTTTTGATTAACCTCCAGAATAGTGTTACTCCCAACAACAGCAAATGGGATTGCCTCCTATTAAATAAAATAAATAATAATATAAATAAATAAAACATTTAAATATATGCTCGTTTATAATGCTATAAATTAAATTTAAAACAAGCAATAACAACAGTTAATAATTATAATAATTAATAATTTCATGATTCAAAGTTCTTATGTGTGTTTGTGTGTGTGTATATATAAAATTAATGTATTAACTCACTCTCAGTTTTTGATTAGCAGCGTCATCCTCTTCGTCAAGCTGGGCGTCAGGGAACTGATATATCTTAATCCCGTTGTCAGCAATGTCTTGTAGCACCTAAAATAAATTAAATTTACAAAAATGCACCAACTAAATGATTAGCTATGATTAGCTATGGCCTAAAACTGTGAGAAAATAAACGATCGTCAGAGCCGTACAAGCAGAAAGTACATACCACAACATAAGATGATAGTATAATATAGTCAAACATAAATAATTACAATTCCAACAACACATGTTAACACAAATACCTCAGATACTGTATGCAACATTATTATTATTATTATACTAATATTTAAAAATTCAAAAATAACATCATTGTAATTATAAAGGCACTAATAGCAAAACCTACATGTATTTATGTATATGTACTACTATACACAGTGGGTTTAGAGAGATATACATGTGTATGTTAGTAAAGGCTATTTGTTTAGTGTTGGGGTTGATGTTAAAGTCATAAATGTACATGTATGTATAATGTACTGTAAGTACTAGCTGTACAATACAAATAATGAGCTTACCACTTTCTTGAACCTGACAACTTCTTCAGGAGTGAAGGTATCAGCTTTAGCAATAACTGGAACAATATTAGTCTGAGAGAATGAGTGACAATGTGAATAATAATCATAGGGAGGTACAGAGTAAAACAATATTATACCATTCGTACCTTGTTGTGGAGCTGTTTCATGAACTCAATATCAATTTGACGCAAACTAAACACAAGAGAGGAGGAGGATAAATAAAATAAAATAACACACAATTTACCATAAAATAAAAATTAAACACACACACACCTACACCTACACACAAAGCATTCCAATAAGAGCCCACACACTTACACTCTAATTAGAACACACGTGTGCAATACCCAATCATTGCAACCATTTATGGCAATGAAGCTAAAACACACACAGACTAATATACAAATACCTAAGCACATTAAGGCACAGCTAGCATACAGCTTCATAATGTAAACTGCTAACAAACAAATGCAATAGGCACAGGAATATATGTACATGTACATCATATTCAAATATAAATTGAATTCAACCTAGAGTCTTGTTGATATGTGCCCATATCTTACCCGTGTCCATTAGGAGGTATGAAGTAGAGGCAGCAGTGGATGCGGTAGTCTTCAGTGTAGCCTCTATTGACTCTTGACTCGTCATTCAAATACTTCTCATACTTTGAGTCAATGTAATCAACTATTGGCCTCCAGCTGGAAAGACAGAGAGAGAGAGTAATAACAAGTGTTATTCTATAAGCTATCCCATATATATTTAAAGCATTAGGCCCACTATACAGATACATACCATTGGCTATTATCAACAATGTCTCCAAAGCCTGGAGTATCAATAAGAGTGAGCTCTAGTCTAACTCCGCCCTCTTCAACAGAAACTGTGGACTCCTTGATCTAGGGAAAAAGAGAGAAAGTATATGGATTTAAATACACATTAAATCTACATTAATAACATGATACTAATGACTTCTAAGTATGATGCATTAGTTTGTGTGTGTGCTAGTCTATCATCAATAGAATGACTGCATGAGTAAGTCATTAGGTGAGGAATCACAAATATTACGAGTATAAGTACATGTACATTGTACTTTAATTAGAAACTCAATGAATACACTAACTACCATCAATGTCTAATGGTCCATGTATATGTACATGTATTCGGGCATTAAATAGAAGTACCTCTGTTGTCCTCGGCATCCTCTGGGGAGAGGGGCTATAAACACAGTCCTCATAAAGATCAGTCATGAATAATGAATTGATGAGAGTCGACTTTCCTAGACCACTCTGACCTAAAAAAATAATATACACAATTATATAGTCACCAAATGATCAATCAAGATATGCAGGTGGCCTAGCTAACTATAATTAGCCCTCTCTGACAAGATGGATACAAGTAATGATGTATATGAATGCTGCTGTATCAACACCACTACATTTACTGAACATATGTACATCTTGAGATGTCATTAGGGAATTAGAAATGAAAGAGAGAGAAGAAGGTAGTAAGATCAAGGGCATACCTACGACCATTAGTGAAAATTGGAAGCCTCTCTTGACAGCCTTTCTAAAGACTTGGTTAGGGAGATTGGCATATCCAACATAAGAGACTTCAGCTTTTTCCTACAGAGAGAGCGAGAGAGGGGGGGTATGTAAGATATTAATAATTCTCATGAAAATACCATGTACTTCATAAAATAAACGTCAAATACTCCAAATGTAAACATACCATTAATTATTGACATACCCAACAATACTTTACAAAACTAATAAAATCATAACAGCACGCCTAATATGCTCTCTCTAAGCTCATAACACTAGACATTACAATTTGTTAGCAACAAGGGAGGAACAAATTAGATTTACGAACAGCAAAACTCATTTGTCAAAATGTTATAAACAACTAACCAGAGACTAATGAAATTACCTACAGCCATGACAGAAATTTTTGTGTAAACAATTTACTACTGCTATTCCATGAAATGAATTTTTTGTTAGCTTTGTACATATTTTTTTGTTTTTAAAAATATATGCAATTATTGTTAGCTGCTTGAAAGCAATTCATATTCAGCTTTTCTTAAATATTATCATGTTCAAATCACACGTAATAATTAATAGTACATTTTATCAATTAAAGATACAGAGTACAATTATGATGCTTGCATTTAAAAGCTTTTGGAGATAGCAAATTAATAATGCAAAAAGAGAACAATCACAACTAAAGATAATAATTACAAAGGCAAGAAAAACAAATTAAAGTACATGTATATGTATTATTAGAAAAGGGCATGAGTTTTCTTTATAAGTTTTTCTTTATAAATAACACACAAATAAAAACAACAAATTGTTTAGTCTTTGATAAAATCACTGGCATAACCAGTATAAAAAGAGACAGAGAGACAATATAAAAAAATGGAAGAAGCTTTAAACCGACTTTCTTACCTTTTCTGATACAGTCCATTTTGCCAAATAGCGAGACATTTTTCAGGAGAAGGAATAAACAGAGAGGGAGGGAAAGGTAAAGTGTGAAGTAAATAACAGACAAACCACAAGTGAATACAAAAGAAAACAAGCAAGAGTAATGGGACTCTGATTGACTATAAATGGCTGCCAAACACTTGTTAATGGCTCCTTTTTGACAGGAGAAGTGGCCAGAGAGAGGGAGGGAGAGGAGCAGAGACAGGCTGACAGGGGCGAGAAAGAGAGAAGGTATATCTTCCCTCTATCAAAAAGTGTGTGGGAGTAACGGTATCACTATGAAAGGAATGTGATCGGATTACTATATGAGCTTCTTCCGTCACACGGGACAAGGAATGGAGTATCTGTTCCGATATTTGGACACTCTCCAGCAAAAGAGAAAGCTGCAAGCTCGCTGTCTCTCTCCCTCTCCTCCTCTCTCACTCCTCCCTAACGACCCTAGGGAATTCTGACAGCCATAAATGAGCCAAACAGAGCTCTAGAATGCTCCAAAAAACTCACCTCCCTGAGACATGTCGCCTAAGGAAATTAAGGGACAAATATAATGATAAAGATACTTTAAAATTCTCTCTCAAGAGAAAAGATAGCAAAGAGAGTATCCCGAAGAGACCTATGAAATCAGCGTGACCGCCAGCTCAATTAATTTTACTTAATTAATTATTTTATTAATTGGTTAATAACCAGGTGGTTACGCCCCTCTCCATCCAATGGATTTTAATGAAATTGAGTTTCTTGCAGAGAAAGAGCTCGTAACTGTAGTACCAAACTTTTCAGAGGACAAGATAACACTTGTAACAGTTAAGAAAACCTTTACTCTACACACATTCTATCAATATTAACCATATATTTTTTCATGGCAACAAAAATTGCATGCATCTACTAGTAGACTATAGTACATATTAATTTATTTCCTATTTTGGTCATTTATGTATTTCCACACACACACACACACACATTGCTAGGGAGACTACGGACCATTTAATCCATCTATGCCCACGACCGTACCACTGTGGCTAGCGGTGAGTCTTAAGAAGCAGCAAAGATGTCATATCCAGCCGCCCGAGTGGTTGAATGTCGGTAAATAAAGAAACACACTCACACTGACCACCTGTCAACAGTTAGTAGTCGAATTGGTAGTACTATTGTCCCGGTAGTGGAATTTGTAGTGTAGTAATTGTTATACAATACCACACATTGAATTATCATTAAGGAACTAACAGGTTACTATAAATAGATTTAAAATATTTAAATACAGAGAGATTAATATGTACACGTATGTACATGTATATCATCGTATTGGTACTATGAGAAAGTTTAGAGTATTAGATAATGATGTAACAGTTGTTAAAAAAGAGAATGAGTGATCGTGTGTAGTGATAGTAACCGTTTTATAGTATTAAGTTTAAAGTTGACCCATTTATATTATTACTGTTTTAATTAAGACATGTTGACCCAGAAGAAACAAGATGAGAAAGAGTCTGAGCTTTTTGTTGAAATGCCCTCGAATCATTTCATTGAAATAGCCACCATACTCCTCGACAAGTAGGTCTACATAACCACACCCCTCAATTAATTAATAATAATAATAGTGCATCTGACGACATAACACAACCTGATGAAGTGCGGGCACTAATTAAAGATATATCTGACGCCAGGGCTGCTAAACTAAAAAAGGGTATTGTCGATATGGTTGTTGAAAGAGCAACGCATGGAAAGGTACATTAATCATGTGACACGAATTGATTATTAATAATTATTATTATCATTAGGTTGATAACCTCACGCCAATGGAGGTCACTTCTGTGCGTTCTTTCCTGACTCAATCCCTTGACCAGTTACACATTCTTCGCAGTCACGCCAACCAACACGCAACCCAGACATAATATTATTATTTTTATGTGCTCTTATTATAGCTATATAATATATTATATGCAGGTATAGATACTGTAATAATTTAATTGAAGTTTTAATGCTCTTTAAATAATAATTATACTGTTACTGATTATATAGCTATTGTTGTATTGACAACTTTTAATATTAGTCTACTAAATGTTGTACGAGTCTTTAAAGGGTTTGCAGTAATTTCTTGGCGTCTTCTATAGCCTAATAACAATAATAAGAGAAGAGAGTGAATACGGTTGATATAATATTATTTTTACAAACATGGGATTATAGGCTTGTGTGTAAAGCAAGAAACCTTGCATTAAATAAAGTGAGTAACCCTTCTGTGGTAACTTATTAATAATTATTTTAAATCCACCACATGCTGACCTCATTATCGTCGCCCATTAAAACTTCATTTTTATAACCAGCTGCTTTCTCAAGCCATACTCTTGCTTCATCCTTCTTCCCTAAATTCAAGTAGCACTTTCCAATGAACAACCAGTTACTGCAATAGAACCCAGGACTAACTGGAAGTATAAAAAGTATAGTAAACATAAATTAGTATTTCCACACATACTTTCTTCTGCTTTTAGAAAGAAAGATAAAGCCTAAAAAATAAATAGAAATAATATCTCCTTTTATACTAATTATAAATAATCCTCAATACCTCATCATAAGTGGACGAAGGAGGCGTGGTAAAGATATACTGGGCCGCCTTTCTCATGTACCACGGTACGTTGGCCACCTCAAAACACCATCGACCAATCAAATGTCTAGTAGAGGCGTCAGTAGGATTGAGCTCTGCAGCTTTCTAATTTAGAAATAATAATAATAAGTAATTAACTATAATTAATGTGCATGTAATACAGGTTCATATATATCCTTGTATTAATTTACGTCAAAGTTTTCACGTATTTCAAAAGATTTCTCGATCTTTTTCTTGTATCCTTCAAACTCCAACGACCAATTTAAGAGCACACCTTTCCACTAATAATGAATACAACATATACCAAAGATGATATACTGTTTATAATAATAACTATTAATATTCTTATTAGCACTACAAAAATAATGTTAACTAAATATGGTCATATGAGAACTGATTCTATCCTTAATTCACAGGCTTATGTAGGCAAGTACTAACTTTCAGTTGCTTTTTGAAAGTAGTAGGGATTTTACCAACACTCTATGCATAATTATAGCAATGTACATGTATAATATATATAAGGAGACACCCACACGTATAAAAGCATACGATGAGTGGGAGATGATAAAAAAACAGCTAGAGGCTTCAGCAAAGAAGTACATGATAATACTACAATCAGATAATTATCAACTCTTGCTACAATGTACATGTGAGAGCAATCATGTTCATTATCACGTTATTACAGTGTCCTTGTCTATCCTTTGACCATTAATTTTAAACCCTTAGCACATGCAGCTGCATTTAATTCAACTCACTCTATAAGCAAAATAGCACTTGTCATTTAAAGCAATAGCTTTAGAAGCATACTCCAGCCCCATGTTAGCCAAGGATTGAGCTTCTTTGGTATCAGGAGTGTGGTATTTCCCTTGCCTGTAGCAGATACGAGCAAACCTCCACAGTATTTCAGGATTCTCTGTATCTTTGTGAGCATTGAGCACATCATAAGCTTCCTTGATCTTGTTCTGAGCCATGAGGTCATCAGCTTGCTTAATTATGTCGTCATCTTTACTGGATTCTGCCATCTTGCAATAAGATCCAAGTGCAAAGACAGAAGAAGAGGCTAGTAATCCTAACAGTGCACCCTACAAAATACAAATAGAGAAAGCGGGGTTAATGTAGGCGTAGCTTAAACCAAATTTATATAAAATATTCATAGTTTTTCAAGAAAAATTAATCACATCAGACAGTGGCTGGATCTACCTTTTTGAAATAATGTGTCCTAGGAGTTCTGCTGCTGGCCCAGTTTCTGATTGTTTCTCTGTGCAACAAAGAAGGAAGGGATGGGACCTTAGCGATAATAGTTCTCAGAAAAGGTCTGGCTAGTAACATTGCATTTTTGATTTTGGTGGTTTTGTAGGTGTGAACATGATATTAACCATCACGCCCACTCATTGTTTACATCAGCACGTGTTTAGAGTTTACGGAGTTGATGTACGGAGTAAAAAATGGGAGTGACTACGTCACATGACCATTGAAACAGATCAGAAGAAAGATGGGCAACAACTTTTCAGAGTATACCTTTAACGTGGGCCATGGATACTTGGAAGGGCTCCTCCGAGGCTTCAGATCTGGGATACTGGACAGGACTGACTACCTCAATCTTGTTCAGTGTGAGACCATTGAAGGTAAAAGACATAATCTCAATGCTACATCAAATTAGCTATTTCTCTACTCTGTATTTATCCATATATGGTATAGATCTAAAGATGCAGCTAGCTGCTACTGATTACGGTAATTTTCTACAGAGTGAGCCCTCACCTATACCAGTAACAGTGCTTGATGAGAAGCTCAAGAATCATTTGGTGATACAGTTCCGATACATAAGGGCCCATTCAGTTGAACCTCTCTCCACCTTTCTTGATTACATAACGTACGTTACATGTATTGGGTGTGGTCACACGCAGCTATTAGAAGCGTGGGTGTAGTTCATCAAATTTTTAAGAGCATTAATTATAACACTATTTTAATGCTGTTATGTTATTTTGTGATTTACTAGTGAGCATGTGCTATGTAAAAGTGAGAACATACCTAGTGCTATTCATTTCATTGTCTTCCATTGTATTGAAACTATCTCTCTCTCTCTCTCTCTCTCTCTCTCTCTCTCTCTCTCTCTCTCTCTCTCTCTCTCTCTCGTTTGCTTCTTTAGTTACAGTTATATGATTGATAATATTATTCTCCTCATTACGGGTACTCTCCATCAAAGACAAATAGCAGAACTACGTGCAAAATGTCATCCACTTGGCTCTTTTGAGGAAATGGAGTCGATTAACATTGCTACCACTCCAGCTGAACTTTATTCGGCAGTATTGGTGGACACACCCCTAGGTATAACGATTTATTATTATTATTATTATTATTATTATTATTATAAAAGGTCCCTACTTCAAGAACTGTATTACTGAGACCGATCTGAATGAGCTTAACATTGAAATTATTCGTAATGCCCTCTACAAGGTAAACAAACAATCACACATATATAATGTTTAATAATTGTTACTAATATGTTTTCAGGCTTATCTTGAAGACTTTTACAAGTTCTGTCAGTCGCTTGGTGGAGACACAGCTGAAGTGATGCAAACATTATTAGCTGTAAGAAAGGAACTGAGAAGAGAGAGGAAGAAAAGACATTGTACATTATGAATGCACATTGTATGAGGGTGTGTGTGTGTGCATGAGTTACATGCACTTCTGTTCCATTTAATTTTAATAATTATTATTATCTTTCTTTTATAGTTTGAGGCTGACAGGAGAGCCTTCATCATCACCATAAACTCATTTGGTACCGAGCTAACTCAAGATGACAGGGAGAAGCTCTACCCGACCTGCGGTAAGCTCTATCCAGATGGATTGACTAGACTGGCCAGATGTGAGGACTATGAAGGAGTGAAAGGAGTTGCTGATAGCTATCCGGTAAGCTGAGGAGCTCTCTCTTTTGTATCACTCCTACTTTTATTATCTTCTCTTTTTCTTTTCACTTTTAAAGGAATATGCCAATATATTCAATGGTGCAGGCACCAATCCTGGCGAGAAATCCCTTGAAGACAAGTTTTTTGAGAGAGAAGTGAGTAACACAAAATTATTGTGTGATGAACAAATGTGTTCGTTTAAAAGTTGTTAAAAAAGTTGACCGAAAATTTTGTACAGGGTATTTCACGAAAAATGGCTAGGAGAGAATTCTTTGTTTTTATAATTTTTTCTGATGCATATACATGTACTTATGTTGCGTAGAAAGTTTGAGCTGATTCCGATCAAATTTGGATTTTTTATGAATTTTTAAAGTTGTTCAAAAATCGGACCAAAGTCCCTGTACTATAGTACAGGGATTTTGGCCAAATTTCGCCAAAAATGAAAAGTAGAGAATTCTTGATTTTTATAGTTCATTCTGATGCATATACATGTTCTTATGTTGTGTTGAAAGTTTGAGCTGATTCTGATACAATTTAGATTTTTTATGAATTTTTAAGTTGCTCAAAAATTGGACCAAAGTCCCTGTACTATAGTACAGGGATTTCAGCCAAATTTTGTCGAAAATGAAAAGTAGAGAATTCTCCATTTTAATAATTTTTCCAGATGCATATACATGTACTTACATTGCGTGGAAAGTTTGAACTGATTCCGATTAAAATTGGATTTTTTACGAATTTTTTAAGTTGCTCAAAATTCGACCAAAGTCCCTGCATGTACTGTAGTACACAGTTTTCATCAATAATAGTTCTTCTCTAATGGGAACTATTATTGAAATTCACTGCACATTAATGTTGTGGGTGACCAAGAGCATTGTTACTGATTGTCCCTCACACCTCAGGTCCATCTTAACATCCAGTCCTTCATGTATCAGTTTCACTTTGGTATATTCTATTCTTACATGAAGCTTATGGAGCAAGAGTCCCGCAACATTGTCTGGATTGCTGAGTGTATCTCGCAGAGGCAGCGATCAAAAATAGACAACTACATACCAATATTCTAACGTAATAATAATAATATCATTATTGTTTTCAAAAACATTGTAGTAATATTGATAGCTAACGGAATAGCATCAAACTAAATTATTATTTCTGTTTTGTGTATGTGTGTGCAAGCATGTTCAAAATAGTTTTGCCGCCTATTATTATGTTATATTATTGTTTGTTTTTGCTGTTATTATTAAAGTATTAAATTTTGTTATTATAATTAATTATTAGTCAGAGTAATTATATTGATGCTGGTATTGTTTTATTTTGTTGATGTTAACTTTACTATTATTGTCATGAAAAGGTACATCATGGTTGATGATGTTGCATGATTTAATAAATAAAAAATAAACATAATATTCACAAAATAAAACAATTAAGAAGTAGCATTAATGCCATCATTTACTATCCACGAGTGTTTGAGAGCTGCTTCTGCGCTGAGTCTTTTCTGAGTCTCAACACAAATTAACTGAGAGATGAAGTCTTTAGCAGCATCAGAAACAGCATCCCAAATCTATACAGAGAAAAAGAGCCATAATTATTAGCAGTGCGCTTTTTTTAATTATGTCATCTAATTGTTGCTCACATCATCATCGAATGAATAATTTGCATTCCGTATCATCCGAAAAAGCTTTGCCTTGTTCTCGTCCTGGAATGGCATCTTCCCTGATAAAGTAGCAAAAGTAATGACACCAAAAGACCACATGTCAATCAAGTTTGTGTACACTTCTCCTTCCAGCATCTCGGGTGATATGTACTCAGCTGATCCACAAGTTGTCTGCATTCCTGATCATGAAAAGATCACGAACAAGTTTATATTATTTATTGTATAAGTGTGGCTAGTATTGTGTGTGATAGTGGATGTGTGTGCCAGAAGGTGTAATAATGGAGGTGAATGCCAAGGCTAGCTTTTTGATTATGCAAAACTATAATTACGTACAATGCGTTTGTTTTCGTATGCATTCTATTAAAAGCTATACAACATACCCTCGTTCTCTTTCTCTTTGTTTTGTAAATAAGCTAGTCCAAAATCAGACAGCAGTATAGGCGAGTCCTCGTCATTCGTCTTAAAGAGGCAATTATCGAGTTTGAGGTCTCTATGAGTGACTCCATGCTTATGCAAATACCTCAATCCATCCAGCAATGGTGAGAGAAGGTAGTGGGCTTTTGATTCACTGAAATGCCCAATGGATGACAGTTTATTTTGCAGGTCTCCACCTAGTGCTAGCTCTAATACAAAATACACTTTACTTGTCGTTGCATGAGTCTCTATAAGATTGACAATGCTCTCATGGTGGACTTTCTTTAGTATGTTTAGCTCTCTTTCCCATGGGACGTTGGTATGAAACGATCTCTTCTTTTCAATGACTTTTAATGCATATTGCTTCTCTGTTGCTTTATCTTCAATTTGTATTACTGTAGAGAAAGCACCTTTGCCTATTATTTTATGGACACTGTACTTCCTTAGAATGCTCCCATCTATTGTCATGGACAATGACTGCTGGAGTAGTACAGCTGTTGATGGACTTGGCCTAACACTGTTCCTTCTGAAAAACTTTAAACTGGTTCTGCTCATGAAGGAGTTAGAGTAAGATATAGTCTCTCCTCCTTCTTCTCTGCTTCTCTGTCGCCTCCTTGCAAAAGGGACCTTGTTTTCCTCCTGCCATGATGAGTGGAGGAACTCATCCTGTGCAGTTGATGTGGTGGTAACTTGTCTCTTAAGCTCATGAAAGCCTGCATCATCTTCCTCCTTATCCATTGGTACTACAGCTCTTTGCTGCTGGGATCTGAAGCAGAGGCAACCCATCTCTCTGTGTGTCTGCTTTGTAAGATGCAATCCTTGTTATTATCCTGATCCTGCAAAAATTCATTAGCCTGATTGGGTGGGCGGACCTGGAATCTAATCTAGAGGCCATCTTACTCATAGTACTGAAAGGAAAAGCAAGGGCAATACAAACAGATACAAACTCGGCTTTTGGGTGAGTTCCTGTTGTAATAATTCCTTTCTAGTCATTTCCTTTTGTATTACTGAGCTATTATCAGTGTTTATGCTAATTGAACTAGTACCAATAATAATTAAAAAATCACATCACAAAAATAATTATTGGCCATTTTTGATTTTTTTTCTACAGTTGGCATAGGTCCAAATAGATAATCATGGCAGCTAAGGAAGAGGCTACTACAAAAAGTGAGAAAAAGAAAGAGAAAGTGATAGCTACACCAGACACGACTGATGAGTCAATCCCTCATCCTTATTTTGAGCTTTATCGCCACACCATGTTGCGTGGCGCTAACAGTGGGTCTCTACTCACCATCTTATTTGCTCCGCCCATTCTTTATTTCCGTGGGAGGAGACAGCCGAGGGAGATCATGTACCACACAGCAAAAGCATCAGTTTATGGAATGGTGAGTTTTAGATCTGAGCTCGTTAAAATTTTATTATTTCTTTTTTATTATAGTTAATAGGTGCTGGCCTCAGTGCATTAGCTACATGGGCTGTAGTACGTAAAGCTACCTATGAAGAAGTGTTTGATCGCTCTTACAGACTCCGTTACAACAAAGGGCAAGTACATATGGATCTTGTTACATATGGTGTTGTAGGTGAGTTGTAACTAATAATAGCAACATGTCATTGTTACTATAATTAGCCCAGTTATGTTAAAAATATAATAGTATTATTAGCCCATCTATTCAATTATGTCAATAGTAAACTTCTACTCCTAGGTAGTGGAGCTGTAGCAGGGGCACTCACCACGTCAACAATGAGAGCTACTGGTGCATTGTTTGGTAGTGCAGTTGGATTTGGTCTTGCTGTGTTTGTCCACATGGCAACCAAAGGAAAGGATTAAAAGGCTTCTAGCATCCTAGAATCTTCAACTAACAATTATCATTAATTTTTTCTAGTCTTTATGCATTTATAACTTCTTATAGTTTTTCCTACAAGTGGTGTGCATCTAGATCTATTCTATTCATTGTTACACAACAGCAAATGATAATTGTATTTTGTAGCTAAGAAAGATAATCATTCATGAGAAAATAAATTGATGGATAGCATAAGTACGCATGTATAATGAGATAAGGGGGTGTCATTTCTTTCATTATTTCTTCACTTTCTTGTCATAAGTCCCTTCATGCTTATAGCCATGAACATACGAAGCATTTCCACTAAAACCATCAGGGGCCATTCCTGCTCCTAATAAGAAGAATGCGAAAGTGTTGATGAGTATCTACATGCATGTATGTACATGTACATGTTTGTTATAATTGGCTTAATTGAGCATGTAAGGAATCTTGAGACTAATGGAGTGTGTACCTTTTTGAAAAGAGTCTCTCCCTGCCAGTCCCTTTCCTTTGCCCGACTCGTCAAATCTTTCTTTATGCGTTCCAGTGTATTTTGATGTGTCAGTCATTCTCTCAAGAAGAGGACTATCGACTGTTTTCTATGAGAGAGAGAGAGCAAGAGAGTAACCTTTCCCAAGAGTAACATGAACTAAACACCAAATCTGATTAGACAATATGTGCTAGTTATACTGCGACAGAAAATAAAACTGCAGTGCATGCGAAATGTATGCTTAAATCGATACAATTTTAGATCTATGATTATAATAGTTGAAACTCACTGTAACACCTTGGACCTTTGGTCCACTCCCTGCTGTTATCTTGTCAATAAGTTTCCTTTCTCCATCCGGATCACCGGGATATTTCTTGTCAGCCATTAGCCTCACGGCTTCCTTGAATTGCTCAAAGTTTATTTTACGATCAGTTTTGCTAATAGAAAAGAGAGGAAGATGGTTTGTAAATAATTATATGCAGCTCGGCCTCACGCTTTCACTTTAGAAAAGATTATGTCAACGTCGGTTGAAGTCAATTTTTTGTCGAGGATCTTCACATCACGGGTCAGCTTGGCAAACTTGGCATTATCCATGGCAGCACTACCTTTGAGTCCTTCACCAAAGGAGCAGAAGCTCTGAAAGACGTCCTCTAGACTCGTTTTAGCAGAAGCCATCTTTAAAAAGTAGCTTTTTGTTTTTAAAAGTTTCAGACCAGTGAGACCACACCTCTAATAGGGGGGGCAAAAAGGGCTACTGGGTAAAAGATGGGAAGCTAAAATATTCAAGAATGAGTAAAAGTGATAGCAAGAGAAACTCGAAACAAGATCCAGTGGAAGAGGAGGAGGAGATGGAGACAGAAGGAGGAAAAACAAAGAAGAAAAAAAGTGAAGAAATGGGAGTGGCTAGAAGTCATGAAACCGACAAAGTTGAAGGAGAAGCTTCAAGTAGTAAAGCTATGAACAAGAAAGATGAAGAATTAGAGTACGAGGCAGAGTCTGAGGAATCCGACGATGGGGTCAAAGAAGGCGAGAAACCGGCTTACATCGGAGAATGTGACCTTGAGAACCCTCTCACTAGCCCTTGGATAAGGAAACGGTTTAAAAGAGAGAGAAAGCAGCGGCTGAAAGAGATCGAGGAGCTCAAGCAAAAGGCAAAGAAAGTGAAGGAGAAGTTCAACGAAACAAAGAAACTCAAGCGACAGAAGAAACGGAAAGAGCTCGAAGACGAAATGACTAATGCGGACCCTGAGAGACTGGGGCATATGTTCCAGAGGAGACAGGAGAAGATGATGAGAAGAATGATGCCACACAATGAGTATGAGCCAGAAGGAAGCCATTACAGGAGAGGATACAGGGATAGGCTATATAGAGGGAGACTCGGGTAAGATAAATTAAAGTTTCAGTGGAACAAACTTTAGCAACTTTGGCGATGGACCGACTGTTTAGTATTGAACGAAAATATTCATTTATATGGCCCGATTTTTTAGCAACTTTAAAAATTCATAAAAAAATTCAGGTTTGATCGGAATCAGCTCAAACTTTGTACACAACATAAGAACATGTATATGCATCAGAAAAAATTACAAAAATTGAGAATTCTCTACTTTTTATTTTTGGCAAAATTTGACCATCCCTAGTACAGGGTCTCCTGTTGCCTGTTGTATATATTGTACTTTATTATCATACCTACATTAATAATACTATGTAAAAACATTAGGAGTGGGGAAAGAAGCGATTGGATGAGAGGCTATGGGATAATGGATCACAGGTCACAGTATCATCACATGTATGAGTATATGGAAATGTACAGAGAGTATCAGTTGAGGAGTAGCTATAGTGCCAGAGAAGGAGGCCACGATTCAGAGAGAAAGTTCCTTGAGAGACAAATGTTAATGATGATGGATGATGAGAGTAGCTCTGAAACATCTGATTGTAAGTATACTTTAGTATTCACTCAATTTTAATATTGGCATCTGAAAAAATATATTATTTATTGGCTTATTTTTGACCCAATATTAATCTTATGCCATTTAGAATTTTGACTTTTGAATTCGTTTGCAATTTTAAAAGAATTATTCCTTTTTAAAGGTTCTGAATTGGAAGATATTGAGATTGAAATATACAAGAAGAGCTGTCTGAACATGAAGATCAGTGATTTCATTGATCTAAAGACGGTCAAGGATCAGTTCTCCAATAAGATGATGCTGGGTGATGCCCACACTGCAGAGAGGCTACTAGAGCTCCATCCAGAGATTAGAGACGACCGGACATTTGTTAGTGCGATGATCTATCAGGCTGCTTCAAGTAGGACCTCATCCTGTTTGAGGACACTGTTTCACAGAGGTATGACTCTTTGTTTTATTATCCACTGTCTGCATTAAATTAATATTGTACTAAAGCATCCACATTATAATACAAGCACATATACATTTTTGCAATTTTATCTTTTGTTACAGTGCGAGCTCCTTCAAGCAGACCATCACCTCATGCTGACCAAAATGGGAAAACTCCATTACATATTGCATGCGAAAAAGACTTCACAGATATCATACTAACTTTAACTCAATTTAGTAAGTCTACAAATGATAAATATTTATTAGTAATGATAAATACTCATTATTTTTTATTAGAGGCAAAGATTGACAAGAGGGACAATGATGGCAATACACCACTTATGACAGCCATGATGCACGGAGCTGGTAAGGCCACACTGGAGACATTGGTTGCAAGAACTAAACTAAAACTAACTGAACATACGAATAATAAGGTATAGGAAGCAGAGAAAGAGAGTGGAGGAGGAGAGAGAGAGAGATGTACAATTAGTTTTTTTTTACATTCCCACTCTCTTTACTCCTCTTTGCTGTAGGGATATTGTCTGTTAAGTTATCACGGCCCATGGTCTGGTTCAATCAGAGTATCAACTCGTAGTAACGAGGACTCACTTGCTTACCTTCTCTCAGTAGCAAAGGAGAAGAATGAAGTAAAAATGACTTTATTATAATAACGAACCAACATTAATTATTTTTTTAATAGTTGAAAGCTCTTCTAAGTCATGTTATTCCTGAAAACCAGAACCCACCACTCTTTCAAGCACTGTCTGCTAGCAACGTGGCTAATGCTAAACTTCTCATTATCAATGGAGCTGATGTTAACTATCAACATCCTACTCTGCCCAATCTACAACCCATTCACCTGTCAGCTAAGATAAGATCTGTAGAAATCATGAGATTATTACTAGAAAATGGTAATGCAAATAATGATATAGCCTCTTAGTTAACTGAGTGATTGTACTAAACAAGAGTGTAGATATACAGTTGATGTTATCTTGTTCTCTCTCCTCCTATACAGGTGCTGCTCCAGATGCAAAGGACTCAAATGGATGGACTGTACTCCATCACTTGTTCCGTCCTTATCTCGAGCACATGATATCCGATCGCGACATGATAGAGTGTTGCATGGTACTAGCAGAGCATGGGGCTAATTTCAATGTCTCTCTACCTAAATCTGGTTATACACCGTTTCACATTACAATGCAGTTTGCTGCTCGAAACGAGCTCAATGATCACGTTATTAAACTCCTTAGGATGGGAGGGAATGCTCTCATTTTGGACTGGTATTACAACCTAACGCCTTACGAGATATCAAAGAGAGCAAGAGACCCCAGCCTTAAAGCAATCATGGAGAATTATGTTTGTAGGTTGAATGAAGTGTGTGCTATACAGCAAATTATGAGACTAAGATATTTACAGCATGATAATAGCATGCACAATATCTATTGCTGAGTTGAGTGTGTCATTATTATAATTATTTTTTTGTAGTGAATGTTAAGAGTCTTGCAGAGTCCTGCAAGTGGGTCATTAGACAAAGCATGGGAGAGCATGGCTCTATATACAGGACAGCCAGCCAGCTCCCACTTCCTAAACACATTATCAAGTACATCACTGATGTCGATTTGGATATCGAAAAGGAACTGGAAGAATCTAAAGCTTTCAAGAGGCCTGATGCCTTTGTTGGGTTCTAAATAGGACACCTCCTAATTAATATATAAAAGGAACAGTTTAATCTACCATAAATGTTTATCCCTCATTACTTTAGATCAGTTTAAAGTTGATTTATAAGTGATTTAAACATAAGAAGTTCCTAATATTAAAGACATTATGACACTGTCAATATTATCCAGTACATTCTTCAATAGCAGAAGTGATCATTCTCCACTGGTCGAGCTGATATTGTATTGCTGTACGCCTTCTCCGATTCTCTCACTAGTCGGCGTATCAGGTTCATAAATAATATCTTCAAGTTGCTTCCTTTTTTTGATGATATCCTCAGCAAGCTTGTAATCCCTCTTGTGTTGCATATGGCGTTGTCTTGTTTCTTTCAATTCTCTTTGTAGTCTGGCTTTATCATTCTTCAGCTCTTCTATTTTTCTCTTCAGCTCTTCAATTTTTCTCTCTCGCTCTTCTAACTTCCTCTCCAGCTCCTCACTTCTTTCAACAACACCTCTTTTCCAATCCTCCAAGTCTTCAAGAGATCTCGCCGCCTGTGATAATTGAAATTGGAGGTGTCTATTTTCACAGTCAATATGATCATTCTCTTCTTTAAGCTTATAGTATTGTCCTACAGAGTGCTCCAATTCATTGGAGTGTGACTGCTGGAGCTCTTTTAATTCTACTTTAAGACGTGTGATCTCTCTATTTGCTTGACGAAGCTCCTCACTCTTGTGTTTCATTTGTTCAGTTAGGTTCAATAGATCAGACTCTTGCCTCTCAGAGCGTGAGAAGAGGTTCTCTTTCACTGCAGTCATTTCTTGCAGCTCCATCTTCAATTCCTTTTCATTCTCTTCAAAGTCCTCAATTATTCTTGACTTGTTCTCTGCATCTAGTCTGACAGTGCTCAGCCTTTCCTCACAGGCTGATATCTCTTCCTTGAGAAGGATCACTTGCGTATTTAAAGACTCATTCTCGGAATCTAAATCCTCAATCGCAGAATTTAAATCCGCAATCTTTGCCTCTTTTTCTTTGAAATCGAGTTCATGCGATGCACGAGCTACCTCAAGTTCAGTATCATATTGTTCAATTTGACCACGCAGTAAATCCTTCTCATTGTTTGACGCCATCAATGCTTGAGAGAGCTGATCCAATTGCTCCAACAGCTTGTTATTATCTATTTTTAGCTGCTCTCGGGATTTTATGACAAGATTTAACTCGCGTTCCTTCTCTTCAAGGACTTCCTCTGTAGCTTTAAGCTTCTCGTTCAGTTCCTCAATCTTCATTTTGCTTCTGTTGCTTTTAGACACGAGTGAGGTCTCTTGAGTTTTCATACTCTCGAGAGTTGACTTTAACTCATAATTGAGTCCTTCAAGTTCGCCTAATCTCATCTGAAGCTGGGAAAGCTTGTTGTGAGATTTAAGGAGCTGGTTTTCTACATCATCATGGCATTTAGCATTGCTCTCTATGTCATGTTGAAGGCGTTTTATGCAGTTTTTAGCCAGTTCAAGGTCCCTTTTAGAAGCAGCAAGCTCTTGATTGATATGAGTGGCTTTAGCTCTCTCAGTCTCAATCTCTTTCTGTTGGATAGTCACCAGTTCCTGGTCTCTCTTGTTTTGGGCTTTCAATTTAGCGAGAGAGTTGTTCAGGTCGTGGTTCTGGGACTGAGACTCTCTGAGTGCTTTCTTTAGTTCTTCGTCTTCTTTAAGAACCTCACTTTTCTCCTTCGACACCACAGCAACTTTTGATTGGAGAGTAACAATCTCCTCTCCCTTAGCTTCCAGCTCTGATTCCAATTGGACAATAGCTGTCTTGTCAGCCTCATTGTCGGATATAGTGAGACGCAGTTGAGTGTTCTGAGTACCCAAAGCCTCATTCTCCTCCTTTAGTGTTGCAGCCAATTTCTCCAGCTCTGTGTTTGCCTCTCTCAGCCAATCTCTCTCCTTTTTGGATTTATCTAATGCTGACTTACATGCTGCAATAGTCTCCATGTGTTGGTCACACCGTGGCTCCTCATCACTGCTGCTGCTGGACTCCCGGTAGCTGCGTAGTTCTTCCATCAATCTGTCAAGCTTTCTATGAGCATCCTCTAGGGATCTCTCATTGTCAATCTTTTCGACTTTGAGCGACGAGTTCTTGGCTAATAACTCATCATGACGCATTTGTATGCCGCTCAGCTCTTTCATTAAAGACTCAGCCTCTTGCTGTATCTGTTTTGGATTTTTTCCAGAGATTGAGGAATCTAAAGTATGTCGAGGCTCTCTGTATGCAACTTCTAATTCGTCTTTCAGTGAGTCACAGACACTCTGCAACTCGTATAGTGCCTTCTCGGACTCTTTGAGCTCTTTCTTGAGAGTCGTATTTTTCTTTGAGACCATTTGTAGGTTTTCAAACAAGCAATCGTGCTCTTGTTTCTTTTTCAGTAGCTCATCGTTGAGTCGATCGACCTCAGTCTCTTCTGGGAGTGTCTTAAAAGGAGTGACTGGGGTGGAATAGGAGCGTGGGATAGAATCCAAGTCTTCGTCATCCTTTGAGTTGGAAGGTATTATAGTCACTGTTGCTGCATGCTCCCGTTTCCTACAGAGTTGGCAAGGACCTTCGAGACGGCTTGAGAGTTCCATGCATCTTGACTCCAGGGCCTCTTTCTCCTCTATTAACATTCTCTCGTGAGCCTCGAGCTCTTCGTTACGAGCTTCAAGTTGAATGCAGACATGTTTAGTATGAAGGAGAGCTTGATTGAGATTAGCTTGACGCGAGCTCGACTCTAGCTTAATCTGTTTACACTCTCTCTCTAGTTGAATGACTAGTTCAGTCTTTCCTTTAAGCTCAGCCATTGTCATGTGGTAATTTTCTTCTGATTCTTCAATACTGATAAGGAAAAGGCATATAATAAATAGATATATAAATATTATAGTTTAATATTTTACTTTGCATCTGCTTCTTTTATGCGGCTCTGGAAGTTACGCAATTCCGACTCGGCTTCTCTGCATTTGACTTGAATCTCCTCCAGATGACCTTTGAGTTTCTGCTTATCTCCTGCAATGTATACATAATGCATGAATAGGTAGAGTAACTAAAGTGTACAAACTACAAAAGACAGGTGAAGTGGCATAAATTTTGCAGCTGTAAATTATCGAACTACTACCTCTACTTTTAAAATTTACAATACAATTTACCTTTCGCATTAAAGGCTTCTTCTTCGGCCTGTTCAAGCTGATTCTGGAGTTGATATACTTGCTCTGACAACTTATCTTTCTCTGTATTTAGTCTCGCATTCTCGTTAATAGTAATATCCAGTTCATTTTTCAAGGCAGAGAGGCGCTCCATCAAGGACCTCTTTTGATCTTGGTCTTCTTGGAGTCTAGCCTGGAGCTGATCTATTTCCTTCTTCTTTTCTTTAATGTCTAACAACAGCTTATCTTTCTGCTCAGTATTCTCATGAATAATCTCATCCTTCCTGGCCAGTTCATTTTCCAAGGCAGTGAGACGCTCTATCGAGGCCCTGTTCTCATCTTGGAGTGTCTCAATCTCGCTTTGGAGTCTCTCGACCTCGCTCAAAGGAGCAGTAGCCATTGATACGACTACGAGCTCTCCTGCAGCTGCAAATGCAAATTTGAAATTGAAAATTAAAACGTGTTAAGTACGGACGTGTACGATTAATTACGTTCACCACGTGCTGTAGTGCTGTCAATTTGTCAGAGATAATATGGAGCTTCTTCCTACAATAGAGGAAGATGACGAAACCCTAGTACAACCAGAAGAGAGTGAAAATGAGGATGAGGTATTTTTAAGCTGGGTAAATATAATTTTAAACCAATTTTTAGTCTTTGAAGAAGGTGTGTCCATTTTCTAACGACTTTAAGTTCAATCTAGAAGGAGGAGGAGGGAAGGATGGAGGAATGTTTGATTGGTATATTGACGATGCAATAGTAATGGCTTCAAAGAAAAATGTCAGCAAACCACACCCACTAATTACCAATTTACCACACCTATTTAATTATAATTATATTCCTGTTAATTAATGGATTTGTATGTGTATTGTTTTTATAGAGTATCCCCGTCAATTCGATTGATGCAAAGATTTATAGAGCAAGAGAAATGAGGAAACTAAAGGTGTAAAATATAGAGAGAGTCTCGTGTGTTAATATTGTTATTTATAGATGGAGAGATTAAAAGAAGAGAAAGGTAATGATGAAACCTCATTAGCCGATGATGATACTTCAGGTTCTACTAATATGATTTTACATGTGCTTTACTGTTTATATGCAGATAGTGAATCAGAGGAAGAAGAGGATGAAATTATTAATACTACAACCGATAAGGTTATTAGGATTATTGTTATTATTATTAATCTTTAATAGGAGGAAAGAAAGAAGGCTTTTTTCTCTCGTGCCCCAGTACTATCAGTAAATGTGGCATTTACTGATATGAATCTATCCAGACCATTACTAAAGGTATACATACATGTACATATAAGTGTCAATAATTAATTAATATTTAATATTATACACAGGCAGTGACATTGTTAGGGTTTACTTCACCTACTTCAGTGCAAGCACGGACCATTCCGTTGGCTTTAATGGGTAAAGATATATGCGCCTGTGCTGCTACTGGAACTGGTAATTAATTTTAAATTAATAAATTAGCATGTATATTATAATAATTATAGTGTCAAACATTTACCACACATAATTAAGACTAAACTGGGAGCACTTGACAATAATACAAACATTAATATTACCATAGATGTTACTAAATAAAAGTTTATTGCCCCCTGTTTTTGCCATGTGTAGTGAGTGTTTTTGCCATGCGTAGTGAGACTAGTTCCCCCCCAAGCAAAATTTTCTATATTGAACTCTGCTACGTGTACGTCTGCTGAAGATACCCTTTACTATATGTATCCTTCTGTGGGGATGAGAAGACTGCCTTCTTGGCCTCATTCTCTTCCTCTTCCTTTGTTTCATCTTTCTTTGTTTCATCTCCCTTTGTTCCATCTCTCTTTGTTTATTTTTACTACCTAATTGGTAAATTAAAGATGATCATAAATTTATGATCATAGAAATTCATACACTGGGCAACTTTATTGCGAGCACCTTTTTGTGTGGTCTTGCCAAAAGTTAAAAGTCTCCCTACTTTTTGAACATCAAAGGTTTTGCCAGCAACAAAGTTGCCTAGTTTTGTTGGACTTAAAGCTTTACTTTGAGGTTCACTGTTTTAATTTGATAATGAAAGAAATAATCAATGTATACCATGTAGTGTAAAATTTTTGAGGGCTTTAAATTTTGTGAATTTCGCGATTTTTTGAAGATTTGCGAAAATTACCTCCGCAAAAATTGAATTATTACAGTACAAGATGGTAGACAGCATAAACTTGTGAAAATTAAATTCACAAAATAGATTTTTAGGCAAATTCGCGACCTTTGAAAATTTTTTGCTATACGGTAAACCAGAGGAGTCTCACTTAAAATTGTGGTTTAATGCATTTTACAAAAAACTATAAATTTATTTTCCAAAAATTTGACCCTTGATTGCCAAGTTAAATTGTGAAATGAATTACTATACAGCGTTGTTTGACTAATTAATGAGGGCAGGTACTGACCTTTTGGCGCCAAATCAATTTTGTGAAAGGCCTGAACATAACGATATGCTTCACTGCCATCTACTTGTGTTATGATTTCAAGCTGTTCTTTATCTGGAACAGCTCCTTTAATCTCCTGTTTTATTGCATTATAGCCTTTCAACGATTTTGGGTTCTTTGGAAAGATAGTTGCAAAATTCTTGCCTCCAATTTTTTTAATTTTATACATGTCTAAAAAGAGAATATGAACATTTTTGAATTGAGAATAATAACTCACTGATCTATTGTTCCACTAATATTACTTGTGCCTTGATTTAAAGAACTTCTAAAAAGGACCAACCATTTTATTTAAAGCCACACCTCTTCATTAACAATCAACCCACGTGACTATCGGTAAAGAGGCTCATTGTTTATTCATTGTTGTTAATTGAATACGTCACTTAATTGAATTCATATTTTCTCACGTTACGCAGGTAGGTAGGTATGTTAGTATTCATTACGATGATTATTCGTTATTCATAATATAAGTATGTGTATAGTCAAATAAGGAATGGTTATGTGGGTAGCAAAGGAAACTATGCACAGTTAGCTCAGGAGCATCATATTACTTAAGATGCATTTTTCTTATCGGTGAAGGGAAACAGGCAATTAACTTTTGTTCTCCCTTTTTCAGGCACTGCTTCAATTTAGATCATGTATGTGATAATTTGTGAGTGATATTTTGTTATGTGGGATATATTTATTTTATTATACAAGTGATAACCTATATGTAGGACTGGGGTCAATTTTCAAGATGGCGGCCATTTTTATAATTTTCAAACACATAATATAATTGATATATTAGATTTGCCTGTTCTGTTATATGCAATAGTATTTTATTGTCAGATAGTGAATGATACTTCAAGGCTGGAATAAGAGATATAACTTTCAGTAGTAATGTGTTTCTTGCTTAAAATTTAGTTATGATCATGTTGCACTTGCAATGACTTCATAAAAAATAATTTTTATGAATTAACAGAAGTGGCTCAGACTTTCTGCATACATGACTATGAATGTAATAAAAATTGGCACATATATTTTGCATATACTATATTTTAGTTGCATTATTAAGTGTTGTAAATGTATACTTGGTGTGTTCTCTTGCAGGTAAAACAGCTGCTTTCATGCTGCCTATCTTAGAGCGTCTTCTCTATCGTCCAACTAGAATGAGATCAACTCGTGTATTGATACTACTACCAACAAGGGAACTGGCCATACAGGTAATGTATCCACTTATAGTGACATTGGTATTGAATCATCTGTAACAGGTTCATTCTGTTGGAAAAGCTTTAGCTCAAAATACAAAAATAGATCTTTGCTTGGCAGCTGGTGCGTAGATCTATAATGATAACATTACTTTCTCGTTATTTGTGTAGGCGGATTGGAAGGGCGGAGTCAAGAAGCCTCGCTGCGTAAGAGTCCAGATATAGTTATAGCTACCCCAGGAAGACTAGTTGATCATTTACACAATACACCATCATTTAGCTTACAGGCCATTGAAATACTAGTACTGGATGAAGCTGATAGGTAATGATACTTCATATTTCCATTCCTGTATTTTTATTCCTATACCTCATTCTCCATCCTCATTCTTTCAGAATGTTAGATGAACATTTCCTTGATCAAATGAATGAAATCATAAGATTATGTCCAGTGAGCAGACAGACGCTTCTCTTCTCAGCGACCATGACGGATGAAGTATAGCTATTGTGAGACTCCATTGTTGTATTATTGCTTTGTAGGTGGAGGAGCTGGCAAGGCTAAGTCTTCACAATCCAGTCCGTGTGTTTGTTGATAGTAATACTGATACAGCTGATAATCTTCATCAGGAGTTTGTTAGAATAAGATCAAACAAAGAGGCTGATAGAGAGGCTATTGTATCAGGTATGGTTACCTATTTCCAAGTACTATGTACATGTATGTAATATACTTCTTAAAGTTGCTCAAAAATTGGGCCAAAGTCCCTGTACTATAGTTGGTCAAATTTGTCAAAAATGACAAGTTGATAATTTGTCATTTTTATAATTTTTTCTGATATATATACATATTTTAATGTTGTGTAGAAAGTTTGAGCTGATCCCAATCAAAATTGGATTTTTTACAAATTTTTAAAGTTACTCAAAAATTGGGCCAAAGTCCCTGTACTATAGTACAGGGATTTTGGTCAAATTTCATCAAAAAGGAAAAGTTGAGAATTCTCCATTTTTATAATTTTTTCTGATACATATACATGTTCTTATGTTGTGTAGAAAGTTTCAACGAATTCCAAACAAATTTGGATTTTTTATGAATTTAAAGTTGCTCAAAAATTGGGCCAAAGTACTCAATGTAATGTTACTTTACTGAATGTACTAATAATAGTATATGATGTAATTGACCATTATATATTTCTATCCTTTCTTATATAGCACTCTGTTTACGTTCCTTTAAAGATCACTGTCTCGTGTTTGTTCCCACCAAGAAACAGGCTCACAGGCAGCGTCTCATTCTCGGTCTCCTCGGCATCAAAACCTCTGAACTCCACGGGAGCCTAACCCAGCTCCAGCGCCTTGAAGCACTCAAGGGTTTCAAAGAGGCTGAGGTCGACATCCTCATTGCTACTGACCTGGCAGCAAGAGGACTAGACATTGAGAATGTTAGGACGGTTATTAACTATAGCATGCCACCAACTGTGAAGCAATACATTCACAGAGTAGGTAGGACTGCCAGAGCTGGGAAGAGTGGAAAGTAAGCTATTGATATTAGGAATACTCATGTTGTGGTGGAGCATGTGACAATGATGTTTTATGTTTATGTTTAATTGGATGTTTAGCCTTGCAATTAGGTAGTTCACTGTTTTCTTTCTTTCTCTTTTTTCTGTCTTTCTCAAGGTCTGTCACTCTTGTCGGAGAGAAAGGTCGTAAGGTTTTGAAAGAGATTGTAAAAGGCGCCAAATGTCCACCAAAGAATCGAGTCATTCCAGCTGAAGTCATCGAGAAATACAAATCAAAAATATCATCACTTGAAAGCGAGATAAGAGACATCTTGAAACAAGAAGAAGAGGAGAAACAGGTATTTGAAACTCGTTTGACCAGTTTTTGAAGTCCTTTAGGTACGTGTTGCACAGATGGAAGTGACAAAAGCTAACAATATGATAGTCCACCATGATGAGATACACAGCAGACCACCTCGTGTGTGGTTCCAGGATAATAATAATAAAGGAAAAGGAAAGAAGAGGAAACAATTTGGTATATACATTTAGGAACTTTTGATCTGTTACAGCTATCATGTACATGTACATGTAGGTGACGGTAGTGATAAAGGAGGCAAGAAAGCAAAGATTGAAGAAACAGTAAATTACTATTGTTGTTATCATTATTATTATTATTATTATTATTATTATTATTATTATTATTATTATTATTATTATTATTATTATCATTATTATTATTATTATTATTATCATCATTATTATTATTATTATTATTATTATTATTATTTTATACAAACTATAGGAAGAAGAAAAGGCTGCTAGGAGGGAGATGGAGTTCCAGATGAGAGAAGCAAAGAGAGCAAACAAACATAAGAAATACCCAACACTCTCTGAGATTGGGAGCGGAAAGAAAAGAGGAAAAGGTGCTTGATAACTTTTGTGTGGTATCTTTGAGATCTTTTTTTTTAAATTGTAGGTCGAAGTAATCCTCAGCCAGTGATTAATGAGTCATTGTTTGCTCGTACTCAGAAGAAGACTTTGAAGAAGGATAAGACTCGTGTTGTTGTGAAATCAAAGGGAAATAATTTCAAATCAAAGAAGAGGTCAGAGAGCAAATAATTGCTTAATTGGGATTTTATTATTTATTTTTCAGGTATAAAAGAAAGTGAGGTTTTCTATTGACTGTAATTACTAGGAAATGTTAAATGTGTTTGTTAATTTGTTAATTGAAAGAATATGATTAACATGTTTTGGGTAAACAGCTATACTCAAATTAGAAATTAAATTTGTTTTGACCATACATGTTTTGTGTGGCTTCATAGTAATTTTGTTACTGATGTCTGTTTAAGAAGTAATTTTTCTTTCAACTATATAAAAATATAAAAGATTTACAATTTTGTTTATTTAACCAATCCTAAAAAACAATTATTAAGTACCGTGAATACAATTAGAGCCACAATTGATTTTTAAGTGGCATTGACACTCTTCACAAGCTAGACTGAGAGGGTACATATGCATTTATATCTGCAGAGGTACCAAACATTGTGACAACGTTCCCAGACGAGTCCAAGTTATAAAACTCGAGTACTTGATCCTGTGCATCCTGACATTGGTAACTCAGGTGGCGATCAAAGGACTGGCGTAGTCTGTCAGACTTCTTTCCCTTTTCCGATTTGAATCCAAGCGCCCTCTTGATGGCTTTTACGAAAATAAGGAATATGTCCCATTTTTTAATGGAGGCTATCACAAACATGCAGTGGCCTTTCTTCCAGCCTGGGTTTCGCTCCGTGAAAAACTTAACGTGAGGGTTCTTCAATTCTTCCTTAGTGATAGGGGCAACGTAGTTCTTTAGTTGCGTCATTTCTCTCTCCAGTACAAAGGTATCTGGGTTGTAGACCTCATCAGGACGTCGGACCGAATTGGCAAAGTCGTTTATCAAATTCCGTTCAAATTCTGGTATCTCAGAGTGATAAGATGGATACACATTACCTAACGTTCGCTGAAAGGCCAAGTAGCTTTTGTAGCTAAAGCATTTTATAAGCAAATACACGGGGGTCTGGGGATGAAACAAAATTTCCTTGAGTATGTGGTAGAAAACGATGTAGTACAGAAGGGGGCCCCCTTGGTATTGATTCTCAAAGAAAGCCAGACCCATTTTGATGAGGGTACATTTCTGTCCGCCTTTAATTTCTGTGGCCTTGTCCAGTAGACACATGCCACGGAGTGAGCCATCAACTTTGTCACGACAAATGATAACAAATTTATAGCTGAGGACAGCTTTACGAAACATGTCAAAGGTCACGTCGGTATCGACTATATGCTTGCCAAATGAAAATAGCTCGTTCATTGAGGTAGTGTCCAGTAATGAGCTCTTGCAGACGTAGGCATGTAAACGGAGTCTATGGCTGACATTCCTACGAGTTCCTTTCCCACCAAAGGCAACGTTCCACAAAATAAAGTGCTCCCTCAGTTGGTATAGGACATTACCTATGACTCTTAGCAGTTTTCGGCCAAAATAGAACAGGAGAGTAACAAAGAGAACCCGCCAGAAGACACCAACTAGAAAGGCCTGCCACTGCATTTTGGAGTTTTGGGAGGGGCTCGTATTTGGGTGTGGCTGAAGGTGCAACCAAATTAATTAAAAACATGGCGTCATCTCTAAAGTTATTCACATCATTGTCTTGCTAATGCTAGCATTTCTTTGGAACAAAACAACAACAAGCTCCCACTGTCCTTTCAATATTCACACCAGGAACTCGCATGTGAAGCGACATAGGCGTGGCAGAGTATCGAAATCATGATTGGAGCAAGTGTGACAAGAGGAATCTCTCTAACTCGCTCTCTTCTCTCAAGGAATTGGTTGGAGATGGCCGGTACTAAAGCAGCCTATACTACAGTCTCTCCTCCTCACATGCAGCGCGAGGTACCACTCACCATCCAAAATCTCAACCCGTGCATCAGAGAGATGGAGTACGCGGTGAGAGGTGCTGTACCACTTGAAGCACTAAGGATAGCTAACGAGTTGAAACAGGTATTTATTGCGGGAGCTCAGTATAGTTTATATAAGAATTGATTTGATAGCTCCTCTATGTAAATAAATCATTAATCACTCTCATTTTTTGTGGGATTAGCTGTTAATTTTTCAGCAATTGTTTTTAATTATGCATTTTTGGCATGACTTCTAGGGCGTCAAGTATCCATTCAAGGAAGTTGTCTTTGCTAATATTGGTGATTGTCAAGGCACTGGTCAGAAACCCCTCACATTTGTGAGACAGCTCATAGCTTGCACTGCTGACACATCACTCCTTGATAAAGGAATCTATCCGCCCGATGTTTGCGAGAGAGCAAGAGCAATTCTTGCTGACTGTGGAGGTGCCAGCTTAGGTAATGTGAAACCACCAGATATGAATAAGAATGAAATCATAGATAATGAATATTATGCATTGATGTCATGGGCTGTATTATGTGCCATTATGTAACATTGATGTTGAATAGAATAGATACAATGTACATGTATGTTACTATTGTATGGCCATATATTGACATCTCTTTCATTCAATTGCCTATTCACTTCTCTCTATCATAGGCTCGTATACTGATTCACGCGGTATCACTATAATAAGGAAGCATGTGCAAGAGTTTATAACAGCACGTGATGGGATACCAGCAAACTACGAGAGCATATTCTTAACTAATGGAGCAACTGATGGTATAAAGGTAATGCTAATTGTTACAGGCAGCATGCATTGATAGTGTATTGTTATTGAAAGTTATATAGTCTGTATTGATATTATGTGAAGAATAACAGTGTACTGTTTGTGTTGGCTTTGGAGTGCACATGTCTTTTACTGTTTTCATTGAATGCATTGCTTTAGGCTGCCATAGCTTTGTGTTTGATGGAAGACAAGAAAGCTGGAGTGATGATACCAATACCTCAGTATCCTCTGTACAGTGCTGCCATTACTGAACTGAATGCTCATGCTGTAAGAGAGAGAGAGAGAGAGAGAGGATAAAGAAAACTGAAACTAATGTTTTAAATTTCAATAGATAAATTATTATCTTGATGAGGATAATGATTGGAGCATTCGTATGGAAGAGTTGGAGCGTTCCTTAGAAGAATCTATAAAAGAGAACAAGTCCAAGCCGAAAATTTTGGTTGTCATTAATCCTGGAAACCCAACAGGTAATCCTTGTATTAGTAACAGTACTACTTGAAAGAATATATTTATTGCTATGGTATACTTTATGTAGGTCAGTGTCTACCTGAGGATAATATGAAGGAAATTATCAAATTCTGTCACAGGAATAGTCTTCTTCTCTTAGCTGATGAGGTACTGTAAACTGTTTAGCTTTCATTATTGTCATTTCTTTTGTAGGTCTATCAGGAGAATGTTTATGTTGAAAGCAGGAATTTCAGCTCATTTAGGAAAGTCTTGCTTGAGATGGGAAAGGATTACAAAGACTTTCAGTTAATGTCCTTCAACTCAACATCTAAAGGCTTCATTGGAGAGTAAGGAGAGAAAGAAAAGAGAGATATTTGGATGAGAGAAAATGATGGTTAATTAACTGGGTATCATTTTTTAGGTGTGGTATCAGGGGTGGCTATGTTGAGATGATTGGGTTTCCCGAGGATCTACTCCAACAGGTGTACAAGGTTTTCTCTGTTCGTCTTTGCGCCAATTCCATTGGACAAGTTGTGGTTGATGTGATGGTTAAGCCACCGCAAAAAGGAGACCCATCATTTGAACTGTTTGATGAAGTAAGAATTACTAAGAAAGAGGGTGGGGAAAGAAATACAATGAGAATAAGTAGAAGAAAAAATTGTTCATATTTTAAAGTTAGCAGTGTAACTTTTTTATGATTTTTATTTTTAGGAGAGACAGTTTATTTTGCAGTCACTAAAAAGGAAGTCTGTCATGGTATATGAGAAGTTTAACAGCATACCTGGCATCAAGTGCAACAGGCTGCAAGGATCCATGTATGCATTCCCTCAGATTGAGATACCAGAAGGAGCTCTGAAAGATGCACATGTACATATAATAACTTCATTTAATACATGTACTTGTACTTTAAGCACTTTTAAATACCTGTAGCAAGTAAAATCATGCTAATTCCAATATTTGAGGATTGGAAAAATTCACAATAATTTAGGCCAAAATTTTTATTTTATTGCTGAATATGAAAATACTGGAGGCTAGCTTTATAGTTTCATTTTATTATAGAAAGAGGATCCTAATATGACCCTTGATACATTCTATTGTCTTGAGTTGTTGCGTCAAGAAGGAATTTGTTTTGTCCCTGGTACAGGGTTTGGGCAGAGACCAGGAACCTTGCATATAAGGTAAAGCACTATTAATCTGTTGCATACCTGAAGCAATAATAATTTATTGCACCTATTTCACTTATTTAATTTTGTATTTTTCCCATTTTAGGACAACTATTCTACCTAAAGAGGATGTGTTGGGTCGTGTTCTGGAGCGCTTTGAAAGCTTTCACAAGAAATTTACGGCTAAATACCAGTAGCTGTATACACGTGGAACCTTTTGCAACCTTTCATGAGTCACATTTTAGTTGCATAAAATGTGGCCATTATAATTTATTTTTTTAAATAATAATGCTAATTGTTTTTTGTGCCATAATAGTGAATAATTATTATTAATAAATAATTCTATAACCAGTTCAGCTAAACACTCTCATCCAGATGGTGCAGTATGAGTATTAATACATTACAAGTACTTTCACTGGCCGATCATTGATAAGACAGTGTGTACTTGATCTGCCAAATCCTTTCCTGAATAAAGAAAATTTAAGTTTTCAGAGTTCCATGAATGATTGGGTAATAATATCATACATGATGTACCTTCACTTTTCAATGAATTGAATGTTTTAGAAAGCTCTTGGTGTAAAAATTTATGCTTTATTAAAACCTTTGTCTAAAAACAAATTCATATTTAATCTCTCACTATACATTGTACCTTGCTACAATTATACAGTAAAGAGTGAACCCCAACTGTCACTACTTTGATAAATTTTTCCTCTTCAGTTTTCAAACATTTGATAAAAATATCCATCACTTTCTCTATAAATAAACATTAATTTATTCATTATTGCATTGACTTACCATTGGAAGCAAGAGGAGCTTTGCTAGGGCCATAGAAACAAAGATTTCTCAATATAGCGACACAATTGAGTTTGTCTCTTCTCCTTTTTAAATGTGCCCACAAGTCACACAGTAGATCCACTGAACCTAATCAAACAAAGCGAATGTGAAGCAATTCTATTGTAATGAATCCATCATGATACCTTGTAGCTTGGCTACTAAACTCATTCCATCATTAGTGAAAGTATAGTTAACAAGTAGATGGAGCCATTCAGTGACAAGAAGATAAGGAGAAGAGGAGGCAGAATGTTTCGCTAGATCAACTTTAGGATTAATGAGGAGAAATGAAGAGAGGAAATTCGTCTATTAAAAAAAGTATTAAAATTTAAAACCAAGCTCATGCGTATACCTTTTTAATAACAGCTCTGCATTCTTGTGAAGAGACAGAGTTACATAAAACAGAGAATAGATCTACCAGGACAAGAGAGTAAGGAGGTGGAGAGCATTGATCTGTTGACGTGCTCTTCATGTTGGATAGGATGGATAATGATGCTGTCTTTAGTAACTGCTGATATAAACTAACGCCACTAACAACTGTAGGACCTTTGCCATCATTCAACATAGCCAAATGAGCTGCAGGAAAAAAATATAAACTTATGTTCTGTATTTTTATGGTTGGTTTACCCTCAGGACAATGTGCAGTAAAAACAGTTAGGAGCTGTAAAAATGGCTTGAGTAGAGTCATATTGATAACTATCGATGGCCACAAAATACTGAGAGCATTCATGAGGCCAGCTTTAACAGCTACCAACTAATTCAAAATGAGAAGGATCTGACATAAAAACAAAGAAAGAATAATCTAATACCTTAAGTGAATTGTTGTCATGAAGTGCATTCTGAAGGAGTTTAAAACATTTGACTATTTCCTTAACTTCAGTGTATACTGTTTTCTATTACAGATAATATGAAAAAGAGATTATACATTAATATATAATACTTTTTTCCTATTAGATGATTTAGCTAGAGAATCAACAGTCAATTTAGTGTGAAGTGATATAAGTTGCTCAGTCACTGATTCCACCAGACCAGCTAAAACAGAACACATGTAAATGGATATAAACCATACATACAAACCTTCCATCATAATCTCTTTAGCTGTCTGGCTTGATGCTAGTAAAAGACACAGTCCAATCCATGAGAGTTCTCTCACTAGAGCTAGTTTTTCGTTTTCCCCTTCTACTGGCTTGACTTCAAACTTTTCCCATAAAGTCATTGATAACTCCCTCACTGTATCACTGTCAAGAGCAGAGAGAAGAGAGAAAGAGAGAGAGGAGGACCTGGAAGCACTGGAAGATGATGATGGAGAGAGAGACGAAAAGGAAGAGGAGGAGGAAGGTGAGAGGATGGAGCCTTGAGATGATGAACTGAGAGGTCTTTTAACATGACATCTTGATAGGAGTCTAGATAAAAGTGTCAGACAGTTTACTGATAGTTCTTGTATCTCGAATGTTAGACTGTACACCAACAACTCTAATGAGAGGAAAGAATTAGAGAAATTAATGAAGCAAAAATCATAGTAAACGTATAGTAGGAATAAAATTGTCAGTGGATTGTCAAGTTGCTCAAAAATTAGGCATATACATGATCTTATATGTTGTATAGAAAGTTTGAACTGATTCCAATCAAATTCAGATTTTTATGAATTTTTAAAGTTGCTCCAAATGCCATGCACTGTATTGTAGTGCTTGTCAGCTCATGAAGCTCATCCTATTTAGCTCACTTAGCATGCTTTGTGGGAAACCCTATTGGATAAGGTGCATCATGTTTTATGTGTATGTATTGTAGTTTTGTAGTTTAAGGTTCTACCTGTGAAGTTCTTCCATTCTTCAATCAAGCACTTCCATACAATCTCTTCTCTCTCAGAAATGGCCTCTCTCTTTTTTTCTTCTTCCGTCAGTCCTCGTAAAAATTTAACAATCTCTAGACACAACGCATCAAATTTTGAAGCACAGCCTACAAAATTATACGATCATTTTAAAAAATTGCACATGAAATTCATCCACCTTGTGGCAGAATATCCCTCCATTGCATTAACTGGAGGGAATGAGATGCTGTGGCTTTGAGTTGGTCATGTGACATTATCCCTTGATCATGTGACTCAATGCAAGAGCTGTTGATAGTTGATACAGAAATGACATGAAGCAAAGCTATGACTCTAATATATAGATCAAGCCATGACACTGCTAGACTGAAAACAAAAGAGAATGAAATATAGTAGTATTATATATTATAATGACTCACTTATCCCACAGTGATGGAGAAATGATGAAAATAAATTTAAAAATACTAGATTTTAGTAGCCTATTATAAATGAAGAATTTTATCCAATCGGTGAATATTTCTTATACATGATTAAAATATTTCTATTATTAGTGCTTACCTAATAATAAATGTCACCATGTCCTTCAATACGGTAGCTCTTATTGCAGTTTCTTTTAATGATAGAGCAATACTCACAAACTGGCACATGCCAGAAACTACTAAAAACTGACAGTCACTGAAGTAACGATAAGTCAGGACCTTCCAGTCTACAAAACCAGTCAGACCGGTCCTTTCAACTTGTTTGTCCTGATGATCGAGCGACTGGGATTCTTGTATAACTTTCTTTGCTTCCTCAAGAGTTAGTATTTCATCACAATTAGCAATAAGTTGATCAAAAGCAGATAAAAGGCACTTCATCAATCCAGTATCCTCCATTAGCTCACTAATATCATTATCATACTCTCCATGATATATGATATTAACTGATATGGTAAAAGCCTTAAAAAAGAGAAAGAGAGAGAGAGTGGTAAAGCTATACAAAAAGACAACTAAATATATATATATATGTGTGTGTAAATATAATTAGAAAAAAAGATATAAAAGATAAATGGAACTGAAATGGGAATATATTTTTAAAATTAACTTGATGTCTAATCCAATCAGATTCAGTGTGACTCATTCCAGTATCAATCATTGCTCCAAGCAGCCCGTTAGTGTGGAGTTCTTTCCATGATCTCAGTAGCACTTTGACTCCATTCGATTGTGAAGAAATGATTGATAATATGCTGTATGTAGCACAGGAGACCTGAGAATGAGAGAGAGGAGGTTCATATAAGATTTGTATGGTCATGCAGTCACTATTACAAATACTCAAAAATTGAGAATAAATGCTCACTTGATTGTCTCTGTCATGGAGCAATGAGTGTATCCATAATAGGCTGTTGTCATCATCCAACCAGTTAATAATGGTATCATTATTATCCTAAATTATTATAAAGAAGAGAAAACTTTTAACATATACATGTACACGTAACTCAAAAATTTATAGTCGGAATTGGCTTGAACTTTCTACATAGCATAAGTACATCAATATGTATCAGAAAATGTAATAAAACTCAGGGGTGATTTTGGAGCCATTTTTTGGAAAAAACCATGGGCTATAGCCTTGGGTATTTTTCAAAAATCGGCCATTTTTTAAAATGGCCATAACTCGAAAAATTAAAGTCGGAATCAGCTCAAACTTTCTACACAGCATAAGGACATCAATATGTATCAGAAAATGTAATAAAAATGGGGGGTGATTTCGGAGCCATTTTTTGGAAAAAACCATGGGCTATAGCCTTGGGTATTTTTCAGAAATCAGCCATTTTTTAAAATGGCCGTAACTTGAAAAATTAAAGTCGGAATCAGCTCAAACTTTCTACACAGCATAAGGACATCAATATGTATCAGAAAATGTAATAAAACTTAGGGGTGATTTCGGAGCCATTTTTTTGAAAAAACCATGGGCTATAGCCTTGGGTATTTTTCAGAAATCAGCCATTTTTTAAAATGGCTGTAACTTGAAAAATTAAAGTCGGAATCAGCTCAAACTTTCTACACAGCATAAGTACATCAATATGTATCAGAAAATGTAATAAAAATTGGGGGTGATTTCGGAGTCATTTTTTGGAAAAAACCATGGGCTATAGCCTTGGGTATTTTTCAGAAATCAGCCATTTTTTAAAATGGCCGTAACTTGAAAAATTAAAGTCGGAATCAGCTCAAACTTTCTACACAGCATAAGGACATCAATATGTATCAGAAAATGTAATAAAACTTAGGGGTGATTTCAGAGCCATTTTTTGGAAAAAACCATGGGCTATAGCCTTGGGCATTTTTCAGAAATCGGCCATTTTAAAAATGGCCATAACTTGAAAAATTAAAGTCGAAATCAGCTCAAACTTTCTACACAGCATAAGTACATCAATATTTATCAGAAAATATAATAAAAATTGGGGGTGATTTCGGAGCCATTTTTTGGAAAAAACCATGGGCTATAGCCTTGGGTATTTTTCAGAAAATAGCCTGCTTCATGTAAACAATTACTTTGTCATTGCTGATGCTCATTGAATGTATGATGAACAATAAATAAGAAAGACATTGTACACACAATCTTGTAATTCCTTTTAGCATAAAAGAGCCAAAGGATGTACCTCTCTCAGTCACTGATGACCATATTAACTGAGAAAAAGAGAAATTAAACATTTAAGAGATGCAAAGTAAAAATAGATACATAAAAATAGTAAAGATCCTATACCTACCTTTCTTACTGAGGCCATTAATGAACTTAATGCATCAATCCTGTCAAAATTCACATTATTTCTATAATAAAATTATAATGAGTGCTCATCGATATACCCTCTTATGTCATTCTACAAGAGTAGCATGCACAATGTACAGTACCTGCTAATGTTCTTCAAGATATTAAGGATACATTGAAGAGACAAATATAAGACAGACCTATCATTTGAGTCTGAGCTGATGACTTGTGTCAGTATTAGTAGCAATGAAACATTATGAGCTGGTGCCTCAGTCAATGACTGAGATACAAATAAAAGAAACTCTTTCACTAGCTCCCTAAATAATTACAAAAATATAACCAGCAAAACTTCACAATGTACATACACTATTACTTGTTCGTGTCTTCTTCTCTACAAAATAAATGTCTAACGAGAAAACCATCTTTTGAAGCTACCGAGCTCAATAACCACTCCCATTGTGATCGACCAATCAAATTAGAAGAAATGGATCTTAAACAACTAAGGGTAGACACTGCAATGTTTTCGTCTTCCTTGGTCTTTGGGGCTTTAGTAAGGAACTTTTGAAATACTTCTTGAATATTAAACGAGAGGCTCTTGTGGGAGGAGGCAGAGAGAGGGGAGAGCAAGAGGGAGACTTTTAAAGACTCGAAAACAGGAAAAACTCGCTTGACTGGTCTAGCAAGCAAACTTAAATAATATCCAGCCTAAAGAAAATAAAAAACAAAGTATTATAAAGCAGAAACAGCATACAATATATGCATGATCTAATCTACAAGTATCAATGAATGTACACAAACATGAAACATATGTATATGCACATACACATTTAACTCACCATAGTATAACATGAAGTGTATAGGAGAGACTGTAAATCAAATAGAACATTTGACAATTCAAGTCTAGTGATATCTTCACCAAAAAGAAACTCCTCCCCTTTTAGAAACGGCCCCTCCCCCATCCTATCCCCCTCTCCATTAGCGGAGGGGATATTGTCCACACCCCTAGCAACAGCTAATGCATAATGAAGCCAGAGTCTCCTACGATTAGGAGGAGAGGATGTCATATGAGTTGGAGCGGGAGAAGTTGTACTGGTGGGCAGAGACAAAGGCTGGACAGAAAATGGCAACTGGATACTATAAAAAAATAAAATGGTCATTTACAAATGGTCACCACATCTCTCTCTCTCTTACTGTGGAAGGAATAAGGTGTTCATCTTTATTACGTTGACTGGAGGAGAAGGACTGAACTGAAGAATAGCTGAAAATACTATTAGTGATATGATCTGTGATACTAGACACCTGATAGACTTGTATATGAATGAAACTGAGAGAAGAGAGAGAGAGAGAGAGAGAGAGAGAGAGCTAAACAGTGATTATATATATATATATATATATATGACAATATAATAGATGGCTAAAATTATTAACTTTTTGTGCCATTAAATATAATCATACCTCTAAATAATGTGAACATAAACTGATGATTGGACACGATGACATTCCTAACTGTACCACTGCCCAGGACTAGCAGCTGGAGACAATTGAGAGAAGAGGATAAAATGTCTTCCCTTTCTTTAACAGTCTTTGTCTGATCTGTTAGGATTATCCTCTGGAGAAGAGAGAGAAGGCCTTCCCTGACTGCCATCTCATGCAAAGAGATATCTGGAGAAGAGAGAGAGGGAGAGAGAGAGAGAGAAATAAGACAGATAGTAAGGCAGGTAGCATAGGTTATACCTTTTAATATACTACTCAGTTGATCCAATGCTGAGACTCTTAATGATACATCAACTTTTATAGATCCAGCAACTGATAAAAGATTGCAAATATCCTCACACTACAGAGAGAGAGAGTGGAAAAGGAGGGTAGACCAATAAAAAAGTGAAGTTAAGCAAGTGAATGCTTCTTTCTTTAATGTTGCACCTTAAAGGTTGAAGAACTAAGAGCAAGTGATGGACAATAGAAATGTAATAAAGGAGGCAAAGGAGATGAGACAAGGAGAACATCAGAGAAATCCACCATTGATTTCTCTCCATACTCTCTCATTAACTTGTCAAATGACTTCTCACGAATACTAAGAACAGAAATCCCATTAGCAAAACACGAAATAATTGTGTACCTTTTAATCTTTGAGTAGAGCATGCGAAGGAGCGAGGATGTCCTTATTTGGGAAGAGGCACAATCAAGTAAAATATAAATTAAAGGGAGCACATTATCGTGAGAAGATTGAGCAGAAAACTACAAGAAATAATGTAACTTGTGAACTAAACTCATCTACTCCCATACCTCAACGAATGGTAAGGATTGCAATAAAGTCTGCAATTGCTTGTCCCAAGTCTCTTTATTATTATTATTATTATTAGTATCATTATTTTTCTTAATATCTAAGACAATCATTGATATTAAAGGCAATGCCAGTCCTTTTAAATCCTCAGAGAGCATGTCCTGACACAAGGAAAGGACAAACCCAGAAGGAAACAGGACAGGAGACAGCCTTGTGCAGCTTCCTTCTAAGAAGACCTAGCAAAAGAAGTGCAAATGAGAATGTGGTTTTTAGCAAAAGGACCACAGACGCATGAATATCATTAAAGGCTGACCACAAGGGCAACCCACTAGTGCCTGAGCAATATTCCCAGTATATAAAGCGAGCTAGGGCCACTAGACAGATCAAGACTGTACTCACTAGGATCATTTCTGTAGTACATGTCCCACCGCTAGAAAACACTCTAGCAACAACACCAAGCCACGATGAAGAGATGGAGTTTCCTCCTCTGAGCGTGAAGCTTGCATTGGATCTGTCCTTGGTGCTACACCAAGGCTGTGTCCTTTGCATTGAGGAGCATTCCTTCTTTCCTCTTGGAGGAAAAGGGAGGAGGAGGAAACATCCAGAGTGGTTTTTTAACTTTTTAAAAGTCTCTTTTGGTATAAAAAACATTTGATGTACATTTAAATGTCATATTTGTATTATCCTAAATGTAGCACAATTAGACAAACCTTGTATGACTTGTAGGCTGCCATTTTAACTTCTCTTCTTTCATGAGATGCTAAATTAATTAAGAACTTGTGACATTTCGTAATCAGATCTACATCATCCCCTTTACCTGAAAGCCTACATGCATTAATAACAATAATCAATTACTAATAAGATCTACTCACAATATTTTACTGATATTCTCAATTGCTAGCGTCACAAATCTCTTCTCATTAGGACCCCAACAAAAAGACAGACCAGACAAACTGTCCCCAGCTACTTCCAATAACTGGATGGGCATAATATTAGTGGGTTTAGTTTCGTCAAAAAATGAAAGAAAACGATAGAGTTGTTCAAAAGACGAGCAAAGAGCTCTTTCCTTGATTAAAAGCTGCAAAAATAAAACAATAATAATTATAAGCAATGTACTTGTCTTACATTACAGAGTCCATTATCAGTGGATTGAATGAATGAATCTAATGATCCTAATATTGCGTTGTTACTATTAATAATAATATTAACAAAAGGATCGGCGAGAATCTCCTTGAATACAACACAAACTTGTGAGGACAACAAGTACTAAAATAAAAATATATATAATTAATTCATAAGCTACAACTATGTAATTACTATGCATCAAAATTTGCTACCCAATACAATACACAATTATATTAAATTATTATAATACTTACTTTATCATTAGCTTCAAAGAGATGAGAGGAATGGCATAAGAGTAGAGTGAACCAGTAAGACAAAAGACCCGCTAGTGGACATATCAACTTTAAGAGAAGGTGAGGGGTCAACCCGCTCTCCCTACACCTCCTCAGTTTCGAGAGACACTTAATAACAGCACCAGCAAAGACATCGAGTGTCTCTATGATCTATTGTTAGTAGAGAGAGGAGGAGGGAAGTGATATAATTATTATAAGATCAGCTCACTTTCTCTTTTGAAATCTGACCGTGTCCCTTTACAAGGATAAGTAGTAGATCTGAAACACATGAGCAACACTCTAAACACCTCCCAAACATTGAATACAGCTCGTCGCCAGGAAAATCATGACTCCGGCAACCAAAATCGAGCCAAGGCAAATGTCGATCAAGAGAGAGAAGTAACAGGTCGACAAGGACAGATAGAACGTTGCAGCAAAATGTTTGAATGCTGATTTCCTTAGACGCAAGATGAATGAGCATGTCTTTGGGGTGATCCTCGACATCTTTTGATAATAATTTATAACTAAACAGGTGATGGCTATCTTGTGCCAAAGGATTAATCTGCACTTCTAGTCTACCAGTTAGTTTGTGTACAAGAGAGAGAAGAGTAGAAAGAGGAGGAGTGTGATCACCTGTCCTAATGTGGACATCTTCTTTTAACTTTTCTAAAAGATGCTAGAAAGAAAGAAAGAGAGAAAGAATTTTAAAAAAGAAAGAGAGAAACAAAAAAGAAATAAAAAATGTTTGTTAAAAAAGGAAAGAGAGAGAGGAGAGAGTTTATTACTTCAACAATATCAGGTCTTTGAAGGAACACTTCTGGAGGAAAATCGTTGAGTAACACTTCCTCAATGAAGCCCCAAGTACTGGTGACACACCCCCTGTCACCAGACTGGAGGCGTGACAATGTACTCCCCAAAACTTTGATGTCAACTTTCGACAGCGGTAACCATGGAAATGACCCTAACTTTAGGGTAGCATCGTAACTGTTGTTCAAAGAATCACGAGTAGGAGGGGGTGTGGCCAAAACAGAATCAATCTTAGGACCATCACTAGACAATAAATGAGTTTGTGAGAGATTACTGCCGATACTAAGAGTTGAATGGGTGTGGTCTGAATTAGGGGATGCTGTTTGGTGGGTGTGGATATGGGTGTGGTTAAAAGATGGAGACGTAATAGGGGAAGCACTCCCAATGGATGGATGGCTACTGCTGCTGGTGTGACTATGATCAGTAAAAGATGATGGAAGGTGCAGTAGTTTCTCTAACATTTCGTCAACCATTTCTTGACATGAAGGATTGACATGAGGTCTCAACTGAGAGAGGAACTCGACCCCACCCACTTCCTGGAGCGTTGTGACTGCCGCCTCAAACTACATGTACAAATGTACAATTAATAATAATTATTATTATTAATAATAATTAATAATAATAATAATGATAATAATAATAACAATAATTCCAACAACGAAAACAATAATAAATTATTATTATTATTATTTACTTCAGTTGCATCTCTAAGTATTTCCAGTGCTAGTCCTTCGTGTATCCATTTCTCGTGATTGAACCACTCCATGAGGTGTATCAGGAAGCGCCTCTCATTGGATAGCTGCGAGGCTGTGATGAGTCCACTGCTCAGTTTAAACTTGATGCTCCTCAAAGCTCTGGACCTGACATCTACCAGAGGGTGACCTAAGGAAAGGAAAAGAAAAGTATTCGTATCTACCAGCTTTAAAGAGTCTCTCAAGCCATCTTTCTAAATTGCTTACTTATTTTTTTTAGCAGTTCTCTGTAACTTCCATGATCTTCCTCCTGGGATTCCGCCATTTTATTTGCCACGCCCAAGATAATTTCCGCTTGAATTGGTTCCACATACCGATAGATCATATTCATAGTGTACCTCATAGTGTACTATTAGTAGTAGCAAGAGTTTTGATATGAAATAATAGGCATGGTTATAAATATTATAACAATGGTAATTTTTAAAACGAATTTTAGAAATAAAAATTATAAAGGACTCGACTTGAGTAGTAATAAAGTCGAAGAGCCTTGAATTTTTACATGATGTTAATATTAGGTTGCAAACATTATCATTGTATTTGTACATGTATGTTAAACCATATAAAGTTAATTTGCCTAGTCTTTTGACAAAACTGTTTTAAAGAGCTCATTCAAATGTAGATGATAGTGATGTGTCAGTGTCACTATTATAAGCTGCATGTTAGCTGTGAACTCAGAAGATTCAATTCTTGGCAACACTAAGTGCTACTAGCTATTATTGGTAACATGCCAAGCTTTTGTGAATTCATTATTATTGGTGACAATGAAGCTTTTCTAGTTTAGTACAGCACCAAAATGACTACTGACATAAAGTACTGGAAGAAAAAGTGGGAAGAAGATGGAGGAATTCAGTGTGGGCACATAGACTACGTTGAAACTATCTTGAAGGTATCAAATGATAGTTTATTAAAAGAACAAATTCTATAATATTGATTAAATTATATATGTGTTGTTAATTTTATGTTCTTTTCACCCCTCACTCTTTCTTCTTTTCATGTCTGCTTGTCTATATGAACAATTGTGTGTGTGTTTTTCCCTTGCATTCTCTTCTTTCCCTGGCTGACATAGTGTTCTATGTTAGACTATCAGTGTTTTACTGTACTTTCATTTCTCCTCTCTGTCTGTCTATGCTATGTTGCACTGTAAAGTTAAATAAAAAAATTAATAAATAAATAAATAAAACTGTAGAACAACTATGATTTCCTAACAGCTGGTAGAGATAGATGCTCTGTATTTGTTCCTCTCTGTGGTAAGAGTCTTGACATGAAGTGGTTGGCAGCTCAGAAAGGCCACAATGTTGTTGGCATTGACATTGTGGATTTATCAGCTCAGCAATTCTTTGCTGAAAATAATGTTCCATTTAATAAATGTAAGACAAAGTATGCATTGCATAGAATATTCAACTGATCTTTTAGATACGATTGATGATGATTTCTTTGTATATGAATCAACAGAAAATGCAATCAAAATTAAATTCTTTGTTGGAGATATTTTTGATGTCTCGGCTCAGTCGGCTGGGTACTTTGATGCTGTCTGGGATTGTAATGCTCTGGTAGCCATAAAGCCTCCAGACAGAAATAAATATATATGCAAGATTGATTCTCTATTGAAGCCTTCTGGCTGCATCCTTCTTTCTACTTATGAGTATGACCCAACTCTTCATAATACTGATCCATATCCTATGACTCCTGATGATATTAAATTGCTTTTCTCTTCATTTTATGTCCAATTAGTTGAAACAATGGATGCATCAGAATACTTTAACTTTAAGTTTCCTTGGTCAAAAAGACACGTGTTTCAAATAAAAAGGAAATAGTAAAAGGAGACAGAATCTTGAACACATTATATAATAATAAATACTAGATCTACTATATATTATGTAGTTACAATAATTTGAATAAAAATGATAGCAACAACAATAATGAAAATTAATGATGAACAGCAAGTCTTTTATCTGTTTGAATACTTGGCATAATTGAGCTGCTATAATAATGACATTCATGGCCTGTTTGCGTATGGTTGATAACGAGCCACGCCCGAACTTTAAACAGAATTGTGGGTGGCTTAGGGCGGACTTTTCTGCAAAGAAGCTGAAGAACAAGGTCTACTAAAGATAAAGCGTCTTTTTTTCAACAGAGCGATGTCTGTTAACCTCCTCCACCGCCTTATAACGGGTTAGTTGACACTTTGTAAGAAAAAGAATTCAAAAATTGATGATCTAAAATTTTAAGTATGAGTTCAATCAATTTTTTGTTTCCCCTCTAGTGGCTCTGCTGGTTATCAGCTTGTTCTTTCACACTGCTGAGTGTGAAGGCAAAATTAATGGATTCATCAGTTTTGGTGTAACAGAATTAGTTGCTGATGAAGACAGCAATAGTGGATTCACTACAGTATCCATTCCATTTGTCAGGGAGATTGGAAATCAAGGCAATGTGCTAGCCACTTATGAAGTGAGTTGATATAATTGCATTGCTAAATAGTCAGAACCTCAGCTATGAAAGCAGATCTATAAATTCTAGTGTAAATCCAGTAGGAAGAGGTCATAATTAATAGTGATTAAGGAGTAACGAGGCCATGTAGATATCTTTAGATGAATGCTAATAAGCTATAAACTAGTATAAACCCTATAATAGTACTAATAAATGCCTTGTGCTGATTCATGCTCTGCAAAAAATACTAAATAAAATTAATCAGTTCAGATTGAATGCATACTTCGCTGCAGAACTGTTTTTACAAGCCATGCCTTTTACAAGACTCCATCCCCTTTAATATAATGCTTAAAGGGGGCTGGAGCACATGATGGTCACTAGTTTCAGTGTCCTCCCTGGAAAACAAAAACAAGATCCTGTTTAATATTCATAAACTGTGATTTATTAATAATGCTATGAATAATAAGTGTCATAATGAATTGACTTTTCTCTTTTCTCTCTTCTCTCCACAATTAGGTGATTAATTCTTCTGCTTCAGCTCAGTTCCTTTCATTGTCCAACAGTGTTAATTTTAATGGTGGGCAGACGGAAGCCAATGGTTTTCTTGTACTCATCAATGATGCAGTGCCTGAAGTCAATCAGACATATATAGTTGATATAATCGATGCTAGGTTTGGAGCAGAGGTGGGACCAACTGATCGCCTTTACCTTACAGTTAGAGCTAGTGATGATCCTTTTGGAAGGATACAATTTGAATCTGTAAGTACTAGTGTTGTTTTTATATCACATTCTGCACTTTTAGTTAGTTATAGTTAGTTATGACATTTCTGAATTACTTTTAGTTAGTTATAGTTAGTTCCGAAATTTCTAAATTACTTTTAGTTAGTTATAGTTAGTTATGACATTTCTAGATTACTTTTAGTTAGTTATAGTTAGTTACAACACTTCTGAATTGCTTTTAGTTAGTTATAGTTAGTTTTTAAAATCTGTGAATTGTTTTAGTTAGTTATAGTTAGTTCTGTGTTTTACAATGTCTTTTAGTTAGTTATAGTTAGTTAACTAAAAGTAAATATGCCTAACTAAAAGTGGTTTTAGTTTTAGTTATAGTTAACTAAAACAACACTAGTAACTACCATAGACGCAAATGTAAACAGCTGTTGTATATTATGTGCATGAAAAATTAATTAGTTACAGATGTTTAATCATTATTATTATTATTATCTAGTCATCACTGGTCAGGAGTGCTATAGAGCCACTGTCTGGTAGCACTAGCACTGTATCATATGATGTTATAAGAGGACCTGGACTACATGGACAAGTTTCTATTAATTATGAGGTATGATCAAGGAAAAAATATCATTGCTAATGTTTACATTATTTTTATTGTTGTATTTAGGTGACTGGTGGTCCAAACTCTGCATCTCTTGATGTCTCACTTGGTCAAGGTCAACTCATATTTGAAGATGGGCAGAATGCAAGCAATTTCACACTCTCCATCCTTCCAGATAACATACCAGAGAACAATGAGACCTTTACTGTACGTCTTTATAATCCAGGGGGAGGTGCTGTAGTAGCGGATAATGACAACGAAGCACAGTTGATCATCATTAGCAATGACACTCCTCTGAGGTTCGCATCCTCAAGCATTGAAGTATCAGAGAATGTTGGAACGGCACAGCTTACAGTGTACAGAGGGGACATAGGAGGAGTATCCATTGGGCCATTAGATCAAGTAACAACTGTACAGTATAGCACATTACCCACTGGTACTGCTATTGCTGGACTGGACTATACCTATACAACAGGGACACTTACTTTTCCCTCTGGATCAACTAGTGCTACAATTGGTATCCCAATCATTAACGACACAGTCCCTGAAGGAGATGAAACCTTTACTGTTGCTCTTAGTAACCCATCAGATGATGCCGTGCTTCATACACCAATAAATGTGACTGTTATTATTGATATTAATGATAATGCAGGCGGTGTTGTTAGATTCCAGTCTATTGCTCCTCAAACAATATCAGAAGACAATCAAACGAATGCTACCTTTATAATACAAAGAGATGTCAGTACACTTGGATCGTTAACGATATCTTACTCCATTAAAGACTCCAACAATCAGCTAGCATCATCTGATTTTGATCCAGCCTCTGGACAGATAACAATACCAAATGGAGTGGACATGTCTCAATTGGTCATTAGAGCTATTGATGACACACTCCCTGAAGAAGCTGAATCATTTACTGTGTCTATTGATGGGGTCCAGTCTGGAGAAGGTCAACTGAACACTAATGAGACACTAAGAGTTGCTTTATTGCACGTGTCTGACAGTGATGATGTGTATGGGATTATTGGAACCAGTGGTACAGGAAGTATTGCTGTTAACTCTGTAAGTCTTTTTAACATTACTATGAATATTAAAGATTAAAACTAGCAGTTTAAAAGCATATATATTACTTACATGCACGTGCATATTTTATTATTTTCTTTCTTATACTGTAGGATGGCAACAGAGTCATGTCATTCACACTGACACGGAGCCAAGGGACTACTGGTGAAGTAGTTGTTGTGTATAGTATACTATACCTACCTCCTGGTGTCACTGACCCATCGAGTGGCATGAGTGGAGTAGCTGCAGCTGCTACTAGTACGGCTACATTTCCCAATGGGCACTCAACAGTCAATGCCAAATTGAATTTACTCACTACCGGAATGCTAGAGGAAGCGGCTTTAGTATACATCCAACTAGTCTCTGCTGAATTATCTGATGCAGGTTAGAACTTTTACTTAAATAGCACTAGAAATACTTATGTGTTTATCTTAATGTCTATTTAGGATCCTTGTTGACTGAGCCATCCTCTCCACGTATCAGTACCACTTCCTTTACTGTTAATGCCAGCGTGCCGCTAGCAGCTGCTAATGGACACATTAGTTTTGCACCATCCTCATTGATGGCATCAGTCTCTGAACCTGATAATGGCTTTAGTTTAGTATCACTGACGATACAGAGGAATGGAGAGTACGGGGATGCACTTGTTACATGGACAGCATCAGCTTCAAGTGGCTCATCATTCACTACTAGTGATATTGGGATCAATGCTGCTCAGGTTCTAATACCCAATGGTTAGTAGAGTAATAGTTACTTTTATTGTTTATTGTTTTTTGTCGTTTATTATTAGGAGCCAGTTCTGCTAGTTTCTCTATTAGTATTGTTGCTGATGATGTTCCTGAACTAGACGAATCATTTAATGTCAAATTATTATCAGTTGCTCAAGTTGGTCAGAATATAGCAACTACTAATGTAAGTCTTTAACATAATGATAATAACAATACCATTTATTTATTTATTATTATTATTACTGTTAGATTACTGCTGTTGTCACAATATTGGAAAATGATGAACCGGGAGGTACTTTCTCTATTGCTTCAACTTCTGAAGGACCTTTTTATATTGAGGTATAGTTGCTTTAACCATAGATTTAAAAGTATAATATTTTAGCATTTTCTTTATATCATGCATGTACCTCACTCATTGATTTATCTTCTCTTATAGGAGAGTCCATTAGATTCATTATCAATACAAATACAAAGAAATGGAGGTGATCTTACTACTGAGCAAGTACTATACCGTATTGTTCCCTCAGGTAATTCATCTCAACCAATCAACAGTAGATGCATGATATTTAACACATTTTTATTTTTATTTTTTAAATATTAGGTTCCGATGATTTTATTGGCTCTAGTGGTCTAGTGACATTTTCTCCTTCCAATCGCTCAATGACAGTATCTATAGGTCCTTCTCTTGATGACATACCTGAGATCAACGAGACGTTCACATTTGAGATATATTCCACCAAAGACATTATCAGGCCACCATATAACGCCTCTATTACCATACTTGCTAATGACGACTGGAACGGAGTCTTTAACTTCAGTAGCTCATCAATCTCATCAACTATAGGTACAGCCATCACTGCATCTATTACTATCAGTAGTAATGCCACATATATACATACAGCATTAGTGTATTATAGTCTGTATTTGCTCTTGTAATGGCAGATGTACTTGTACATTTAAAAAGTTTCCTGTTATTATTTTGTGTCACTTTTTATGTACATGTATGATTATAGATGAGCCAGCTAATCCTGGTTCCAGTGATCCTTCTCTGGTATCTACTGCTAATCTAACGGTAATACGTAATGTTGCATCATTTGGTGATGCTACAGTGCATTGGGAAGCAGCAAATCTCAATACTATTGATATAGAACCAACTAGCGGATCCGTATCATTCAGCGATGGAGTCTCAGAGGCTGTCTTTCAAGTATCTGCTCAGGCTGATAATGTGAGTCTATAAGGAGGTGTCTATTTTGTTTAAGTAGGTGTGTTTTATAGATCACTGAGTTTGATATCAGTCACATGATTCGGTTGGTTTCAGTCTCTGGTGGTGGGCGGCTTGATGACTCAGGGACTGTTGCTACAGTTACAGTGAGACAGAGCGATGATCCAGTCAGTATCTCGAGTAATGATTTAGTTAAAAGTGGAGAAGAAGGAGACGTGATTAGTATTAATGTTACAAGAGGAGGGAGAGCTAATGGTAAGGAGAAAGACAAGAGCACAACAAAATAATTTTTAAATATATCGTTCACGAGTTAATGTATGTTGTTCCTAATAGGGGTTGCTGTGGTTAGTTTTTCTGTGATATATACCAGTACTTCTTCATCAGATGTTAGCATTGATCCAGCCACTAGTATGATAACACTGATGGATGGTGATAGATCAGGGATCATTAGTATTACTCTACTGGACGATGCTGTACCTGAACTTATGGAACAACTTCAAATAAGACTAACATCTGTAACAGGTTAGGCATCATGACATGTACTTTGTATGAATTGTGACTAAAAATCTGCTAATATAATATTACTATTATAATGATTGCAAGCTAGTATTAATGCTTTGTTTTGTATATATTATTGTAGGTGATGCTGTTATTGCTTCAGCTAATACACTATCAACTATTAGTATAAATGAGTCTGATGATCCTAATGGGTTGTTCCAGTTCAATGCTAACAGTCTCAGCAATACAGTCACCGAAGGAAGCAGTGTTGATTTGACGTGAGCCATTAGATATTATATGTATCATATTTTTATTCTTTTATTCCTTTTCACACAGTATTGAGAGGTTAAAGGGTACCTTTGGTAATGTGACAGTATTCTGGAGAGCTCTGTACAATAGCAATGGAGTATTGACACCAGTACCTCCTCTAACTGATATTAGTGTCACCTCTGACAGTGTAATGTTTAGAGAAGGACAGACTACAGCTAGCATCACTATAACAATACTTAATGATGATATACCAGAACTAACAGAGGATTATACAATAGAAATTACCAATGCCACTACTGAATTAGCAGTAGTTAGTATTGATAATGAGACTGCTAGTATAACAGTACCTGAGAATGACTATCCTTACGGAGTGTTCCAGCTGGATAGTCCTGGTGCATTGTGGCTTGGTGAGGATATACCTGATGCAGATACTAGTAATGGTACCGGTGTCTTTAATGTTAGCAGGACTGCTGGTACCTTTAATGATATACAAGTAAGTTGTATGTACATGTAATGCTGCTTTTCACATAAAATGTAGTTTGATTCTATTCTTAATGTAAACTATATGATTCTGAATTGTTATTATTTCTTATTATCATTAGGTGGTGTGGGAAGTTAGGCCGATCCCTGCTCCCTCTCTCCCCACGTCTTTCACTGATCTACTTCTAGTTGGTTCCCGTGGATCCGGAGTCTCCATAGCAACACCACGCCCATCAACAGGCACCACAGCCCTATCATTCACTGGTGGTTCCTCCTCACTAGTGACAGTTCCATCAGCCCTCACTCCACATGTTGCTAATAATATGAGTATTAGTGTCTGGTTTATATTCAATGGGTCGGTCAATGGTGTGTTGGTAGGATCAGCTAATGGCAATACTGTGTACTATGGGTTGGCTCTTGTGTCTGATACTAATCAGTACATTGTTAGGCTCCTCTATCTTCCATCTACACTGAATGTAAGCTAATTGATGCCTCTATGCATGTACTGAATGCAAAATACTTGTACATCATTTATTTATAATACTTTTATATTATTCATTCATAATACTTGTGCATTATTTATTTATAATATTTATATTTTTTTGTAGTCCGGTTCTGAGACTGTTGAAGTTTCTGTCCCAAGCTCTTCATTACCAATGAATGAGTGGCATTTACTAGTGTTGAGTGTGTCTGGTACTAGTGCTAGCTTCTATATCGATGGGACACTCATCAACACTCGTACACTCTCAGCAGGATTATCCACTGCCTCTAGTGATGGTGTAGTTACTGCTGGGGGGCTCACTGGCTCACAGTATTTCGTGGGTAACTTGCAAGATGTGAGGATCTATGAAACTTCCCTTGATCAACAGTATGTACTGTGATATATGTATAATGGACATTGCGTTACTTCTTTCCCTTTTTATTTCTCTCCTTGTTTTAATCCTTATTCTTTTCTTCAGGCAAGTCTCAGATATATATTCTAACCCAGCAGCCGATCACTTCCAGTACATATCTGGTGTCGTTACAGTGCATGATAGACAGGATCGTAATACTTTCAGTGTACAGACTAAAGATGATAGCATACCTGAGCCAACTACCAACTTTACACTTAGTCTCATTGCAGTTAGTGGAGAAGCACAACTATCAACTACTAATCTTGCAACAACAATCACTGGTAGGTACAGCACAATGTGTATCAGTAATATCATTGCTTCCTTTTATGTACATGTACATACAATTGTGACTATAGTATTTGTTATTATTATATGCTCTTTTTCCTTTATTATAGTTTTAAAGAGTGACTACAGTAATGGTCTATTTGGTCTCTCATCTCTCACTCCGTTCAATAATGTTGAAGGAGCTACTGCTGATATCATTGTCACTCGCTCTAGGAGCAGTATTGGTACTGTCACTGTTGCATGGGAGATACGTAATCTTGCTGATGGTTCTCTGGCTGATGATGATTTTGAGGAGTCTTCTGGAACAATTGTGTTCAGCAGTGGAATAAATGAATCTGTGAGTAATAATAAATATTAAATATTTTATCTCTCTCTCTCTTTTTTTAGTATTTCACAGTTCAGTCTACCAATGAGAGTGTCCCTGAGCTAGATGAATCATTTTCAATATCCCTAACAGCAGCTACAGTTGATGACACATACCCTAGTTCCACACCAACCAGTGGCGCCTCACTCTCTCCAAACACTACGGTCAATGTGACCATTCTCTCTAATGATTATCCTTATGGTGTGTTCCAGTTTGAGGCATCTCCTCCACCAGTGGCTGGCGTCATACCATCAGCTGATGCAGTAGTTACTACAGCCATTACCGAAGAGATAGGCTCAGTGGTGGTGTATATCGTTAGAGCTCAAGGTACAGTTGGTACTGCTCGAGTGGATTACACTACTAATGATGGGACGGCTCTCAGTGGAGGCGTGTCACCTGATTATGTACCCACTGGCGGTACTTTGATGTTTGCTGATGGTGAGAGGATAAAAAACATCTCCATTGCTATTACTAATGATCAAACTCCTGAGCTGGCCAAGTACTTTTATGTTAACTTGAGCAATCCTATTGGAAATAATGGTACTATTGATTAATATATTGTACATATACATATTAATGTATCCCTTTTTCTGTAGATGGTACTCCTATTCTTGGTACTGGTAGTGATATAGTTATCACCATTAGTCCTAGTGATGACGCTTATGGCGTCTTTAGTTTCAATGATGAGTCGCTATCACAAATTGTGAGTGAGGACCAATCAGGGAGTACACTAGTCTCTTATGTTGTGGAACGCGGGAATAAAGGAAGGCTTGGTACTGTTACTGTCTACTGGGAGGTTGTTAATGGAGGGAATGATGTCAGCCAGTCTAACGGTAGTGTGGTCTTTGGGCCTGGTGTACCCACTTCTGTATTCTTCTTCACCATTACTAATGATATGGTAAGAGAGAAAGTTGATTTAAAATTATTTATTTATTTTCACTCATTAATTGCAGAACCCTGAGCTACATGAGAACTTTACAGTGAGGCTAGTCAGAGTTAGTGATGGTCGTATAAGTGATACAGGGAATGCTGTAGCTATTCTTACAATAAGAGCTAGCGATAGACCATATGGAGTGTTCACATTCTCACCATCTTTCAGCCCACTATCAATCACTGAGGATGCTGGAACTATCAATGTCATAATATTGAGAGAATTTGGTATGGAAGGAACTGTCGAGGTCTACTATACCAATTTGAATGACTCCACTGAAGAAGGGTAAGGCATTATAATAGTCATAAAAATTGAGATTGATTTTGGAGTCATTTTTTGAAAAAAAACTATTGGCTATAGTACAGTGCAAAAAAACTTAAATGTTCAAAACTCAAAGAATATTTGTTGGAATCAACTCAAACTTTCTACATAGCATAAGGACATCAATATGTATCAGAAAATGTAATAAAAATTTGGCATGATTTTTGAGCCATTTTTTGAAAAAAACCATGGGCTATAGCCTTGGGTATTTTTTGAAAATTGGCCATTTTAAAAAAGTGCTCGTAACTCAAAAAATATTTGTCGGAATTAGCTTAAATTTTCTACATAGCATAAGGACATCAATATGTATCAGAAAATGTAATAAAAATTTGGCATAGTTTTTGAGCCAATTTTTGAAAAAAACCATGGGCTATAGCCTTGGGTATTTTTTAAAAATTGGCCGTTTTTAAAAAGTGCTCATAACTCGAAAAATATTTGTCGGAATCAGCTCAAACTTCCTACATAGCATAAGGACATCAATATGCATCAAAAAATGTAATAAAAATTTGGCATGATTTTTGAGCCATTTTTTGAAAAAAACCATGGGCTATAGCCTTGGGTATTTTTTGAAAATTGGCCATTTTAAAAAAGTGCTCGTAACTCAAAAAATATTTGTCGGAATTAGCTTAAATTTTCTACATAGCATAAGGACATCAATATGTATCAGAAAATGTAATAAAAATTTGGCATAGTTTTTGAGCCAATTTTTGAAAAAAACCATGGGCTATAGCCTTGGGTATTTTTTAAAAATTGGCCGTTTTTAAAAAGTGCTCATAACTCGAAAAATATTTGTCGGAATCAGCTCAAACTTCCTACATAGCATAAGGACATCAATATGCATCAAAAAATGTAATAAAAATTTGGCATGATTTTTGAGCCATTTTTTGAAAAAAACCATGGGCTATAGCCTTGGGTATTTTTTAAAAATTGGCCGTTTTAAAAAAATGCACATAACTAAAAAAATATTTGTCGGAATCAGCTCAAACTTTCTACATAGCATAAGAACATCAATATGTATCAGAAAATGTAATAAAAATTTGGCATGATTTTTGAACCATTTTTTGAAAAAAACCATGGGCTATAGCCTTGGGTATTTTTTGAAAATTGGCCGTTTTTAAAAAGTGCTCATAACTCAAGAAATATTTGTCGGAATCAGCTCAAATTTTCTACATAGCATAAGGACATCAATATGTATCAGAAAATGTAATAAAAATTTGGCATGATTTTTGAGCCATTTTTTGAAAAAAACCATGGGCTATAGCCTTGGGTATTTTTTAAAAATTGGCCGTTTTTAAAAAGTGCTTATAACTCGAAAAATATTTGTCGGAATCAGCTCAAACTTCCTACATAGCATAAGGACATCAATATGCATCAAAAAATGTAATAAAAATTTGGCATGATTTTTGAACCATTTTTTGAAAAAAACCATGGGCTATAGCCTTGGGTATTTTTTAAAAATTGGCCGTTTTTAAAAAGTGCTTATAACTCGAAAAATATTTGTCGGAATCAGCTCAAACTTCCTACATAGCATAAGGACATCAATATGCATCAAAAAATGTAATAAAAATTTGGCATGATTTTTGAACCATTTTTTGAAAAAAAAGCCTATTCTTTCACCTTGACCTTGATATAATTATACTCACATTTTTTATACATTATATAGTTATGCTATTGCTGGGTTTGATTATACTCCAGTTTCAGGGAGTGTCGTGTTCACTCCTAATCAAACAATGGCTAGTTTCAGTGTTAGTATCATTGATGATACTCTACCAGAAATACCAGAAACATTCTACATTATACTAGTCAATGCTACACTGCTTGATGATGATGGGATTCACTTAGGAACTGATGGTAGGTGGAAAATCATATCTTATTATATTTATGATAATAATACCGGTATTTAACCTGTACAACAATCTTATTCCTTTTCTAGCTCTTCCACTGATATCCAGTGCTAATGCAAGTATTCTGATAGAGGAGAATGATAATCCAAGGGGTATCTTCAGCTTCACTTCGTCATCATTCACTGCAGAAGAAGGAACCACTGACTCTATCACTGTTACGAGAACTGCAGGAACTTATGGAGAAGTAAGTTACCGTAATAACAAAAGATGTATATAATATGCTTATTTCTTTGTAAAGGTTACAATATCATGGTTTATTACACTGATCAATGCATCCTCATCAGATGTTAATGCAGTACAAGGGACTGATACCATACCTGATGGTGTTAGTCTAGCTCCACTCAGTATCACCGTAATTGATGATGCTTTGCCCGAGTTCACTGAGTCATTTTTTGTAGCACTGACAACAATAAGTGGTGGAGCTGACCTTGGTTTACCAATATTAGCAACTGTTACCATACCCACCAGTGATGATCCTTATGGTGCCTTTGGTTAGTCATTAACATAGAATACGCATGCACATGTACTTGTACTTTATATATTTTTGCTGAATTAGTCTATAGATAAATTTGTGATTATATTTTCTATATTTTATGTTTAGTATTTGCTGAGTCTAGTCGATCAGTGTCAGTTCCTGAGCCTGATTCAGGTATGAGTAGTATCACTATTAATGTCACTAGAGAAGGAGGAACGCTTGGTCTTGCTTTTGTTGATTACAACATCACGTCAGCCTCAGGTTAGTCAGACCCTCCATTGAACAGATTAGTTAGTGCATATACTCTTTAAAGGTGAACCAGTATCCAGTGACTTGACGTATGACTCTATCAGTAACCTCTACTTTGCTAATGGAGTTAGGGAGAGATCACTCACTGTTAGAATATTATCAGATGATATCCCTGAAATCACTGAAGTATGCCTATTAACTATAAACTAAAAGATACTATTATATTCACTTAACTTTTTAATCCTCCCCTTTCCTCTAACCCTCTCTCTCTCTCTTTCTCATTACAGGTGTTTTATGTGAACCTATTTGGCGTTACAGGAGGTGGAAGAGTAGGAGCTTTTGGAGTAGCTGAGATCAGAATATTAGCTAATGATAAACCATACGGCTCTGCAGTGTATCTTAGAGACAGTGAAATACTTACAATGGAAAATGATGAGAATGCTACAACCATCAATATACCTGTATATAGAACGTAAGGGCGTGTACATACACTTGTATTGTATTATTACCTTCACTATAAATTACACAATTAGTATGTATTGTCCTTTCCTTTCTTTGTAGTGGAGGATTGTTTGATGATGTTAGTGTAGTATACAGTATAAGATCAGCCACTCCATCATCATTAGACAGATACCAATCACCAAGTACTGGAATATCACCACCTACCAGTGTTTTACTATTACAGTAAGAAAAAGGAGTGAATGAATAAATACATAATAGAAGTGTTTTAAACCATACGGTCATCACTGTAATTATTGTATGCTCTTATTATTTCCAAATAGATCAAGTGATTATGTGACTAGTGATAGATTGAATGAATGTGGTGTGAAATGTGTCGAAGATTACACTGTCTGTCAGTCGTTTGCTTATGATTCATCGACATCACTCTGCCAGCTGTATAGATCAACTGTTGGGGTCTCTGGCAGTGTTACTAGATCTAACACTGTACAATATTATGAAGCTATTCCAGGACAGGTAGGTGTATGTACAGTTACATACAAAGCATTTTTACTTATTATTATTATTTTTCTTTTAGTTGGAGTTATTGGCACGCCATATTGCATCAGCTAGTCAGGATTTTGAATACCTTTTCAACGCTAATGTGACAATACCTGCTGGAAGAAACTCAACACATTCTGACAGCATTGAAGTATCAATAAATTCAGACACTCTACCTGAGCTGAGAGAGAACTTAACAGTGTCACTGATGAGTGTATCAGTGTCTGGTGTGAATGATGACTCACTGTTACCAGTTATTGGCAACTACAGTGATACTATCATTAGCATAGCTGAGAATGATGATCCTTATGGACTATTCAGCATTAGCATTAGTCAACTGAGCACTGTTCAAGTACATGAGCCTTCAGGCACTGGAACCCTGCCTGTTACTCTGACCATAACCAGGAGTGCTGGTACTAATGGACCTGCTAATGTATCACTAATTGTTAACGGAGTGACAGCTACTCTTAATAGTGATTTCTCAAGTAAAGAGAGACATTTTAGTATAGATTAATTTATTTTATTTTTAATACCCATGCAGTTAATCAAACATTAGTCCAATTTGCTGATGGAGAGTCATCAAAGACAGTAGTAGTCCATATACTGGGAGATGCTGAACCAGAAGCTGATGAATCACTTACCATCAGTCTCTCCAATCCAACAGGAGGAGCTAGTATAACCGGAGAAGAACTAACAATAGTTATACTGACTAACGATAATGCAGCTGGTACTGTGAGACTGGCCTCTGACTCAAGAGCAGCTACTATAAGTGAAGGAGGAACTATCAGACTAACTGTTGAGAGGAGTGTGTCTCAATTGGGGCGGCTTTTGGTTAATTGGACTATCACCGGCAGCCTCAATTCTACTAATAACAATAACAACAACAACCAGTTTAATGGTAATTTCACTGGCAATAATGATACGTTTTTTATCAATGGCACTGATATTGGAGGAGCTGGACCAGAGTCGCAGTTTCAAACAGCTTCCAGTTTTATCATTTTCGAAGAAGTAAGAATCAATCACTTTATATTGTATATACATGTATCATAATAAAATATTAAGCTTAACTATTATTGTGTTGTTGGTGCTGCTGTTCTTGCTATTATTATCATTTGTTGTTGTTGTTATTGTTGTTGTTTTTGCTAGGGCGTTACCTCAGTTGATATTGTAACAACTGTTATTGATGATAACATACCTGAAGTACAGGAGCCCTACTACCTAACATTAGTAGCTACACGGATCCTCTCCTCTGGTGTGGGTGAAGCCATACTGGATGCTAATGGAAACGTTGCCATTATAACCATAAGGGCCAGTGATGATCCTTATGGTGTGGTAGAGATACTATCATCCTCACAACCTATTGAGGAAAATGAGTCTGACCAACCAACTGTTACTGTACTGAGGAACTTTGGATCATTAGGTAAAATGAGATGAGGGAAGATATGTGTATAGTAGTAGCATCATAAAATATTGCATTCATTTTTTATAATTTATGATGTACTATACATGTAGGCCGCATTGTGATCACATATCAAGCTGTCTCTTACCAGTTATCTGGTCAAATGTCAGCAACTCCTGGAGATGATTTTGATAACTCTACTATGACAGTAATAATGGAGGAAAATGAAGCATCAGCAACAATCATAATTCCAATAATTAATGTAAGTTTTCAATATTACATAAATGTACAGATACATATTGACACCCTTTATTATGCTTTATAAAGTCTAAGCTTATACTTTCCAAAAAAGCACTGTAGTCAATCAAATATTATATTCTTAATGTAGGATGATATTCCAGAGTTGTCTGAGGTGTTTGCTATTCAGTTGCTATCAGCCTATCTTGAGTCAGACCCATCAGTATCAGTTCCACTCAATCCTAACAGTACACTAGCACTGATCACTATAAACCCCAATGATAATCCTAGTGGAATGTTCCAGTTTACTATGAATGAGTAAGCTATACATGTACTTGTACATGCAATCTTGATGCAATCTTAAGATCTTAATGTAGTTGTTGATTTTCTAAATTTGATGTTGACTATTTTTGATAGATTGACAGTATCAGAAGATGCTGGCATCATTGACATAGAAGTAGTTCGTACAGGTGGATTGTTTGGATCAGTTACTGTAATGTTTCAAACTGTTGGAGACTTAAATGACTTTACTCTCATAAATATGGTTAGTGTTATCATATGACTTGCATGTGATTCATATGCACTTTATTTAGAGCATTGTGTTTGCTGATGGAGTGAGCAGTGAGGTTGCTAAATTGAATATTATTAATGACAATATGCCGGAGTTGGATGAGTCATTTGATGTACAAATATTTAGTGTCAGTAATGAAGGACTAACAGGAGACAACAATTCATGTAAACAATCAAGCACATTATTTGCTCCTTTTTATGAATCTGTCCTCTTCATTTTAGTAACTGTTACTATTAGTGCTAATGATGATCCTAATGGAAGGTTTGGGTTTTCACCCTCTTCTCTCTCAGTGTCAGTTGAGGAAGCTGGAGCTGTAGTTAATGATGACAATAGTATGAGATATTATGAAACAGTCTAGTTCTTACTTAATAATTCTTTGCTATTTATAGTTGCTGAGTTAACTGTTATAAGAGAGGGTGGTACCTTTGGTACTGTTACTGTACCATACATGATTGAAACAGCAGGAGCTAATGACCTCAGTCCTACTACTGGACTGCTAGTATTTCAAGAGCATGAAACTCAACAAGTAACCATATAATTATGAATATCATTCTATAAATATATACTTTATTTTTATTCCTTCTTTCTTTATTTCTCAGGTTATAAGGATAACTGCAGTAGCTGATACAGAGCCTGAAATTGATGAGACCTATTCTATCTTCCTTGAGACACCAATCAGTCCAATTGCAAACGGTAGCAGTCTTATTGATGATGAGTCGGTTGCCATGATAACAATTCCAGCCAATCAGAATCCTTACGGCACATTTGAACTTTATGCACCAAACAGGTTAGAAATGATTCAAGTATTAAAACCAGGTGCTATTAAATTATTCTTATTTTAAAACTAGTCTCTCATCTCTGTCTGTTGAAGAGGATGTTGGTACAGTGAGATTGGAGCTAAGGAGAACCACTCCTTCATTCAATGACATCATAGTTCACATAGCAACACTCAGTGATAGCAGTATGATGACTAATGACACTAATGGAACTATTGACTATACACCTGTGTAAGTGGACATTTATTGCTATGCGAAATCCTTATAGGAAACCCTGATGAGACATTTTAAAATATTTTTTTTATTTTATCTAGTTCTTCTCCTATTGTCTATGGAGCTAATGTTAGTATGATTGAGCTACCACTAGGCATATTGAATGATGATATACCAGAACTGGACGAGACACTTATAGTTCAATTGGTTAATGTGTCTGGAGGTGCTATGGTTGGTGATAATAGAGAAGTAACCATCACTGTCTTGACTAATGATGATGCTTATGGAGCCGTTGGATTTGCAGAGGTAAGAGTCACTACATCATTATTACTATCCATTGATCAAAAAATCTATGTATAAACATACTCTTATTGTATTTTTGACCACATTCAATATTATTATTTCATGTATTTTATCATCTGCCTTTGTTTTTTTAACAGAGTTCTTTATCCGAGATTCTTTCTGAGCCAGAGTTTGGCCAAAGCACAGTTAATCTGGTGGTTGAAAGAACCGGTGGACTCTTGGGTAACATAACAGTTGCATGGTCACTATCTGGGGATCATTCCAGTGGAGAAGTAACACCTGCTAATGGAACTGTAAGGAGTGAGAGATAGAGAATGAGGGAGAGAGAACAAGAGGATGCACAGATGGAGCAGCTAATTTTTTATTATTGATCTTTTTGTTATCATTTTAGTTGACATTTAATGAAGGTCAGGAGTCAGATATGATACAATTGACAGTATCTTCTGATGAGACTCCAGAGATAAGCGAATTGACTAATGTTGTATTGACGTCATTCATTGATAACGGAGTACCTGAGGGTGGGGACCAGACCAAAGGAGCTAGGATTATTGAGTCGAGGTCAACAGCAGTCATTACTGTAACAGCAAATGATAATCCTTTTGGATCAGTCTCATGGGCAGGTGCTGGTATCTCCATTGCTGCTACTGAGAGCAACTCTGGCAGCAATCCTGTAACACTGACCATACTGAGAGTATCAGGGAACCATGGAGACATTGAAGTGACTTACAGGTTAGCATTGTAGCCAGCATAATAATGAAGTTGTGCCACATATGAGTGTCTATTAACTTCTGATTGCCTTTCTATAGAACTACAGTTGATGATTTTGCAATACCTGGTCAAGGAGCAGTAGCTGGTGCTGATTATGCTAATGTGTCAGAAGGACTAGCCACCATTAGGGACAGAGAGACCTCAACCACTATCAACATCCTAATATTACCGGTAAGACTGCTATTTATAGTATCACTGCATGTAATGGTTAATGGCTAAAAATAGATTATCTATTGTTTGATGCCTACTATAATCTCTTTCTATAGGACAATATTCCAGAGATTGAAGAAACATTTGCAGTAGAGCTTGTTAGCGTTCGACTGCTCAACGACTCACTTGCTGTGGGGGCTCCACCTAACTCTCCTAATATCCAGCAGCCTGCAGTTGCAAGAGTATCAATAGCAGAGAACGATTTTCCTCAAGGACTTATGAATATTGACCCTGGACCAGTAAGAGAAATGAGTGCGTGTGAATAAGAAATTATACTTTTAGCTTGAGGATAGAAAATACAATTAAAATACCAACAAATATTTATTCCTTTTTATTATTAATGTTTATCATTACAAATTTTAATGTATTCAAATATTGACCATAGACCATTGATTTCTACTTCTCTGCTCTCTTCATTTATAGTTTACTGTCAGTGAGTCAGTTGATACTACATGCATACCAGTGTACAGATCTGGTGGTATGTTCAGTACTGTTGGTGCTTCCTATTCATTTACTGATGGATCGGCCACTGGTGGTAGTGACTTTGATAATACTGAAGGAACAATTTCAATAGGACCACAAGTATCACAAGGCTGTTTAAATGTTACCATAACCAATGATAACACTCCTGAAAGTGAAGAGGTAAGCAGTATACATGTACATGTCTGGTAATTTACAACTGTGTTTGTAGTCTTTCACTGTAACACTGTTCAATCCAACTGGCGGCGTTACACTTGGTGAAAATTTAACTTCAACCATCATTATAAGCAAGAATGATGATGTTAATGGAGTGTTTTCGTTCTCTTCCGGCAGTCTTGTGGTAAGTTACAATATTGCATCATTGGACATAACTTTACCTTTATTTCTTTCTTTCTTTAGATGCTTCTCCCAGAAGGCACTTCAGGTACATTTACAATAGATAGAGCAGCTGGTTCAGTTGGTGAGAACATTGTGTATTGGTCTCTTAGCTCTAGTGGTAGTGATGACATGAATCAAACAAATGGCAGTGTTGTATTTACTGATGTAAGCCTACAATATGTCTGTATGTAATTATGATATATTATGATTATTTAGAGTCAGACATCAGGTACTTTTGAATTGCAAGCTCTAGAAGACGGAGTACCTGAGCTATACGAGGTCCATAGCGTTACCCTGACATCAATCGTGGGAGAAGGTCGTCTTTCCCACCCCCTAACAGCCAGCATAGCTATCCCTGCTAATGATAACCCTTCAGGAGTCATTGCATTTGCTGAATATACATATGATACTGTTATAATAGAGGAAGGAGGCAGTGCTACTATTAGTGTATTGAGGACCGCTGGGTTGTTTGGTAGTGTCAGTGTCCAATGGCAGATAACACCTTCTGATTCAACTGCTTTTGTACTCACAAGTGGTTCCGTGTTCTTTGGTGATGGAGCTAATGTTGCCAACTTTACTTTATCGGTAATGAGAGAGAAAGAGAGGAGAACAAAGAAGAGAGATTGGGGTCATTATGAGCTATCATCATCATGTTATAATTTAAAATGATTACAAATAGTAATTATTTATGTACACATATCTTATTTTATAGACAATACAAGACACTAGTCCTGAGGTTGCTAAAATATTCACACTATCATTAGTAGCTGCTGGCGATGCTGACATTAACAGTAGCTCTTCCGATATCAACATAATAATACCATCCAGTGACAATGTTCACGGATCAATTGGTTTCTCACCTTTAACAGTCTCTACTAGTGAGAGTGTTGATAGCATTGACATCACTGTACTGAGGAGTGGGGGACTGGAAGGTGATCTGTTGATTAATTTCACTGTTAGCGATATTCAGGCAGTCTCTCCCGATGACTATCAGATTAATGCAACATGTAAGCTCTCATTCATCATTAGTTTTGAATATTATTTTTATTCTCTCATACATTCCTAGATGTGATGATACCAGATGGTTCTAATACCGCCATCATAACAGCAGCAATAGTAGATGACTCTGAGCCGGAGATTGATGAGTCATTCTCAGTCACGCTAACAGCAGTCACTCTACTCAATTATAATAATGGAGGAAGGGATTTCACGTATCCTGGTGATGACTCTCTCATCGATTCCCTCCCTACTATCTCCGATTCCTCTGACACATTTCAAGCTACCATAGCAGCAAATGATGACGCATTTGGTGTCATCAGTTTAACAACCAATTCCTATCAAGTGGAAGAGGGTACTACGCTACTTGTCAATGTAGAAAGATCAGGAGGAACCTTTGGAACTCTCAGCTTGCAGTTCACCGTACAATCAGTGTCTGCCCTTGGTAATGGGATTGACTACTCTGCCCCTACTTCTCCAATAAATATACTACCAGGACAGGCATTGCTACAACTAACTATACCCATCATTGATGATATTAACCCAGAGCTTCAAGAATCCTTCACCGTTACTATTGACAGTGTTGAAGGAGGTGCTAGTCTTGGTACCATAAGGACAGCAACAGTCATTATACTTCCCAGTGACAATCCTAACGGGCGAGTGAGGTTCACTGATAGTGATATTAGTGGACGTGTTGTTGCTAATCCAGTGAATAGTCCTAGTGATGTTATGCTTGAAGTATTGAGACTGGATGGTAGCATTGGCAGTATTGATGTAAGTTGTTAGAACTCAATATGTACAAAGAGCTCTGTAGTGTAATGGTGATTTATGTATAGATCATTATTATAATGTATTTATTATCCTGTAGGTGACATGGGAAGTGACTGGGCCTAGTCCTGGCTTTGAGCGTGATGATATACTCCAGTCAACATTACAAGGTGTACTAACGTTTGGCGATCAACAAACGTAAGCTCATGATGATAATAATAATAATAATAATAATGATAATAATGATAATAATAATATAATTTACTATTGACACAGGAATAACTTCATTACTGTTACTGTATTGACAAACAATGGTCCTGAACCAGAAGAAAACTTTACCATTACACTGACTGCTGCTACTAAAGGAGTGGCTATTGATGAAGATGGGCAGACTGCACTTCTAACTGTACGTCATAAATACAAGAGAGAATGTGGACATAACAAATACCTTTATTTATGATTATACTCTTTAGGTATCACAAAAAGGAATACCTTTTGGTGTCATTGGGTTCTATGGAACATCATTATCAACTAGTAACACACCCGAAGGAGTTAATCTCACACTACCACTAGTCAGGGAACAAGGAACGTTTGGCACATCTGAGGTCAGTGGAAATAAAAAGAGAAAAAAGACATGAGAAAATGAGTGATAATTTTATTATATTTTAATATGCATGTATTATTATTATTATTAGGTTTTCTTTGTTGTGAGTGGCCCATCACCATTACTTGACTTGTCTCCAGTAACTGGTTCAGTTGTTTTTGAAGAAGGAGACGTATATGTGCCTATTGATATATTTATAATATCTGACAATATACCAGAACTACTGGAGACATATACAGTAACACTCACAGGCATCAATGGAAGAGCTGTGCTTAATTCCAACACTCTCACTTCAACCTTTAACATAATGTAAGAGAAAGAACACTGTCCATCATAATATATGTACATGTACCTTATTTTTATTTTCTATTATCTTCAATTAAGAGTACATCACTAGTACATTTTAGTGTACATACAAGCTATCATTTATTTTACTTTTTTTTCTCTTTTTCCTGACAGAGCTAATGATTCTCCATACGGTACTTTTGGTATAACTGATCTCTCGCTCCAACTGGCTTATGCTGGTCAGGATATGATACGTAGACTCAGTTTCACGATATCACGTCAGTTTGGACTACAAGGATCAGTTGATGTTACTGTTGGAATCACTTATACTGAGGTAAGTGGGTATACTGTATATATAATGCTTAAATCTACTTAAATGATGTAATTTTAGGAGCCTAATGCTGGATACTTCCCAAGTAGTATATCCCGTAGTTTCATTAATGGGCAAGACTCGGTAAGTCATGTGACTATCATGTGATATTAAGTTCATGAATAATTCATAGATATCTGTTACTATCGACTCCACTGCCACTGCATTCCTAGCTGCTGGTAGCATTCTCAATGTGTCTGTAGCCACTGTTACACTAACCAGTCAAGCAGGTTTGTAAAGCTAGTTTTAATGATGAAAACTATTATTCCTCCTCATGTAAAGGTGATAGTGATGTATTGCCAGAGATTTCATCATTCACTGGTATCATACTCCACAATATATCAGAGAATGTTTCTAATCCATCAGTTGGTTTTGCACTTGATGATGTTAATGCTACAGTCATTGATGGTAAGCATCTATTCTTGCAATTTTAATATCTTTAACTTTTTGCATTTTATTTCTTTTATCTTTAGGTCAAGTATCTAATAATGTTCCTATTACAATACAGAGGCATGGTTTGGTTGGTAATATACAGGTAACATGGGGCACTGGCCTATTGATAGAAGGAACAACCAATGGATCACTCACTCCAGCCACTGGCTCATTCATAATGTCAGCTGATACTTCACAAGTCACCGTTAATTTCACAGTAAGATGATACTAAATAATCTTTATTTTTATTTATTTATTTATTTATTTATTTGTTTGTTTATTTATTTTAGGCCATACCTACTGACCCACCTACACAATCAGAAGTGTTTGCCATTCGTCTTGCTGTAGAAACTCGTTCCCCTCCTTTTGTAGCTAGAGTGAGAACTGGAGCTGACGTCTCCATCATAGAACCATGGGGAGTGATAAAACTAACGTATGATAGCTATTCAGCACTTGAGGGACAAATAGTAAGAAGAGCATGATGATTAGAGATATATGTAGCAATTATAATTATTTTTAATTTTGTCATTACATTGCATTGTGTTGCTTATTAGGTGAATGTATCAGTATCAAGACTGTATGGGTCAACTGGTGCTATTGAAGTCTCTGGTATCTCTAAGTCTCCCTCGGTCATACCCAATAATGCACTAGCAGCAGATCCTGTCATTGACTATCCACTAGCTACACTCTCAACCATACTCAATGATAAACAGACCGCAGGGAACATACAGATAATATTACCATTCAATACTCAAGTGAATCCACTTAAAGTCTTTGACTTTTCATTAACTGGACTAAGGACTGTTAATTTTGATGGTAAGAGAAAATATATAGCATCTGAGATAAGAAAGAGAGAGGGGATCAACCATAGCACGACAAAGTTTATAAGGAAATGTAAAAATTACTTTATTCATTTCTATATAGGGCCATTCACTACTCCAAGACTAGCTACACCGATACAAAATGCATCAGTTACCATCATTGATGCACAAGGAGGAGCTGGTGTCTTTGAGTTTGTGTCTTCATCTACTACTATACATGAGGATGGTTCACCATTAGTACAGGCACTCATCAATAGGACCAGTGGCACTGCTGGTAGTGTATCTGTACAACTGAGTATTGTAGAAACAAGAGCTGATGGAACCACACGTAAGTATATGTAACTAGCAATGTCTACATGCAATAAATATATATATGAATGGAGCATTGCATTCTTTACTTGCATTTTGAAATAATTTCATTTATTTAATTTTTTTCCAGCTGCCAATCAAATAGCATCAGCTGCAGAAGGTGACTATGATCTCAGTTCTCTTGCTACAATGGCTACATTTGCTAATGGTGAAACTCTCAAGAGTGTCACTGTACAAGTATTGAATGATAATGTCCCTGAACTGGAGGAATACTTCACTATACTACTCCAGAATCCTCAGGGAGGAAAGGCTATCATTAATCCTGCCAAGGTATGGGCATAATAATAATTATTATTAATTTTACAAATTTTTTTAAATATATAGTCCACATTTGAGGTTGGCATATATGCTAATGATAATCAAGGTGGTGTTTTCTCTATTGTAACTACATCACTCAGTCTTGATGAAGACACTCAACCCGAAGGTATAGTTTTATAATAGCTAAATTATAATATTATTTATTCTTTGCAACTAGGCACTATCACTGTTAGCAGGACTGGAGGATTGTTTGAAAGAATAACAGTGAGTCATATTATCATACATACATGCATTTGATCATCATCATATTAATTTTATAGATTGACTGGCAGACTTATTATTCTGATGGTGGTGTCCATCCTGTTGCTCTTGGTGACCTTTTAGTAAGAGACTCTGGCAATGTGACATTCAGTCCAGGGCAGAGCCTTGCTAACATTACACTAGCTCTATCACCAAACAAAGTAATCACTGCATTACAAATTATAAAATGTCTAATTATCTTCTTTTTCTCTATTTAAGGTCCCTGCTTCAGGAGAGACGTTTAGTTTAAGGATATCTTCTTCAACAGTTGGTATTACATTTGCTGTTAGAGTAGCAACAATCACAGCAGCCCCTAGTCGATTCTCAGTATATCAATTTTCTGTAAACAGCAGGTAAGAAAAAGTGTATTATTTAAGCGATACATTAAGTTACTAATTTACTTTCCTTTTGTTTTCTAATCTCCAATAGGTCTGTAGTAGCTACAGATTTGACTCAGGTCCTTATGATACAGCGCTTGCAGGGCCTCAAGTTATCAAGTCAAGTATCATATTCTACAGTTGAATCGGCTGACCCAATAACAGTTGGTGAAGTGACATTCTTACCAGCACTGGCTAGCGTTCACTTCACATCAGTCACTAGTGCTTCTGTTCTCTTCCCTATTGACGTGGGCAATGCAACTATACAATTGAATATCATATCAGCCGATGTAATACCAAGAGCTTTCTATGTTACCCTGTCAGTCCCAACTGATAGCAGCAGGTTAGTACTTATACACACATTAGATTTTTGAGTTATTTGGTTTAAAATTAGTTTTAGGTTTTTAATATAACCTTCCTTCCTGTTTTGAATTTGATATAAATGTTTTTTTTTCAATTTTATTATTTTAGTGTGTTACAGAATGAGAGAGCAGTTGTTGTCATCAATCATCCTGGGACTGAAAGTGACTTGTATACTGACTATCTAACTGCTTACCATTCAACCACACCATCTCAACTGAGCAGGTAAGAAATGAGAGAAGAAAGGAAGGCAGAGATACACATAAAATAACTGCATGAGACAAAACAATGCAAGGCTTTATTCTATTAATTGATTTTTCCATTTTACAGTGCTGCTACTGATATCTTGAACAAGCTCAGTAATGGTGCAGTGTCTGGTCGTAACGTATCACTGTCTACTACAATGAAACTAACCATTGAAGAGATCATTAGCACTGTCACTGAGAGTGGAATAAGGTAGAGGAATTATAATCAATGTAATGTATTCATTCTCTTTATTTTAGTTATCCTGCATCTCTCCAGTCAACAATGGCTAGCATATTTAATGCAATAATAGGAAGTGGTACTTATGATGAGCAGTTTAGATATGCTCTTACTCTGAAGAGCTTTGCACGCTCACTTGTAACAGGAAGACCATGTGATGGACAAAGGTATGAACCATGAACCAGACTACAGTATGCATGTACATATATTGTGTAAATGTATCTCGACTTTTATGCTTTATTTGTTTGTTTTTTATAATATTTTTAGTGTGTCAATATCGACTGTCTCCCTACAGATAAATTCAGGACGCTATACACCATCTTTATTGAGCGGGATGACCTTTACATCAGGAGTCAATGATTACATTAGACTATCAAGCTCTGCTCTACCAATTACTTCAGAGGTACCTCAATAATAATCATAATAATGAATGATGATGATAATGATGATGTGTTTTTTAGTGTGTAGATGCTCATTTCATTGAATACACTGATGCCAGTTTATACAAGTTACCACTATTAGGCATGAAGGTATGAGCATATACAAAACCCATTGTATCATGACTACTGTTCTATATATTAGGTAATGGTATTGAGCCTTGATAATCCTTCAGTACCAACACTGCCTAATCCAGTCACTTATCGTGTATATTCTCCTAGCGGAACTATATACCCATCAGATCAAGAGTAAGATTGTATATCATGTGATTCTCATGTGACTCCACTGTCATTTAGTTGTCTCGTATGGAGTTATCCTACCGATGACAGTGGGACGGGATCCTGGGATCAAAGTACTTGCACACTAGCAGAGGTATTGCATCAATGAATGTATTTTGTGAATATACATTAGTGATAGGGCATTATTTATTGATCTCTCTCCCTCTCTTATTTATAGGCATCAATATTAGAGCGAGATTATGTTGAGTGTCAGTGCCAGTTGGTTGGTGATTATGCTGTTGGTATCCCTCCAAGCTATGGCTGGCCACTCCCTGGCCCTATATCTTCTGGATTTGTTGTGGTACGTTAAAATGTTAAAGAAACACTTTACTAGACATTATAGCAATACTAAATTATTGCTTAGTACACTATTGTATGTAAAACAATCAAGCCAGTTTCTTTATTTTTTTCTCCTCCATTAGTTGGTGATGATATTGATAATAGCTCTACACACTATTTACTTCAAGAGGATAAAACTAGGCACACGTATATTGATATTTGTGTGTCTCTCTATTGCTCTCTTCCAAGTAAATCAAACAGTCTCATACTTGCTAATATTGTGTTATTATTTTCTCCAGATAATATTACTAATTGATATGGTAGTGGCTCCTACAGTTAGTACCAATGGCTGTATTGCCCTTGGATTATTACTCCAGCTAACAGTATTAGCTCAATTTGTGTGGATGTTTGTACTGGTAAGCATGCATACTTACATACACACACTCATTTATATAATTGCCTTAATTTTTCAGGTAATGTCATTGTGGATGAACCTAATGGGATTGACTGATGGAAATGAGCCACTCATTATCTACATATTTGTAGGCTGGGGTATTGCTATAGCCATTGTAATAGCAACCATACTGATATCACTCTTTGGAGCTGCTCAGAGCTGGAGTGATATATACGGAAGAGTTGGAGGGCTGTAAGTTTAAAATTAAAAATAAAATTATATTTTTATTCTTTTCTTTAATTTCATTTTAGTTGCTTCATGCCTTCTCCTGCTATAGCGGGTGTGTCATCAGCATTGCCTATCATACTGGTCCTACTGATTGGTGTTGGAATTCTCTCTCATTCTTGCTTCTACTGGTCAAAATGGGAAGACTTCAAGAGCTTGTACAAAGACACATTTAACAAGAGAGGTACAGAGTATTATTGTATTGGAGTATCTTTTAATTTTTTGGATCATTTTTAGAAATACCACTCCTACTGACCTTTATGGCCATCATTGTCATCAATATCGTGTTTGGTGCACTTCATTTATACCTCCAACAGATTTACCTCTTCTTTTTGTTCTTTGCATTCAACATCATTGAGGTTAATAGTATTTTGCTATATAAGTAAATAAGTATTATTCCACCTCTCTTTTTTTTTCTTTTTCTCAGGGTATTTATGCTCTCATTGTGTACTTGTTTGTAAGCTGGCATACGCTAACTTGGAAGCACAAGCATTATCCTATTAAAGAAGATGTTGAGCCACTGACCATACCAGAGGAGCCAGAGTTTATGGGAGAGCATTATCCAAGCATGTATGGGTCCCAGTTATCACTTTTGCCAAGAGTAAGTTGATAAATATTGGGCTTAAGACCATGTACAGTGCTAGTACAGGGATTTTGGTCAAATTTTGTCAAAAATAAAAAGTAAAGAATTCTTAATCTTTATAATACATATGCATGTTTTTATGTTGTGTAGAAAGTTTGAGCTGATTTTGATCAAATTTAAATTTTTTATGAATTTTTAAAGTTGCTCAAAAGTTGTACAAAAGTCCCTGTACTATAGTACAGGGATTTCGGTCAAATTTTGTCAAAAATGAAAAGTAGAGAATTCTTCATTTTTATGACTTTTCCTAATACATATACATGTTTTTATGTTGTGTAGAAAGTTTGAGCTGATTTCGATCAAATTTAAATTTTTTATGAATTTTTAAAATTGCTCAAAAATTGTACAAAAGTCCCTGTACTATAGCACAGGAATTTCGGTCAAATTTTGTCAAAAATGAAAAGTGAGAATTCTTAATCTTTATAATTTTCCTAATACATATGCATGTTTTTATGTTGTGTAGAAAGTTTGAGCTGATTTTGATCAAATTTAAATTTTTTATGAATTTTTCAAGTTGCTCAAAAGTTGTACAAAAGTCCCTGTACTATATAGTACAGGGATTTTGGTCAAATTTTTTCAAAAATGAAAAGTAGAGATTTCTTAATTTTTATAATTTTTCCTAATACATATGCATGTTTTTATGTTGTGTAGAAAGTTTGAGCTGATTTCAATCAAATTTAAATTTTTTATGAATTTTTAAAATTGCTCAAAAATTGTACAAAAGTCCCTGTACTATAGTACAGGGATTTCAGTCAGATTTTGTCAAAAATGAAAAGTAGAGAATTCTTAATTTTTATAATTTTTTCAGATGCATATACATGTTTTTATGTTGTGTAGAAAGTGTGAGCTGATTCCAATCAGAATTGGATTTTATATGAATTTTTAAAGTTGCTCCAAAGACCATGTAGCATAGTGCATTTCAACTAATGAGCAATAGCTGTTATTATAATGTTCTGATTATTCGTATAATTTTTCTCTCTTCACTATAGACATCCACACATAACAAGCTTAGTTCTCATGGTCAAATCGGATCACAAGAGCACATAATGATGAAAAGGCTCTCCCCTCCACCAACCACAGCTACTCCCAGCGTTCACTCGTCGGTGAAACCCTCTCATACCTCAAAAAAGAAAAAGAAGCAGAAACAGAAACAGCAAGAAAAACGAGCGGACTCCTCGCTCCCTCCTTCTCTCCCTCCCTCTCCTCCCCCGATTGAAGAGGTCCAGGAGAAAGACGGTGACAGTGATTCTGGGGAGTCTGGTAGTTATGCCATTGCTAGGGCAGGGGACTCTGATGGCGGAGAGTCTGGCTCCCATATGGATAATCTGATGTTTGCACTCAAGACAGGAATATCTTATTCACAAGATGAAGACTCTCAGCCTCCCATCGAAGGATTTGCTAGGAGAGGAAAGCAACCAGCTGCAGCAACAGAACAATATCGCCTTAGACGTATTTCTATCGCAGACACTCACCTTTGATTTATTATCATTATAGTAGGAATTATTGCAAACTGCAGTTTATTCTCTTTTATAAAACATCAGTAACATTACTTTTTAAGCACATATACATTTATAATTATTATTTTGTTTAGTAAATTATTATGAAGTACACTGTATATGCATGAGCCTTTTTTTTATCTCTATTTCTATATTTATTTTTAAACAATAAAAATATTAATAATTTTAGCTAAAGTTGAGCCACGTGGCTTCCGTATTCTTTAGAACACGGAGTCAATCAATGTTCAGCCAGCCCCACCCACTATAGAAATTGCTTTGCAAAACATTTGGCAACATGGTGAGTCGCTAGTATTCATTCATTTCTACTCTATCTCTGCAATTATATTTATAGTCTCACACTATTCTACTCATCCAACCAACCAGAGCACACGAGAACAGAACCTACACTGACTACGAGACACTAGATGAGTGCTTGGAAGGTAATATATATATATATATATATATATATATATATATATAATACAATATAATATATGTATATATACCATAATTATTAACAGTGTGAAAAATTTTATTTGTTTCTTGTACTGAATTACATAATAAAAATTAAAAACTAAAACCAAGTGTAATTGTGTGGGTGTGGCTGGGTTAGTTGCAGTAAATGGGTGTTCCTTGGGTTGTTTAATGACATGTATATACATTGTAGATATTTTAAATACTTTTCCCTTTTCTAACTATGTCCTTATGTCTTTTAAGGAATATGTAAGATATACGAGGAACATTTACGTCAGCTTCATCCCCAGAGTCCTTCAATCACTTATGACATCAGCGAGCTCTTCAAGTTTATCGACAACCTTCACGATCTTAGCTGTCTGGTGTAAGAATTTGCTATTATGACTGCCCACGTTTAGTTCTTATGTTCCTATGTTAAATACTGTATTTTAGTACTGAATATATGTAGAATATATATTTCTTTTTTTAGTCATCAGTCATCAAGTGGTACATACTCTCCACATAATAAAGAATGGCTGAAGGAAAAGATATACGGAATGCTGAAGAAACAAGCAGGACCAAGCAGAGGAAGGCATTGAACCAAATACCCAGACACTGTTCCATGACTCATTATCGTTATTATACTAAATGTGTGTAATGTACATTTATTTAGAACTAGAACTTTTTTGCACTCCATTTTGTTCAAGTTCTTGCCTTCTTTGCAAGTGTAAATAAATTAATAAAATTATATAACAATTAATTAACCAAGGGGCGTGGTTAAATTAAAATTTTGCTGGAAAAATTTCTTTTCAAGTTTCCACCTCTTCTTGAAATATCTCAGGAATAACATTCTACTCTGCCGCCTCTATTAACTGGATACAATTGGGCAGTAAGTAGCAGTGGACTCGGGGAAGAGTAGGAAGGTTGCTGTACCAGAGTATGGCTTCACCTCAGACTGTTAGTGACCATCTCTCGTCTTTCTTGAACGAAAAAGGACAAGTAATGCGTTACGTATTTTGTGCAAAGCATGAAAATCATTTCTTCCCCCACTCTCTCTTTCTTTTTTTCTGTTAGGATCGTGACGTCAAACTAATCCAGTTCCTACAGTCTTTCCTGATCACTCTAGCCGAGGGAAAAGATGTCACTTCATGCTTTGCTTCTAAGTAAATTAAGTTAAATTAATTATCGTAAATTAAGTTAAATTAAATATTATAATGAAACCGCCATATTTTTATATTGAATTGTGTCAAGTCCCTATTTTCTTTCCCCTCCCTCCTAGTGATCCTCATTCAGTTCTTAGTATACTCATTGATTCATTATTGAATCGATTCACATCAATGCTCGTTAATGGTACTGCAACTACACCTACTAGTAATTCCAATTCTAATTCTCCTGATTCTGACCACACCTCCTTATCCCCGCCCACCCTCTCAAAAGATGAAGAGGCAGCCTCGCTGAAAAAGTTCCTCTACAGAGAAGACATATTGTTGCTATTGGCAACCATACACCACATGTGTACTCAAGTAAGTCAAAAATGGCGTTTTGATATTTTTAAAAATGAAAGTACCTCGTATATGTAACTGTAACCAAATGGAACGGACTATGGTATATTTTTCTTCAGAAATACATGTATGTGAATTGTGAAGTACTTCTAATACACTTATTTCTTTAAAATTTCAATGTTTTTGATAAGGACAACCATTGGCAACAATAATATTATATTCTTGTAAAGAGACTGATACTGCATGTATTGCACATGTACACATACGTAGGCTCATAATCATCATACAATAGTAATACTGGTTCATAATTTATTGATCCATAGTGCCTCTACTTATTCAATGATAATGTGTGAACAAAGTCTTGCAGTCCTATGTCTATTGAATGGAACTGTTACCACATATTCAGTATCAACATATAGTTCTGGTTCACTCACTCACGTGTTCTTTAGCATGTCTGGCTAAGTATATTAGTAGTTGTAGTACATATATATGTACATGTATACCGTATATGTGTGTTCACATGCATTTAATCTACTGTTATCTTTCTCTTCTCGTTTTCCTTTTTAGGTCGATTTATCTAATTATGATTTAGTTGAATTGTTATTAGTTGTACTTAGGAGCCTCCTACCGCTAGTGAGGAGAAATACTGACGAACTAAGTAAAGCTTTTAGTTAATTATATAATAATAGTCGTAATGTTTTGTCTTTTATTTTTATAGATTTATTTCTCAGTATTTCTCCATCGTATTCTCATTCAAGAAGGCGGAGTCAGCCACACCCACTCTCGCCATCATATCGCATCACAAGTGAGTTAAAGAGGAACTCCCTCCCAGCCATTGGACCAGAAGCAACGGAATGGATACCCGAGACCCTCTTGAGCAACCAATCTCTTTCTTCCTCTCTTGATGACGTCAAGTTATTTCTGTTAGTACTAGGAGTAATAGAAGGACTGACTTGCTCTTCAGTACCCAAGAACAATCACCAGATATCACAACTAATCAGGTTCCTCTCAAAACTGACGGATTTCCTTGAAGAGGTCCAACTGGTTTGGATTGAGACTAGGAATGCCGGAGAAGAAGATATACCGTCGTCCTTTCTAGCCTCGTCTTTATTCGCTCGTTATCTCCTGAGGGTGTGGCTTATATTAATTAACAACACTTCTGAGTCGTTACTCTCACCTTCTCACACTTTTGAATTACGCTCGTTACTGCCCCGCCCCATTACCATGGCAACAAAGGCCCCTATGCGTTTAGGTAAGGGTCTTATATTTACAACCAACCGTTATCTTGATGGTGAACTATCGTTATTATTTCTCGAATCAGTCTATACCTCTGTAGTAGCCATTAACGCTCTTTCCTTTTCTGAAGCCCCTCCCTTCTCAACTCCACCCACTGTCCTATCACCAGGGAGCGTGCTACTACCTCCTGATGCATTGCTTAACGTATTAAATGAATCCATCTTTGATTCAAGTCAGGAATGGTTACTGTATGTTTGTTCCAAGTTACAGTCTCTACCACGGATAATGGCCACTTGGGACTCTGTTGTTACAGCTGCTCATTGTCTCCTGGGTCGGTTGATGAGGGAGCTGGTGTGTATCTCTGATCTCATTCAGGCAGGAAGTAGACAAGAACTAGCGGCTCACAATAAATTAGAAGATGAGGAGGAGGAAGAGGAAGAGAAGGAAGTCCCTAGTGCTCGGTCTTTCTTAAGGGAAGGCTACGTTGAGATGGAGCAGAGATTATGTAAAATATCTCAATCGTTGCTAGTCGTTTTTGAATCAGTTCCAAGCATACAGCTGCTTTCATTACAGCTTCTTGCACAAACCGGTCTTGATAAGATTGGTATAATCTCTGACTTCCTTCCCCATATTTCTCACAGCTCCGTCTGGTCAATGCCAGAGGTTCTCGACCTTTATCTCGAGCTATTAGAGAAGGCATGGCTTCAATTATCGCCCGATTCCTCGACCACACCCGAGTTTTGGACGAAAGTGAGCAATTACGTGACGGCGCTTCGAGAGGGTAGCCACCAAACCGTCCTTCAAGTCATGTTCCATTTGCTGTTCTTGTTTTCTTCTCATTCCTCCTGTCACCTCCTCTCATCTCTCACTCAACACGTCATCCTCCCATATCATAAAATGATACTGGAGAGAATGAGACATAAACTGGACTCCAACAAAAGGAGAGAAGAGAAAGGAGAGACCTCGGAAGAGAGAGAGAGAAGAGAGGAAGCTTCAGAGGGCAAGAAAAGCAGAAATGAGGAAAGGGTGACCGAGTCCTGTTTTGAGATTGAGGAAGAGAAAGTGATTCATCTTTACTTGAAACTCCTCCAAAAAGTTGCGTCACATCCTAGTAGCTTAGTCCCGTTTCTTGAAGGTCACAAATCCAATCTCTTCTCTCTATTTGTATTTGTTCCTCTTTCTCAGTTCCGCTCAGAAACACTCGCCATATTTTGTAACGTTTTACGAACGCTCTCTCGCCCGTGGGAATCAAGCATCATTCACAGCAGTCACCTCAGTGGCAATAAAACACACCTCCAGCTAGTCAATGCCCTCCTTCAGATAGCTTACGAGTTTAATGCTCGTGTCCTCTTAGAGAAATGCAATAAACTAATCAATAGTGGCGGAGAGACTGATAATATAACTAAACCATTTGATCTTCGGAAGATAGATCAGATACATGTACAGATACAGCATTTGTTGGACGAGACTAATATCAGTCAGCTTGCTACAGCACCTCTTGTTAGTCATTTACAATTGGTCTCTGATGTCTGGTGTATACTGGTAGAGGCCACGTCGACTTGTGATGGTATACTGGTGTTAATGAATGAAAATCACATATGGGACGTTATACAGGTAGTTAAGCCATCATTTAGTTGTGTATGTACATGTACTTTTTATATTGCTTGTATAGTAGTAGTTTATGATTCTTTTATAATGAATGTTTAATATTGTTTTTAAATATCAGGTGCTTGCTCCTTCTCTTGCCAGCCTGTTAGAGAGGGTGTGGATTTGGTCGGGAAAGGGGGAGGGGAGCAACGTGTTTAGCAAGCTAAGGGAGGTCTGTGTGTCACTCCTCTGTCACCTTCTCTCTATGGCAACCATTGTATGTAGAGTAAGGGAGAATCCTTCAAAGGTAAGCAGCTATATTAAGTTAATTATCATAGCCAATTTTATGCGTACATGTACAATGTATGTATTCATATTTTTAATTATATTTTTAATCATTTTTAGGTATTGGAGTTCCATTGTTCTGAGGTCCATTCATTCCTTCATGGTAGTAAATTATGCACTGCCTCAAACTCATCTCAATACATAGCTACGCTCCTCAAGACTGCTACCTTCTATTCTCCCGAGCCTTCTTCAGCTCCTGTCTCTCCTCGTCGCTCTAGCTCAGGCCCTGGCCACAACCACAGCCTTAAACCAACCCGCAGTCCTAGTCACAGGAGCAGACACTCCTCTAGTCGAGGCTCAACTAGTAAAATAAGTCCGTCTCGTAACTCACTTCATTCGTCTCACGGCAGTGCTAAAGGTAGTCCAATTTTATCACGCCGTCAGTCCAAGATACGTCCCCTCACCTTGCCCAGTGACACCAAGGTCACGCGTAAACCCATCAAACTCATCAGCCCAACCGTTGCCCTTTCCCCCAGCAATAGACTCCATCCTTTCTTCCCAGCCGTGATAGACGGGGAGTCTGATTATTCCGGGTATGATGCTGATACGGAGTTTGGTGGTAGAGCAAGGGCTGGGTCGCTCTGGAGCGAGGGAGGTACCCCTGAGGAGCCTATAGGAGAGGAGGAGGAGAGGGTCGCAGGGAGTGGGTTTGGCCTACATAGTCCAGTGACTACAGTGAAGGTACCGGAGGATATTAAGAAGAGACTGTGGCTTGAAGGCCCTGTCTGGCAATGCTTGGAGCTATTGAAGGAATGTGTGGAGGATGCTACTACCAAAACACAATGGTAATAAGCATGTTCCCTTGTTATTATTATTATTATTATTATTATTATTATTATTATTATTATTATTATTATTATCATTATTATTATTGTTATTAGTGACTCCGCTCTTGAGCTATTTCTTGCTTATCTTCTTGATCTACTGAAAGCTGACAATTTCAACATATCACTTCTAGCCAGGAAGGTACACAGTATGATCCTTTACTCCTTTAAATTATACATGTACATGTACATATGTTGTACCAGTATATCAAGAGTACATGATTTTTGATGTATTATGTACATTGTATACTCTGATCATGTTGATAATTCATTTCAGGGAATTCTTGGTTTTCTCTTGGACTCATTTTCAAATCTTTTTGACTCAAAAACTGAGAGAAGTAAAAGTAAGAAAGGACATTTTAATAGAAATACATGCAAAAAAATTCACTTGTAGCCCTTATCAAATATTTGAATAACTTTCAAAAATTCATAAAAAATCCAAATTTGATTGAAATCAGCTCAAACTTTCTACACAGCATAAGAACATGTATATGTATCAGAAAAAATTATAAAACTTGAGAATTCTATCCTAGCCATTTTTGACAGATACCATAGTACAGAGACTCCTAAATAAATTCACTATCGTTCCTTTACACAGATTGTTCCAAGTTATTGTGTCAGTTGGTTGAAGTCCTGGCCAGTTATCAAGTCTCTCACTCTGACCTTAGGAAACTGTTCTTAAAACTCCAAGGAAATAAAGAAAACTTGGTAACTTCTATGAATGCAAATCATGCAATAAAAAACAGCTATTGTAATTATACAATTCTCTCTCATTCACTCTTGTGCATTAGGAGCAGCTAGTCTCAATGCTTTATAAAGTAGCTAAACAGAATTCACACAACAGACAACCCTCGAGCTACATTGAGTTTAGCTTCCCTCGTCCGTCAATGAAGCTGAGCTGGTCAGAGATGCTCAGGCTACCCTGTCCACAGTCCACTAGCCTTCATCACTGTGCACTGTCAATGTGGCTCTATATTGGGAAGTATCCATTGGAGTCTTACTTTCATCTGCTCTCTCTCCTCACTGGTGAAGTCTACGTTCAGCTCTGGGCCTCTCCTTGCAGTGGAGACATTGTTGTAACGTAAGAATCATATTTATAGAACCCTCTACTGATATCTGTGCCTTAGAACTGTTTTACATAGACGTAGTGTTAGCTCACATATACATGTAGTATAGCTATTATATTTGTTATTACTTTTGTAGTTTTTCAGATCAGATCAAGCACACTTGTCTTGATGATGCGTCTGGTGCCAATTCGGTCACTTCAGGCAGTGCATTGACACTCAACTCATTCCATCATTTATATATCAGCATTAAATATTCTTCAAGACTATGTCAGGTGAGGAATATGTTGCCATTTTTGCTGCATGTACAGCTATTTCTATCTTCAATCTTTAACAGTAACCCGATAGTCGTGAATCTCATCCTTTAAAAAGTGCGACCCACGATTGCATTGTTAGAATATGTTGCTATTTAAGGCAGCCTAGCAGCCTGGCCTAAGCAGTAGTATACGTTGAAGACAAATTTTTGAATGGGGGAGTGTTGTACCCCCCGAGGGGTCACACGTAACCCTGTTCTTTTTTTGATTTTAAGTGATGATAAAATCACTAAATTTAACCCACAAACCTACAAATATTTCATGATATTTCCATCAAAATTTTTGCCAAAATTTCTTAACACACACAGCTGCTTTTGTCATACATGTGTTTATTAACTGTAGGTGGAGATTGTCATTGATGGAGGTGACGTGTTTAATTACACTCTAAATCTCTCCTCATCCCTTGCTCAGTATAATGAAGGCTACTGTGGCATTGGTGGAGGTGTAGTCAGCAACATAACATCAGAGAGACACATTAAACTAGTCAATGCTGACAAGATGAGCCTAAAATGGAGACTTGGATCACTTAATATATTTGATGGTAATTAAATATTATGATTTAGATTGTGATTTATCTCTTCAATTGTTTATTTTTGCTCTTCTCTCTCTCTCTCTCTCTCTCTCTCTCTCTCTCTCTCTCTCTCTATTCTTCAGGTTCTTATGATACTAATCTAGCTAGTCTATTGTATCAGTTAGGCCCAGAGTCCCCTCCATCTTGTATTGGTGAATTAGGTGATATACTTACATCCAGTTATGTCGAGATGGCATCTGATTCAACTGAAGTTAAACAAATTGGTATAACTGATTCCCAGCTCCAAGCTATTCAAGTAAATACATTTGTTTTTTTACTTTTTACAGCATTTTATTTATTATTTTGTTATTTTTTAGTGGCCTGTTGTATCATATTGGGCCCATCAAAGTCAAAAGGTTTATTTCGTTAGTTTAAAAGAGACCAAGAGAGAGACTGACCCACACAATCCTTCCTCCTCTTCCGACAGCATCATAGTTAGAATACCCAGTGTGGATCAGCTACAGTGGGTAGCAACAGCATCTCCTATCAACCAGCCACAGCTGTTTGATGTGCTCCTGAACTGTATTGGATTAGAACAGCTACTCTATCTTTATGCTAAGGTATAATGTATTAATAGATCTTATCACTTTTATTACTAACACTTTTATTTCTTATTTCGTTTTTTGTTCCTTGCAGACGGTAAGCAAAGGTTGCTCAGATATAGCACAGTTCCACACGCTCTCGCTGATTCAGCTAACAGTTCATCACTCGCCACAAGCTAAACTCGAGTTCCGTCAGTTGAAAGGGATCACATTACTACAGCAAGTACTGAGGACTAGCAAGGCAGCTCTTACAAGAAATATTGCTAAAGTAAGGCTATGAATGTATATGTATTACAGTTTATATTTTTGCTAATTCGTATACATTGTATACATGTTCTTTTGTTTTTGGAGCGGATTCTAATTAAAATAGTTTTTTTATAAGTTTTTGATGTGGCTCTAAAAATTTTTTAAAGTTGCTCCAAAATTGGGCCTAAGTCCCTGTACTATAGTACACGGTCATTGGCCAAATTTTGCCAAAAATGAAAAGTAGAGAATTCTCCATTTTTATAATTTTTTCTGAAGCATACACATGTTCTTATGTTGCGTAGAAAGTTTAAGCTGATTCTGATCAAATTTGGATTTTTTACGAATTTCTGAAGTGTGACCAAAGACCACCCTAAAAGATGTGTACATGTACTGTAGTAATGTACATAATGATTAATATTATTATTATTATTATTATTATTATTATTATTATTATTATCATTATTATCAGGTATTTCTTGATTGGGCTTGTGGCCCAGAGAGAATAGAAATCAAACACACTGACATTCTGGAGCATATACTACTCGACTGGCACATCTGGTGTCGCTCGCCCGTGGAGGTGTGGCAGATGTTGCTATGGCAACTGGAACAGCTCCTCAGTCCGGAGAACAGCCACTCGGAACTAAATCGAAATCACTTCCTCGCAGCAGAAGCACTCAAGAAAATACTACTGACCAGTAAAGTAGGGAATCACATAGATGTACACATACACGTACATGTACACGTACATGTGTACATGTACTTATTATACTTACATGTACATACAATGTACATGTACATGTACATTCATTACTTTGTACATGTTCTTATTACAGTTGAGGAATTAAAATTATGTTTTTATAGGAGAGGAGGTCACTTGAATCCAATGAGCCACTAGATAGTTCAATATCGATGATTTTCGTACGTTTGATAGCGTTATTGTTGGGAGACCCGCCCCACGAGGCTTGGCTCAAGTATGTTTGGGACCATCTACTCCTTCCCGATCTTAATGATGCTAAACTAGTCAGAGGAGACATTAATCTGTCACTAGTAGAAAGTAAGAGAGAGAGAGGAGAGAGGGACTAGGGAAGAGATATTTAGACATGTTACAGGAAACTAAGTGTACACGTATTGTATAAATAATTCTTACAATAGCATCAAAGTTACCAAAGTGTTCGCCGAGTCAATCTATGAGTTCACTTGAGTCACACAGTGCGGGTAAACTAGGAGACAGGGCATCACTAGGAGGAGGGGGAGGAGGAGGGAGGGATGAAGGAGGAGAAGAGACCGAGAAACATGACAACGAGTCTGAGTCTGATATGGAAGTTGTTGAGTTTGACGTTCAGTCTCTCGCTGGCAGATTACCCGATTCTTCATACAGCGACTTAGAGACTCTCTTCACTTGGACTGACATCACCGGTCAGTATCATTAGTATTGTACTTAAAAGTATTTGGGGGGGAAACCTGGGCTATAGTCCAAGCTTTTTTACATTATTTTTATGTATACATATACATGTAATTATGTTATATATATGCATATGTACATTTAGCTCTCACATATAATTATGTTGTATGTACATTTAGGCCTCCCATTCCTCAATGACAGTGATATAAAGGAGACAGTCCCTGTCAGTATTGAGACTGGGCTCCTCTCACACATAAGGAAGATCATATGTCTCTTGCCCGACACTCAAGTCCGTAAGGTCCTTGGGCCTATACTTGATCAGGACAGCATTGTCGTTATGGCAGACCATCCTTCTATCCTTGTCAGGACTGCTGTCGTTAGGGTAAGCTCATACATGTACATGTATTGCAGTGCATTTACTATTTGTGAATTTCTTTTTTATATTTATGTACAGTACTATTGACTGCTCCCTTTCTATTAGTTTATACTTTTCTTTCTTTCTCTAGGTTCTTGGTGAGTTCTTTCGTAGAGCTGGTGATAGCTCTCAGGCTAATTTTCTCCAGGTGAAGGGTTTCAATCTCCTCGGGAACCAGCTGAAGCAGCACACCCTCTCGTTTGAGCTAGTCAGTGCTCTATTCAGTATTGTATTCGGACAAGAGATTAACCTGTTTGACCAGTAAGCTAATCTTGATCAACTAGTTGATGTACAGCTTATTATTGTTGCTGTTGTTATTATTATTATTATTATTAGGTCTTCTGGTACATTTCAAGTTCCACAGTCTTTGAGTGGTTTCCAGTTCAATGCAGTAATACCAATCCTAATGTGTATAGCTAATACACTGCCTGATCCTAACCTCTGTCACACTACACTCTGTGTATTAAGAGAAGTTAGTCATTCATTTCTATTGCCATACACACATGTACAGTACATGTGCATTATAAATTTTTTTTCATTTGAAATGATAATTTCATATTAATTTATGTTTTTTTAGTTATTTGAGATGGTTAAGCTCATGCCTGCGTGCATGCTTAGTAACGGGCTCCTGAAGATGATCTGTCAGATGATTATATTAATACCAGAATCAACATCTTTATCAAAGTAAGTCTACATGTACATGTACATGTATTTCAAATTTAAAAAAAGGTTCACTTGTTTTAAATTGCAATTACCATTATCTTATTTCTCTCCAATGCAGGGAGAATAAGCAAACCCTATTAACTGATCTCTTTAATTTCTGTAAACTGATTGTCCTGTACACACTGAGGTAAGACTCCGTCCACCCACTCACACTAATTAATTAACCACACCCATTCATAGTGCGGAACTTGAGGAAAACTTTAGATTTCTCGAGACTCTCCTGGTATGTCTCAAACACTGTCTGGATGAGATTAAGAAAAACAGAAGTAATTATTTATTTATTTATTCATTTATTTCATGTACATATATAGCCTCAATGACATTAACCATAGTATACCTGGAGCAGTTTATCTATCATACGCTAGCGGAAGCCTTACAGTTCTTTATAGCTGGTCCTATAACAGACGGCGGTGGTCTCATATCACCTTTTGCCTCAGTACAGTCTCTAGCAACTCAGACCGAGCTACAGACTAGATTCATTCAAACTTCAGCTATGTCCGTTGAGTGGTTAATTAATGACACGCCCCCTCTCACTGGCGAGGTTGTTTCCCGTTTTACTGACGAGGGGTTTGTGCGTAGAGGGATGCTCTTTGATAAGAAGATGTCGTCAGCTGCCACTGTGGCCGGTTACACCTCCTTTCTCTTGCGTTTCTTTCACCGCTCATTGCGTGGCTCAGGGAAAAAAGTACAACAATGAAATAATAATAATAATTTATTGATGATATTTTTAACAGTCGTTTAGTCAGTATGAGTCGTCTTCTCTTCGCTATTTTACAAGCTCAAGAGGACAATTGATTGAGCAGGTAAAGAGAAACTACATAAACTAGCACTTCTTGAATCAGTATACTAAACTAGCACTTCTTGAATCAGTATACTTTAGTTGTCTTTTATTAAGCAATTTCTCTCTCTTTTTCTTTCTCCTAGTTCTCAAAGTTGCTTGGTTTCTTACTCTCTCCGATTCATTCTCATCAGTTTCGTCTCCAGCTGATAAAGTCCTTTCATTTACTCGACGACTTTTCATCTCTCCTCTCATTACTATTTAGCTCTCAAACTAAAAAACTGGTAATTAATATCTGGACATACATGTACATGTACATGTCCACTTAATCACTTATAAATTTTCATTTCTTTTAGTTCTGTGGTCGTTTGATTCTAACTATAACAGATCTAATGCAGTCTCCTAATGTCCACAGTGACGTTCAATCAATGGAGGCCTATAATGACATATTTGATGCCTGTTCTAGCACTGGGTTCACTAGATTAAAACCAAGCACTAAGTTATCCTCACTGCTGATGACCCATGAGGATGATGATAGCAGATCCAAGCAAAGGATTGAGTCAATTAAGGATGAAATGAAAAATGTAATAATAACACAAATGAAAATGGACAATTGATATGTTTATTGACTTTAGGCTGATCAGAGATGGGCGGAGAGAATGGAGTCTGGAAAGAAAGACTTTGATTATCGCCGACAAACTATTTACAATAAGTAAACCTGCTCTCATGACATGTGCTTCCATTAATTGTTACAATATAGAATGATAGAGAGATTGAGGACTAAGGAAGCAGCTGTGAAGAGAGCGTCAATACAAGTCACTGAGAGAGTGTTTGGGAGACAAAAGGAGTTGAGACTGAGTCTATTGGGACAGATAGAGTTAGCCGGAGTACAGGAGAAGGAGACTCTCAGACAATGGAAGAAAATCATTGCATCAATCACTCACCCACGGTCAGTGGTAGCAGCATTAATCTGTATGTACATGTAATTGTAATTTTGATAATTTGCAATTTTGTAGTATATCAATTTATTAATACACATAATGTGAATTTTGTTGTATTATTTTAGAGGGATATGGAGTGAGGATGAGCCACGGCCATTGTGTTGGCAGTTAGATCCAACCGAAGGTCCATCAAGAGTGAGGAGAAGACTGATGAGGTCAACACGTATGACCAGTGAGAAGTTTCTACTACGTGAAGCTTGCACTGGAGAATCAGGTAAGAGGAAATTAATGTAGAAATTTATAATGTACATGTACATGTATGATTTATAGGCATAAGATGTTCACCTTTGTCATTTATATTTGAGGAAACAGCCTATGACAGTGCACAGGGAATGCTAATGAAAGTTTTGAGGCAGCCAAATGAAGATATGTAAGTGTGATGGTCATGTGATGATCATGTGACGATCATGTGATGGTCATGTGATGGTCATGTGATCTTGTTGCTATTTTTAGAATCGGTAATACACATCAGCGGTGCTATATTATATCACCTGACAGCAGTTGCATTGGAAACCTACTAATTAGTAAGGAGGAGGATAAAATTAAATGACAGTGACCCCTTTCTTTTTTAGCCAATATTTCGTGTTATTTTATTGGAGACAAGCCCCTAGGAGACCCTAACATTGCTAAAGTAATGCTAAACCCTCCCTCTTTCTCTCACTGATCCTGTTATTCTCTTGTAAAGGTGGTGGCACTAGACGAGAAGACACAGTTGATGTCATGGAGACATACTGATGTCGTTGAAATACACAGAAGAAGATACATGCTCAAAGATAATGCACTCGAGATATTCCTTATAAACGGGATCACTTTATTGCTCTCCTTTGATACCACCATGGTGGGTATTTGTCATTGTATAGCTCTCATGTGATTCTCATGTGATTAGGAACGCAATAAAGTTCACTCTGGGCTCCTTGAGCTTGATATGCCTAATCTTGTTGATCCTGGAGGAGAAGGAGAAGGAGGAGGCAAATTAAAAGCATTGACCATCGGGTACGATCACTCTCTTTGTCTTGCTCATTGTCTACTTCTTCTTGTTAAATGTGTATGTTTAAAGCATATATTCCTTTCTTTGTTTGATAGATGGCAGCAAGGAGAAATATCTAACTTTGAGTATTTGATGGAATTGAATAAACTGGCAGGTCGGACATTCAATGACCTGATGCAGTATCCAATATTTCCTTTCATCCTCTCGGATTATACCAGTGAAGAGCTAGACCTGTCCAAGGACTCTTCATTTAGGTTTGTATTGCCCTTGTTGTTGTTGCTATGCTGGTTGGATTATTTATCATTTTATTTCATTTTAGAATACTGGAGAGACCCATATCTATTCAAGATGATAGCAAGATTAAAAAATATATTGACAGATATCAGGTACTCTTATTATTATTTATTTATTTATTTATTTGTTTGTTATTATTGTTTGTTAGTATATACTAAATGAGTGTACTAATCAAGGGTTCATGATGCCTGGTCTCTCCTCCATATCATCAAAGCCGTACCATTATGGCTCTCATTACTCCAACTCTGGGATCGTGCTTCACTTCTTAGTCCGTATCCCTCCTTTTACTGATATGTTTCTAGACTTTCAAGGTAATAATAGTAATAATAATAATAATAATAATAATAATAATAATAATAATAATAATAATAATAATAATAATAATCACATGTTTTTTACTTAGGTAAGAGTTTTGATATCGCCGATAGATCATTTCACAAAGTGGCTACCACCTGGTGGCTATCGTCCTCTGAATCAGCTACTGACGTTAAAGAACTTATCCCAGAATTCTTCTACTTTCCTGAATTCTTAACCAACTCAGAAAGTAAAACCGATAATAAAAATAATGATACTGATTATTCATTTTTTTCTCTCTCTAGGGTTTAAATTAGGCGAGAAGCAAAACGGAGAAACAGTTGATCATGTGGTGTTGCCTCCATGGGCCAAAGGTGACCCAAGACTCTTTGTCCTCAAACACAGACAGGTTATTTATAGATCAATCTCTGCTGATGTAATCCTGTTCTATTTTAGGCACTTGAGAGTGAGTATGTGTCCAAGCACTTGCACGAGTGGATTGATTTGGTGTTTGGATACAAGCAGACTGGTAGAGCTGCTGTGAATGCTGTCAATGTCTTCCATCCTGCTGTAAGTTTGGACTGTGGGCTAAGGTACAGGGTTGTTCGTCAAAATTGAAAAGGAGAGAATTCTTCATTTTTATAATTTTTCCTGATGCATATACACATGTACATATTTTTATGTTGTGTAGCAAGTTTGAGCTGATTCCCATCTAAATTAGATTTTTTACTAATTTTTAAAGTTACTCAAAAATCGGGCCAAAGTCCCTGTACTATAGTACAGGGATTTCAGCCAAATTTTGCCAAAAATGACTAGGAGAGAATTTTTTGTTTTTATAATTTTTCCTGGTGCATATACATGTTCTTATGTTGTGTAGCAAGTTTGAGCTGATTCCGATCAAAATTGGATTTTTTACTATTTTTTAAAGTTACTCAAAAATCAGGCCAAAGCCCCTGTACTATAATAGTACCTATTCTATTTCATGTTCATATAGACATACTATGGTGCTGACGGTATTGATGTTGATTCAATATCAGACGTCACTCAACAGGAAGCACTCAAAACGATGGTAAAGACGTACGGGCAGATGCCCCTCCAGTTATTCAAGGAGCCTCATCCTCATCGCTCTAAAACAACAGTCCGTACAACACTACTCATCAGATTCGGCTCAATATTAAAAAGATTGACCTCATCTTCCTCAGCACCGCTTAAGATAAACAACTCAATAATATCCCACAGTATGAAACTAATAAAACCCAAAGTATCACTAGACTGTGTCTTCATCGGCCAGCCGGACCCTCCTTTCTCTCACCGCCCCATTGTAACAACCACTGTCCCACTCTCACCGGAGCGACTAACCTGCCTGTGGAACGGTGAAGTGGCCATTACTGATCAGGATGCTGCATTCTTTCCGAGTCCATCAGGGACTTATAACAGTTTATTCATCTCGTGGGGTCATTGGGATAATGCCATACTCATTAGATCTGTTGGTATCAGTGATCATTCTATTACCATCAAACTACACAATTCACCTCTTAACAGAGTAAGTGTCTCAATGCACTGCATGTATTCATTTTGCTTGCTATTATTTCAACACAGGTCACCTGCTGTCAAGTGGTATGCAATGGTCAGATGCTTGTTATATATGGTGGAAGTGGAGTAGTATCATTCTGGAAGCTAAATAACACTGCTAAACAAGTTAGTATATCATCAATAGGTACACTCCACCATTTGAGCTATTGTGATCTCTTTAGAATCCATCATATGCTGGCGGCGTGACACATTTAAGAGGTCACACTGGTCCAGTAAATAGTCTGGTATCATGTAAACCTTACAGCATTGTTGTCAGTGGTAGCTCAGACTGCACTTGCATTATATGGGACACCAATAGGTCAGCTATAATCATGCAGTTATATTAAGTTAAAATACACTAAAAAATATACTTACATGTATCTGCTGAAATACTTCA